GGTGAGGCCCCCCCCGCGGCCGCTCCCCCGGCTGCCGCTGGTGGCGCTACGCCCCCGAGGAGCGACAGCGCGTCGCCCTCGGCCAACGGCGAGCGCACGCCTAGCGGTGGAGCGTGGCGCCGCGGCATGGGTCTCCGTCGGGGAGGCGGTGCCGGCGGTGGCGCGGTGCCGGCGGTGGCGGTGGCAGGTGGTAGAGTTGTCTAGAGGTTAGGCCCTACAGTATGCATTAGTGTAACGACAACATGAGCGGACGCCGCGCAGCGGGTTCCGCGGAACAGCATCGATGATCCGAGAGCTGTAGGACACCACAAATTTACGAGGCGGGTGTGAGGGGCCAGGTGCCCATTCGAATCTCAAGAATGCATGCGGCATCTAACTAAACTTCGGACAGATTGTTTTTCTAGTTAGGTTAAAGACTTAGAGCTTGGCCTTGTCGTCGTGACGCACGCGAACGACAGCCTTACCCCACGTCTTGCGGTCCTCGAGGTCCTTAAGGCCGGTGGTGACCTGCTCGAGGCCCTCGTAGACAGGGTCGTAGACCTGGGGAATGAGCCGTCCAGACGAGATCATCTTCATGACCTCGTCAATGACCTCAAAGTACCTCTTCGGGTCCTTGAGCGCGGTCGCGCCCCAATGCAGGCCGACGATGGAGACATTCTTGAGCAGGACGAGGTTGGCGGGGATCTTCTCGATCGTGCCGGCCGCGAAGCCGACGACGATGAGGCGGCCGTTCCACGCAATGCACTTGAGCGAGGGCACGAGCAGCCCAACCGGGTCGTACACGACGTCGACGCCGTGCCCGTCCGTGATCTTCTTGACCTCGTCCTGCCACCCCGGCGCGTTATAGTCCATCGCATAGTCTGCGCCGCACTTCTTCGCGATCTGCCGCTTCTCCTCGGATCCAGCTGCGGCAATCACACGCGCACCCAAAGCCTTGGCAACCTGCACGGCCGCGATGCCCACTCCGCCCGCGGCGGCGTGCACGAGCACCCACTCCCCAGGCTGCGTGTTCGCGCGCCCGACCAGGCCCTCATACGACGTCGGGATCGTGACGTAGATACCCGCAGCCTGCTCGAAGGAGATGTTGGACGGCATCGGCACGAGGCGGAAGTAGTCGATCGCAATCTGCTCGGCGTAGCTGCCCTGCCCAGAGCCGAAGACGCGGTCGCCGGGCTTGAAGTTGCATCCGGCCGGGATGGGCGAGTCCTTTGCGATCCGGCCTGCAAACTCGGCGCCAAGCGTGAAGGGCAGAGGGGGCTGGTCTGGACGTTAGCTTGCGTGGAAAGCCTGGTGCAGCTTCTGCCTCTCGACCCTTTCGACTCTTGATGGAAAGAAAGGATGAGTCGAAGTGGAGAGACAGAATGAGCGCAGAGGATATCGCTCTACTCACTCTGGTACTTGTTCTGCGCCTGCAGGATGTCGAAGAAGTTCAGGCCGGCCGCGTACACGTCGACGAGCACCTGGCTGCCCGTCGCCTTGGGCGGGGCAATGTCCGAGCTGCTGTCAGCTATCGCTTCTTCCAGCAAGCTTACACTTTCTGCACCTGGGGGTGGCCGTGGGTCGTGATCTGAAGAGCCTTCATGGTGTCGGGGTCGTAGGGAGTATGGAAGCACGATTGGAGGTGCACTGCGGACCTTTGAAACTATATCACCCCCACCAGGTAACGTATCACGGCTACAAGAGGTGGGCGCCGCCCGGTTACTTAACCGCGAAACAAAGGGTCGGCGAGCCCCGCCCGGCCATGTCCGGATATTACGGTGGAGATCACCACCAGGCACTCCAACTAAATGTGCCCTCACCTCAACATGCAAGGACATTCCAAGGTGCAAGGGTATACATATAGTTTTACTATGAATCCGGCTTCGACACTGCATGCGCCACGCCACTGTCTACTCCTCGTCCGACACGTCGTGGTAGCCCGCGCGGCGCATCTCTCCGAGACGCCTTCGGGCGGCACCGAGGTCCTTCTCGAGCTTGAGGATCTCGACCTGCTGCTCGACCTCGCGGATCTTGAACTCGTGGCTCGGCATGGCCTTGTAGTCCACGACCTCGTCGTCCGTCTTCTGGTTGCTGATGAGCTTGACCTGCTTCACGAGCGCCTTGCATGCGTCCGTGACCGCCTTGGACGCGAGCTCGAGGTTCTGCTGCGCCTTGGACATGAGCGACGCCTTGACGCGGGACGCGGCGACGAGCTGCGCCGTGGCGGCCGCGACCTCGTTGGCCGCAACAATCAGCTGCTCGAAGCTGTGCGTGCCTGAGATGACGCCGTCGGCGCTCTCGATCAGCAGCGAGGTCGCGTACGCCACAGCCTTGGCCGCACTGATGAGACCTTCAGTCCAGCGGTTGTTGCGCTTGTAGAACTGCTGCACACTGCTCGAGCCCTTGCCCTCGCGCACAATCTCTTCCTGCGACTCGGTCGCGGCCTGGATGAGACGTCCAATCGCGTTCGCAATCTGCTGCGTAGCGTCCAGGATCGAGTCGTGCACGCTGACGTCGAGCATGTCGAACTTGCTCTTCGGCCGGGCGCGGAGTGCGGCGAGGCGCTCGGTCGCGGCCGAAATGGCGCGCGCGGCATTCTCCATCTCCTGGTTGACGAGGTCGCCGAGGTCGCCCGTAAGCTTGAGCTTGGATTTGGGGATGGTCGCCTCGACGGCGTCGGTCAGCTTGGACAGGGCATTGCGGGTCTCGGCGTTGTTGCGCAGGGCAATCTCCTCCTTGTTTCCACCGCCGATGAGCTTGTAGGACTGGAGGTTCAGGAAGAAGCGCTGCGTCACATCACCCGCGAGCTTGGCGACCTTGACAAGCTTGTCGCTAGCGTCATCCGACTCGGACAGGCGCGTGATGCCCTTGGTCGCGAGGAGGGTCTCGAAGACGGCCTGGGCAAACTCATTGGCCGACTTGATTACATCGACGTAGCCGCCACCACTCTTGCGGTTCAAGTACAGGTTGAAAGTGGTCGCAAACTCGGTCGCGTTCGTCATGGCCTTCTCGATCATGGACAGCGTGTACTGCGGGGTCGCGGTCGTGTTGCCGGTCTGCATCGGCGCCTCGAGCTCGTAAATGGCGTCGTCGACCTTCTGCACGCACGCCTGCAGGATCGAGTCGATGATGGCGTTGAGCTCCTTGCGGTGGTCGAGGATGAGGGTGTCGACCTGGGCGTCGAACGTCGTCGTCGTCTCGCCCTGCGTGAGGCGCAGCTCGCCGAGCTCCTTGAGCGTCTGGTCCATGCCTTCCTGCATAATGGCAAGCTCCTGCTCCTTCTCGTCGAGCTGACGCGCGAGGTCGCCTTCCTTGCTGTCGAGCTTGGAGAGGAGCTCGTCGATCTGCACCTGCTTGCCGCGGAGCGAGTCCTCGAGCTCGCTGATCTGCCGGTTGTACTTGGACATGACGTGCGAGACCTCGGAGCTCTTGTCGCGGGCCGAGTCCTCGGCACGCTCGTTGGCGAAGCGCAGCTCGCGCTTGACACGGTCCAGGTCCTCCTTGGCGGACGACTTGGCACGGTCAAGCTCGTACCGGGCGCGGTCGCGCTCGCGGATCATGTCAGCCAGCTCGAGGTTCTTGGCCTTAACGTCGCGCTCCATGCGCTCCATCTTGTCGATCGCCTCCTGTGCCGAGTTGGCCTTCAGCTGGAAGCCCTTGCTCTTGTTGAGCAGGTCGAGGTGCTCGCCACGCAGCTGCGAGTACAGCTTAGCAAGAGCCTCGTACTTGTTCTTCCAGACCTCGATCTGCTTCTGCAGCTGCGCAATGAGCTCGTCCTTGGCGTTCATCTGCGCCGAGACGTTGTTGGTCGTCATCTGCAGCTGGTTCTCGAGCGCCTTGCAGCGGTTCTCGTACTGCTCGAGCATCATCTGGTCACGCTCGTACTGTCCGCGGGCCGCGAGGTTTTCACGCTGCAGCTGCTCAAGCAGACCGCTCTGCTGGTTCTGCTGCGCCCACTGCGAGTTCATCTGGTCGCGCATCAGCTGCTCGTGAGCCTGACGCTCGCGCTCCTGCTGTTGCCGCTGAAGCTCGGCGAACTCAGCCTCCTGGCGTGCCTTCTCATCCGCCTGCCTCTTCTCCTCGGCCTCGCGCTGCGCGACGAGAGCCTTCTGCTTGCGCTCGTACTCCTCCAGCATGCGGCGCTGCTCCTCAATCTCGCCGGCCGTCGCCGACGGCGAGTCTGTCCGCGGGATCTCCTTGGGCGTCTCCTTGCGCTGTGGTCGCTGAGGAATCTCGGGTCCGTCCTCAGGTCCCGAGATGCGGAGGTTGGGCGGCTCCTGGCCAAGCTTCGGGACATTGATCAGGCCCGTGAGGTACTTGAGGTTGGAGCACTCATAGTAGAAGCGGCGGAGGTTGTAGTGCTGGTGGTTGTAGCGGTCCTGGAGAGGAACGAGGGCGTCCGGGGCGTCGGTACGGCGGAACATGGCGCGCATCATGCTCGTGATGAACTTGTAGATACCGAAACTCTCCTTGACGAGGGGGACGAGGGCGGAGATGCGGCACTCATTGTTGTTGGAGCCGCGGAAGTGGGCAAAGATGAGCTTCTGGAACGAGTCGATCTGGTCCTGGAGCGCCATGAGGTCGGTGATCGTCTCGTAACCCTCGTTCGGGTCGTCAATGTTCTTGAGCGAGATGTACTCCTCGTACTCGAAGAGTCCGTTAAACTCGGGGTGGTGGCGGTGGAAGCGGAGCTTAGACAAGAGGAACGCAGTGTACGCGCGGATCAGGGCGCCGTAGCCCTTGACGCCGTCGCCTCCGACGGTGCGTCCGCACGTCTCGATCCATCCCGTCTGACCGTGGGCCTCCTTGAGCGTCTGCCGAAGTCAGCGATCGGCAAATGTCGGCAAGGCTGAGCGAGGTGGAAGGTCCGCAATCGATCGGTGCCCCCACCTCACACGACCGGACTTACGACAGGGTGTCCCTCCTGGAGCAGCTTGTGCACGAGGATGAGCGCCTTGAACGTCTGCACTTCGTCCGTCAGGATGGGCTGGGTACGCAGTCCATTCCACACCGACAGCGACGAGTGGTAGTCCCAAGTGTAGACGATGCACTCTGGCCGTTAGCTTCTAGATTTGCAATTCCGCATCCGCAGCCGAGGTGTGCTCGGCGCATCGCCATCGCGGTCTTGGGATCTCGCCCACTCACTTCGTACGTGCTTCTGCTCTGTCGGGGGTCAGTTACTATTCGACTACGGAATAGCTGGACATACTGGGAGCAGTCTCCTCCGGACTCGTAGCCTTCTTGATGTTCAGGCTGAGCTCGGCCTCCGTCTTTTCCTTGTCGACTGGCCGGGTTGGCTGATGGCCCGGGCCATGGGGGCGATACCCCGGCCCGTCGTCATAGTCCTGAGCGTTGCGACCACGGCCGAACCTGTCTGTCAGCTGAAGTTACACACGAATTTAGCTGGATTCCGGAGGCACTCACATACTGGCCATGGTATGAGCTAGAGTCGGGAACGAGCGGTATCGATAATGAAGCGATGCGTAGGTATCGTTGGATCGGGGGATGACCGGTGGGTCGGGCCTCTCTATGACGTGGGTTGGGGGGATAGGCGAATAGGTGGATAGTAGGCGCGCGTGATCGGCGGCGGTGCACGCGGACCCGGGCGTGCCTAAACGACCTCCACGTCCAACGTCCACCCAGCCCGAACATGACAGTGACGAGGTTGTCCTGACGTCGTCTTCACCACCGACACGAAAACAAGCAGCAAGCATGGCGTCCTACGCGCCCGTCGCCTCTGACCCGCAGACAATGTCCGTTCACTCGCCGCCTTCTTAACTGACCGTCAGCCAGCCGGACGACGATGACCTCGACGCGCTGTCGTTCGCGCCGCAGCCGGTCGAGCCTGCCCCTGCGCCTTCACCAGCGGTCTCGGGGCGGATAGGCTCGGCGCCGCGGACGACGAACGAGACGTGGGGTGGCGTTCGTCTCGAAACGAGGTATACAGGCGAGAGCACGCTTGACGAGCCCGTCAGCACTACCATCGTGAGCTGCTCCGGTAGTGCTGCAATCGAGCTGACCTCAGATGCGCGATCTTCGCAGCATCTACGCCAAGCTCCTCCAGGTGCTCTACCCGCCAAAGGGAGGAAGCCAGCAGGCGCTTCGAGACTGGGACCTCTGGGGACCGCTCGTCATCTGCCTCTCTCTCGCCATTACGCTCAGCCTTGATGTGAGTTACGAACATGATGTTGTAACTGACAACAGTCGCCGAAAGAGCAGTCGATGCAGGTCTTCTCCCTCGTCATCTCGCTTGTCACCATTGGCTCTGTCGTCGTCACTATCAACTCGAAGCTGCTCGGCGGCAAGGTGTCCTTCTTCCAGTCGCTGTGCGTGCTCGGGTACGCGCTCGCGCCACTGCTGCTTGCGTCGATCGTGGCACTGCTGCTCCACAACCTCTTCGTGCGCGTGCCGGTGTCACTTGTGTGCTTCGGCTGGAGTGTGTGGGGTAAGTCCAGCTCTCTGTACCGACAACCCAAGCTGACGTGCAGCGTCGATGAACTTCTTCAACGGAACAGGCCTCCCCGACTCGCGGACACTGCTGGCAGTGTACCCGCTGTTCCTGTTCTTCTTCGTCCTGTGCTGGATGATCATGATCCAATAGACTGCTTCTTCGACAAGAGGAGAAGCCATGCATTTCTAATATTGTACACAGGTCTAGGTTCAAAACGTGGCTTCGTCTATTACTATCGCTCGTCGCTCATTAATCCATGATCAGGTCTCCGTCTGGCTCCCGCTTTCTGTCCCGGGCCGTCGCATCGGTGTCAGTGGTACTTCGCCGTGACGGGCTCCTGATGCTGTCGTGCGTGTTCTTCCGCGACGGGCTCAGCACACCGGCGCTTGTGTCACCCGAAGTCGACATCTTGCGGCCTGGGGTGCCCTCCCTTCCCGACGCCTTGCGTGACGGGCTGCGAGTGGACTCGAGAGTTGACTTGCGAGAAGCACTCGGGCTGAGAGTCGCCTTGCGTGCGGAAGGGCTCAGGACACCGCCACTGAGGCTCGACTTGCGCGAAGGTGGGCTGAGCACGGCCGAATCGTGCGTCGCCTGTCGGGATGGGGCGACAGGGCTCGGGGGAGCGTACGAGATGGTGCTCGGACGCTTGTCACCCTCGCGCCTCTCCTCACGCGTCGTCTCGCGAGACAGCGCTTCACTGTCCATCGTATTACGACGCGATCGTACCGGCACGGCCGTGATTGTCGTTCCGGGAGCGAGGAGATCGTCCTTCAGAGTCTCGTGCTCAGGCTCCAGGGGTGTTTGTCGGCATTCGCTGTCCTCGTCGATGTCGATTAGGTTCGAGGAGCTCCAGTCCGCCGGGTGCACCCCTGGGCCTTCCATTCCGCCCCACACTCCGACGTTTCGTGGCGCCTCTGGCCATCTCGGCGGCGCCGCCGGCCGCAGGCCGTCACGCGAGTAGATGAGCAAATACGGTCCGCCGTCGGTGAACTGGCCTGTCGAGTCGGACGAAATCTCCTCCCACGTAACCTGTCTGTCAGCTCGTTTCCGGGTCCTCGTAGCTCACCTTCGTCGCCTCGACTCCTCCAATCTTCCACCACTGGTCTCCTTCTTTAACGTAGGAGTAGAGATGCTTCCCGGGTGTCAGGAAGCCGTCATGCCACATCACAGCGCGGAGGAGATACTGATCGTCAGCTTGTTGCGAGGGAAAGAAAGCTCACTCGATGTTGCGTCTTCTCTGGCTCGTCTGTCTCGAAGAGAGCTCCAGACGTCTGCTTCTCCTTCTCCTTGATCTCCTCCTGAAGTTTCGTCGTCTTCTCGTTCAGCTTCTCAGCGATCTTCTCCAACTGCGCCGTCAGCTCACATCAACGATATGCCAGCTTACCTTCGCCTTCAGCTCCGCTCTTGACTCCTTCTGCACCGGGTCCGAGGAGGGGCTGTTGGCCATATGCTTTACGAGTCTGACGTCAGCTTACTGCTGGGAATCGGGGAGCTTACGTTTGAATAGCATCGGAGATGTTGTTCCCCTGGCTCGTCAGCAAAAGTTCGGAACGCAACACCAACCTTGTAGTTTGACAGCGACTCAACCTTCTCTCTGAGGCGTGCGAGCTCCGCCTCCGCGAAGTTCTGCTCCGCGCGGACCCGCGTCACCCAGCTACGGTTGTGGTGCAGGTACCTGTCTAGCACAATTGTCTCATCGAGCTCCCACTGCGGCGCGGGGAAGCCAGGACTGCGGTGCAAATGCACAAACTGCACGTCACCGAGCGCCTCGACGCCCTCGCCACCGCCTCCGCCGGGACTCGTGCCCCAGATTAAGCTCGAAAGCGCCGCGTGCAGGTTGGTCGGCTGGTTGAAGCCGCGCTCAAACATCACATACGGGTGCGGCTCGTCCGGGTTGATGTGTAGTGATGTAGCGACGAGTCTGACGTCAGCTTCGAGGGGACATCGTCTTAGCTCACTGGTCGGGTCCGTGCTGCCAGTCGCTGACGACATCACTCTTAAAGTCGATCAACTGCTCGCGGTTGCGCCCCACTTGTCCCAGCACCTTGAGGAGACCCGGCAGCCATTCACCTGTTCGTCAGTGAGTGCTGGACATCGCACGGAACACAGCACATACCCGTGATGTTAGCGTAGACGGTGGACGTGTTCGGGTTGGTGTAGTTGTGCTGGAACAGGTCGAGAGCTGGATCGATAACCTCGTACGTCACCTTCTCCGTATCCTGCAGCTTGAACAGCTCCTGAATAATCTCGAGCTCGTGCCCCTCGGTCTTCCTCAGTTCTCCGGAGGGGTCGTCGGTCTTCCAGTCAATGGCGGCAAGCACCTGCCTCAGTTGCGGAATGGCAGCCAGCGCCTGAATCATCTGCACCGTGCTAGGGGGATGTTTCAATGTGACGTAGACAAGCGGTCTGTTGGGTTAGCAGGGCACCCATTCGCACACCCACTGTCCGTCTTCTCGCTCGCCGGCTGGGGGAAGCTCCTCAGCGGCTGCGCTGCCGGTACTGTGGAAGCTAGCAGTCATCATGCTCTCCTGGATGGCGCGCTGGAAGTCTTCTTCCTCCTTGTTCGAATTCGAGGCCGCATTTGGCAGCGCGACGGCGAGCTTATTGTCCGGGTCGTCTTTGTTCGTCGGGCCGAAGAAGGGCACGCCGTCGAGCGGATCCGGCTGCTCGACGCCCGGACTCGGTGGCGGCGCCGAAGCACGGACGTGCCGCGTGTCGTCGTCTGGTCTCCTCGGCGGCGGAGGCGGTATCGCAGGCAGCTGCCCCATTTGCTGCGCGAAGGGGTTGTTGCTCCCGAACGCGGGGCGGTCGTTCGCAGGCGAGGGCGCTGTCATGTTAGCTGGACAGAGCCATTGACGAAGCTTACGTGGTTGCGGCGCTGTCACATAATCTGGAGGAGGGGGAGCGTGTGCTGGCGGCTGCCACTGTTCTGTCAGCTAACTCAATCAGCGCTCAGCTTACATTCTCGCCCTCCCCGAAGACCCAGTTGATCGCGGCGTCGACCGAGCCAAACATGGTCGAAGCGGCGTGCGACTTGGCGGGGTCGACGCCCATGTCGATGAGTGCCTCGCGCACTTCGTCAGAGGACGACATGGCGGCGAACTCTTATTGAGGATAGGCGACCAGCGAAGTAGATGAACACAAAGGAAGGCAAGATAACAGGTTTACGCATCCGGTAAGCATCCCAGTAACCTAGCGGCGGACGACATTGCGGCTCTCATGTGCAGTGACGACACCAAGCGCGCCAGGCACGCGGTTTGGTTCCGGCGGCTTCACTTCGCAGTTCAGCTTCAGCCATGACCATCACCTTTGTTCGAGCTGGTCAGGCCAAAATAATCTCATCAACCCCCCAATCCCATTCGCCTAGCAACCATGTCTGCAGTCGCCGGCCCGTCGACCAAGCCCGTCACCATCACGTACTGTGCCGTGTGCACGCTTCCGACCGAGTACTGCGAGTTCGGCCCGAGCGTGAGCAAGTGCAAGGCGCACCTCCAGGAGACGGACAAGGAGGAGTACGAGCGCGTGTGGGGCGACAGTGAGCTAACTTGTACTCGTAGTCTAGCTGACAGCAGGCACGCTCGCGTCACGTATTGGAACGCTCTCGCTCGAGAAGCAGGAGAAGCTCGAGGCCGACGCGGCCAAGCTTGAGAAGAAGGCGGAGAAGAAGGCCGAGCAGGAGGCGGCCAAGAAGCAGGCGACTAAGGTTTGTGTCTTCCCTCATATCAGCTGTGGGCGGCTGAACAGGTAAGCTGACCCCCAGATTATCATCAAGCGCAGCGAACGCACGAAGCGCAAGCAGCAGACGCATATCCAGAACCTGGAGCTGTTCGGAATCGAGCTGAAGGCGGCCGCCAAGCTGTTCGCGTCCCGATTCGCGACGGGATCAAGTGTGTCCAAGAACCCGCAGGGCCAGGATGAGATCGTCGTGCAAGGAGATGTTGGTGATGAGATTGTGAGTAATGCTGCTAATGATTTGAGTTCGTTTAGCTGACAGTTCAGGTCGAGATGATCAGGCAGCAGAAGGGTGTCCTGAAGGGTGCGCCGGTGGACCAGATTGAGCGCGTCGTCGTCAAGAAGAAGAAGGAGCCTGAGCCTGAGGCTTAGAATGTCTCGCCATGAGCACTCCTACCATTAGATGGATTATCTTAGATGCAGCGACCCCCCCTATGATCGAAAACGTGATGGTACAATCTAATCCATGTTCTATATGCGTACAGTCTAACCAAAGATGTTTCCCAAAACCGAGTCCATGCCCTTCGCCTCGAGTCCGTGAGCGCGATCGACAACCTCGCGCTGCTTGTACGCGCGCTTCGCCTTGCTGTTGTCCTTGGGCGCGGGGACGGGCTCGCCCTCGGCCGCCTTGGCGGCGCGCTTCTCCTCGCGCTTCTTGAGCGAGTGCGCCAGCTCGACGTTCTTGAGGTACGCGTTCTGTTCCGTCTTGGAGCGCTGGATCTCGTTGCGCAGGCGCGACTGGTGCACGTTGCGTTCGTACGCTGAGCGTTAGCTTGAAAGTCACAGCAAGCCAGCTGGGCACGGGTAGAAGCATGGAAGGGGAAGGGAAGAGAGGAAGAAGACACTCACCGACCTGCTCGCCGAGCATCTCCCACTTGAACCCGCTCAGATATTTCATCGTCCAGATATCGTCGCGCCACTTGTCACCGGGCCGTCCGCCGATCGGCTGCGCGTTCATCATGCTCGCGGCGAGCTTGGCAATAGACTTGTCAAGGTACTCGACCCACGCCTCAGTGTAGTTGGCCGACTGGTGTCGCTTCTCCTTCTTCTTCTCATGATGCGGGTTGTATCCCGTGGGCGCTGGGTGTCAGCTAACGAGTCCCGGTGGCCAGCTGCCTCCCTGCCAGTGTGGGAGGGTGTGAGTGACTTACCATCCCTCGGCTGCGCAAACACTCGCCCGACCTCGCCCCAGTGCTCCATCAGATGCCGCACCTTGTGCGGCGTCATGCCCGGCGGTATCCTGGAGATGTACACGATTCCGGGCGTCTTCTTCTTCTTCTTCTTGATGCTGCCGTCGGCCGACTTGCGCTTCTTCTTGTTGTCTTCCTCGTCGTCGCCCTCGGCGTAGAGAGGAGGGAGCTTGGGCGTGATAGTCGAGGGACCGGCCTCGGTCGAGGCAGCCTCCTCTGTCGTGGTGCGCGCACGCTTCTCCTTGACGGCCTTCGGCATTGTGCTGGGCTGATATGAGTCGGCGACGGAGCTGAGGGTTTGAATGCGAGAAAGATCTGTTGTTGCGGACGAGCGGCTATGACGAACCCGCTGCTCAACTTTTCTGGCGCCACGTGGTGAGATGTCTTGCCACCGACATTGGAGTCACGTGATACCACATTCTCTATTCTCCCACGGGTGCGTACAGACACACGGTATGCAGTTTGGAAGCAGGCTGAATCAGGAACAGGCATGCCTGTGGTACCTCTGTACCTGTGCGGGCACCAACAAGGTCAGCTGACGTTCTTAGTGCGCACTTTGGAAGAGACAAGCTGAATCGCAGCTTCCCCTGCGGGCCCTGCGGGCTACGCTGATGCAGGGCGTGCAGGACAGGGTGGTGCACATGTCAACAGAGCAGTCATCGTACGAGTTTCAACCTCCAACTCACGCGTTCCCAGACAGCCGTCGTGATCCCCTAACGTTCGTTGCGTGTGCACACTAAGGTTATGCCTGGGTACCGTCGATGTACGTCGTATGGGACACCGGAATGCCCAGCTTTGCGTAGCTTGGGATCAGTCCGCAGCCCGCCTGTCGCATGATCTCAGCAAGGCGTAGCCGCCTGCAACCGATCTCGGAATCAAGCAGACGTCGACGTGCGCACTCGCGCCAACTTGGCACGGAGAGCGTCATGTGCCAAAGGTGCCACCTCGGACGCTGGCCGTTCAAGACTGATTGACGAGGAATGTGAGATCGGGTGGCGAGCTCCACTGCGCGTATTGTGCAAGACGTTCGCTTCTGCATCCGCGCGTACGTACTGCTCCTCTGCTTGTAGGTGAGCCCGCGCGCGGGGCCGCGGAGGGAGGGGTGGGTTCCCCACAATCCGAAGCGAGTGAAGGTTGCAGCATTGCTCTACGCTGAAACCCTGTGCGGTGAGCATCTCAAAGGCCCAAGGTTCCCCCAAAGGACTCCGCGTATCGGAGTGTTGGTATGATGATCGACGGCGTGACGGACGGGATGGATATTGTCCTGTGCGTGTCCTGCGTGTCCTGCGTGTGCTGCGTCCTAACCCCACGCCGTGTCCGTGGACTGGCCTCGGGTGGTATAACCCCACTGCAGCGTACCGTTGCCATTCAGCTCTCCGTGAGGTGTGACCGTCCATTGTGCACGGTGCAGAACGGTGCAGAACGGGGAGCCTGGGGGGTCGCGGAGTGCTCGATCTCTCTCGGGCCTGGCGATTCGGAGGCAGAATGGTCAGCTGACGTCGTGAACGCATAAGTGGGTTAAGCTTTGGAAACTCTTGGCCCAACTTTCCGTTGGTCGGAGGATGGAGCACCGCATGCAGCAATACGCGCTTTACGCTGGGACCTGAGATGAAGTCCGCATTGTTCGGAACGAATTGACCTGGTGTCTATTTGCAGGCGCATTGTCAGGTCCTTACGGCTCCTTCATAGTCAGGTTCATGGAGCTGGTGGAGCGTCGCTGAGCAGAATCAGAAGCTGGCGGAACCGGTGCTGCCTCGGAGTGCTATTGGTTCATTGCATGGCAGTGCATGTGGTGGCGCTGAATGGCGATCGGATCTGCGCCGCGGAGCCTTAGTTCTCTGACGTACAGAAGGACGCATGGCCGAGCGAACGCCGCCGTTGGGGACGCTTCTGTGAGCGGCTCCACTTGCCTGTTTCCAAGTGAGGAGCCAAAACTCTCTGCAGAGAAGTGACATTCTGTGCCGTCTCGAGTTTCGAGAACGGGGATTGATGCGGAGTCACACTGATAGGCTCAAGGAACGGCGTGTCATGTTGAACTGTGTCGAGTCCAGAATCAGTGTCACCTCATGCTGCTGATGCACCGACGGGCCTTCGTCGACCCAGTAGTCAGCAATTGCATCAACGCGGCTGCCAGTGTCGTGCCAGCCTCGTGCGGCCCGGCCGACGACAACGCCGCAGAGCCGTCCACTGTAAGTCATTGACGCCGCAATTTCAGTTTCGTAAACGTGCATTAGAATAACTATGACGTTTCTCTCCGGTGCTGGGCGGGCGCCCGGCGGGCCGTGGCAGCGGCAGCGCGGCACGGAGGGAGTGACGACAATTCAGACCCTCGTCACCACCACTGTACCAGGCTTGTGGTAATCGTGGACCCACGGCCGCCATGATTATGATTGCATCCTTGACGCGGGTTGGCTCGGCTTCGGGCTTGTTCAACAAACAATGGCAGCCGTCGACGGGTATACGACGGGTTATACTGCAACGATCGTGCGCGCTTTTGAGAGCGGCGTTTAGAATGCTGGTCGAGACGTCTCGATCCGGACTGAATGTCAGCCGGACCGTGGTCAGCAGATGTCCCTCGTCGCTCGTCAGCGCTCGTCATGCATTGACTGCCGAGTGGGGGAGCGCCGCAGCATAAATCCAGGAATTATCGATAGTCTACTGTGCCACAGCACCCCCCTCGCTACACGACCCGTCTACCAGCTTCCTCGCAGCAACAACATTGTGCCACTGCGTGAATATCAAAGGTCACGCGTCGTAGCCTCGTTTAACTCGAAAGCACACCGACACATCTGATCGTCCCTGCGCCGAAATCGGCCCAAGCGCACAGTCAACGGAGACGGACTACCGAGCGTGCCGAGTTTGGGTCGACCGACTCAACGGACGAGACGTTTTCCACTGGCCCACCCCTGGGTCAATACTTCAAGCGACGTAAAGTAATCTCGCACCCTGCCCTGCATCGACGTGGTGGATTTTCGAGTACGGCGTGACTCGAGAGTTGATTTTCACGTTTTTACCCCGCAACGCCACACATCAAACCTAAGCCTCTAGTGATAGACGGGATCCCGTCGTGACGCCGCATCCCATCCTTTGGTCCCCCTCGTTAGAGTCAGAGCACGCTACTGCGGCCAAGAATTTTTGTGTATTGCACCAAGGCGCAAGCGAGAGAGATAGCACGGAGATACAAAGCGCAATTCAGAGCGATCCACACGTGCATTCGGATCTGAGCTCAGAGTCTGCAGGTACGTCAAGGCGTGGGATCGGTGCGACTGATCCGAAGACCTGTTCCGAAGTTTCCCGCTGATCAGCAGGCCGCATTTGTCTATCGCTCCACAACGGTCGCCGAGTGACCGCATCGCAGCAGATCGCACACACACACAAGCGGCCACGTTCTCGTTGTGATTTGCTCCCCGTTAATCACAGAGTCGCAGGATCGCACGCAGATTGCGAGATTTTGGAGTCGAACCCAACCCTGGCCGAGCCCTGAACACGCCTGGGGTCCTGAGTGCCCGAACGATTAGTTGCTTGGCACGAGGCAGCCCTCTCCTTGGTCGGATCCTCAGCCCTCGCAACAAGTCCTGGGAAGCTTACGCTTGCGGTTGTAAGCTTGGACTCAGGACAGAAGCCAGTCGAACCCTCAGACTGTCCGTGTGTTTCGTCCGCCGATTACTCGCACCACGCACCACCCCGTTGCCTGCCCGCTGGTCTCAGAGGTCTTAACGGATCCAGGACAGCAAGGAATATCAGGAATCCAGCAGACGCTATTCCTGCACCCTGTCCTTTCGGCGCACCGCACTTGGCCGGCGGCGGACCCGTGACCGGTGTGACCCGTGACCTTGACCTGCGACTGTGACCTCCTCGTCCCTCCACCGTTGCCCTCAACCTCAGACCTCCACTTGCCAGGGGTGCTGGGGTCCTGTGCCTTGTGTACCTGCCGTACCTCAGACGTAGTGCACAAGCCGTAGCCCAAGCACGCAACCCTCCGATCCCCTTCAGTCCCCTCGACTCCCTCAGGCGGCGTGCGCCCCATCCGTCTGCCGTCTGCCGCCCCCCGCCCCTGACCCTGGACCTCCATCGGCCATCTCCCCCCGAATCCAACTGCCGTCTCCGTTCCTCGATCCTCACTCTTCCTCGATTGACTCACTCACTGCACCGACCCTCCCTCCTCCTCCGCCCGAACCCACACTCGCTCTACTCATATTGCTATTCCTCCTCGCACTCTTTCGCTCTCTCTCTTTCTCTTGCTCTATTCCACCCCCACCCTCTTCCTTCCTTCTTCTCAACCTCGCACTCATCCTCGAAATCGCCTTCACACAGTCACCTCCACTCTCTCGGTCCGACTTAATTCTTTTCGACTACTCTCACACCCAAAAGTATCACTACTGCCCGATACAACCCCCGCTCGCACTTCGAACCACAATCAACTTTCGACAACCCATCGACGGCAGTAACTCGACGTGGCTGCCTCGCTACTTTGGAATAGGTACACCCTGTGCGACACCTACCTAAAACAAGACTCGCAAACATGGGCTGGTTCGAGTACTACTTCCCGTGCTTTGCCTCGTACAGCCCCGCGGCGAAGGAAGGCGGCGACGTAAGTTCTACAATAGCAGCCACCGCGGCCACGGCGCATCTGGCTTGGGATCTCCATTCCGACACATGGTGTCTGACAATCTTTCCAGGCTTCTGAAGGCGACCGCCTCATTCCGCCCGCTCGCGAACGCGCACAGTCGATTACTTCGCAGGAAGGGTACGGCACCATGAGCATGTCCTCCCAACCTCCGGTGACCTCCGTCAACACGAACGCTGCCACCTTGACGGAGCAGCAGCGCGAGCGCATGGCCGAGATCAGTCGGGCCGCAGGCAAGTGAGTTGTGCATTCCGATTCCTAGACTCTCCGTGATCATTCCGAACACTACCTCGGGGCCGAATCTTGCTTGATCTTGAACGGCCCGTGGCTGCGCGCAATTGCGCGATAGCCGTCAGCAGTGATGTGCAAATGGGGGCCCACCACCGCCATCCATTGTGTGTCGCAGGCAGCTGGGCAGTGCAGCGACGCGGGCAATTCATGGTTGCATACCGATGATGACTACCCCTCCATTCCGTTTACCGGCGGGCATAATGCGAGGGCAGGTGGCACCCTGACGTCGACGCGGTGTTCTACCGTGCCTCCATGCCTGGTTGCCTTGCGTTCCAACCTGTGACCTGTTGTGCGATCTGGGCTGGCCATGCTAACTTACTCAGCCATATGCGGCCGATTGGCAACTACATCGCTGGAACCGGACGTAGCATCAAGGTCGGAACGAACAGCGGACGATCCGTGTCCCCTTCGCCCTCGGACTGCTCGCGCTCGCCCTCGCCCGCATCGTCGCGCCGATCCCCTGAGCGACGTCTGAGCTCCCCTAGCCCTCCCCCTTCTTCCACCAACAGCTCTGCTTCAGGCAATGGAAGCCCCGAGGTCGTGCGCAAATCGATCTTTGGCCTCGACGGCCCCGTCATGGCTGGTGGCAGCCAGCGACGCCGCTCGTCTGGCCCGAAGCGCAAGGCCGCCGCCAAGCGAGGATAAACCCGTTCACGACTTTCTTAATCCGATACCCGTCCGCCATCCCGAACTCGTTGAGCGAGCTTCGATTACCAACGATGATATTAACGACTCACATCAACAACCTTTGGCATCAACCTGTATCCTCTAGTCTCGTTTTAGAAGAAGATAGACTTGCACCCGTCATCCGTCAACCACTCGTCCTCTCTCGTCACACAAGCCAAAATTACGACCAAAGAATCCTGTACAAGTGCTGCGTCCCCGTTTCCTGTCTCCAGTTGTTTAGTTAAAACCCCACCACCCTTCCCACCCTCAATCGCAACACCACATTCTTTGTACTTGAGTCACGAACTCGTCAAGAAGCTCATCCACCGCCCAGCTCTGACCTGACACCACGGCTCTCCCCTCCAATACAACCACCTAACACATGCATTTACAATCCGCATCATGCTCAGCCACAGTAGTCACCGCAGTGCCACTGTGTCGCATCCGTTGCACGCTGCGAGACACGACGAGGTCAGGTGCACCGCATGACCAAGCCAGAACACCAACAATTGGATCCGGCTCAGATTCTTTGGGGCAGCGCAAGGCACAGGATGTTTGGCATGTGATCTCTGACACAGCGTACCGGCGGTATCCGATGTGTGTCAGGCAGGAATGCGCGCAGCTGAAGTTTATCTACGCCGGCCGGGTCGGCCGTCTGCTGTGTGTAGAGTGGTTGCAATGGTGTGTGCGTGGGCCGCGGTGGCGGCCTGGGTGTAACTGGGTGGCGGGTCAAAGCAGTGGCACAGTGGGTTGCTTGAGTGGCGCAGTGACGTAAGATGGACAGGCTTACGCTTTCGATCAGAACGGGCGTTTTCCTGGGCGGATGGCACCCGACCCTGGATTGCGGGGAAGCTGGACAGTGAGAAGCGGGGTATGCCAAGCCATACGCTTTCTGCGCACGTGTAGAAAGGATTAGCTCCCGCCAAGCGTCAGCCAGCGTCAAGCCACCGACGTCTGCCGACGTAAGCGACCAATGCCGCCTGGACAGCTGAGATGCTGCGATCTGCGAGGCTGAGAAGCTGAAGAAGAGGGCCATTACGTTGTGGCGGTCCAAGCTTTCGCAGACTAATGAAAATGGGGTCTAGCAGTATTAGACTTTCAGATTTACTTCCGCTCCATGAGGACTAAGTGTAAGCCACCCCCACCCAGCTCCAGATAGCGTCCGCTCGAAGCGCGGAGGCAATTCCACGCCCTTCTCGCTTGGCCCCGTTCCCACTCACGTGACTAAGCATCGGTCTATTTCCAGCGGTCAACCGGAGAGACGCCCCCAGTCCGCCCCCCGGCTCTAGACTCCGGCGGCCAGAGCCGGTCGGACGAACTCAATTCCATGTTCGGCTCCTGGACAACTTCGATCAAAAAAGTTGGTTTAGTTCGCCGCAACTTTCCTCCACACTCAACAACTATCGACATGTCGACCGAGACCATCACGCTCCAGGCGCCTGCTGAGTACGTATTCTGCTGTAGTTGCTGAGGACTCTGCGCGCAGCTATCTCTGAGCTTGTGGACATGGCTTGCTGCGGTGTCTAAGCTCAGCGGCGAGCCGTCGTTGTGGCCGAGGCGCACTGCGGCTCTGTGGTTCACCGGCACGCGAGATGGCTATACCCAACTGTCCCTGCGCTCGCAATGATAGAGCTAACGGCAGCTACCACGTGCACGTCCGCCAGGGACCGATGTGCGAGCTCGTGACGCCGCACGTCGCCAAGGGCGGCATCCGCACCGCGTACGTGATGGTAAGCTGCCCTGCGAAATGTATGCCTCCAAGCTAACAGACCAGCCCAACCTCGTCCCGCCCCTTACGAAGACGGAGCGTGTGCTCGAGTACAAGGCGGAGCTTGAGCGCATCGACCCCAGCGTCGAGTGGCTGATGACGCTCTACCTCCATCCCGAGGTGACGCCCGAGGAGATCCGCAAGGCAGCCGCGGCCGGCATCCGCGGCGTCAAGTCGTACCCGCGCGGCGTGACGACCAACTCCTCGTCGGGCATCGAGGATTACAGCGTGTACTACCCCGTCTTCGCGGCTATGGAGGAGTGCGGCATGGTGCTGAATCTGCACGGCGAGGTTCCCAGCGACGCGGAGAAGAACATCAGCATTTTGAATGCCGAGAAGCACTTCCTGGCGCACCTCGAGAAGCTGGCTGCCGACTTCCCAAAGCTCAAGATCGTGCTCGAGCACGCGACCACGGCCGAGGCCGTCGAGACCGTCAAGAAGCTCGGCCCCAACGTCGGCTGCTCCATCACTGCGCACCACCTGTATCTGACAGTGGACGAGGTCGCGCCCCAGCCGCACCACTTCTGCAAGCCCCTCGCCAAGGAGCCGCGCGACCGCAAGGCGCTCCAGGACGCCGTTCGCAGCGGCAACCCCAAGTTCTTCCTTGGCTCGGATAGTGCGCCGCACCCCAGCGCGAGCAAGGCGCCCAAGATCTCCGAGACGGGCGAACTCCACGCCTGCGCTGCGGGCTGCTACACGAGCCCGTACCTCGTTCCGCTCGTTGCGACGCTGCTCGAGAGCTTTGGCGCGCTCGACCAGCTCGAAAACTATGTCTCCAAGCACGGACGCGCCTTTTATGGCGACGAGGCCAAGAAGGGCCAGGAGGTCACGCTTAAGCGAGCTGTTGGCGCCAAGGTCCCCCCGCGCATTACGGCTGAGGGTATCGAGATCGTGCCCTTCTGGGCGGGCAAGGAGCTCGCTTGGGAGATTGCCCAGTGATTCTCGCACGCAAAACAATAACAACAATAGGGTTTTAGGACGAAAATATAGAACTATGCATTGACTACCATGGACAAATGGACCTCGCGAGGACCCACACACAACTGTCGGCCACGCCCACATCCTATCTCATCGGAAGGAAGGACAGGCGATCAAGACCACCGCGCTGATCACGTTAATCATATCCTTACAGACCCAGGAGTGACCGGACCTGCTCGCGGACGCGGCGCTCAAACTCAGGCTTGTTCTCACGGTACAGCTTGCAGCACTCAATGTCGGCGCCAGACTCAATGTTGGGCTCGGCGAGCATGGAGAGCACAGACAGGAGGACGGAACGCACGCCCTGGACGGGGGACCAGCGCTCGTTCGCGCTCTCGTACCGCAGCGGGTCGTCTCCGGGCGGGTGCAGGATCGAAATGCACACGTTGCCGTTGGGGTAGACTGCGTGTCAGCTAACGCCGTGGTATGGGGAGCTGTCGTCCCACAATCATGCCCCTCTTGAGGCCGCCATGAACCGAAGAGGAGCGTAACAAAGGGAGGTTAGAGGCCAACATACTATTCGGGTGCAGCAGAGGCGGGTCAAAGACCATCTTGAACGGGTTCAGCGGGTAGTCGGAGGGAAAGTAGAGCTTGGCGGCAAACACGCCTCCTTCCTTGTCGTCAGCAACAGCACTTTAGCAAAGCTCACATATGGCGTCCCCTCCGGACCTTGGATCAGCGCCTCCCACTCGAGCATGTTGTCCTCGCTCACTGGACCCGCCGTTAGCGTGTCGTTGATCGGGTCCGCCGTCAGGTCCTTGTACTCCTTCATGAGTCTGGTGTCAGCTTAACCCAGCGAGATAGGTAAGCTTGTTGCGGGCGTTTACACTCGCGTAGCCAGGCGTCCATGCTGCATATCTGCGAGCAGAAAATCAAGAGTCCTTCATGGTGGACGCGGAGAGCTTGGAAGACCCTCGCCGAGAAATCAGAACCATCAAGACCATGACAGTCTTGAACAGGCACGCCCGAGCCGCGGAGAGAGCCGCCACCGGCACCGCACTGCACTCACCGCCTGACGGCCGTCGACGTCTGCGCGCGCGAGTTGCTGCCTCCGAACATGTATCCGTGTAATTCTTGGTTGTGTGTGATGGAGAAACGATGAAACGCTAAACGTTGGCCACCATCGCCGGTCGTGCAGGTCGTATGATGACAGACGTGGCTAAATCCCCGTGGGGACGACATTGCTTCCACAGCCGGCACATGCGGCACAGCCCACGATGCCCGCTTCTGGCTCGGTTTCCACAACTTTCAACCGGTCTTCTCTACCCGCACTTCCACTCCGCACATTGCGTCCCCGCACCTCCGCACTAGGAACACATGCAACTGTACAGACTTCATGCATAATGCTGCTACCTCTCTCCTGTCTACGTCTTCTACTGTACGGTAACGATCACAGGTACAATCCCGCAGGCTGCATGTCAGTTCAGAGGTCGAGTAAAATAAACTCACAGTGTTCTCGTCCTTCCTGTACAGGACCTTCTCGCGCGCGGTCGTGAAGTCCTCCTTCGTGACGCGCATGCGGCGCTCACGAAGCGCAAGCAGACCCGCCTCCGTGCACACGGCCTTGATGTCGGCTCCAGAAAGGTCGTCCTTGGTCATGACGAGCTCCTCGAGGTCGACATCGTCCGCGAGAGACATGCGCGACGTGTGAAGCTTGAAGATGTGTCGCTTCGTCTTCGTGTCGGGAAGAGGGAACTCTGTCCTGTCAGCTGGACACGCCGGGTGATCTTCAGCATTACTCACCAATCTTGCGGTCGATACGTCCTGGACGGATAAGAGCGGGATCGAGCGACTCGATACGGTTCGTGGCCATGATGACCTTGACGTCTCCGCGCTCGTCGAAACCGTCGAGCTGGTTCAGCAGCTCAAGCATGGTTCGCTGGATTTCTCGCTCTCCTCCACTTGTCGAGTCGTAACGCTTCGTTCCGACGGCGTCGATCTCGTCGATGAACACGATACTCGGCGCATTCTCCTCCGCGACACGGAACAGCTCACGGACGAGCTTTGGTCCGTCTCCGAGGTACTTCTGAATCAACTCCGAACCGACAATACGCAGGAAGGTCGCCGACGTCTGGTTCGCAACAGCCTTCGCGAGCAGCGTCTTTCCAGTACCGGGCACACCGTAGAGAATGACACCCTTGGGCGGGCGGATACCCATCTCCTCGTACAGCTCCGGGTGCGTGAGCGGAAGCTCGACCGACTCCTTGATCTCCTGGATCTGCGTCTCAAGACCACCAATGTCGGCATAACTCTCCGTTGGCGCCTTGTCGAGCTTCATGACCGAGACCATCGGGTCAGTGTCGTCGGCGAGAACACCAACAACGGCGTGCGTCTTGTGGTGAAGGAGAACCGAGCATCCAGGCTCGAGCAGGTCCTTGTCGACGAAGGACATGATTCCGACATAGAACTCGGGTCCGTTGCCCGACGAGACGATCGCATGGTCGTCGTCGATAATTTCCTCGAGCGTTCCGACTCCCATCGGTGAACCACGCAGGTCGTCAACTCCTTTCCTGTCCGCCGCCGTCCGGTCTTCTCCGGAGTGCGCGGCCTGGTTCACGACGAACTCTTCCTCCATCAACAGGTAGTCTTTGATCCTCTCGTTCTTGAGCATCTTGAGCTTACATCTCGTCGTCGGGTAGACGGCGGGAAGACGAGACGCCGAGTCGGGACCGCGCTTCTTCTTCTTTCCAACACGAGTAGGGACAGGGGGCTCCCACTTGGGCTTCTTCTGATATTGTGAGCGAGACAGCCTCGTGATCGAGCTTACCTTGTCCTTGTCCTGATCCTTGCCCGCTCCGGGCGGCATTCCGCTTGAAGGACCTTGACCCTGCACTTGTCAGCTGATTTGTGCGACATGGAAGCTCACCATGCTTGCGATACGATCCGTAAGGTGTGAAGAAGGTCGTAGGGGATGGATGACTCAAGCTGGGTCAGTGGAGGACAACGCGCGTTCGTCACTGACGCAGGATGATGCGTGATCTATTTGATCCCGTCGGCACCGGCGGTGACGTGTGGGAGGGCTACTTCAGATAGTAAGAGATGTATTATCTCCTCCTGGTAGCGTCCAGACGCTGGGTGGAATCCGCGGCGCGTGGATTTGGTTCCGCCAAGGTGCGGATCGCACCAAGTGACCTAACCAGTTGTTGTTGCCACTGGCGTCTTCCTCTGGCAGACAAATCGTGCACTACTTTCCACGCCATCACCCACTCAACCCAACGAATTCCGCTGTCGCCACCGCCCGCACGCATCGCTTCCTGAAACTTTTGGCTTTCTCTCAGTTCACAAGGGCGAGGCTCGCATCAGCAACATGTTCGTCCTCAAATCCCGTAAGTCGCTTGTTTATCTCGTTCGCACCGGCTAACCAAACAGTCTTTGGGCAGATGTGGGGTACGTCCTCAGACGATAACACAAAACACCAACTAATTTTCAGGCAACCCATCGAACCCCGAACTCATCCAGATTCCCGCTGGTCAGCTCTACCTTGTCCGCCCCGATAGTATCAAAGGCTCCCGCGAATGCATGTGAGTGTCCATGTCATGGACCTTGGAACGCCGCCGTTTACCAAGCCACTGCCCCGAAATCTGCTGACCTTCAGCTTCAAGGACGCCGTCGCCACTATTCGTAGGACTGGTGTGGAGCACCAGTACCAGCTCGTTGTCACGCGCGCGTACGAGGAGGGCGAGGAGCAGCTTCTTGAGGAGGACGCTGAGAGTGAGTCGCCTTTTTTGGATATGCGTGTCCGGACATTCCAAGCACCCGCCCGCCTGATCAGCACTGACCTCTTCAGCCGACGATGAGCGCGTGTTCTTAATCGACCAGTCCCTTGGCTTCCGTTTCGGCTCCCTTGACGGTGACGCAACTTTTGCTTGGCGCGACCTCAGCGGTGACGATGGCGACCTCTGGGAGTTCGTCAGCAACAAGTCTGTCGGCAACGCCACTAGCAAGCTCTTCGAGGTCACTCTGCTTCAATGCGTATACGAGAGGGTGAGTTTCCCAGGGTTTCGCCAAACTGACACCCCAGAAATTCGACAAGTCGCACGAGAACGCTACTGAAGAGGACCTCGAGGCTCTGAAGTACAACGAGAACGACCATCCGTCGACTCCTAAGAAGGGAAAGGGAAAGGACGCTGAGGCGGCCGAGCCGGAGGACCCGTTCAAGGACGTTCCTGTGCTGAGCCGCACCAAGGGAGAGCTCTACCTGTTCGACACGGACACCGATGTCTTTGTCATTCAGGAACGTGACGTCGATGTCGATCTCGCCTCCAACGGCCAGTTCGACGTCTGGATCATCGTGCGCAAGGGCAACACCCCCTTCATCTCGATCCCGATCGACTCTGAGATGAACCCTCGTTTCGACATGGCCAACCACGCTTTCATGTTTACCTTCCGTGAGGCGGAGGGACTTCCTGGAATGACGTGGTGTCTGCGTTTCGAGGCTTCGGTCTTTGGAGAGTGGAAGGACAAGTTCACGATCTATCTTTGGGAGAACAAGAACCAGGTCTCCTACGCCAAGGCGCAGGCTGTTGAGCAGCGTTACATCCAGGACGCTTACGGTGACATCGAGATGGGTGAGGGTGAGCCGGCCGTCGAAGAGGAAGAGGAGGAGCCTGAGCCCGAGGAGGAGTACGAAGAGTCGGAGGAGGAGGAGGACTATGACGACCAGTCCTCCATCGACGAGTCGTTCTCGAAGGGATCCAAGAACGAGCAGCTTGCTGTCGGTTACAAGAACGACATGTCGTTTGTCACGCGTGGCAACATGATTGGCGTGTTTGGCCACGACCGTGACAAGGTCAAGTTCCGCACGGCTATCGAACGTGTTAAGGACTTGGAGGGTAACAGCTTCAACCCCGGAAAGATCATGCTCCACAACCAGGATGCCGACATGCTCATGCTGAACCCGAACAACAAGAACGCTCTGTTCAGGATGGACCTTGAGTACGGAAAGATCGTGGACGAGTGGAAGGTCTCGGACGAGGTCGAGGTCGCCAACATCCTCCCGGATTCGAAGTATGCGCAGATGAACCCTCAGCAGACTCTCATCGGTCACTCGAAGAACGGCATCTTCCGTATCGACCCCCGTGTGTCTGGCAACAAGCTCGTTGAGAGCCAGTTCAAGCAGTATGTCACCAAGAACGACTTCTCCGCCGCTGCCACAACCGAGTCTGGTAAACTGGCTGTCGCTTCCAACAAGGGTGACATTCGTTTGTTCGACACCATCGGAAAGAACGCCAAGACTGCCCTGCCTGCGCTTGGTGACCCGATCATTGGTGTTGATGTCTCGGCGGACGGAAGGTGGCTTGTCGCGACCTGCAAAACCTACCTGCTTCTCATCGACACCCTCATCGGTGACGGACGGTATAAGGGCAATCTCGGTTTCGACCGCAGCTTCCCCGCCGACTCGAAGCCGATCCCTCGTCGTCTGCAGCTCAAGCCTGAGCACATCGCCTACATGGAGGACCCTGTGTCGTTCACCCCCGCTCGCTTCAACACCGGACTCAATGAGGCTGAGAAGACGATCGTCACGTCGACCGGCAAGTATATCATCACGTGGAACTTCCGTCGCCTCAAGCAGGGCCGTCTCGATGACTACCAGATCAAGGTAAGCAAATCCATGTCGACTTTTGAGCTGACAGCAGAAATATGACTCGAATGTTGTCGCCGACAACTTCAAGTACGGAGCTGACAAGAACATCATTGTCGCGCTCGAGCAGAACGTCCTCATGGCGAACAAGCGCGACCTGGCGAAGCCTACTCGCCAGTCGCTGGCACCGAGAGCCTCCCTGTCTACACCGGCAAGCAAGATCAGGCAGTCGCACAGCAACATTGTCAACAGCCCGTATTAGAAGGAAGAAGGATCTTAGCTTTGGATAGGGTTCTGTGTCGTTATAATAGGTAGCAGCTTGTGTTTGTATTAGGGGATTGGGCAACTATCGAGTACATTTCTCTTTGATATCTGGCTAGAGGCGCGCACATATGCAAAGTGGTCCTCGCCGTGTGCAACAAGTTGCAACTTATGAACTGTCGGGGATACTCGACACCCCCACACGCTATTCCGGACCGACATCGATCGCATGCACCGCACGAATGAGGGACCGCAATGGAGACACTGAAATAGAACTACGCAGCAGGTCCGGGGTCCCTTGTGCCTTTCCATCGGGTCCGTTGCCTGTGGTGCAACTGGTGCGACTGGTGCAACTGGGAGGACGGCGTCATGCACCTCCACCGGCCATGTCCAGCCCGCAGCCTCGGCCGCTAATTTGTTTTCTGGCAACCGTGTGCCGGCTTGTTGTCGCTCAACACACCACGCCACCATGGCCGACGCGGAGGTCGAAGGGGTTCCCCCACTTCTCGCGGCGGGCGTGCCCATGCTCAAGGTGTCGAGCAAGAAGATCAAGCCAGTGACCGTTCGCCTCACCGACACGGCGATCACCTGGCCCTCGCTCAAGGGGGGACGAGGTGAGTGTATTCATCCCCGTGTTGCTCGGTTGCCGTCAAGTCCACCGCCAGCACAGCTAGCACAGACTCCACAGTAGCTAACAAAGCAGTCGACATCACGTCCATCCGTGAGCTCCGCCTGGGGCAGTCCCCAACCGATACGTACGACTCGAAGCGATGGCTCACGATCGTCTACGTCCGCGGCTCGGTCTGGAAGGTCATGCACCTCATCGCGCACACCGACGATGTCTACGACCTGTGGGTTAGTGCCCTGCAAGGTCTCGTGTCCCAGTCGAGCGACAAGGTTGTGTCTGGCGCCGCACATGGGCCCGCGACCGACCCCGATCTGCTATTCATCCGTCAACTTTGGCCCGCCGGACAGAAGACACTGAACGAGGCGGCTGCAAAGGGACTATGCGGAAAGCTGGGGCTGGACCTGACGCCAGAGGCGTTGAAGCGATATCAGGTGAGTCCGACTTCCTCCTCATTGCTGTGGGTGTTACGAGTGCTGCGCAGCCCTGCATTGATCCGCAGTGCATGCGGTGCGGGAAGCGAGCCCAGGAGCAGATGGCCCTACGCCGCAATTGCGCGCACTTCTTGGCAGCAATGGCCGTGCGAGGTGCGGCAATGACGCATGCGAGGGAGGCGTTGCGATCTGGCACATGAGCGGGCGTGAGCGTCGAAAGCCTGCCGCCGTCACGCCCGGCCATCATCGTCCAGCTTCTGGCCTAATCCTTCAGCTGACACCCAGTTTCCGATCGACTCGGCCACGTTCCGCCAGCTTGTGCGAGACCTTCAGACGCGGCCCGACCTCGATGACATCTACGCTCAGCTCGCGCGTGACGGGCCGCTGAACAAGGCGCGCGTGATCCGCTTCCTGACGCAGATCCAGCGTGTACCTGAGTCGGAAGCCGAGACCATCTTCGAACGCTACGCCGAGTATCCCCCGGAACAGCTGGGTGTACAGGAGTCTAAGGAACTCCTCGCGGCCCCTGCACCCCGTGCGGTCAAGGTGCCTGCCGTGCCGCCGGCTCAGGCGGAGGTCAAGGTGGAGGCGAAGGGGGACAATGACTCAATACCGCAGGAGAAGGACACAGGGAACGGCTCGGCGCAGCACGACCAGGAGGAGAAGAAACCCGTCGTGGGTCTGTCCGTCGAGGGCGTTCCCGTGAACGAGAGCGAGGGTTCGACCACTCCGCAGACTCCCAACTCGGCCCGGGTGCATGACGCGGTGCAGGCTGAGCATGTGCTGCGCACGTCGAATGTGGGATGGAACGACACCGCCTCCGCAAGTCCGACCTCAACCGTTGCGGGATGGTGGACGGCGCCCTCGTCGCCGTATCCGGTTAGTCCAAGCGGTACGCTGAGTCCCAGCGGGACAGCCGTGCCTCCTTTTCCGGTCTCGCCGATGTCGACAACGCCCTCGCTTCCCAGAGGAGATCGTGGAGTATGGGGCGCCGACGCAGTCAAGCTCTTCCTCTCGAGTCCGGATAATGTCTACTTCCCCGCCGCGGCGCAGGATCTCTCCAAGCCTTTGACCGACTACTTCATCTCGAGCAGCCACAACACGTACCTTGTCGCGGAGCAGTGGCGCGGAGCTAGTACCGTCGAGGGTTACGTGCGAGTGCTCCTCGGCGGCTGCCGATGCGTAGAAAGTGAGCTACCTGAGTGTATCTCCCAAGCTAACAAGCAGTTGACTGCCACGACGGCAACAGCGAACCAATCGTGTATCACGCCAAGACGATCACATCGAGCGTTGGCGTGCGCGACGTGTGCCAAGCTATTAAGAAATACGCCTTTGTCGCGTCGCCCTATCCCCTCATCCTTTCGCTTGAGGTGCGGTGTAACCTAGAGCAGCAGGACAAGCTGGCCCAGATCCTTGTCGAGGAGCTCGGCGACCTGCTCGTGACCGAGCCGCTGGACAATGTGGACGGCATGCCGTCGCCCGAGCAGCTGAAGGGCCGTATCCTCGTCAAGGCGAAGGGACCACCTTCCGGTGGCTCGAACCCGTCCTCCATGCTAGTCCCCATCCAATCAAGCGGGAGCACAAGCAGCGGCGGAACGGGAGCAGCCTCGCTCTCGCCACCAGTGTTATCCTCGTCTCCCCCGACTATGGATCGGACAGATACGGACAGCACGACGGAGAGCGACGGCAGTATCCTCCGCTTAGCCCGCAAGCTTTCCATCAACACGCCCAAGGCCCCGGGGCAGTTCAGCAAGAAGCTCGTCGACCTCGCCGTCTACACCCAAGGCACCAAGTACCGCGGCTTCAGCAAGCTGGTGCACTACGCCTCGAACCAGATGTTCAGCGTCAGCGAGCGGACCTCGAACAAGATCCTCGCCAGTGGGCAAGCGAGCGATTGGGTCAAGCACAACACGTCCCATCTGTCGAGGGTGTATCCGAAGGGATCCCGCCTCAGTAGCTCCAACTACAACCCGATCCCGTACTGGGAGGCCGGGGCGCAGATGGTGTCCCTCAACTACCAGACGCTGGACCAGGGGACGATCCTAAACCACGCTCTGTTTGCGCCGGGCGGATACGTTCTGAAACCACCGTGTCTCCGCTATCCCAAGATCTACGAGCGCGAGGAGAAGATCACGGTCAAGCTCACCATCATCTCGGCCCAGAGGCTGCCGCCCACGCCGGACTTGTATGTCGAGGCGACGCTGCTCGGCCCAGACGACTACGAGGAGAGCGCGAAGACGCGGCGAATCCACGAACCAACCTTGAATCCGCGCTGGGACAGTTCTCTGTCCTTCACAATCGTGACCAAGCCGAGCCTGCTCGCGCTCTCCTTCTTGCATCTCGAGATCAAGCAGAGCGGCAACGGGCTCGTCGCGCAGTGGATCCGTCCCCTCGCCGATTGCGGGAGGGGTTGGCGCTACCTCCCCCTCGAGGACGCGACGCGCTCCAAGTTTCTTTTCGCGAGCCTCTTTGTCCGCCTCGACATTGAGAATGACCAGCAGGTGCCCCTCCTCCGCCTCCCGAGCCCGCCGGAGCCCAAGAGCCCGCGCAAATGATACCCTGCATTGTAGACGCACTGTCATTGTCATCGCCACGTCTTTGTGCCATTAGTTATTCCTTTATCGACGAGTTGTATATAGACCCCCTCTTCTCCTTAAGCACCTACATAACATGATAAAAGTTCGCATACGCACGATATGTCCAAGGAATTACAAGAAACGAAGCACGAGCTAACGTTCTCGGGGACCGGCCCTCTATGGCCTACAAATGTTCAGCTATGTCTATGCGGCAAAGACAAGAAGCGGGGTTACAATCACTGCAAAGGGCCCCAGTGGAAGAATTGGTGGTCTGGGAGTCAGCTTTGCTTGTGGTTGCAAGAGCTCACACTTCTGAGTGCCTGGCAGGCAGATGCCAAAGTCATCAATGACCATACCGCCAGTCTCCTTGCCGCATGCGAGAATGCTGCGGTTGATAGGAGAGATGATAGCCCAGCTCTTAAGGTGGACTGGGTTCTGCGTATCGTTCAGGTCTGGCAGGAATCCTCCGTCGAGGAACAGCAAAAAGTCCTCCCTACGAGAGTGGAAACCATTGCTGAGTCTGATGCCGATTTTGTTGCCATACGTCGACAGGTCGAGGACGTTGGAGTCGGTCGAGATCACCATCATGTTGTTCCTGAGGATGGCAGCTCTCTGGAACGTGTTCAGCCGACTCGCGTCCATGCCGTCGAGCAGCTCCCTGTAGTTGTAGATAACCATGATCTTGCCCTTGATGGTCGTGATGACCAAGTGGCGGTTCGCGACGGCGACCTTGGTGAACCTCTCGGGATCTTTGTGAAAGGTCGAGTGCACAACGTCCTGCTAGTAGGTTGTACTCGTCGTTCCCCAGAATCCCTCGGGAGTTAACCATGCACTGCGAACGCGCGGGCTGGGAGGTTTCTTGCGCGAGCGCTCGAGCTCCTTATCGAGCATCTTCTCAAAGTCCAAGTTTCTGCTGTCGAGCTCGCCGTCGTATAGTTGCTGGTTCAACGAGTGCACAGCCGCTCGGACTTCGATCTCGTGGTATCTCTGGAGCTGAACTGACAACCGAGACGAGTTCAGGAGATACTTAGAATGCAGTGACAATTCCACGACAAAATCGGGCTCGTACCGGGCGTGGATGCGAACGTTGGCTTCGCTACTGATGAAGACGTAGACATCGTCGATGGTGATGTTCTTGTGGAAGCCAATGATCGTGCCGAGATCTAGAACGGAGTACTCTTTGTTACCGGGCAGATCGAGGTTGTAGAAGTGGACGTATCTGTTCCCCATGCGGTTGGCGGTCCAGTGAGGCGGGACATTGTCAAACGAAAGGCCAAGCATAGCGCCGTAGAGAGAGCAAGCGGCGTACTTGTCGTTAGAAAGCTTGGAGGGCACCGCGGCGATGGCGAGGGTCGTTCTGCGTCCCCGAGTGCCAGTGTCGATGTGTATGGTTGCACCATAGACCCAGTAGTTGCGTGCCATCGACTTTACAAGTGATAGCCTACCTCGGTGCAGGTCGAGCTCAGGTCGGACTTTACGATGAGAATAGCGAGGACCATAGCCGACCTTGTAGACCTCGATGTAGGAAGCGGGCGCGAGAGGATAAACCCCGTGTGCAAGGGCAGTAGCCCACCAAATGACGACGAACCCGTGGCCTGCCACAATCGTACCCTTGATCGGCAGTTGACCAGCTCTGGCCAGGAGCGTTCCGGTGTCCAGATCCCTCACTTCTAAGGCCTCAGTCCCAAACTCCTCTTCATCATCCAGTCTCTCAGCAGTCAGCGCATACGTCAGACGAGCATCTCGGTCGACGACAATCTGGCGAGCATGGTGCGCGGGAGCTTTGTACTGTGAGTAGAGACCTTGATCCCAGCCACAGGCCGGAGAGTATGCATTTAGGCCTGACTGTTAGAACTGTCAAGGCTATGGTCACTCACACGTGGAGCGCAAGAACTTGGAGATCTCAAAGTGTTTCAGAGGCTGTCCATCCTGCTCTGCTTTGGTCGTCCTGTTGAGAACAATCTTGTCCAGCTCCCTCATCCGCCTGGCCGAAACAGCAGCTTCCACCCGTTTGCGCCACAAGCTCTTGCCGGCCCCGAGCGCACCGTACCAGGTCTTTGACGTCGCTTGGAGATTAAGGATGTCGCCCACTTGGAGGTAGGGAAGGATATGGTAGATGATGTCGAAACCGAGAGCAACCAGAGGATCAGAAGGCGTAACTATCGTTTCGGGTTGGGGGGCGACGATCCGGCTGGGCGAAAGGGGCAGGGGCGCCAAGAGTCCACCAGTCGAAAGGGTTGCGTTTGTGAAAGAAGAGTAGGATGAATCTTGCTGGATGTCGTCTCCTAGAGGCATGGGGCCTGCAGCAGCTTTGGAGTGTTCCATCGAGGTCCAGGGTCGGCGAGGAAGGTCACTCAGGTCGACGGGAGTGGGCATTGCGGGGTCGTTCAGCCGAGCACCGACCAGCAGTGGGCTTCAGTCTTGCGCTTTCAAACAAGGGTAAGGACAAGGAACTGCGGGGGGACTTGCCGACGGGGGCCTTGAGATTGGACAATGTGTGAGTAACAAGACAGGGAAGAGACGAGTGAATGCGTGGACGTTCGTTCGCATTGTCTACCGATCAGCTGCGAGTGGCGGAAGTTAGTCGCGTGCGCACAGCGCTAAGCGTCAGTGGGGGTGAACGACATGGTATTTAGGCAGCATTTCCGGTATCGGATCATGATGGCTCCGCTCCTCCCCAAAACACTGATAGCACGGGCACTGAACACCACGAGCGCTTTGTCGAAGCCGTTGCAGACGGACAATATGACGGTGCCAAGAACGTCCTGCACGGTGCTCGGCGTTAGAGAGAGTCCGCAACCTGCGGAGATGGATAAGACTCCTTGAGAGTTAGCTAGTCCTGAGAAACGGGATTCCCGAGGTAGTGCCTGAATTCCTAATGATCTGCGATGCGGAGTGTCACGGAGTCTCACTCCATCTCCGATTCCGTGTTCCCCACAAACAGCTCAAGTGTCCGTCGAGCTCGTTCCTCTTGACGACGACACCATCGAGAACCCGTACTCCGTTATGGACCCCTTCAAGGATAAAAGGCAAGCTATGCAGCGACAACATGATCCCCACCAACCACCATGACCAAAACACTTGACTACTCTGAGGGCTCTACGCCCATCCCCGGCCCGGCGGGGTACCCCCTGATCGGCAACCTCCTCGACATCGACATGAGCCAGTGCTTCGTGAGCCTGAACGCTCTCCACAAGAAGTACGGCCCCGTCTACCAGATTAGTTTTCTCGGCCAGACGATTATAATGGTCTCGTCGCCGGACGTCGTCCACGTGCTCAGCGACGAGGACAAATTCCACAAGCACATCGACCCGACTCTGCTCGCCGTGCGCGGCTTTGCCGGAGACGGACTCTTCACTGCCCTTCACGGCGAGAAGAGCTGGGACATCGCGCACCGCATTCTGGTTCCTGCTTTCGGTGCCATCTCCGTCCGCAAAATGCAGGAGAAGATGCTCGACCCCCTCGGCCAGATGCTGATGTGGTGGGAGTGCCACGCCGGTGAGCCGTTCGAAGCCGCCGACCAGTTTACTCGTTTGACCTTCGTAAGTTTCATATTCATCGACTACAACTGACATCAGGACACGATTGCTCTCTGCTCCTTCGGATACCGCTTCAACTCGTTCCACCGCAGCGATGTGCACCCCTTCATCGGCGCCATGAACCGTCTCCTGACCGAGGCGCTGATGCGGCCAAACCGCGGCCCACTGCAGATGTTCTACGCCGCCACTTCGCGACAGTGGGACACTGACATTGCGCTCCTCAACAAGGTATGCGACGAGATCATCTCCGAGCGTAGGAACGACCCGATGCCGGACGAGCATGATGTGCTCGACCGCATGCTCTTCGGCAAGGATGCGAAGACGGGGGAAGGTCTCTCGGATGAGAACATCAGGTACCAGATGATTACCTTCCTCATCGCAGGTGAGTCACCTCCTAATGCTGGCCCTTTGAGTCCAGCCGTGATCTGTATGGTGAGCTGACATTCAGGACACGAAACGACCTCCGGACTGCTCGCCTTCGCGACGTACTACATGCTCAAGACTCCCGGTGTCATCGCCAAGATGCGCTCTGAGGTTGAGCAGGCGCTCGCCGACGTTGGTGGAGCCTTCGCTGAACTCGCCGTCGGCAAACTGCGCTATGTCGATGCCGTTTTGCGCGAGACGCTCCGTCTGCACCCCTCGGCGCCGTTCTTCATCCGCACCCCGAACTCTGAGCAGGGCGCCCGCCTTCCTGGTGGCTACCACGTGAAGCACGGCCAGGCCGTTGCCATCTCCCTTCACGCTCTGCACAGGGACCCCGAGGTTTTTGAGGCGCCGGAGGAGTTCCGCCCCGAGCGTTGGCTTGACGGTACCACATACCCCTCGGACGCTTACAAGCCCTTCGGCACCGGCGGTCGAGCCTGCATCGGGCGCATGTTTGCGATGCAGGAGGCAGCTCTTGCCATGGCTCTCATCGTGGACCGCTTCGACCTGTCGCTCGCGGATGAGAACTACGAGCTCCAGATCCAGGAGTCGCTCACGATCAAGCCGGTCAACTTCAACATTAAGGTTGCTCCGCGCAAGAAGACCGGCCTGCTGCGCGAACTCATGACCCGCTCAACGGTAGCGAAGGAGGAAGAGGCATGGAAGCCAGTCTCAGCCAAGGGGAAGATGCACGTCCTCTTCGGCTCCAACAACGGCGCATGCGAGGCGCTGGCCGGAGACCTGGCCGCGGACTACAGGCAGTCCGGCTTCTCTGTGACGCTCGACTCACTCGACGACGCTGCGCCGGACGGGAAGCTCCCCACCGACGGGACAATCGTGCTCATTCTCCCGAGCTACGACGGACAGCCGGCCGAGAATGCGCGAGACTTCGTGGCATCCATTGCGAACATGGAGCCAGGCTCGCTCTCTGGTGTCGAGTACACGGTCTTCGGCGTCGGACACCGCGACTGGGCCGCAACGCTTCACCGCATTCCTAAGCTCGTCGACTCTCGCCTCTCCGAGCTGGGCGCCGAGCGCCTTCTGCCCATCAGTCTCGGCGATGCCGCTGTCGACCTCCTCAGCGACTTTGAAGATTTCTCCGCTCGCCTCCGAGACCACCTCGAGATCGACGTCACCGACATCTCGGCATGGAGCATCCCCGACTCTGCCAACTGTGCTCCCGTTACTGGTTTCACGCTCGGCCGCGTCATGAAGCAGACCAAGCTCACCGACGGCGTGATGAGCATCGCGATCCAGGCCGACCAGCCCTGGCAAGTCGGCGACTACCTCGCTATTCTGCCCAAGAACCCCGCCTCCGAGGTCGAGCGTGCGCTTCGTGTCCTCGGCCTCAAAGGCGACGACCACATTCGCAGTCCGATGGCTCCCGGCCCTCTGAGGGCCTGGGACGTCCTCGAGTCGTACCTCGAGCTGGGCACTATCATCCCGAAGCGATACCTCACCATCCTGCCGAAGTGGGCGCTGAGCTCCGCCTCGCGCCTGGCCGCCATGGCGGACGACTACGCCACAGTGCGCCTGCAGCGTCTCTCGCTCATTGATGTGTTGGAGCGCTTCCCCGATGTGCGTCCGCCACTCGGGCATGTGCTGTACGCCCTCCCCCGCATCCGCGCCAGGCAGTATTCCATCGCCTCCACCCCGCCAGGGCTTGAGCTCACGTACTCGGTGCACGAGCGCGGCGTGGCATCGCGATACCTCGCCTCGCTCTCCGAGGGGGACGCCGTGCTCTGCGCCACGCGCCGGTCGACCTTCCACCCGCCCCCTGCCCAGAACACACTCGTCATGTTCGCCGCTGGAACGGGCATCGCGCCCTTCCGCGGCTTCATCGCTGAGCGAGCCGAGCGCGCCCGTCTCGGCGAGAAGACGGGCGGCACCGTGCTCTACTACGGAGCGCGGGACGCGGCCCACGTCCTGCACGACGTGGAACTGAGGCACTGGGTGCGTAACGGTGTGCTCGAGCTCCGACCTACGCTCAGCCGCGCGGAACGTCCCAAGTACAAACTCGTCGAGGGGTGCCGCTACGTCCAGGACCGGATGTGGGCTGAGCGCACCGACATTAGTGCGTGGCTCGAGGGCGGCGCTGCATTCTATACCTGCGGAGGCACCGAGTTCGCCTCTGGAGTGCGAAAGTGTTTCACGCGTATCATTGCAGAGAAGGAGGGGGCGGAGAAGGCAGAGGACGAGATGGCCAAGTTGGGGGAGAGGTTCAAGCAGGACGTGTTCACGTCATAACCGCAAGCCGCTGCATCATAGATAGCTTATACATAGAAATGCCGGAGTAGACCGCTCCCATGCAAGACATGGATACACACAGACGCACACCGCGATGAGGCGAACATGGAAGAACAGATCGGCATGACGTAACGAAGCCGCAACGCCGCTGACGAAGGCTTGGGAGACGCCACACCTTCCCTATCGCGCGCGATGTCCGGCGACCTGGGCGGCGCTGCTGCGGATCGGCTGGCAATGATCAATGTTTAGCGCGATGGGGCATAGGAGCGGGCTGTGCGTGCAGATCACAGGCGAGGGTCAGCCGGTAAGCGAGAGGCATGCCCTCTCACAGTGAACACCGACGACGCGTCGCCCGTCGTGCCAAGAAGCCGATGCCAGCGGTGATAATGGAGAGCTCTGGGGCTCGAGCGAGTGCGAGTGCGGGGCAATGTGGATCTGCTGTGGTTATTCTGGGCACACTGCGATCTCGCCTCTGCCTTCGCTTTGTCCTCTCATATCCTCACGCTCCAAGCTATGCGCACCTGCTCACTGCTGGGCTTGCGAGAGGGTGCGAGCGGCGAAGAGCGGTCCAAGACATGTCCAGATAAGCTCACTGCGCACTGCGCGCTGCGGGCAAGCGAGACATCGCTGCGGCTAATGTTGCATCAGCCAGGCGTTGCATCAGCAAAGACGCAAGTGGCGCTTGCTCGCCTGCTGATGCGAAACTGCTGGACGGGCATCACCGAGCTCCTCTCGGATCTCTCGGGTCGGTCGGTCGGTCGGGGCAGATTGGAGCTGACCCGTGTCGGTGCGGTGGGGCCGGGCTTCTTTCGGCTTTGTACGGCAGGCAGCGGTCTCTGCGCCACTATGCGGTGCTGGTTCTCCCCCTCTCCTCACTGTGAGAGTGTCTGCCTTCAGGCTGGTGGAGTGAACATGTGCAGCGTTACAGCCTGGCGGCCTCTTCTGCAGCGGCAGCACCAGCAGCCGACGCTTGGCGGCCTGGCGGCATGCTGGGCGGCATCTGCCAAGAACCCTGAGGCAAGCCTGAGAAGATGTCCTGCGCGATGGGCCATAGCATTCGGTGCGGAGCAACCGTCCTCCTTGTACTCCTCGCATGTTTGTGATGAGGTTCACGAGCACGCTAGAACGTTTCAACCCGTGTTCAAAGTGGTCAGGATCGAACGATCCCGAGATACAGAGCAGAGTTATTCTTGGCCGCAGTCATTTAGACTTTAGCAGGCAGCAGGCACAGGAGCGGACAGAAGAGGACCAGTGAGGGCCGAGGAAGACCGCAAGGCCGAGCCTGGAACGTCATGCCCTGCCTCTCTCCTCTTCGGCCCCCTTGGCACCCTGGGCTCCGCGTCATCGTCCGCCGTACCGCCGTGCCGTGCCCGCTGTGCCCGACCCATGTCATTGGAGTGCGTTCGGTCCAGTGAAGCGGCTCGGAAGCCGAGCGTGACCGAAATGAGCTCCGCCGCACAACTTTGCCAGCACGATGCGATCGTCTTTCGACGCCGAACCAACGCTCCTACGCCGGTCCTCTGCACGCCACTGCACGCTCAATGTGCTCAAGGTTGAGAAACTACTCGCATTATTCATAGAAAGTAAAGGATAACTTGGGTTGGCTACAAAATTCCGCTGACAGAGCTTTGAGCGCGGCCGTCTCGTCCACTTCTTCGCCGTGGACCTTCATAAACGGCGGCCGCGCGTTCACTAGTACTTCAAGATGATGTAGAGAGCATGAATGATACCTGCGCACGACGTTAGCGACGTTCGGCAGGTCGGAGATGGTGAAGAGAAGGTCGGAGGTGTGAAGGAAGGTGACAGAGGTGGTATGGAGGATGGTGGTTGGACCGCCGTGACGACTTCGATACCGCCACTTTCGCCTCCACCGCACTTCCCCCTATGTCTGAAGCACACACGGAGAGCGCAAAGCAACTGCGAGCTTGAACTGAGAAGGATGCGACGACGAATCGAGCGAGGAAAACGTACCAGGGATGTAACCAAGACAGGTCAAGAGAATGTTGACTGTTTGTCAGCTCAGGCTCCCTTATTCATTATCTGAGTACTCACTGAGGAGGTCAACACCGCATCCACGCTCAAGGAAGACACCAAGAGGCTGTAGGTTGTCAGTTATCGGTCGATTGGAGGAGGTCGGGCAGATGATCGAAAAATGCAGAAATTATGTCAGCAGACACGTACCGGGAAGATGACGGCGAGGATGATCTTAAGAATGTCCGAGCAGGCTGGGGCAGTCAGTACAGATGCTTGTGCACGCCGCAGGGTGTCTACTCACTGGCCGGCATGGTGGATAGATTGGATGAGGTAGTGGCAACTCACAACAGGGAGGTGTGTTTTGGAGGTTATATACAGGGGAGCGGTTGGCGTTGGCGTTGGCGCTGGCGCTTGCGGCTCTGCATCGCCCGTGCAGCCCGAATCATGGTCAAGAACTTGTTGCTGCTCGGTGGCTTCTGACGTCATTGTCCTGCGCACCCGCGTTCTACGCAGGCCCTACGCATTGTGCACTCCCCTGGCCTAGCTGGCCTGGCACGGCATGCCTCCTGGCTGCTGCAAGCCCTGTCCTGCCCCTCGTCCCTCTTACGATGATGCCCGTGCCTGACATTCCGGTGCCCTGTGACACTGCTGCCTGCTGCGGTCCATCGTTCCGAAAACTTGGTGGGGCTTGACGATTCGAAGCCACCACCGTATCCGCACGTGCTAACAGGGAGGCCCGGATAACAGTCGCGTCAACCGCCTGCGACCTCCACTTTAGAGGTTCACCTGTGGTCTTCCTCGCCCAAGCAACAACAGAGACGGCACACGAACGGCTCACCAGCTGCAGCAAGATGGGGACAGACGGCGGACAGTGAGTTTGCGAACGTCTTTCGAAATGACACCACCAGATCCTCCTTACACGCCTTCTTCACCCCGAAAAAGAGCACATCGACAGGCAGAACTCGCGATGACGCCGTCGATCTGACAACACCTCCGCCCGACGAGCCGCCGGCGAAGCGAGCAAAGGTGTCCGGCTACTTCGCCAACTCAAAGGACGACTCCTCCAAGCTGAAGGCGACTTTCAATTCTGTCCCTCGGCTTGGCGAGTACCGGTTGTCTCGCAATCCGGACAATGCGCCTCTACCAAAACAGCGAACGGCCGAGGAAGAGCAGCGGCACGAGCAGTGGCAGAACGCCGTTCTTGGTCGCAAGTTCTTCCGCAGACGCTCGCTTCAGCTAGACGATGCAGCCGCCATCGCCTTGCGTGAGCAGCTCGGCGAGGAGGCGGGAGAGCAGACTCCGGCGAGTGGAAGTGCAACACCAGCGACACCAGGACCCGAGGAAGACACCCAACCTGAGAGCTCAGCTGCGGCAGCTCTACGAGCCAAGTTTGCTGCGCCACCAGCCAAGGGCAGAGGGAAGAAGAAGGAAGATATCGGGCCTAGTGGGCTGACGTACACACCCCTTGAGAAGCAGTACATGGCCATCAAGGAGAGGTGGCCGGGCGTCCTACTGATGTTGGAAGGTGGGTTCTTCTTGTCGCACACATAACTAATGGCAGTCGGTTACAAGTACAAGTAAGCCACGACATTTAAACTCTGCTGACGTAGAGATTCTACGGAGAAGACGCAAAGGTACGGTCCTCCTTCTCGGCCCTGCTAATGTTAGATTGCCGCGAGAGAACTCGGCATCATGGCATTCCCGAACCGCAACTTCTACACGGCTTCGATCCCGGTACATCGCCTGCATGTTCATGTGAAGAAGTAAGCTATCAAGAGACGACGGTAAGCTGATCTCAGGCTGATCTCTCTGGGCTACAAGGTCGGCGTCGTGTCTCAGACGGAGACGGCAGCGCTGAAGAAGGTCGGCGACAATCGAAATGCTCCATTCACTCGAGAGCTCACCCACCTGTACACGTCGTCAACTTACGTTGAGGAGAGCTCAGCTTCCTCTTCGACTGTGCGTGACGCTCCGGTGGTCCCGGGAACGGCATCACCGAGCACTGGGGCCCTCGTGACCATCGTTGAAGACGCGGACGACAAGCGCTCGCGGATAGCGCTGGTGTCCGTAATCCCTGGCACGGGAGAGGTGGTGTGGGACGAGTTCGAGGGTGAGCTGAACAGCTGTGTCGGTTAGCTGACGTCAGACTCTCGCATTCGCAACGAGCTCGAGACGAGACTTACCCACCTCCAGCCCGCTGAGTTGCTGCTGCCCGATGATCTCAGCAAGGAGACGAAGAAGGTGATCGACCACTTGACTGTTGGCCGCTCAACCGCGGACGTCAGGAAAGAGCGTGTCGATCAGGTAGACTACACCACGGCTTTTGATTACCTGACCCAGTTCTACAAGGAACGAGAAGCTATCGACCTCACGAGGGAAGACGAGGAGATGGGAGACGAAGCTTCTAGGGAAGACGGGGAAGCTAACGTTGACGGTATGTTCGTAGTAGATCGTGATCTGACGAGCAGCGCCAGTGTTAGAGCTTGTCAACTTTCCGAAGCCGGTGGTCGTCGCATTGTCTATGGTCGTAAAGTATATCTCAGGTGAGCTAACACGACGGTCGGGACTTGACGTCAGAATTCAAACTGCAGGAGGTGTTCCGCCACCGCTCTGCTTTCACTAGGGTGAGCTGCCTGGGATCGCATGCAACTGACAGCAGTTCACGGATCGCAAACACATGCTCCTGTCCGCCAATACACTTGTCAATCTGTATGTCCTCGGGCACCTTCATACCTAACAGCAGTGAAATCTATCGTAATCAGACCGATGGAGGAATCTACGGCTCTTTGCTGTGGTTGCTCGACCATACCAGGACGAAGATGGGTAGAAGACTTATGCGCGAATGGATTGGCCGACCGCTCCTGGATGTAGCGTGAGCCGGCTGTCGCACGCGCGTAGCTGACAGCAGTGATCTCAAAGCTCGCGCGGACGCCATCGAGGAGATCATCACGACCAACTCGTATCAGGTTGAAAAGCTGCGCAACCTCCTGGTGAACATGCCTGACCTCGTGCGCGGCCTGACCCGCGCACAATACGGCAAGACGACACCGAACGAGCTTTCGGCAATCCTGACCGGGCTGGTTCGCATCAGTACGGAGTTCCGGCCCGAGAACGCCAACGGCTTCCGCTCAGATCTGCTGAACGATCTTGTGCGGAAACTGCCCACGATCAAGGATGCCGCGTCTGATCTGCTTGCTGCGCTGAACATGAAGGCAGCGAAGAACGACGAGGAAGCCGCTCTATGGCAGGACCAGGATCGCTACCCCGCGATCCAGGATGCTAAAGACTGCATCGATGTCTGCACCATGGAGCTCGACCAGCACCTAGCGCAGGTCAAGAAGGCTCTCGGTCGCCCCCATCTCAAGTATGTCACAGTGGCGGGCATCGAGTTCTTGATCGAGATGCCCCATCGAGACGCGAAGATCGTCCCTCCGAAGTGGGTCAAGGTCAGTGGCACGAAGGCAGTCTCGCGTTACCACACTCCCGAAGTGATCAACATGTAAGCTTTTATTTCGGGCTGTCAGCTGACGGCAGGATCAAAGAGCTCGAGCAACACAGAGAGACTCTGGCGCTCGAGGCGAAGGGCGCCTTTAAGGCGTTCCAGGAGGAGGTCGCCGAGCACCGCGAATTCCTGGTCGTCGCGCGGGAGCTCGCCGTTATCGACTGTCTGACGAGTCTGGCCAACGTGGCTCAGGCGAACGGATATGTCAAGCCGACCTTTGTCGCCGAGCCCTGTCTCCGGATCAAGGACGGCCGCCATCCAATGGTGGAGGCGCTCCGTGACGACCAGTATGTGCCGTTCGACATCTCGTTCGGCGACAAGGAAGGCCGCGCCAAGGTCATTACTGGTCCAAACATGGCGGGCAAAAGCAGCTGCGTGCGCGCCGTAGCCCTGATGGTGTGCATGGCGCAGATGGGCTCGTTTGTCCCCGCGTCGTCAATGACGCTCGGCATCCACGACGCGGTGCAAACGCGCATGGGCGCAAGCGACGAGATCTCCCGCGGCAAGTCAACGTTCATGGTGGAGATGACAGAGACGTCGGACATCCTTCGCACGGTGACGCCGCGCACACTCGTGGTGCTCGACGAGCTGGGTCGAGGGACGAGCACGTTCGACGGCGTGGCGATTGCATACGCGACGCTTTCGCATCTCGCCGCTCTCGACATCCCGACCCTGTTCGTAACTCACTATCCCCTGCTCTCGCGGCTGGAAGCCGAGTACTCGACTGTCAGCAACTGGCATATGGCGTTCACGGAGATGCCTGGCCCCAGCGGACCGGAGATTACGTTCCTGTACAAGCTTCGCCGGGGGCTCGCCGACGCAAGTTTCGGTATTTGGTGTGCGCGCCTGGCGGGTCTCCCTGACGAACTTCTGGAGACGGCGCAGGAGAAGAGCGAGCGCATGCGCGAGGAGACGCGCGATCGCGGTCGAGCGGCAGTCGGGAAGTATCTCCGCGCCCTTGTTGGCGGGGACTTGACAGCGGCGGAGAAACTCGAGGGCGCCATGGCATACGTCGATGCCGCGGGTCCCGGAGGGAGGGTAGAGGTAGACATGTAGAACTGTACCATACGCACACTGTATGCATAGCCATTGAGTAGTGTCACAGTTGAAGTGCACAGGCCTAAGAGCACAGAAGTGCCATTTGAGATGTCGATCTTGCCTCTACACCTGCAGATCAGAAGCAAGATTGAGGCGTTCGAGCCCCTTGCGCCCTATCCGTAGAAACAACACGGCGCCTTCCACGTAACGTCCCGAGCTGTAGGTAACTCCTGCCAGGCTTCATTCATTGCTCCTCCTCCTTCAGATATGTCATTCAGCATCTTCCATCTGCCTCAGGCATCCTGCACTGTGAGCTGCAATATGATGGCAGCAGCTGACCCACAGGACAAGCTACCAGATCACACTGCCATCTCCTCCCCTTCCCTCCGACCCCCTTCGCATCATCGCACAGCGGTCATCGCATTGGTACGTACGCAAAAGACTGGACGCCATCCTCTCACCAGCCAGGTGAGGCTCTCCGCATTGGGACTGTTGAGCCAAGCACAGATCCGCAGTGGGTGGGTACCAGCAGTAAGAACCGTGAGCTAGGATGTTCCTTCGCATAGCTGAGATATCAGGGTGTGCCGTTGTTGGTCCATTCGCGGGACGGGTGGGAGTGAGCTTACATAGTGCTGCGAGACGTAGCTGACACTCAGCCGGGGATAACTCTGTTCTCCAGTGGCTGTGGTGAAGGGCAGCCCTTGGCGAACTTCCATAGCTGGGGTGGCATATAAACACTTGGCGAGAGAGTAAGTTGGGCGCGTCCGAAAGACGCAGGTGGCACATTGCGAGCTCATAGCTGTCATCAGAAACGACCTTGCATTCGACTGGACCCAGGAAAAAAAGGTAAGCTAACACGTGTACGTCGCAGAGCTGACAATGCAGTTCGTGGTATCTGATCGTCGGCACTTGCTCAGGCAGACTTCACAGACACTTACGGGTACTACAGACTTCAGCTGATGACAGGTGTCCTCTCCAGGTGCTGTGGATGCGGTGTGATGTTTGTGCCGGAGCCTCGGCCTCTTTATCTCAGTGCTATTTGTTCTACCAAGATAGGTCGTAAGCTAATACGCCTTCGTCGTTGGAAGCTCACGGCAGTCTCTCGAGCTCGGACTTCCACACAGTTCGCACGTGACAGTTGCAGTGTCCGTCTGCAGAAATTGAGTACAGCAGTAACACAAATGCACATGTAACAGCTGATTGTGCGATAATTTCGCCAGTGGGGCTGCAGCTGGCATGGTCATGATTCATTTCTGCGAGCCATGCCCATTCCTCAGCGTTGCTGCATTACCCACCAGTGCATCAGTGAGTTCACCTTTCGGAAAACGAGGGGAAGCTTACGATAGGTGCATCATCAGGATACACTCCTCGCATTTGGCTTGCTCAGGCAACACAGTACCGGGAAGCTGAGAGGTAAGTGCAGCTGGGTTCTCTTCAGAGACAAGCTGAGCAAGCAGTTGAGTGTCTGCCTTCGTTACCATGTTCTTCAGCTTTCGTCTTGGAGTCATAGACCCGTCTAACAACGACGATTGTGCCGCCTTACTTGGTCATGTTGGCGACACTCCTACCAGCGGGTGAGCTTACTCGCATTCGATTGCTAAGCTGACATGCAGTCCTTCTTATTTTTCTGCTCTCACCGAATCCTCATAGCCGTCAGACAGGCGGCAGTCCTCGAAGACTCAGCTCGTCCCAAAATCAAAGTTGAAAAAATCAGGTTCCGCCACATTCGCCACCAGACCTCCACCTCTCCACCAGGCTGCCACTCAAAGTCACCAAACCCAGGTTTTCCAACCCTCCTCCGTGCCCATATCACTTGTAGACAATGCAAATGGTCCCCCGAGACGAAAGAGAGCAAGAAAAACGATGCTGGCATGGTTCGAACATGCGCTCCACTAGGGAAATTGATCGTGAACAAGGCAGTTCAAGTCAATCGCGTTAACCACTCCGCCACAGCACCTCTCTGATGGCGAGCTCGGCTCGTTCGACGTCCCCGGCGGCGCCCGAGGGCGCGTTCGAATCTCGGCAGTGTCCCCCGTACTCTGCACCGTAGCTAAGCGGTTAGAAGAAGTCAGAGCGGCCATAGGTTGAGAGTCTATAGGGTGCATCAGCTAGACTAGATCTTGGTACCCTCGACACCGGCAACGAGCTCCTCGACGTCGTCGCGCTCGGCGTCACTGCCCTCTGCCTCCTCCGAGTCGTCTGTGTCGTCCTCCTCGTCCCAGCCCGCGTGATTCGGGTTGGCACGGAGGAGGTCTCCGTCGTCGTAAGCCGCTGATGTTAGTTGGTGTCGCAAGGCGTAAACTACTCACCCTTTTCGGCCTTGTCCTTGTCATACTCGGCCTGGAGGTCGTCCTGGATCTGCTCCGCCATGGCCTGCACCTCCTCGTGCGTGTTGCACGTGCGGTAGCGCTCGATGAAGCGGCCGTTCATCTTGTAGAACGCATGTCCCCACGAGAATTTTGAGAGCCTGGATGTTAGTTCTACCGTATCGGGCCAACTTACAGTGCCTCAGCCCAGTCCGGGTGACCTGTGATGTAGAAGCCGGCGGCCAGCGCCTCGACACAGTTCAGTCGCCACGGCTTGCCGTAGTTGACCGGGTTGGTCGCAATGAGGAAAGGCACTGAAGTCAGTTCTCTACGAGCGAAAGTGAACTTACGCAATCGCTCGTGAGGGCCCTTGATGCGGCCCCACGGAATCTCGTCCAGACGAGCCCAGGACGCCTCAACAACAGCGAGACCAGACATCATGACCACCTCATCGTCGCATGGCGCGATTGGCTTCTTGCCCTTGGGGCTGGAGGTCAGCTACTGTTTGCAGTGCGGGGCAGCTACTCACGTCAAGACTACACCGCGGAAACGCTGTCCCACCCTCATCGCCGTGCAGAGACCATGCCTGGCGAGCTTCTTGCCACTGCATCGCCGGGGGTCGCAGTGGTCAAAGTCCCACATCGCCACCGGGACGGCGACTCGGACCTCCTGCTCCTGCTCCTCACCCTCCTCGGAACCAGAGCCGGAACCGGAGCCCGACTCCTCCTCCTCGGACGAGTCCTCATCCTCCGTAGTATCGCTCTCATCCTCATCTTCGGATCCTGATAGTCAGTCAGCGTCCAGAGATCGCAAACTCACCAACGATGACCGGCACGGGGTCGTCACGGGCGGAGCTCCTCGTCATACGTCCTCCACCTCTCGGCGCGCCTCGTCCTCGTCCGCCGCGGCTGGATCCACCACGTCCTCGTCCCCTTCCTCGCGTAGGGGGAGCTGCGTTCTTAGCCTTTCCGGGTTTTCCCATGATCGAAGTGCGGGGTTGTTTGTGGAACGTCTGGAGCCGTTGCCGCTGACATGAACTTTTGGTCTCTCCCCCAATACCTCACAGGCACGGAAACGTGACCTGCACGCGACAGACCCTGAACCACAACACGTCCTGTACCTAGCGAGCTCAGACGCGTCCGCTCACATCAACACGCAGTACGACAACAACATCGACAAGCATCGCAAGCAATGTCTCGAAGCGGGCGGAGCGCAGACCCCGTCGAGACGCTGATTTACAGTGTTCTTCCGGAGCTCAGTCAGCTCCCGGAACGCGCGCGCCGGGAACGGGTCGCAGAGCTCGCTGAATATTGTGACGACATCCTCAACAGGTACGTCAGACGTCGCTATTGCGCTGACAGCAGCCGCATTCCGAGCTCCCTCCCACTCGGTTCCAACGGACTCGCGGACACCGCTCGGAGACAGCTCACGAATCCGGACGATGCGCTCCGCTTCAACTCCTTATGGTCGTCCATCCAGCGTGGCGTGAGTTCGATCCAGTCCCGCTATGACTGACATGCACAGCGAGTCTTGTCGAACCCGAACAAGCACCTGCAGTTCCTCACCGCCCTTGCGGGCATGTCCTCCGAGGAGCCTAAGAGGTTCTCGGCGAACAAATTCTCCTCTCCGCCGCCCAAGTCTCGCCCATCCTCCGTCACGGTCCTGAACGAGGTTGACCTTGCCTCACCACCGCGGACACCAGTACCGTCAGCAGCGGGCAAGTCGAAGGCTGCCCTTCTTCAGGAATGGCGGACACAGCACCACCATCCACCTTTCCCCGAGCATTTGCTCCTCCGTGACGCCCTGTACCTGTTGCAGGGCATCGACGGGCGATATGTGCAGTTTGCGCTGTCGGCCGAGCCGCAACGAAATCCGTACTTGACGGATAAGGGCCGAGCAGGCGACGGTACGGGATTCCCGCTCGGGAAGGAAGGGCAAGATCCAGAAGCGGGCGAGCAGGAAGTCGTCGGCATCAAGATCGTGGAAGACGAGGGCAAGGGCGTCATCTCTCAACCGACAAAGAGTGTCCTCGTGCAGCTCAGCGAGATGGGCGTGCTGTACCGCAAGATCACAAACTTCATCAAGCAGCACCAAGCAGCTGGACCCAGCGCAAAGAGCGGAATGATCATCCAGGTGAGCTAGCTTTTCAGCGCCTAGCTGACAAGCAGAGCCTGTGCCACTTCTTGCACCACGAGCTGAGCGAGTACCATCGCCTCCTTGCCGTTCTCGAGTCGCAGATGTCATTGACTGCTCCGGATTCGACGTCGCCGGCGGAGGGATCTGGATTGACGCTTCTCCGACTTGGACTCTGGACAGAGGACATGAAGCTCAAGCTCCAGCTCATGGAGATGGTGGTTGACGATGCCGAGTGTGAGTCAGCTGCGTTTGCCTTTCTGCCACCAAAGCTAACAACAGCCGCCCACGGAGGAGCTCTGGTCTCAAAGATCCACTCCCGAACAGCACACGGCGACCCAGTCGTACGACAGTTTACCGACCAAATTCTTGAGGAGGTGTCGAAGCCGTTCTTCCTCACGCTGCAGAAGTGGATCACGTCGGGCGAGCTGCACGATCCGTTCAAGGAATTCTTTGTCCAGCTCAATCCGGACATGGCGAACGGCGACGATGCCGTCAACTATACGGGGGATGCTGGATTCGAGGAGGGCTTCGACATTGGAGGCGGCGTCAGCGACTCGTCACGGATATGGGAGAAGAAGTATGTCTTCGTCAAGGCCATGGTGCCTGGCTTCATCAACCAGGACTTCGGCAAGAAGATCTTCTCGACCGGCCGCTCGCTCAACTTTATCCGGTACAACTGCTACGACTCGGACTGGGTCACGGAGAAAGCGACCTTAGCCAACAGAGATGGTAGTGAGTTGAGCACTTGCACTGCAGCTGACCTCAGCCCTCAAGTACTCTGACTTGACTGGTCTGGAGCGCAGCATCGACGATGCATACTCAACCGCTTCCCAGCGATTACTGGACATCTTCTTCGACAAGTACAAGCTTCTCGACCACCTCCGAGCACTCAAGTCGTACCTGATGCTCGGCGCTGGCGACTTTGCCGAGCTTCTGATGGAAGCGCTTGCGTGAGTTTCGTTCGTTTCACCTGTAACTGACGCACAGGCCACGATTGGACAAGCCAGCCATCAGCCTGTACCGACATCATTTGACGTCGGACCTCGAGTCGGCCATCCGCGGCTCGAATGCGCAGTACGACAGTCCAGACGTCCTGCGACGCCTCGACGCCCGTGTCCTCGAGTACCAACACGGCGAGCTGGGCTGGGACTGTTTCGCGCTCGAGTACCGAGTCGAGTCGCCACTGAACGCGATCCTGGACGCGCGCGCAATGGACGGGTACGACCGCCTCTTCCACCACCTGTGGCGTCTGAAGCGTGTCGAGTCAACGCTGACGGCGGGCTGGATGCGAGTCACGTCCGAGTCGCGCAACTTTGACAAGCTCCCCAACCTCGCCAACCTATGGCACCACTGCCGCGTTGTGCAGGCCGAGATGGTGCACTTCCTACGCCAGCTGCAGGCGTTCAACCAGCTCGAGGTCGTCGAGTGCTCCTGGCGCGACCTGATCGAGTACACGGACAAGCGGGACGGGGACCTCGACGCGCTCATCGTTGCGCACAAGACGTACCTGGACCGTATCGTGCGCAAGATGCTCCTGCTTTCGCCGCGGAAGGATGACAAGGACGCCCTCCTGAACCTCGTCCGTGAAGCTCTCGACTTGATTTTGACGTTCTGTGCGGCGACCGACGACCTATTCTCGTGGAGCTTGGCCATGGCTGTGTCGCTCGACGCTAAGCGCGACCGCGAGCGAGGCATCCGCAAGGCGCTCTCGAATGCTGAGAGCGCTCCGCCGGACTTTGACAAGCTCGAGGATATTCGCGAGCGGATTCGTAACTGCGCGGGGCAGTTCGGCGACACGGTTTCGATCCTCTGCAAGGAGGCTGGCGCGCACCCGGACCTCGACGTGCGGTTCCTCGCGATCCGCATTGCGTTCAACGGGTACTACGGGCTCAAGAGGGGCAGCAAGAAGAAGTAGAGCAGCAGCGTACAGTAGCACAACAGCGTATAATCCATCTCATGTATTTCTATCGAATGTACCCTACGAGTGCGCGGCCCTGCGTCTACGAGTTAAAGGACGCAGGGCGGGAGCAGTCATCCGAAGACGCCACATCTCCCAGCGAAGTGAGCATATGGCCCGAAAGCCAGACACACACCCGCACACTTGAAGGTTTTGTTCTTCCGATAGCTGTGACATCTGCAGTGGGGGAAGAAGACTGCCGACGTGTCTAAGCTCGGGTGGTTCTACGGAGTTATCTGGCGTCAGTATCGGGGCGTTAGTAGCAAGTGGAGATCTATGCGTTTCATACAACCTGGTATCGGTATCTGTGGTCTAGTTCTTCTTCTTGATCATGTTGCTCATGAGGTCGAAGCTGTTTCCGTCGGGCTGGAGGTCGACGAACTCGCCGCTCGTGCCGTTGCCCGTGCGGTCGGCGTAACCGTCGACAGAGCGCTGGTAGAGGGGCGTGAGCTTGGTATCCTCGATGGGCACACAGCGCAGCAGACCCTGGTCCGGTGTGATGCCAACGATACGCAGCTTCTGGTGCGGCGTCACCGTCGTGAGAGTGACCTCCTGGTCCTGGTGCAGCCAGCGGCTCTTGTACTCGTCCATGAAGCTGTCGAAGCCCCCGTCGTTGAGGAACTGCTCCCACTTCTGCTCGAACGACTGCATGATGCGCGCGAATACGCGCTCCATTGTCGGCGCGGGAGGAAGGTCACCGCTCTGACCGAACTTTGTGAGGCGCTCACGCAGAAGGTCGTGCATCTGCGAGATGCTCGTCGTCGGCAGGGCGTTCAGGACGTTGATACCGCAGCCGACGAGCACGCGCCACTGGCCGTTCATGTAGTTCGTGTTGACGAGGATACCAGCGATCTTGGCAAGACCCTTCTTGCCGCCGCCAACCTCGGTACCGCCAACACCCTCGACGTGGGCGTAGACGTCGTTGGGCCACTTGATACGAACACCCAGGCGTCCGTCAGGGTCAAGCGCCTCGGCGATCGCAAGCGCAGCAAGGTACTGGACGAAGATGAGCTTGTTGACCATGCTCTGCGGCATCGAGAGCATGAGAGTGAAGGGCAGGCAGCCGACAGGCGTCAGCCAAGCGTTGCCACCGCGGCCGCGACCAGACAGCTGGAACGAGGCGAGGAATGCGTGCGGAGTCTTGATGCCGTTCAGAAGGATCGGGTTGCGGTCCAACATGGTCTGCGTGCTCGTCACCGCCTCGCCGTAGAAAAGCACGTCCCCGACCGAGCTACGCTCGCCAGTCCGTCCCTTGCTGAGCTCATCCGTGCGCATGACGCCAGTGCGGCGACCGGCCTCCTTGCGAGCCTGGTCGAGCTCAGCCCAGTAGGTCTCGAAGTTGAACAGGGGCGTCCACTCAGGGGTGTACTGCTCCTTGCCCGGCAGGAGGACAAGTTTTGGAATGTCCTTGAAGTCCATCGGCTTGGGGAGGGGAGGCTGGTCGCCAATGGAGAGGTCCTCCATCTTGGGCTCGTGCTTGGGCTCCGTGCGACGCGCTTTTGACAGGAAAGCAGGAACGTCGCCGACCGCGTCGGTTGGGCCATACACGAACGTGTCATTGCCGTCGACAAACTGCTCGAAACCATCCTTCGCAGGCTCAACCTTCTTCTGAATCGACGGGGCGGAGAAAATGCCAGTGGCGAGCTCGGGGAGCTTGGGGTGCGAGAACGTGAAGATCGGTCCGGGGTGGGTGGGGTTCAGGAGAAGGTGGGGGTCCTCCTCGCCGTCCTTGACTTCGCCGTCACCGGCGCGAGCCGGGACGTTGAGTTCCATCGACGACAAAAGCTGGCGAACCCACTGCAAGCGAGCCTTCTCGCACTCCTCGATGAATTCGGGAGGGGGAACAACATCAAGCTTTTGGATGGCGTCGCGAGCGGGCGGGTCTTCCAGGGGATACTCGAAGTGAACAGAGCTCAGCAGAGCCTTGCCCTTGCCCTCAGAAATGAGGACGGCTGCCACATCGGATTCCGCGGGAGGCTCCGCGTAGCGCGCCACGACTTCGACATTGGAGGGGGCGGGCGACGGCATGATGAAGTGGCCCCCACCGTTAGTGTAGAGGAGCTCGAGCAGAGACTTGCCGCCTTCAACGTTGAGGCTGATGGCATGGGCGCCTTGCTCCGACCCGTAGTCGAAACCCTTGAACGACGGTCCAGCGCAGGTGCCAGGGAAGAGAGCCTGAGAGTCAGAAGAGAACATGAATGAAACTCACGAGATCACGTTTGCCTACCACTTCGTGGCGGCCACCGATGTCGAACTTGCAATCGGCGGAGCCGAAGTAAGCCCCGGCGCAAATGCCCAGGTACCTTCCTCCGTTGCGGACGTAGTCCTGGATGCGGCGAGTAACGTTCGAGCGGGTGGAAAGCTCGTCGACGTAGGGAAGATCGCGGCCGCCTGGAATGACTAGCATAGCCGTGTTGGGCTCCCAAGGCTCTCCCTTCAGAACATCGGCGGCAACCTGCTGCACCGTGTAGTTGGGTCGAAGAACGAGGGAAAGTGTAAGGAGAGTGTAGGAGAGCGAGAGGGGGGAGATGCCAGGCCCAGCGTAGACTAGGACCTGGTGTGCCAGCGGGCCAGGTCCGGGCATTTTGAGCAAAGTGAGAGCGTTGAGAGCTCTGGTGTAACCGACGAGCGGAGGGAATGGGAAGACGATGCAGCTGGGGGTTGGACTTTTGTGGACCAAAGTTAGGCGAGAGGAACGGCGGTGAGCGGCTATTACCAGCCGTCCCTCACACGTGCCACGGGAGTAAATGGGTCCCCACCGTGGACGGATCTAACCCCAGAGCTGATAACGACCAATGAGTGCCGTTGACGCAGTCCAGCGGCACTCCTTATCGCCGAGATCGCGAGAACGCCGCAAGGACCATCCTGTTCCGCCCGTATTGGTCCTGCACCGTCTCGCACTCACCAGGCAGGAGCGACGAAACTTCTGCCGCTTGCGTCTCACCGATCTCCACTGCGATCTGGGGGAATTCACCGCTGGCGGGCTCCAGAAGTTGATCCGCGAGCTTGGCGATGCAACCATAGAACTGAACACCATCTCCTACCCCAGGTACAGATCCACCTACGAGAGCACGAGAGTCCTCGTAGTCTCGAACCGATTGCGGCAGCTGAGCCCAGACGTCCGCCGGAATGTAGGGAGGATTCGAAGTGATGAGGTCGAAGTGCTCGAGGCCAGTATCGTTCCGAATATGGTCCACGAAATCGGGGGAGAGAATGTCCGACTGGTGAAAGTAGACATTGTCGCACGACACAAGTTGCTTGTTGGCTTCTGAGAGCTCGATAGCCTCGGGACTGATGTCGACACCATGGGCGACGTGCAGAGTGTCTTGCAGCAAGTGTGATAGCAACAGTGGAATACACCCAGAACCGGTGCAGAGGTCCAGGACTCGCAGCGGCCGTTCGATGTAACGCTTCCGCTTAGCGTCCAGAAGCCGTTCAGCCAAGTGCTCGACGATAAAGGCTGTTTCCGGCCGCGGAATGAGAGTTGGCGCTCGGCAGAGTAGCTCCAGAGGTCCAAAATCGGTATTCCCTGCGTGTTAGGTGGGGTCAGAAGTGCAGCTTACCAAGTATGTACTGCAATGGTTCACCTGCAGCTCGGCGCTTGACCATTGATGCCAGCTCGGTGTCTCGTGATGACAGCGATAGGGAAGGCGATAACGATTGCCTCATCCATCGCAGCTCGTTCCTGGCGTCCTGCGGATCGAGTTCGGGGTTCTTCAGTAGAGAGTCGAGGAGAACTCGGTCTCCGGTCACAGACAACTTCCTACATGAGGTGCTGAATGCTCTGACGAGCTGCCTGAAGCTCATGAGCGATGAAGAGAAGTGTAGAGCTTTCGAAAAAGTTCAGTGGCTGAGAGGCGAAGTCTGCCGCGGGATCAAACGCGGTCGCGGTATGACGCAGATTGGCCTTCCTTGGTCGATTGATCTCGGCGATCGACGGTATCTGCAACCTCCCCAACGCTGTCATGGAATGAGCTGTGAGTCTCGAGCTGCTCAAAAGAGCGTCCAGCTAATAATAAGCTGCAGGCCCCGACTCGGATGCGGCTTCACGCTTGCGGGGGACGCGTCCGCGTTCCTCCACCAATGTGCAGAGGGGAACCAGAGCTCCTATGACACCCATGAACAACAACAACACCGCGCCCGGCTTACCGCAAACAATAAGTCATGCCGAGCGACGACACAGACGACACGCGGAAATTCATGGGCCCAATGGCCACTTTCAGGACCATCATCACGAGCATAACTATGGCCGCAGCCATGGCCACACTCGCACAAGTTCCGCCCCCAGCCCACCGACGACGGATATCGAGACATTCCCGCAACCCTCGACGCCGGCGCCTCAGCACGGCGCGCTGATGCCCTCGCCTATGTCTCCCACTGATATGGGTTTCCCGGGTGGACCGGATGGTCGCGTCATCATGTCGCTGTACACCTATCATCCGCCTGTCAATATCCCTCCGGCGAAAGATCAAGCATCGCTTGTGCCGGCCCCTGCCCATGTGAATTCGACGAAGGTTTCACTTTCTTATGCGTCTTTGCCATGGCCAGTGCGACCGGGGGACTATCTCGAGATTCGTAGAGTGAATGCTCCGCAGATGCCCTCCCGACCTGGACCAAAGCCTGTTTCAGGCACCGGCGACAAGTCCAACGAGCTGGATGCCTTGGCTGGTGTCAAGCCCAATAAAGGCCGCGATGGCTACGTTTTCCGCATAGGAGAAGATTGTCCCAACGTGCCAGTCAACCAGATCCAGGTTCCGAATGCCGTGGCAACGGCATTCAAGATGCAGCATCGCCAGGATGTCGAAATCTGCCGCATTCCGGAGCCCGAGTCGGCCGAGATCGACTACATCGAGCTGCACTTCTCTCAGTACGTCGGCCGCTCCGACATGTGGCGTATTGGAATGTCGCTGGAGAATCAGGCTGTTCACGTGGGTGAGAAGGTCACCCTGGCCGGAGGTGCGGTCCGCGCAGACGTCCACGGCATTTGGAAAGGCAAGCATCGACGAGCGTCAGGTATTGTTACTAGCAAAACCAAGACTATTTACCGCTCGAAATCCGCCCAGACGTATCTGTTCATTCAGATCTGCCAGGAGACGTACGAGTTCGACGAGGACGGCGAGCGCTACTACGAGAAGGTCCTCCATGGTAAGCTGCTCGTTGCCTCCAAAGCTGACATCAGGCTTCCTTCCAGAGCTATTCCAGAAATGGACGGCCGTGAACGCCACTCATCTAGTGACCATCGTTCTCTTTGCCCGTGTGTATTACAACGACGACGAAGTTGAGTATCTGCGCAAGTACGACCTTGGTCTCGGCTTGATGAAGGACCATCGTGACCGGTGGTGCAAGGACTTCTACAAGGTCGCTGTGGACTTCGAACGCCGATCAGACTGGATGACGGCGCTTACGGACGTGAAGCAGCATATGGAGCGATGTGAGGCGGAAATTCTTCGAAATTTCCATCTCAACTTGATGGTCAAGAATGGCTTCGAGAAGGAGCAGAAGCGGATCATCGGCCACTGGAGCTTTGCGTACGAGGGCAACGTCCTGGAAGCGATCAATCTCGCCTTGAACCCCTTCGACGAGCACAACATCGATCGTGACCTATCGCGTACCGGCCTGTCTCTCATTGTCATTACGCCAGGTACAGGTCACTTCTCGGTTGAGAAGAACCTCCTACGGTTGACGACTGAGCGCATGATCGACCACGGTGTGACGCTCGACCTTGTGTGCCTTACAAAGATGCCTCTCCATTCGGTGCCGTTGTTCAGTTATATGTCTGAACGACCACGCCGGCCAGCGGATGATGCCGACGGCAAGGTCGGACCTTCGACCCCTGATCCGCTCTACTTCGACGCGAACATGGACAAGCCGAATGACCGAGAGCTCACCGAGTGTTACTCGTTAGCGTTCTGGGTTTACTGCTCGTTCTACGCGAAGACGCACGACAAGCCATTCCGACGCGATCGCTTCGTGCCACGCTGCAAGATGTACGAGATCCAGATGCTGGGTATCCTGGACCACAACCTCACCACTGTTGTGCTACCGCTCTTGGATGTGCCGGATGTCGATACCAAAGAGAAAAAGCTGTCGGACGTCGAGCGCAAGCTCATTCACGAGGACTTTGACGCTGCGATATTCGGGGATGGCAAGAATCCCAACATCAAGGATGCCTCTGTCTCGCCGCCGAGTACCGCGCGAACAGGTACCATCAGCCCTTCCCTCAGCACGAGCTTCCAGTCCACGCGGCGGTTCCACCGTATTGATGAGGGCCTCTCCTCTTCGCCGAAGCCGCCGCTCGCCTCTCGTGGCTCATCACGGACACCTGCATCCATCGTTGAGCTCGAGGAGAACCTCTCCAACCCCTCCAATCCTTCCCTGCCAGACGTGTCCGGCCCCATTGCAAGTGGAGTGTCGGGCATGATTCCCGACATGCCCCTAGTGAAGAAGAGCAGTGCTGCACCTCTTGGGTCTCATCGACGACCTTCGACGTTGGATCAATCGACGCCTTCCTCACGCGTAGCCAGCATTGTCCAGCTCGGCACCTCTCCGACACATTCCATTACCTCCACTGCGACCGAACACCCTGCTTCCGGAGCATCAACACCGAAACTCACACCGAGCAAGAAGCTCAAGAACCAGAGCAGCCGAGGATCGTTCGCTAGCCGTTTCGCTGCTACATGGCTGTTCAGCTCGCTGGGCGCAAGAGCCAGTCCGAGTACAGCGACCACTGCCAACGAGACCGTCCAGAGGCAAGACGTATCCAGTGTCTTCGGCAACAGCAAGCCTTCGTCTCCGTCGTCTCAACGACAAGAACTGCAGCCGCCCATTTCTGTGCCTGCTACGCCGCAACCTGTGCCGGGCGCTTTACCACCGTCACCTAAACCAAAGGCTCGGGCTGTTTCTAACGCCGTCACCCAACCGCTCCCGATCTTGGCGAACCCAACACGAGCGCTCAAGAATGAGGAGGTTGTGAGGTCTATGCCGCGATCGATTCCCAGGTCCATTCCTCGGTCACTGCCGAAGTCGATGCACAACTCCTTACGTCAGGCGCGATCCATGGAGGACTCGTGGCGCAACAAGTCGAATGCGGCCTTCGGACGCACCTGCAGGCATACCACTGTCAACCCCTGCAACCCCGATGAAGATGACATCACACACGCTCACAAGCAGCGGTGGCAGCATGTTCGCCCTCGGTTCACGATGGACAGGCAAAAGAGTGTCAAGTGGCGCAGCCTGTGTGCCCCCGCTATTTTGCCTCTCACGACCGACTTCATGCCGACGCCGGAGGAGATCGCCACCTTCTACGAGGCACACAGTTACGACATCGCTTGTTTCCCTGACCAAGTATCGTTCCTCATACGTCCTGACGCCGCGCAGGTCAATCTCCCGCTGGCTGTCATGCGTGAGATGGCGTCCCAGCGTCTGTCGCAGAACTTCCAGTTCATCGTCTTGCCACATAACACGGTCGTGACCGATGTGCAGACCAAGGACCGCGCGATGCCTCTCGGCACGGGGAAGAATCTCCTTCTCGGCGACTCCACTCGCGCCGGTCTGCGTGTGGGCGGCGCGTCTGAGGTCCTGAAGGACGCCAGCGGCGCCATCTACCTCTCATGGTCCAACCATGTGCATCGCCTGACGTTTGACCCGCAGAAGCAGAGTGTCACCGTTCAGCGTTTCGTACGCAAGGTCCGCCACTCGACTGCGCCTCACTCTTACAAGTGTCTTGTCTGGCCCTACCAGCTGCACGACTTCCAGGAAGCCACCGCCATGTTCCGATACCCGAACATTGACGCCAAGCTCAACTTCAACTACCTCGATCGTCTCATCGCAGGCGAGGAAGACCGTCTTCAGTCCAATCTGCGGTTCTGGCGAACTCGATACCTTCTGATCCCTTCCGGGAAAGAGTTATCTAGCTTGACTAACGTTATGAAGAAAGGCAACAAGGAGGAAGAGTACGCCATTTCCGAGATTCTCATCACCGGTGCCATGAAGGTCTTAGAGCTCATGGGTAAAAACCAGTGGACGCGACCGGGAGAGAACGCCCGCCCCCTCAGGCTATTAGCGACAACATTCGACCCTTCGGCGTGTGTCTTGGATGAGGGTCTGATGTCTGAGCTTGACCGCCTGACGAACAAGACCGACAAGATCGACTCTGGACACAAGCTCGAGGGAATGACGTTGCAGGAGCTCGCCGCAATGATGAACAAGCCTAACAACGGTCTCATCATCCGTGACCGCTGGTGGAACTTCAAGGTGCACGAAGACTCGTTCACGGGCGAGCAATTCTGCGAATGGCTGAAGGAGACGTTCTCAGACGTCGAGACACGTGAGCAGGCCGTCGAGTGGGCCGAGTCGCTCTTCTCAAAGGGCCTCATCGAACACGTCATGGGCAAGCACAACTTCCACGACACGTATTTCTTTTACCGCCTCAGTACGCAGTACGACAACGACGCCAAGAGCCAGACGAACCGCACCAAGAACTGGTTCGGCAAGCCTGCCTTCCCACTGCCCAAGAACTGGGTCGACGAGACCAAGCCGCTCCGCCTCACGGACAAGCCAGCCAAGAAGAAGAAGGTCAAGATGTCGCAAAGCGTCGTGATCGACTTGGACCCGCACAAGAAGAGTGACAGAGCGGAAGTCGCCATTCTGCATGCGGACATTGTGCACAACACTCGCAATGCGTAAGTTACGAGTACGGGATCTGAGAACTGACATCCAGCTTCCATTTCGAACTGAACTGGCTCGGTGTCACCGCTGGACTGCTCGAGGAACTGCGTTCCAAGGCGTCGGCTCTAGCGGAACGCTATGGACTGCGTCTTGTTGAAGCTCCGGTCGAGCAGATAAAGGACATCGGGCAGAAGTGCGCGTACCGCGCTCCCATCCCCATTCGCCTGGCTCTCGCGCCGCCCGTCATCCCGGACCTGCACCTGCGACTTACGGAGTCGATCGGTTCGGGACAATGCGCGCACTACTTCGAGTACGCGATCCTTACACAGAAGTTCGGCTTCGTGCTCGACCTCGAGGCGACGGAGCGGTATCCCGACACGATCGAGGTTGAGTACGCTTACCGCTCCAAGGCGCGCTTCGAGTACAGCCAGTTCGTGCACCGCTCCGGTCTTGCGCTTGTGCAGTGCGCGGGTCGCGAGGAAGGCTTCCTCTGGGCAGACAATCGTCCGTTCATCTCGGCGCCCACTCGCGGACGGCAGCAGAGTGCGGAGAGCTATGCTGGCAACCTCACCCCAATGGCGACGAAGCAGGAGCAGGCGCGCCTGCTGCGCGAGGAGCTTGAGGCGTTCTGCGCCGATCCTGTCGCGCTCGCCGAGTTCTATGAGGAGGTCACTCCTCCCCCGCCCAGCGTGCTCTCGCCTGACCAGGAGAAGTTCGAGAAGGGTGACAAGAACGACAAGGGTGGTGACAAGGACAAGGGCGAGAAGAAAGCGGAGAAGGGCGACAAGCCAGAGCCGAAGCAGGAGAAGGCGGACAAGGGAGCGGAGAAGGAGAAGAAGGCGGAGAAGCCTGCTTTGGGGGAGAAGAAGCCGGACCCCAAGGACAAGCCGGAAAAGAACGACAAGACGTCCAAGTCTGAGCCGGCCTCGAAGGACGAGGCCAAGTAGTCAGAGCAGTTGTACCAATACTATGTATAGCCCTGTCATCTTGCAATGCTGCATATTGTGTCTCCTGATACAAGGGACTAATCACGGGGCGGAGGCGAACGCGAGTCGTCGCGGCGGCGGGGAGAGGGCGATCGGGAGTCATCGCGGCGACGAGGAGGAGGTGACCTCGAATCGCGGGGAGGGGGCGACTTGGTATCGTCTCGACGCCTGGGCGGCGGAGATGCAGAATCGCGCCTGCGCGGGGAAGGCGACCTGCTGACAGAAGACGTGTACCGTCTCCTGCGAACGGGAGACCTGGAGCGCGAGTCACTCCTTGACGAGGGTGACCTAGAATACCTCGAGTCACTGCTGTCACTGGAATAACGTCTCCGCCGGCGGTCACGTCCTCGGCCACGATCACTGTCGCTGTCGCTGTCACTCTCGCTGTCGCTGGGCGTGGGGGATCTGGGCGGGTGTCAGCATCCTATATTGCAACTGCACCCTTCGCCAGCTAAGCAAGGCCAAAGTAAGCTGTGAGACGGCGCAGCCAGCTGGAAAAGGGTGTGGTTAGCTGAACTCACCTCCGCCTGCGCTCCCTCTCCCGAGCAAGACGTGCCCGCTCCTCCTCCTTTGCCTTCAGAATGCGGTCTGCAAGCCCATCCCTCGTCTTGAACTCGTCCGGCACCTCGACAGAAGGCTTGTCCCTCTTCGTGCCGAGTCCGGAGCGCAGCTCCTTCGTGCGCGACTCGCGCGCATTGTAAGCGCGCGGGTTCTTGCACTCATACGTAAAGTGCCCGAGTTTCAGGCATTTCTGTCGTCAGCTCGCATGATCTACCTCCGAGCTGAGGATCAGCAGGACATACTTGACAGCGGGTGTTGGACGTCGCGCGGTTTCCCTGCAGCTGCTTCGGCAGGCCGCGGTTAAACATGTTGGCCGATTTTGAGTGACGGTGGATGCTTCAGTAGGCAGCTCGCGATCGATCGCGATATTGCGCCAGGCCCGTGACTGGTGACGAACGGCCAGAACGTTGAAGTGTCGCTAAAGGGGAGGTGCGAAGAAGAAATGAGCGATAGGGGTGACGGCATTTGCCACTGGACATTCGCCACCGTGTCACGTGCGGACGTTCATGTCAACAAAAGGGAATTGGAATTCAGGGGGATCGACAAAGTGGAGGCGAGACGTCAGGAAAGGGGCGAGTGGAGGTGTGGCAGTCAAATGTCATTTCGTGCGGGGTGCTCGTCCGGGTGGCCACTTTTGGTGGGCGTTGGGGATACTTTTCACGTTAACTTATGCGTAGAGGCTGGTGGAGCTCCCAAACGTGCAGTAGGCGCTCAAAACATGCTTTCAGATACCTAGTGCAAGTTTGATGTGCATGGCTGCACTGGAACACTATGCACTTGACTACTCGCTCACACGGACATGTTCGGCCGCCATGTGATCGGCACCGAGAGCATGTTTATTCCCCGTTTCTCCATCCACACTGCCTCTGGAGCTCTGAAACTTGGCATGCGAGCATGAAAGAGGTGGATTGATCACATGCAGTATCGAGTTCGAAACAGAAGTGTGCATGGATAACCTCGCCAGCTCATCCACCCGGACGCGTCTCCTACGGCCGTTTTCCGGATGACCCAGGTAATGTCGAGAACGGCTTCTCACCATCACGCGCCGGGGTCGTGAGACTGCTCACGGCGCGCAATGAGCGTATACAGAATGCGGTAGCGGGTAGACAGATGCATGCAGGTCGCGACTGGGTGCTGTGCACCGCCCCTTAACCGCTCAGAGAGTCGTGTCATGGGTAGCGCCCAAGCCCACTTGGTGGTCGATGGTGGTCTGACGACTTGAGAGGCTGTTACTCTTCTGCGGTGGAGCGTGAATCACGCTGTGAATGCGCCGGGACGGGGGTCACCCCTAGTCACGACCTTGCGCAGAGCGGCATGAGCTAACGTGCTGCAGAACCGAGCAGAGGGGCAGGAGCCAAGGAGGCGTCGGCGACAAGGCCCACGGCGAGCCGGCGTTTCGCGAGGATCACTTTATCACGTGACCCAGATGATGATCGGTCCATTTCACCTCAACGTTGGCTGTGCATGCATATGATCTTGAACATCAGCGGATGGATTGGTGACAGATGCATGCGCACACCAAGTTTGGAATGCATAGGAGCAGAATTGCAGGTGTAACAATCGGTCGAAGGAAGAGGGGGTCGAAAACGGAATCATAAACAGCAGTGGTCTCTCCTCGGGGCGTTCCTCACAAATAGTCACGCCTCCCTCCCCCTCCGTCTTGTTGTCCACTCTCTCCCAACTCAACTCTCCAACTCACACACTTGCTCGCATCCACCGCAACCGCGACAGTGAGTACCAGTGGCGGCCTCGCCAGGTCGGACCACGTCCCCAGCAGTGTCTGGCAGTGCACTGGTGACCGATAGCTGACGCTCGCGCCCCGTCGAACCTTGTCATCGTCATCGCCCCACCTGCTGCGTCTTGACACCTTTGCCGTCCGTTCGCTCCAACAGTCTGCACACAACTCTACAACAATGGCTCCCGTCAAGAAGGCTACCGGCACGACCGCCAAGAAGGCGTCGTCGCACCCTACTTTCCTCGACATGATCCAGGTCAGTTCTCATTTCCATCCCAGATCCCACGCCACCGGGGAAGCTGGGCGACCCCACCAAGCAACCGCAACAAGTGTGACACTTTCGCACTCCGCGCAAGCGTGAGCGACCGAGTTGGAGCCTGGATGGCCTACTGGCCGCTGTGCATGCGTTACGGAGTGCTCTGCATGCTGCATGCTGTTGTGTTGGAGGTGTGCCGACATCATCGGCTGTGCGGCTCCCACGCTGCCCCAGACCGCGGAAAGGCTGGACCGCCCCCGATGGTTGACTCAACCGTCCTTTCGGCGCTAGAGCACCAGCGATCCGCCCTTTGACTCGTCACTCCACATGCCTGCGGATGCGCCGTATCGCCGCGCCTGTGCGACGCATGAAGTGTCCACCTTCGATGCATCGGTCGCGGCGATCCATGGCCTGGCCGGACTCAATTGCCGTTTTCGGACATTCCGCCCACCGCTCCCGGTCGCTGGTCGCTTTGCTACCATCATGATTCTCGCCGCTGCTAACAGTTGCTGACTCGTCGCAGGAGGCTATCCTTGCCCACCCCGAGGACGCTCGCTCTGGTGTCTCTCGCCCCACCATCAAGAAGTTCCTTGCCACGAAGTACAACATTGACCTCTCGTCGGCCTCGAACATCAACAACCTCTCCAACGCCATCAAGCGCGGAGCCGACAAGGGCGTCCTTCTCCTCCCCAAGGGTGTCTCGGGCAAGATCAAGGTCGCTGCCAAGGCCAAGAAGGCTGCCGGCAAGGAGAACGAGGCTCCCAAGAAGGAGGCCAAGAAGCCCGCGGCTAAGAAGCCTGCTGCTAAGAAGGCCGCTCCTAAGAAGACTGCTACCAAGGCCACGACCAAGAAGGCCACCACCACCACCAAGAAGACCGCTGCCAGTGAGTTGCCTTAGCTGCTGCCCTAACTGACAATCAGCCAAGGCCAAGGCTCCCGCTAAGAAGGCTGCCACGACCAAGAAGACCGCTGCCGCGAAGAAGTAAACGTTCCATTCGTTTCCTTTCTTTCTGTGTTCTTGCTCTCGCACCGGGCCTAGGGCTGTAACTGTAACAATCGCAAGTCTGTTGTGTTCTCCTTGTTTCCTCGTTTTCCGCCCCTAGTGCCATTCGGTTTTGGTCCTTTGTTGGTCCTCTCTTCGCCCTCCCTTCGCTTTCTTTCGCCCCATGATTCTTGCAAACGAGTCATGATAGTTAGTTTACCACACTTTTCGTTTTCGATCCTCCTTTGACATACGACGTGCATGCGCGGGCTCTTTGAGCTGGCTGCAACTGGATGCATGGAAATTTGCCTGATACCCGGCAGCGTGCGGCGAGCGAAGCGAGCCAGCGAGCTGACACTGTCGACTGCGACAGAGCTGACCAGTGCCACGTAAGCAGCAATGCAGGTTTTCACGATCAGCATCGAGCACACGAGTGTTTGTGATCCCCTTCTGATTCGCGACTGGGGGTAGGTTCGTATCGCAGTCGGGATCTGGCTGGGGCTGGGGATCAATCGGAAGGTGGGTCTGATACCCACGCATGCACTGGCGCACTGGCGCACTTGGGTGGCGGATCGGATATTTCCAAGGCAAACAAACCGATCCCTGTGAGCCGGTTCGGCTGCGCCACCCCCGGCAGGCAGTGGCCGAGAAGCCTGAGACAAGATCAGATCACAAGCCTGGAGCACTGGAGCAAGGTACGTTCATCTAGCAAAAATTGCCGAATCTGGCAAGTCGGGGCGGAGCTGTTAAGGTCTGGGAGGTCTAGAAGGGCGAGAATAGCTGTGCCACAGTGGAAAAGGAGGGGTTGATTAGAGTTGTACAATTAGGGAGTGACGAGGCTCCATTAGATGTCACGTGATGAGACTAAGAATGAACTGCTGATCTGATCTCCTCCTTGGATTGGTTGGCATGTGGCAATGGGCGAAGAGGCTTGAAGCTACGCCCGTACGCCTCAGGCTGGGGCTGGGCTCTGAGCTTGGACGCGGGTGTCATCCTGCTATCCGTCGGATGACAATGGCCAGCAGGAGAGCGGATCGAGTCCCGTTTGATCGTCTGCACACGGACATCGACGCCCGCTATCGTCAGGCTGCAGCCAGCACACACAGACAGCCAAGTGTTACACTCTGCATAAGCATACAGTCTACAGATTCCCTCGCACACAGGACAAGTAGTGCTGATAGGGACGTGATATATTTTGTGTGTTGCGCACCATTTGGCAGCGCGATTAGCTGAGATCTGTACGGAGTCAGCTATAGTGCGCACAACCAGATAGCTGGTACTCACCCTGAATGTTCATGGGCATCTCGTCGATCTGGGTCGCGTAGTACACCTCGATGTCGCGGAGGATGTGGACGTCCTCGACGGTGACAAAGTTGATGGCGACACCCTTGCGTCCGAAACGGCCCGAGCGACCGATACGGTGCAGGTAGTTCTCACGGTTGTTGGGGAGGTCGTAGTTGATGACGAGCGAGACCTGCTGGACGTCGATACCACGGGCCCACACGTCGGTCGTGATGAGCACGCGGCTCTGGCCCGAGCGGAACTCGGCCATGATCGCGTCGCGCTCCTTCTGCACCATCTCGCCGTGCATCGACGACACGGTGAAGTTGGCCTCGCGCATCTTCTCCGTGAGCCAGTCGACCTTGCGGCGCGTGTTGCAGAAGATGACGGCCTGGGTGATCGTGAGCGTGTCGTAGAGGTCGCACAGCGTGTCGAACTTCCAGTCCTCCTTCTCGACCGCCACGAAGAACTGCTTGATGCCCTCGAGCGTGAGCTCGTCACGCTTGACAAGGATGCGGACGGGCTCGGTCATGAACTTGGTCGTCATCTCGAGCACGTCGTGCGGCAGCGTCGCGCTCACGACCACAACCTGCGTCGCGGGCGGCAGGTAGCGGTAAATGTCGTAGATCTGGTCCTTGAATCCCTTGTTCAGCAGCTCGTCTGCCTCGTCCAGAATCAGCATCTTGATGTCCTTCGTGCGCAGGTTTCGGCGGCGGATCATGTCGAACACACGTCCCGGCGTTCCCGTCACAATCTGCTGGCCAGCCTCGAGCTTGCGAATGTCCTCGCCGACAGACGTGCCTCCGATACAGGCGTGGCACGACACGTTCATGTAGTCGCCGAGCGCGAGCGCAACCGTCTGGATCTGAACAGCCAGCTCACGCGTCGGAGACAGAATCAGAGCCTGCGTGTCACGGTTGTTCAGGTCGAGCGACTGCAGCGCAGAGATCGAGAACGTCGCCGTCTTACCCGTACCGGACTGGGCCTGGGCGATGACATCTCGGCCGCGGATGATCGGCAGGATCGCACGCTGCTGGATCGCCGACGGCTTCTCGAAGTCTGACTGTTAGTTTACATGGGCTGATTCGCAACTCACTGTAGGCGTAGATACCACGGAGGAGGTCTTCACGGAGTTTGAGGGCTTCGACTGTAGCGCGGACGTCAGCAATCTCGTAAACAATAACAAATGCAGGTGCTCGGTACTCACACGTAGGGGCCTGTATTCGGAAGGAGCAAAAAGCGCCAGGTCAATGTACGCTCTCACTCCCTCCGCAACGCTGCCATGCACCCTGGCCAGCTGGGAATACGTACAACTTGGACAGTCTCAGAGGACTCGAACACGAGCTTATCGTCTCCCCTGGAGGTTAGCTAGAGTTCGGCCACCGAGGAGCTCACGGGTTAAGCTGCGAAGCGGAGGGTTCGCGTGAGCACGGGCTACACAGTCAGCGGTTCTCTGCACTTACAGCCATTTTCGATGATGCTTCGGATGTCGAGATCAACGAGGTCGATGGTGAGCACTGTAGCGGACGTAGTGGCCACCGTACTGAACTGGCGGTGGAGGCTTGAAATCAGTGGCTAACGCCGTATCTCCGTGCGGTGGCAATCGGCGTTCAGCGAAGATCGATCACTACGTACCCGCTGGTTGTTATTCCATTTCGAGATTCCGGACGCACCACCCAGACCCAAAATCAGCTCGCCATGGACTCGATCTTCGAGACGCAGCGCGCCACCCACGAGGAGATTGAGCGGTATGAGCAGGCGCTCGCCGACGTTCTCATGCAGAACCCGACGGCGGTGAGTACGCAAAAGCTACACTGTGTGGGACTGAGCTGACGACCAGCAACGTAACATCACGCGGAGAGATCGGAAGGCGGCCGACATTCTGGACCGCATCGGCGAGCTGCGGCACAACCTCGTGCTCATGTATGAGGACATCCCTGGTCTGCGGCCGACGGAGTTGTCCGCCCTGACGGCGCCGGCAAAGGGGGAGGGTGACGAGCTCGCCGAGTTCTACAGCCGGTTCGAGAAGATCAAGGACTTCCACAGGAAGAACACGAACATCAACGCTCGACAGCTTATCAACGAGATCGAGGACATGGTTAACAGCGATGGCCTCGAGAAGGTTCAGGTCGAAGGCGAGGAGGAGCCCATCATCGTCGATCGTGAGTTTGCTTGTCCAAGGTAGAAACTGACAGCAGCGCTGGACAACGTGTTCTCAGGCGAGGAGGCGTACGGACGGCATCTGGATCTATACCAGCCGCACACGATGTATTTGAACCTGAAGGGAAGCTCGCGCCTGTCGTACGTGGCGTACCTCGACATGCTGCGACACGGACGAGTGGAGCGGACGCTGGATCTGCGGGAGAAGGGTCACCCAGACTACCTCCAGTGAGTTGTCTCGAGCCGTCACTAGCTAACCTCAGGTACGTTCAGACGATTTACAACTACCTTGTGTCGTTCTTCGACCGTGCGCTTCCCCTGATCGACATTCACAAGAAGCTGAAGGAGGACGACGCCGAATTTGAGAAGTTGTGGGCCGCCGGCGAGATCGAAGGATGGACAGAAGGCAAGGCGAACGGCGGTGTGCTGAACAAGGAGGGCATCTGGTGCCCCTACTGTCAGAAGCGCTACTCGAAGCAGACGGTGTATGACGCGCACCTGAAATCGGACAAACACAAGAAGAAGGAGGCTGCTGGCAAGGCTGTGCCCGAGTCCGAGGCTTCTGGTGCTGCTGAGTCCTCCACGAGCAAGGACAAGTACAAGCAGCCGGCGCGGTACACCTTCCTGGTGACGTCGCTGCTCAAGGTGGACCCGATCCCGAAGATTCTGGCCGACAGCCGAGTGGAGGTCGAGCGTCGCGCGGCGCTGACGGCGAGGGAGCGCGAGGCAGAGCTCGAGGAGCAGGAGGAGGCCGTCCCGCCCCCGGCAGAGATCACGAGTGCGCTGGAAGAGGAGGATGAAGACGACGACGAGCGGATTTACAACCCGCTCAAGCTCCCGCTCGGTTGGGACGGCAAGCCGATCCCCTACTGGCTGTACAAGCTGCACGGACTGGGTGTCGAGTTCAAGTGCGAGATCTGCTCCGACTATGTATACATGGGCCGCAAGGCTTTCGACCGGCACTTCCAGGAGTCGCGCCATGCGTTCGGTATGCGCGCCCTCGGACTGCCGAACACGAAGCATTTCCACGAGATCACAAAGATTCAGGACGCGCTTGCGCTTGCGGACAAGCTCAAGCGCGAGGGAAGACAGGAGCTCATCCAGATGGAGAAGGCGGAGGAGTTCGAGGACGCAGACGGAAATGTCTACGACAAGAAGACGTACGAGGACCTCAAGCGCCAGGGCCTGCTCTAGGCGCCGTAGCCGCTGTAATTCTAGCACATAGAGTCATGATGCATCTACATATCATGAATACCCAGTTAAAGACTCCTCGCTATGGTTTTAATGTTATGGTTGACTGCTGCAGTCTAGTCTAGGCGGCAGCCTCAATGGTCCAGGTGCGTACGCAGGCATCGGCGCCAGACGAGATGACCTCGTTGTCGCTGCGCCAGGAGACGCCAGCGACACCTCCGGGGTGCGCGTTCTTGATGGCAATGTTGCGGATCACCTTCTCCGGGTTCCAGATGTAGATGCTCTCGTCGGCTCCGCCGGACACGAGCTTGTTGGCAGCGTTGAACGCGAGGCTGGCGACACGGCCAGTGTGGAACGTCCAGCGGCTCGAGACGAGGACCTTGTCGCTCTTGGCGTCGATGAGCACGATACGGCCTTGGATGTCACCCGCGGCGAGGAGAGATCCGTCCGCCGAGAAGGCCAGCGCGGAGATCTCGCCCTTGTTGTCCTCGAACGAAGCGCGCTCAGTCGCCTTGCCGCCAGAAACAGTGTAGATCGTCACCTTTTTGCCCGAACCGACAGCGACGAGGTCCTCGCTTCCGGAGTGCGCAGCCACAGCGGAACCAGCATCAGAGAGCAGCGTGCTCGAGCTTCCGCCGCTGACAAGCTCGAGACCAGCATCAGAGATGACGTACGCACCGTTCGGCGTCGCGGCAATGCCCCCCGGTTGCGCCTTGGCGGGGACAGAGGTGGTGGCGAACTCGGCGCCCTTGATCGCGGCAATCTTGTCGTCCCAAGCGGCAGAGTAGACGGTGCCCTTTCCGTCCGGAGCGAGGCCGACGATCTGTCCCGAGTGTCCCTGGCCCTCGACATTCTCACAAGCTCCGGCGTCCGAGAATGCCTTGAGGCCTCCGTCGAACGAACCCGTGTAGAACGTCTTCTCCGACAGCGCAGAGGCAGTGACGGCCCTCGTGGGCCCGTAGAGCTTCTTCCAGCTACCTCCCTCGCGCACGTCGAACACGTTGAGGACACCGTTGCAGCTCGCGCTGACGACAGTGTTCGGGTCGGCCCAGACAACACCGTTCTGCTGGTCCTCGACCGCATCGCCAACAGCCCACTGCGTCGACTTCTGAGCGGCCGCAGCGTCCCAGAGAGCAACGACACCGTCGGCGCCGGCAGTGACGAGGCGGGTGCTGTCTGGAGCCCACGAGAGGGCCATGAGCGACCGTCCGTCTGTGCCGTCCGCGTCCTTCAGAACCGTGCCGTCCTTACCGTCGTAGATGAAGAGCTTGCCGTCGGAGCCGACCGAGGCGAAAACGCTTCCGTCAGGGGCGTACTGCACATCACGGACGAAACGCGTGTGCGTGCTGATGATCTTGTCGTACTTGAACGGCACGGCGGTGTGCAGCACGATCGAGTTGTCGTCCGAGCCGGAGACGGCGCGGAACGGACGCTGGTGACGAACGCTGAGAGCAGTGATCGGCTGAGTGTCAGCTGCGACAAGTTTCAGATGCTGCTGTTCAGAAGGAAGAACGTACCTTGGCATGGCCAGTGATCTCACCACAGCTGCTTCCTGAGTCAATGAAGAATGCAGCACCGAACCTGTCGTCAGCTGAACGGCATAGCCCTGGAAGCTCTAATAGACTCACTTGTCCTTTCCCTCTCCTCCGACAATAATGCGCTTGCTCTCGCTGTCCCATGCGAGGTCGTTGATGCGACCAGCGAGCGGGCGGATCGCGAGCTTGAGGATGTTCTCTTCCGGGTTCGTCGTGTCCCAGATGCGGACATTACCGGCGACGTCACCTGAAGCGGCGTAGTATCCGCTGGGAGAGAAACGAGCGACGGTAGCCGTTTGCGCGTGCTGCGTGTAAGCGTGCGCGTTGGCGGGGTCGTGGATGTCGCGGATGATGACGGCACGGCCGTTCGTGTAGATGAGCTTCTTGCCCTCGGGGTCGACGCCGAGCTTGGTCGACTCGGACCGCGCAGTGTACGGGTTGCACGCGTACAGAGGGCCGGGCTTGTAGGACATCGTGCTTGAGTTGTTAGTGAGGAAGATGAGCTGGCCGGAATGTCAAGAATCGGACAACCCGGATGGACGCGTGGTTGCGTCACTGCCTCGTGGCGCGCTGCGCGCGGCGATGCGATCGTCCCTGAATCGGGACCTGCCCAGCTAGTAATCGCAAGATCTGGCGGCGTGTGTTGTGTGGTTGCGTAGTGCACAGTGCATGGTCTAGACTCTATGGATGGCTACAGTGGGTGATGAACAAGCATGCGTCTACTTCTTCCCGAAGCGCGCCTCGGCAGCGCGCGCTCTCCGCTCGCGCTCTATCTGCATCCTCATCTCGGGACTGAGGCCAGCGAGACCGCCCTCAGCTCCTCTTCCTCCGAGCTTCTGCGGTCCAGCGGACGGCAGCCCGAGCCCACCGAAAGCACCCTTCGGTTGAGCAGCAGCCTGGGCGGCAGCCTCAGCTTTCTCGCGCTCCTCCTCCTCGGCAGCTGCCTCGGCACGCGCCTTCTCCTTCTCGCGCATCTTGTCGCGAAGTCCGCGGCGACGCTCAGCCTTCTTCGCACCCTGCTCCGCTGCGGCCTCCTCAGACAGACCGGAGGGAACGTGAGCGCCCTGCCAATCCCACATTGTCGGATTGTCGTAAGCGACCAGGCGGAAGACATTGCGCACGCCCTTTGTCTGCGCCATGTCGTACGCCCGCTTGTTACCGTCGATCGGAGCGGCGGGATCGAGCTTGCCGTCGGTCAGCAGGTAGCGGACGATGTCCTCCTGCCCGTCTGCAGCAGCCTGACCCAGAGCCGCCGGGGTGATTTCGGACCTGTACTTCTCCACGAAGGAGCGTAGGGCATCGAGTCGACCCTTCTTGATCATATCCGCCAGTCGACGCTGTCGGTCCAGCTTCGCTTCCTCCTCAGGCGAGAGTTTAGATGCTGCCGGAACGGGCGCGGGCGCAGGAGCGGCAGGCTTCGCGGCGACAGCCTGCTTCTTCGGCTGGAGCGATGCCATGTACGCATCATCCTGCGCTTGCAGCGCCTCCTCGGAGAGATGCGAAATTTTCAGCTTCGTGAGTTCATGCCAACAACGGAGGAGCTCCTGCTGCGTCGGCCGTCGGGTCGGGAACGGGAAGCTGCGGATGCGGTCGTCCGACTTGTCGAGGACAGCGCCGTCGTAGCCCCAGAAGGACTTCTTGCCGTGCGTGCTCGCGTGGATGAAGATACGCTCAGATAGATTCAGATCCTCCTCCCACTCGGAGAGCAGCTCTCGGATCTCATCTTGCAATGCCTGTTCACCATAGCGACGGAGCATGGCACCTGCCGACACGGCCTTCGACTTTGCGTTGTCGTTGAGACCTTGAGAACCACCTTGCTTCTTACGGGCTGAGGATTAGCTTACTTTATCGGAACAACTCACTTGTATACCGGTGGAAGGTCTTGTGCTTCAATACGCGCACCTCGCCGGCGCCCTTCACGGCTTGAGGCTCATTCTTGCCCTTCGGGCGCAGCGAAATGACCATTCCTGCAAAGTGACCACCTGCCACCATAAGAAGCGTTATCCGTCGCTCTTCCTCATCGGGCGTCGGCGGCGCAAGCTGAAGGCGCTTCAGCTCTGAGAGGTAGTCGCCGGCAGTCTGGAAGGATGGCAGGAGTGCTCGGTGGACTCCGAACTGGGTGTTGGTGGGGACAGACAGAGACGGAGGAGCATCGGGAGCAGTGAACCAGATGACAGCTGTCCTCAGCTGTGCTCGACGCTGCAGTTCCGCGATCTCTGCTTCCTCGTCGGAGTCCACATCGTTCTTGTCATTGTCCTTAATCTGCGTTTTCTTCAGGAGCTTCGTGATCCTCGACCGTGAGCTACTCGTGGAAGCAGACGATGCAGATCCAGAGATGCTGGACACACCTGAGCTGTCAGTTCTCCTCTAGCCAAGCTGACTCACCCTCAACCATGTTCTCCCACTCATCGGCGGTGACGATCTTTTGGCCACCGACCTTGGCCTTAGCATTGTAACGGTGCCAGTCGGACTTGAAGTGGGCGCGCTGATCGTCCGGTGTGTCGAAGGAAGCTCCCGGGCATGTCTGACATCCAAGGCCGGTCGAAGCTGTTGTTGTCGGCTCCTGTTCCGGGACAGGCTCTATTTGCTGAGCGTCGTTGTGTGTTTGCTGGGAGAGGGTCTGAGCCTGGATGGATCGGACGGTGAGGGCATCAAGCAGCGGCGGGGGTATCGAATAAACACTGATGGGGCGGGAAAGGACGTTCGTTGCCGCCATACTTGCTGTTCCGCCGAGCGTGTAGTTGTGCAAGGACAAAGGAGGATGCAAGCGTTAAATATGGATGACAAACGGGCAGGTTTGCTGAAAATGCTGTGGTGGAGGGATCGAGTAGATACGTCAGAGGTCTGGAGACTCGAAAAGTGAGGCTGACACTGCCGATTGGCCCATGTCAGGGTGAACCCGTGCGCGTCGTCGGTTCCGGTGCGTCGTGCGTTGCGTTGCACTGCGCACTAGGGCCAGGACAATCAGCGTCGACTTGTCACGATCTTCTTCTCGATCTCTCTTCCCCTCCATACCCTACATCACCAACTAGCACCCTATCTTCACCACCATGGCCGAGCAGCTTGTGAGTACTTACTGCTGCTACCGCATGCCAAGACTACAGCTACGAACCGCCGAGCTTCGCCCCGGCGGTTCAACTGCGCCACGTTTCGCGCGCAGCTGGCAGTTATCATGACGCACCTCCATCAAACCCCACGACACGCACGCTGACATCGCAGACCAAGGGTATGTGTACCCGTCTCGAAGCGGATTATGATGGAACGCGTAGCTGACATGTTCTCTTCACGCGTGCAGAGCAGATTGCCGGTATGTTGTTGTTATCTTGCCCCTAGCCGAAGCTAATCAATGCAGAGTTCAAGGAGGCTTTCTCCCTCTTCGACAAGGGTGCGTATGCAGGAGCGAAGTGGAGCAGAGTAATCAGCGATCGTCGCATACTGACGCAGATCTTCCCCTCGCCAATGTGCACACTGTGAATTGCTCGCCAAATACTCCTGCGTTCCCGTCTTTCCGTTCATCAAACAGATGGTGACGGAACCATCACCACCAAGGAGCTGGGCACCGTCATGCGCTCCCTCGGCCAGAACCCCACTCAGGCTGAGCTCGAGGACATGATCAACGAGGTACGTAGCTCCCCGAGCTCTGGCGGGGTCGTCTCATGGTCCCCAGTGCTGATGCGCGCGTCTGTGTCCTGTTACCCTGGTATCGCCTCGTTTCCTTTACGGCTCGACCACACCCTTGTTCATTGGATTATGTCAATGTCACTGGATTCACCTGGCGTTCATACCGTGCGCTTCCTCACCTTTCGCTCGTGCCTCTTCAGGTTGATGCCGACGGAAACAACTCCATCGACTTCGCCGAGTTCATGACCCTCATGGCCAGGAAGATGCACGACACCGACTCGGAGGAGGAGATCCGTGAGGCTTTCAAGGTCTTCGACAAGAACAACGACGGCCACATCTCCGCTGCTGAGCTGAAGCACGTCATGAGTAGGTTGTCCTTTGAGTACACTCCACTGACACGATAGCCAACCTCGGCGAGAAGCTTTCGGACGACGAGATCACCCAGATGATCCGCGAGGCCGACAAGGACGGTGACGGAATGATCGACTACAACGAGTTCGTCACGATGATGATGGCCAAGGTGAGTTGCCCGCAAGATACAGATCCGCGATGCCGAGTCTCGAGCTAACGGGCAGTAAACGTTCGACTTCTTTGGTAATGACAGTCTTTCTTCGTTTCGACTGTGAACGATAACAGGGATGCAGAGCAGTAGTCGAATGTATGATTGTGGCTTGCAGAATTCGGTGTCCACGTCCGCAAGCCAGCGGGCAGAAGCGTTTCTTTTCTTGGAAGGCGTCCCAGGCACAGACGAAGCTATGTTTAGCAGACATTTCGGGTTCAAGAGGCGGGGGAAGATTGCTTCACTGAGGGTGTCAGCTTGAAAAACCAGTAAGTTGTGGTGCATGTGAGCACCTGGCTGCGCGCAACCCACTCGCACTCGCTGTCGCAAGGCTCGTTGCCGTTGTTGCTAGGATACGCAGTCTGTGGGGTCTTTGGACGCTTGCACAGCGGGGGTGGCGTCTGTGTGGTGAACAACCCCGCATCACGTGTTGTTTCTCCGACAATGATCCGCGCCACCACTATCAACACCGTCATCTACCGTCATCTCCAGGATCTGTCTGTTCTCCAGTTTCGAAGGGCCGATGCTCCTGGCTCAAAGGCTCACCTACTGCTGAGCATGACGACCTCTGCCTTACCGCCAGCCGGCGATTACCCGTATCTGGCGTCGCTCAATGCTGCCCAGCTTGAGGGTGAGCTCAGTGGACGCGGTGGTAGCTAATATCAGCCGTCACATCGCCACCAGAAGTCCCGCTCCAAATACTTGCGGGGCCAGGTTCGGGGAAGACACGAGTCCTGACATGCCGCGTTGCGCATCTCGTCCGATGCCACCGTATCCAGCCGACTGAGATCACGGCGGTGACATTCACGAACAAGGCTGCCAATGAGATGCGCAAGCGCCTGACCGTGCTGCTTGGGGAGAAGCAGGCGGGGGAGCTTGTCCTTGGTGAGCGCAGGACTTGTGACGGTGCTGACTGCTAGGCACATTCCATGCAACATGCGCCCGTTTCTTGCGGCGGTACGGCAAGTGGATTAAGCTCGATCCTTCTTTCACGATTGCTGATCAGGACGACTGGTGAGCTACCATAACCCGACGCTGAGCTGATGAACAGCAAGAAGATTATGAAGAGGCTGCTGAAGGAGCGCAGCGACGAGCTGCAAGAGTTACGCTTGGAGCTCAAGGAAGGAGACGTCTTGAACAGAATATCGAAAGCGAAAGCAAAGGAGCAATCTCCCGCCGACATGCTGAACGCGCTCGAGGAGAGCTCGCAGGGCGACGTCGACGTGCTGGGTCGCATGATCGTGCAGCTGTACGAGGGGTACGACGCAGCACTGCGCGAGGCGAACGCTCTCGACTTCGATGACCTCCTTCTCTTTGGCCTGCGACTGTTTCGCGAGCACCCCAATGTCATCGCGTCGTGCAAGCACATCCTCGTCGACGAGTTCCAGGACACGAACACTATTCAGTACGAGCTCATGGTGTGTTTCGCGCACACTGGTGTCAGCATCGTAGGCGACCCTGATCAGAGCATCTACGGCTGGCGATCGGCCGAGATCGAGAATCTAAACAAGATGACGAAGGACTTCAAGGGCGTCAAGGCTATCCACCTCGAGGAGAACTACCGCAGCACGGGCGCGATCCTCGCTGCGTCGCATGCCGTTGTAACGCAGGGTGAGCCGATGGCTTCGCAGTTAAGCTGACAACAGACAACAAGCGAATACCGAAAAATCTGTTCACGTCGCATCCTCAAAGCACCACAGTGGCGCTTAAGACGTTCACGAACCCGACGCTCGAGGCGGGCTATATCAGCTCAGAGATCAAGCGAATTGTCGCGTACACAGGCGAGATGCTGAACTACAACGACTTCGCAATTCTTCGTAAGCTAGCGTAAAGAACATCTTAGCTGACAGCAGTACGGTACAATGCGCTGTCACGCGTCATTGAGGCCGAGCTGCAGAAGAGCGGAATACCGTGTCGGGTCATAGGGGGCCACAAATTCTTCGAGCGCATGGAGATCAAGGATCTGCTCGCATACTTGCAACTGGCGGATAACCCAAACTTCAACGTAGGCTTGAATAGAGTGGTGACGTGCAGCTGACAGCAGCCTGCATTCATGCGAGTCGTGAATGTGCCGAAGCGCGCTATAGGAGATAAGGTAGCTATTCTCCCGCATCGTGGCTGACGCCAGTCTGTCGCTGAGCTTGTTTCCGCGGCAAAGAAGGCCAAGCTTTCAATGATGGAGTTAGCAGAGAGCATTGTGGACGGCGAAAGCCAAATCACCATCAAACCGGCTTTGAAGAAGAATCTTGCCACATTCGTGGGCATCGTCCGCAAGCTGCGGCGTGCGGCGCTGAAGGGCACGTCCGTCGCCGACCTCATCCGCCTGACGATCGAGAAGACAAATTACGAAGAGTACCTGCGTCCGCAACCCGACTTCGACCAACGTTGGGAGAATGTTCAGGAGCTCGTGAGCATACATTCATTGTACAAGCTAACGATCAGATCAACTACTCTGTCACTGTCGAGGAGGGCAAGGAAGCTAGCACAGATGCTAGCTCGCGGCTCGTCTCAGATCCCGTGGATTTCGTCGCCGCTAGCGAAGTCAAAGCCGCTCCGAAGAAGTTGGAAACAAGTAAGGCGGGTGCGAAGTCCACCATGCATCCCATGTTCAAAAACAACAAGCCACGGCCAACTCGCAAGTCACCGGCAGTCAAGGTTGAGAACGGCGTCGTTGAGCTTCTTGACAGCGACGACGAGGATCTGGACGACGGTTCGATCGAGGCGGCGGACCCCGTGGAGGACAGCGAACAGTAAGCTCCCATCAGATCGGGCCAAGCTAACCATAGACTCACTCCCTTGCGGTACTTCCTTCAAACGTCGATGCTGTCCACCGATGCCCAAGTGGAGGAGGACGAGGCGGACAAACCAGTGAGTGCAGCTAGGGGAATTATGCCGTCAAGCTGACGCGATGCAGAAAGTCACAATCTCCACCGTTCATTCTGCTAAGGGGCTCGAGTGGCCCGTCGTCTTCATTCCAGCTAGTAAGCTTATGCGCGTGGAAACGAAGCTGACATAGCAGTGGAAGACTCGACTTTTCCCTCCTGGCGAAGTACAGAGGAGCACGAAGTGGCCGAGGAGCGGAGGCTGCTTTACGTCGCTATGACACGCGCCCAGACGTTCCTGGTGAGCTGGTTCACACCGCGCGCGAGCTAACATCAGACCATGACCCACTGTCAAGCTCGTATGGCTGGAGGCGAGGTTAACAACCGAATCATCAGTCCATTCGTCAACGCAGTCTTGAAGAAGCAGCCTGATGTTCTCACCTCCTCGTTGCCGGAGATCACAGCAGAAGTGCGTCAGGCTGTCGCAAGCATCGTCGGCCGCACACTCGCCGATGAGGAGGTGACTCGCAAGCTGATCGCGAACTACGTTCGCTTCGCCCCTCCGCCGAGCACATGGGATGCACCAGACCCCGACTCGCGCATTTACAATCGCTTCGGCCGTCGGGATGGGACTGGCAAGATGGCGCGGGGTATCGAGTACTGGAACTCGGAGTTCGACGACTATGCGCTTCCTGGTGAAGGTGGCGCGCCATCATACAACATGGGCGCGCCGCGCGGCTTCACTTCCATCGCCAGCGCGAAGTCGCTCCTCCGTCAACCTCAGGCCCCTGCGGCTCCCAAACCACCACCTGTCAAGTTAAAGAGCTCAAACTACGGTTTACCAGGCCCTGTTCCCTTCACGTTTGGTGGAAGGGAGGAACACAAGCCGACCGACTTAACGTCGTTCACTTCCAGCGCCAATAGCGGTCTCGCTGCCATGAAGTCGTTAGGCATGGACTTGGGCGAGCCCGACATCAGCAGCAAACCAAACAGCGGCATGTCTGCATTGGGCGGACGCCCCGCTCAACCCCCAAGCGCGGGGGGCTCTGTTCCGCTCGCTCGGGGAACAAAGCGACTCGGAATGGGACGTGCTCCGTCATCGTGGGGCGCGAAGAAAGCGAAACAGTAGGCACTCGAGCGCAACGTTGTATCACACTTCACTGTTGTCATGTAGCATATCACGACGGATTCTCCCTCCCAAGCACATAAGCATACCACATTATTGCACTTTACGTATTCGTAGATCACTCAATTCATGCATAGCGCACGACAGAAGTCGTGGGAATGCATCACAGGGCACGCACAGATGCAAGTGAATTGACGCATGCACACGAGGGAGGAAGCGCACATTGCGCACATTGCGTGACCCTGACGCCCGTTCCTTCGCGACTGCTTTTCTATCATGTACCGAGGCACACCGTCATGTTAGGCGTAAACAAGCCCATGGTGGTTGACGGTGGTGGGAGGGGGCGCAGGCGACACAAACCTAAACAAACAATCTGTGCCAACGCCTCTTTTCCAGCTTTGACAGATCACTCAAACACCCCAGCTCGACAACTACGGCTGCCCGACTCGGTCCATCGCTCAGTCGCTTCGCAGCATGCCGCTCGCGTGCACCTGCAACACCTCCGCGCTCTCCTCAGAGAACGGTGGCAACGACGCCACGCTGCCGTTTGACGTCATTCCACCACTCCCCTTCTCTTCCTTCGACATGAGCAACAACACTACACGGAACGAAGACTCTCCACGACGAGCGATGGACGGGGGTTCGAGAACAGATACGCCAAGGACATCTCAATCGCGCCGAAGACGGGAAACGACAGTAGCATCAAAGGAGGCTGAGCCTTCCTCCATCAACCCGCACTCCGACGCCTCAAGCCGCTCGCACGATCATGACCACGGCTCTTCCCCCATTAACCGCTCACAGAACGACCTTGCGTCCCACCCTGATGGGTCCTCCAATGGCTCGGGTGAGCCTTCGCAGTCTCAACAGGCCAAGCAGCGCCCGTCGGCACCAACCTCCGGCTCAGAACTGTCAGACGACCGGCGCCGCATGGCACGCAACCTGCTCCGCCTGCCGGGTATGAGGCAAACCATAGGATACGCCACGCGAGGCATCGCGAAGAAGAAGGTGCGCCGCGTAGTCGCCCGCGGCAAGGCAAAGCTGAAGCAGGCTTTCATGCGTGCTGGTGACGATAAGTCGAGCGGCGGCGCCCGCGGTTGGCGAAAGGCTAAGCGGCGCACGAGCAAGGCGTATTCCTCTTGCTCCTCCCGCGGCGACCGTGCCGCCAAGTGGGTCCACAATCAGAGCTACAGGAGCGCCGGACAGCACAACTCTCCCCGCTCGCCCGACAGCTCGGGCAGATACAGATACAGCTTCCAGCTCTCCTCGCCGTCGGTGGGTGACGATAGCCGCGAACACGACAGAAGCCTCAGCCTGAGCTTTGGCTCGCCGACACTCGACTTTTCGGCCCCCGACTCACAGTCCACGCCTACCAAGCGTGGTCGAAGAGTCAGAGCGCCCAGTATCACCGAATCGCTCGCTTATGAAGAGAGCCAGGAGCAGTGGCGGCAGTCGGAGCAGAGTCTCGGCATTCTAGTGCTGCAGGACAACTCGCCCACCTCCGCGAAACAACCAGGTAGCTTAAATTACCGCGTTTGCAACTGACAGCCAGAGTCGAGTCGCAGGTCGCCGACCCGCCGAAACAAGTACAGCACGACAGCTGAAACGGAGTCGGACGAGGAGGGTGAGTTGATTAGCGTTCGTTGAGTTGACTTGCAGGAACGTCTCACCAGCCAACGCCAGAGCGTTCGCCCAAGAAGTCCCCTCAGCGTTCGGCGAGTAACCAACACTCGCCACTCGTCAAAAGCATACTAAAGAAGCGTGACGATATGCCCTGCTCGCCTGAACTCGGTGAGATGCGCGACCTCCCCGACTCGCCGACGCCCAACCTCCGCTCCCAGCGGTCGAGGAGCGGCGCAACGAATGTCCCCCAACCGCCACCCAAACTCCCATCTGGCAAGATCGGATCGACGCACGTCGTGAAAGTACCCAGCATGCCGCCTTTGCCGCGCAAGCCCTTTAGCGAGCCCGACATCTTCTCCAGCTTCAAGAGTAACGTGAAGCGCAATGCGCAAAGCAAACTCGGGCTCGGCGCACCTCGCACGCGTACGAAGCTGTATATGAGTCCGCCGCCACGCAACAAGTCTGGCGGACTCATGCGCCGCCTGTCCGAGGAGCTCGTCAGGAGGAGCCACAATGACACGGCCGATGACTCAATCACCTCGGAAGAATCATTTGGAGATGACCAAAGCTTCGACTACAGCAACGAGTCACGCCCGTGGGAGGGTCTGTATCCCGGCGTTGTGGAGCAGATGCGCATCGATGTCGCTATCCTCGATGAGCTCGAGACCGACGAACTCGCGCACCTCATTTTCGTCATGGCGGACAAGATCAAGTCGGAAGAGCAAGCGGGGAAGTCGAAGGCTGCGCGTATCGTGCAACTCGAGCGCCAGCTCGGTAAGACCGCCCCTACCCCCGATGCCGTTCCGGTCATTACGGTGCTGGACGAGGACTCGCGCGAAGTCCCCCCAGATGTGACTGAGACGTTCAGCGACACGCCGAGCTACCTGGACGAAGACAGCGAGCTGCCTCAGCTCCGCTCCCAGCTGCTGGTGCGGGACACGCAGATCGGCATTCTGGAGCGTAGTGTCGAGGAGCGTGATGCGCAGATCGACAAGCTCGAAGCACAGCTCCGCGAGTGCGAGACGCAAGCCTGCGCCTGGGCAGAGAAGGGGAGCAAGCAGCAGCTCGCTCTGGTTGAGAAGGAGCGCGACATCGCCAACCTCCAAGTTGCAGTTGAGGAGCATCGGGCTGCTGCCACAGAAGCACGGAAACAGCTCAAGGCGAAGGAAGCGGTGTACGCCCGCCTGAGCGCTGAAGTGGAAGAGAGGGAGCGCCTTAATCTCGCTTTACAAAGTGAAGTCGAGGCAGCCGAAGCCGAGATCGCGGCCCTGCAGGCAGACGTCGTCGAGCGCGAAGCCCGGATCGCCCGCCTCGAGCTGGAAGCGGAGGAGCGCGAGGCAGAGCTCGCGGATGTCACGCTTGCGCTGGAGGAGCTTGAGGAGGAAGGACGGTATGCTGACGCTGCCGAGTCGATCGATGGCGACGGGCACGAGCTGCAGCATAGGGTTAGCACCCGCGAGCTGCTCGAAGGTATGGAGGCGCTGCGCCTCGCCAACGACGAGGCGGCGGCGGACCTGGGCTCGGTCCGGTCTCAGCTCCGCGATGCACTCAAGAATGCGGCAGAGTACAAAGCGCGCGCGGCAGAAGCTGAAGACGAGGCCGACAAGGCCCGCAGTGCTGCCGATCGGGCTGAAGCGACTCTGCGCAAAACCCGCACGCTCGTCGCCGAGTCCCACCGGCAGGCGCACGAGGCTATCCACCGGGCTCAGACTACGCCGCCGTCACCACCTTCATCCGGTTCCGCCACCTCCAGCGCACTTTCCGAGGCCCGCTCTGCGGTGGCTGAGTCGCTCGCGGCGGAGCTTGCTACCGCGCAAGCATACTCGGCCACCCTTGAATCGCGCCTGTCCGAGCTTCAACTCTCACTCGAGTCTGCCAAGCTCGACTCCTCAAAGTTTGAGCGTCTGTACGAAGCGCACAGCGCCGAATCCACCGCGACGTCCAAGGAGATGCTGGCGCTGAAGGACGAGATGGAGAAACTCCGCACCGCCTCAGCCGATGCGGACATGAAGGTCTTCTCCCTCGAGAAGACGATCCATGATCTCGAGCTAAAGATTGAGGAGATGACTGTGCTCATCTCGAGCTACGAGATTGAGCGCCAGCTGATGACTCCAAAGGGTACGCCGAGGGGTACGCCGCGCGGCACTCCCGCTGGAACCCCTCATCGCGCCGGAACACCGCACAGAGCCGGTACGCCGAGTCTGAGGCAGTTAGCTACAACACCTAAGACGGCCCGCTCGCTTAGAAAGGAGCTGAGCGAGACCAGGAGCGAGACGCCGACACCCACGCCGTCCAAGACCCGCGTGCGCAAGTTGGCTACGCCCGTGGCACTCCCCAAGCGCGAGCCCTCCATCGCCCGTACGTCTTCTGTGCGCGAGGGCGTCGTCCGCAACTCCTCGCTGAAGGAACCCTCCGTGACTCGCAGTGCATCTATGCGGGACTCGGGCATCTCGCCACTTCGAGCGAGTACGCGGGCCAACGTGTCCACGACCTCTACGGACAGTACTGAGAGCGAGAAGGAGAAGAAGGGCGAGGAGAAGAAGGAAAGGAGGAGCAGCAAGATATACGCCCAAGCTGCTGCGAATGGAAGTAAGCTGCCGAGGGGCAGGTATAGTGTTATCAGGCCGTGCCGCGTCATGTCAAGCGAGGACGAGATGTAAGCGGAGAGCCGGCAGTGTCATGTTCATAGTGTCTAGTTTTGTTGTACGCATATTCATAGTGCATGTGTTCACAACTGTACAAAGTTCGACTGCCTTGTATGGTTGCCAGGGGTGCTGAGGGGTAGGGAACAGGCAAAGGCATTCCGTATGCCCTGCTAGTAAGGCCGAACAGCGCTCTGGCATGAGGTCGAGCTGGTTGGGAAGCTGCTCACTGCCAGCGTCCCGGTATTGTCCTCCCTCCGACGATGGGCGTCGCAATCGCCTCTAAGCTAGAGCGGAGAGTTTCGCAACCTGACATCTCCTCGCACAGTGTAGCCTCTTAGGCACTCCGCTCATACCGGGCCACAACGAGAGGGTGACAAAAGATACTGGAGACGAGGTATGCTCATTCCATACTTAACACAAACGTTGTTCCACTCCTCCCTCCCTCCCTCCCTCTCTCCCTCTCCGTTGCCCGCCCTGGTCAGGCCGGATACCAATGTTGGAAAGGGGCCGCGGTGTCCGCGGTCTTGCCCTCTCAGCGATGTACGGGCTGCAGGGTGAGCAGTATGGGATGGGACAAGGCGCAGCGGTGCGCGGTGCGACCGACCTTTAGCGATGTCTCACGGACGAGTGACAAGTCAGTCTCATTCGCCACTCATCCTCCCACTTGCCTGGTTACCACTCCACTGGCTCCATTCTCCACTCTCCGCCCCTCTTTGTCCTCATCTGAGAGACATCACGGAGGACAAACTTGCCCTACATTTCTGAGAACAACGAGCTCCGCCCATTCCGAAGAACTGATGCATGATTCCGCGAGTCCCGATGGTCGGCGGTATGGTCCGGCCAGTCCGGACGGTCAGCGCGGGCAGCGCGGGCAGCTTGTAGTGAACATTGGTGGTGCACTACGCTGGCGTCTGGGCCTGTCTCTGGACACTTGGGTCCTGGGGAGCTCATCACCGGCTTAGCCAGCTTTGCCCACTGGTCGAGCGCCCGCCAAAGTCTCTGGCGCCATCGTGTTTAGTTTGTGTCTCGTACTCCCCGTTACCAGAGCTGCCGCTGCCCTCGCTCATTGCTGAACGCCACTATTGTCGCCTTCGCTACTTTGCTCTGCTGGGCGCTTCGCGCCTCGCGCTCACCGCATACACGGATACTCCTACATGCAGGATGGTGTCAAAATGCTCTTGGCTGCTATATACGCCTGATACGGGATTGCCGGACTGTCACGCTGCACGCTCACGTCTAGTCACTCGCGAGCAGCTCGGTCCAGACGAGGACGGGGCGCACTGCGCTCCGACCGTTTCGTTCGCTCGCTCGCTCGCACGCTCGGGCGGGGAGCCGGGAGCGTCGCCGCCTCCACCGCGGCACCGCGCGGCGGGGCCTGGCCCTTGAGAGTTGGAAAGGAAATGCAGACGGGATAATGTGATTGTAGTGGGGGCTGTGGGTGTGGATGTGGGTGTGGATTCGAGTGGTAACGTAGGTATTTTGTAGCAGAAAAAGTCAACTGTTGTTACATTTCCTCGTCGGTCCGGCGAGCAAGCGCACTCGTCTTGACGGGCGACGAGCCAAAGTTGCCGTGGTGGATCGGGTATGAGGACTGGGGAGGAACGCCTTCACGGAACGTTCCCGGGGGAGAAATACGAGAGTGGCTGCGGGGAGTCAGCGCTGCCGCACCAAACGCCTCTGCGCACCTTTCAGAGCCCCTACGCTGGTGAGAGCCAGGGATACCCATGGCCTCACTCTCGGCGGCGGGAGAGATACCCATGCCGACGATTGCTTGTGACGGACGGCGCGCGGCCTGGTCCGGGATTGAGTTCGAGTTGGTGGGCGAGGAGGAGAGTTGGCCGTTGGTGGGGGGAGAGGCGTGCGGGACACTGCAGGGATCAGTTTCATTCTCCTTCAGCAGTGGTTGTTCGCCCGACGGCAGTGCACTAACCCTTCGGGGGTAGGGATCGCAGTGCCAAGAGGTTGAGGGGGCGAGACGCCGGCCTTGGACATCATGTAGTCGCCCGAATCAAAGTACTTGCGCTCCTGCGAGAATCGTCAGCTAATCGGGTTCCTGTGCATGGTCGGGGCCATCGGGGAAGGTGAATGCAGCCTAGAAGGTCCAGACATGACAGACGGTAAGAGGGGCGCAAGAGTCCCATCAGAGCACGGGCTCAGAGTTCGTACCCTTCCCGTCAATGCCCCGGTAGTATGCTCACCTTGTTGATCTTACTCAGGAGGTTCTTCTGGGGAAGCTTTCCGTACATCTGGAAGGCCTTCTGCTCCTGCTCGTTCAGTTGCTGTGGGCATGGTCAGTGCTCGATTCAACAAAATTAGGATGCAAGGCATGTGGTCGGTGCACAGGTCGCAGCGGCGGGAAATGATGGATGGGCTGGGTGGGTGGTTAGGACACATACCGAGAGGTCGACCTTGTTCTGTGGTACTGTCAGCGGACGTCGACGTCATAGCCCTGACGGCCCCAGGAATGGCGGTGGCCAACTCACCATCTTGTGCGGATTCATGTTGGATGGCGATGGCAAGAGTTATGCGAGATGCGAGAAGAGGTAGATGGTGGAGAGAAAAGTAAGGCTTGGGTCCGGGGGTCACGCGGACTAGGTGTGCACGTGTCGAAGAATGTTGAACCGCAGCTGGAGCTAGACGGTTGGAGAGAGTGGACGGCGGTGAGCGCAGCAAGTAAGGGTTGGGAGAGAGGTGGGGGAGTGTCTAGGGCCCAGTCGGAGGCGAGTATATGTACGAGCTGGGTAGGAAGATAAGGTGACGATGGGAGAGTGTACCGATGAGAGATAGGGGGGATGTGGTGGTAGGGGGTAGGGTCGAAAGGATGAGGTCGGCCGTGTAGAAATCAGAGAATGAGGCGCTCCGTCGCTCCGTCCCGAACAGGTGCAGGTGTGGTTGGGAAGGAAGCGAATCGGTCGCTTAGGCTTCAGGTGCGAGCTGTCGTTGTCGCTGCTGTGTGATTGCGGGTACAACCAGATGAGCGGCGCGGGTGTGGTCTGGGCTGGGGAGTAGGCAGAGTGCTGAGGGTAGAGGGAGAGGAGTGATGGAGAGAAGATAGATGCAGGTTGGATAGGTTGGTATCTGGGAGAGAGATGTGTGTTCGTTCGCTGGCTGGGTGGTAGAGATGGATGAGGAATGAATGGCGAGGCGAGCCCTAAGTGGAAGGTCAGTTAGATATCACTTGGGTTTCCAGGGAAGGAGGCCGCAGAGGATGACCTGAAAGCCCGCATAACCTGCAGTGCTCATGCCGAGGTCAGGGAGCCTTGTCAGGAGTCCAAGACCCTCAGGGCACACACTAAAGACTGAGCCACCGAGCCTGAAGTCTGCGTCTGACGCTGGTGCTGCACTCCAGCTACTCCAGGCGTCGACTCTCCTCTAGCGATCCTGCGCCCCAATTATTACCCGAAAAGGAAACTTTTGTCGCCCTCCAGGCCCAATCAATGTAGAATCGTTCCTCGCGCCAGTCCCTGGGCGAGTTCTCTCCTCACCCTCTGCCCCCATGCCCTTGGCCCGGGTCCTGGACCGCGCCGCATCCCCCTGCCCAGCAGACTGCAATTGCAGCAGCGCTCTCCACCCCGCCTAACATGGGTTTCGTTCACTCACTACTGCGAGCCAGCGTTAACGACATTGATGGCCCTCCTCTACCTGCGCTGAGCAGAATGTCGATAGGGATGTCAGATAGGCTCCAGATCAGACTCAGGCTCAGGCTCGACTTATTAGCTCAGCATGCTCAGCCTGCTGAGACAGGCAATCAGCCGGGTTTCCGGGACCACGTTGCGCGTGCTGAAGTGAGGGATGTGCTTCGCTGGCAGCTGGCGGAGGGGAGATCCAGGGTCCGCGCGGTGCCGAAGGGTCTGGACATCTAGACGGTTTGAGACTAGCAGCTTAATCGTGGTCTCATCTACCTCATCTTCGATCTCGAGCGCTGGCTGCAGCACGTTGGCCATTGGTACGTTGGACCGCGCAGCGCGTCTGCGTAAGCAAAAAGCTAGATCCCACAGAGCGAACTGCATTGCATTACGGTGGAATTACATGATCGCCCTTGTCCCTAAATCCCTCACCATAACTCAGGTCTGTCCTCTGACCAGCTGACCTCTTTCCCCTCGCCTCCGTCGCCTCTGATTCCTGCACTCTCCTCACAGCCGCCGCCGCCGCCTCGAAACGACCAGTTCCTAGGCTCGGAGTCGCCCGTCCCCGACATGGTGTCTTCCCTGGATGGAGGTGTTTCTCGCGTGTTTGATCACTGGGTGGGGCAGAGGATTGAATCATTAACGATCCTTGTTCTCTCGCTGATTGCGTTTCTCTCAATGGTGGCCAGTCGCTGGCGCAGGTATCAGGCGCTTCGATGGCTGCGAGGCTCGCCAGGCTTGCCTGGCTGACTTGGCTCGTCTGCAGCGACCTCCAGAAACCCTCACCCTGTATTCTAGGAACCAGGCACAGAGGGTGACGTCGTATCAAGCACGTCTGAAGTCTGCGACGCACTCTGAGTCCCTCAAGCCGCGCTCACCATAGCTGCAACCTGCGACGGTGGTTCCTCGCTCGCTTCAGACTCCCCATCAGCCGTGTGCCCTGCCCAGCTTGCCGTTTCTGGTATGCTGGCGGCATTCTCGACGACTTACAGTTGCTTCATGCCGTTGATCTCGCTTTCTTGGTCCGTGAAACCCCGTCCGACTGCTGCTTCGGCCGTCTTAGCTCGCTCTGAATTCTCCTCCACGAGATCCTTCTCTCCCAGCGCACTCGCTTCTCGCCCAGGGTAGGCTGAGACCGATCACTTGGCTCCACTTAACCCTCATCCATGGGCTTTATTCGCTCCTCCCGGTTATCCGGAACGCACGCGAGCGGCACTGCAAGCCGTTCTCCGCTACCTCATGACACGCCTTGAACAAGGTTGGTCCGCCTACCTTGTCATGTCGAACCGAGCCCTGGCTCCTTGTCTGCAATGTCCTTTGCATCATTCAGTGGCAGATCCCTCCCCACTATCCCCGAGGGTGGGCTGCGGACTCCCTGCCCCACGCCGAAGGGGATCATCAGGGGTCTCCTGACGACCTGCCATACTTTGCTCCCAATGGAGTACGCTAGGCAGGAGCGGTCCGGGCTCCGACGGGGAGCTCCATCCTGGCTCCCCTCTCCACCATGACGGACAGTCTGCTGAACCAGTGGCATGCTTGAGGACCGGATCGCCACAAGCTCCAGCTACCATCTCCCCTGTGGACTGGATGATAGGCCTGGGTGATCGGCGTAGAAAGCCTTTGCAATCCTAGCTCTACGATAGGCACGTAGGCAACTGCAGGTAATCAGGCCCCTTCATTTGCCACCTCGGCGACCTCCGAGATCCTGGCTGAATCCACTGTGGGAAGGCTACCCGGTGTATATCCACCCACTTCTGGCTTCCTTGAGCACGAGTTTTTTGTACCGAGTAGTGCACCTGAGCTCCTTTCAGTTTGCCGCGCACTTTCCCGTATTTCGGGAGTCGCGAGTCTCGTGGAGCAGAAGTGTGACTCCTCGGCGCCGCTTGATCCGACCCGTCCTGGATGGTTGCACATGGGTCTGCGCCAAAATATCAACATCCTTCACCACACATTGCCAACCCGTGCCAACGCCGAGAAGGGCATCGGAATGCACGTGATGGCTGTTCACATGACCCCCGATGGAGCTTGCTCAGCCAGATCTTGCAAGAGCTCGACGACTAGCTTTGGATGGAGATGCACCTCCTATCTCTCTACTGCGGCCTTATCTCTGCCACAGTGCCACCACGTAGCCTGCCTATCGTCGGGTTCTGAGCCACACGCTATTGGCGCTACTGGCGATCGCGCTATCACACGCTGTAAGCACAGTGCGCTCACGCAAATTGACAGTGGCGTGTGTGGATCTGTTTGTGAACTGGAAAGCTATGAGGCACCGTACGGTGGAACAGTCATAGTCTCGCTTTCATCTGGGCACTTGTCACTCACACCGTAACTCTCACCGATCACCGAGTCTGGAGCCCTCTGGAGCTCTGGAGCCGGGACACCGTTCTAAGCGCTCGAACTTTTTTCCAAACAGTCCAGTCAGGTTGACTCGACTTTGACTCAGAAGTGTTCGTATATAGCAGCAATGCATGATTTCGCATCCGAGACCGGGAAGGAGGCAAGGTGAGATTCAGGTGTCTGTGTGCATATGTCCGGGTCCCCAGCGAGCTCCATTCGGCGAGGAGGCCGAAATAGCAACAGCCAAGGATCCCAAGCAGTGTCCATACGGGTGCATGTCGGCGACCTGCCGATTCTGGCTGTCCTGGCTGGCCAGAGCTTTACTATGGACGGGCGGTTTTGGCTGACTGAAGGCAATATCCGCCGGGTCCGATTAAGTCGCGTGCCTGTACAATCATCACCGTAGGTGACCGTGGTTCACCGGATGAGTCACTTGCCCAAAAGTTGGCTGCGGCTGATCATTCTCCTAGACACGCGTGCCGCCGCCGCCTCCCGGCAACATGTAGTTCGCGTCCCTGGTGCTATCTTGGTCTTCCTCTTCATCCCACTTCTCGTCTTCCTCACCACTCAACCACTCCGCTATACCATGCCTCTCGAGGCATTGGGCCTTGCTGCCTCCCAGCATGCTCAGAGCGTCTTCAACATCGGATACGCATTCGCCAAGCACAAGAAGGAGAAGCCTCAGTACGTTTGTTGACGATTCTGTCAGCTCGCGCGACCACATTCGTGACGGTACGCTGACTGCCAGCCCTACCCCTCTGATCTTCCCCCACACTCTTTACATCCTCCCATGTCTCGTTTTGCTTTCGCTGCTCTGGTTCGGTCTCAAGTGGGCTGCGCCGAGGGTCTACGCCAAGGTTCGCTCGTGCGCCACCCGAAGGCAGCCGATCTTCCTGGGCGACGACGATGAAATCGAGCCCGACGTCGAAGTCGTCGAGAACGTCGAGCCGCCCCCCTGCATGCCTTCGCAGGGTTTATGGGCCGACCTCCGTTCGCACTGGAGCAACCTCCGCTCCAACGGCACCATCATAGTGTTCCTTGACCTCTTCAGGACCTTCCTCGTCGCCGCCCTTCTCGCCCTCAGCATTTACGCCGCCATTCTCGCCGATGGACCTCCTCCCTATGATGAGGACACTTCCAGCGCCCCCGGCGGTGCTTTTGAGGCGCTCAAGAAGAAGAAGAAAAAGAAGAACAAGTCCACCGTCGACGACTACTCCAGCCTTGAGTGGGGAGAGATGGGATGCTGCGTCTTCTACGTGAGTTTTCAAGGTCTGCGCGGCGAACTGACTCGCAGCTTTACGTCCTCCTGCTCTCGTTCATGGTGCTCGCGCTTTCGCGAACCAAGCTGCGCCGCAATCTCACGAACCACATTGACATCCTCCTCGCCATCGCCTTTGGCATCTACGCCTACCGCGATATCTGGCCGGAGCTGACGTACTACCTGTCGCCCTCTGACCTCAACAACTGGGTCACCTGGACTCGCATCGGTATGCTCTTCCTCGCCGGTATTGTGACGCCGCTCGTCCGCCCCAGGACCTACGTTCCTGCCGACCCTTTGGCGCCCACGCCTCCGGAGCTCATCCATCCCGAGCAGACCGCCTCGCCGTTCAACTTTGTCTTCTACAACTTCATGACCGAGCTGATCCGCAAGGCTTGGAAGACGACCGCTCTCCCTTACGATGACCTGCACCCCCTTGCCGACTATGACCGCGCCTCGCACCTCTACGGCAAGCACATGCACAAGCTCGACCCCATGCGCCGCAAGGAGAAGGGCTGGAAGAATGTGCACCTGTTCTGGAACCTCCTCCGCACGTTCCGCACGGAGTTCTTCTGGGCGGGTGTCATGTGCGCCCTCACCGCAGTCTGGGAGATCACTCCCACCGTTGCTCTTAACCGCCTCCTCAACTACATCCAGGCCGAGGGCAAGGGCGCAAAGATCAAGCCGTGGGTGTGGATCGCCCTCCTCTTCCTCGGCCCGACCGATGTGCATCCAGTACTACGTCTTCATCATGACCCGCTGTCTCGTCCGCGCTGAGGCTCTCCTGACCCAGCTCCTGTTCGACCACGCCCTTCGTCTCCGCATGAAGGACACCGTGGAGGACGAGAAGCAGCCGGACGCCGACGTTCCCGAGATTCAGGTCGAGGAGGTTGAGGAGCAGAACGGCCACTTCAACGGTGAGGCCAACGGCGAGACCAACGGTAAGGACAACAAGAAGGAGGCTGAGCCCGCGCCGGTCAAGGCTCCCCAGCAGGGCATCATCGGCCGCATCAACGTCCTCATGTCGCAAGACATCGAGTCGCTCGTCGAGGGCCGTGACATCCTGCTTTTCCTTGTCTACACGCCCACCTCGCTGATCCTCTGCATGTACATTCTGTACCAGATGCTCAGCTGGAGTGCCCTCTTTGGAGTCATCGCCCTGCTGGTCACACTTCCTCTCCCCGGCTGGATCACCAAGCTCTCTGCCGGTGTCCAGACCGCTAAGATGGAGTCCACCGACGCCCGTGTCGACACTGTCACAGAAGCTATTGGTGCTCTCCGCATCATCAAGATGTTTGGCTGGGAGGACAGGATCAAGGCTCGCATCTCCGCGAAGCGTGAGGAGGAGCTCGTCCTGACCTGGAAGCGTCGTCTCCTGAACCTGTGAGTTGCCAGCGAGTTGATCGCGCTAACTCTACCCAGTATTAACAACGTTGTTAATCTGATCCTCCCTGTTGTTACGATGACAGTCTCCCTCGCCTCGTACACTCTTATCCAGAAGCGGCCCCTGGACGCTGCCACCGTCTTCACCAGCATGGGTATCTTCGAGATGCTCAAGGACCTCTTTGGTATGACCTTCTGGATGGTCAACCAGTACATTACCTCTGGCGTTTCCCTCAACCGTATCAACAAGTTCCTGAACGAGACCGATATGATTGATGCGTTCAGCCCGGGTGCTCAGCTCGACTTCCAGCAGACCCCCGAGCAGCTGGCTGCCATTGACGACGGTCTCATTCGCCTCAAGGACGCCGTGTTCGCCTGGGGCAAGGACTCGGAGAACAAGAACGTCATGAACTTCCGCCTCAACATTCCCGACGTGACCTTCCCTAAGGGCGAAGTCAGTCTCATCTCTGGTCCTACCGGCAGCGGCAAGTCGTCGCTCCTCAAGGCGCTCATCGGTGAGCTGCACTTTGAGGGCAAGCCTGGTTCGTTCTTCCACCTCCCTCGCCAGGGCGGCGTCTCGTACGCTGCTCAGGAGAGCTGGTGCCTGTCTTCGTCTATCCGTGACAACATCCTGTTCGGCAGCCCGTACGACGAGGCTCGTTACCGCAAGGTCATCCACGACTGTGCTCTCGAGCCCGACCTCAAGATGTTCGATGATGGTGACCAGACTGAGATTGGTGAGAAGGGTGTCACTTTGAGTGGTGGCCAGAAGGCTCGCATCACCCTCGCTCGTGCCATCTACGCTCGCACTGCCACTGTTCTCCTTGACGACATCTTCTCGGCTCTCGACACGCTCACCTCGCGCTTCATCATCGACAACCTCTTCAAGGGCGACCTTATCGAGGGCCGCACTGTCATCCTCATCACGCACCACACTCACCTCGCTGCACCGATCGCCTCGTACATTGTCACCTTGAACGAGAACGGTGTCGTCACTCACGCCGGTCCTGTTGACTCGACCTGTGTCTCTGCCTCGAGCTCTGCTACCGACATCTCTGAGCAGAAGAAGGAGGTTGAAGAGGCCAAGGACGCTGCTGCTACTGAGGCGAACGACAAGATCGGTAACACCGAGGAGACCAAGAACAAGCTCATCCAGGACGAGGAGAAGTCCGAGGGCCGCATCTCGCGCAAGGCTCTGTTCCGCTTCTTCGGCTCGTTCGGAGGTGCTACGTTCTGGATTCTCTTCTGGGGTCTCCTCTTCGCAAGCCAGGTTTTGGCCGCTCTCCAGCCCTACTGGCTCGGTCTCTGGGCTCGTGCCTACCAGACATCGTCCAGCCCCACCACCGTCGACCCCGTCTTCTGGCTCGGCTGGTACATGATCTGGGTGGTGCTCGGCACTCTCTCCGTCGCCCTCGCCACCGTCCTGTACTACCAGGGCTCGATGCGCGCGTCTCGCATCGTCCACGCCCGCCTCGTCGACAAGATCTTTGGCTCGTACCTCCGCTTCCTTGACACTACTCCCGTCGGCCGCATCATCTCGCGCTTCACGAAGGACATGAAGCAGATCGACGGCAACTTCACCGAGACCGCTATCGGCGTCTTCACTATGACCATGGGCATGCTCATCAAGTTTGTCTCCGTCGTTGTCCTCGTTCCGCTCTTCTCGATCCCCGCCATCGTCATTGGCCTCATCGGCGCGTTCATCGGCGAACTGTACATCCACGGTCAGCTCTCCGTCAAGCGTGAGATGTCGAATGCCAAGTCGCCTCTGTTCTCGCACCTGTCTGCGTCGATCAATGGCATTGTTTCGATCCGCGCGTACGGCGCCCAGGAGCAGATCAAGCGCGAGACTCAGGCCAAGGCCGACAAGTACACTCGTGCCGCGACTGCGTTCTACAACCTCAACCGCTGGGTTACTATCCGTATCGACATGCTCGGCGGTGTCTTCTCGGCCCTTCTTGCCTCGTTCCTCATCTACCTGTCGCCCCTTGACCCTTCGGACGCCGGTTTCGCTCTCCAGCAGGCCATCTCGTTCTCGATCATGATCCTTTGGTGGGTCCGCATGATCAACGAGATGGAGGTGCAGGGCAACTCGGTCGAGCGTATCGAGGACTACATGGTCATCGACCAGGAGCCTCCCAGCATTCCCGAGCGCAAGCCTCCTGCCGCTTGGCCTACGTCTGGTGAGGTTGTTCTCGAGAACCTCTGCGCCAAGTACTCCGAGGATGGCCCTACCGTGCTCGACCACATCAACGTGCGCATCGCTAGCGGCGAGAAGATTGGTATCGTTGGTCGCACCGGCAGCGGCAAGTCCACTATGGCGCTTGCCCTCCTGCGCATGATCCCTACCAGCGGCGAGGTCTACATTGACGGTATCCGCACCGACAAGATCAACCTCCACGACCTGCGCAGCAATGTCACGATTATTCCCCAGGACCCCATCCTGCTCAGCGGCAGCCTGCGCTTCAACCTCGACCCCTTCGGCGAGTACGCCGACAGCGTGCTCATCGATGCTATGGACCAGTCGGGTCTTGGCCAGACTGCTTCGTACGCCGAGGCTGCTGACCCGGGGACCGCCACTCCCCAGCGCATCACGCTCGACACTCTGATTGCTGCGGGTGGCAGCAACCTGTCGCAGGGCCAGCGCCAGCTCGTCGCTCTCGCGCGTGCTCTCGTCCGCCAGTCCAAGGTTCTCATTCTTGACGAGGCGATGAGCAGCATCGACATCTCCCTGGACAACGAGGTGCAAAAGGCGATCCGCAACCTGCCGCCGTCGACGACGGTGCTCACCATCGCCCACCGCCTCGGCACCGTCATGGACTACGACAAGATCCTCGTTCTCGGCCACGGCAAGGTCCTCGAGTTTGACACGCCTGCCAACCTCAAGGCCAACCCTGACAGCTACTTTGCCAAGTTGGTCGAGGCCATGGAGCATTGAGCAGGGAGCGGACTTGCGAGTGCCTGCGTTTTTAGTGGAGCTTGGGTGTTTGGAGATAAGAAAAGAAAAGGGCCATAGTTGCCACTACATCTAGACTTCCCTTTCTCTCTTGCCACACCTTGATCAAATACGTGTATCACATCCTACCTAATGTTCAGCTTTTCACCGTTATACAGTTATGCATCATGTGTTCTACTACTTGTGTTCGCCTCATAACTTGGCTCGTTGCTCTCTGACGCCACCCATCCTGTAGTATACGGAGATAGAGCGAACTCCGCAGCCAGCGTCTGCAAGGTCTGCATTTCCTCAAAGCAGGAATTATCGAGACCATGCATTCAATGTGCTCCGCGAGATGCAATGCCACGCTACAGCTTCATCGGTACCGATGCAAAGGGAACTCTGCCCATGTTCAGGCGGCAGAAGACAGTGCTGTAGTGGTTAAGTCACGATTTCAGACTGAGCGGAAGCAATAACCGCCGGATCCGGAGGAAGGACCTCCCGCAAAAGTCGTCGGCTTACACGTTCGGATCAGTCACCGATCTCATCTACAACCACTGACACCATGGGAGTCGTTGCACAGGACATCGTAAGCTCCAGGTTGCGGACTTTGAGCTAACTAGCAGCGCAAGACGTTCCCACAGACGGACGATGTTGTCGTCGACTACATCTCCGGCCTCGTCGACGACGAGGACGAGGAAGTCGATGAGATCGTCTCCATGACACGGGGTATGCTGACGGGCGGCCCGTCGTCCTCGAACACCAAGGCGCTGGACGAGTTTATGGAGCGCCTGGAGGCCTACCTCGAGTCGCAGAGCAGCAAGCGCGTGCGCAAGAGCGACAAGGCGACCAAGCTCGACAAGACGGTCTCGATGCGCAACCAGCAGCAGTCGGCGACGATCGCCATGTCGGGCACCGTGGACCTGGACAGTGTGAACAAGTCGCACACGTCGCGCGTCGACATGGCCAAGCTCGCCAAGGCCGAGGCCAAGCTCAAGGCCAAGCTCGAGAAGCGCTCGAAGCGCTCCCTGTACGAAGGCTCGAAGCTCATCGAGCTGCAGAAGAAGCAGGCCAACTACGAGGAAATGTTCATGCGCGTCAACCCGCTCGACCTCTCTGGCGCCGCCAAGGGCAAGTCGAAGGACATCCACCTCACCAACATCGACGTCTCGTTCGCTTCCAACCGTATCCTCTCCGGCGCCACCCTCACCATGGCCTACGGACGCCGCTACGGTCTCATCGGTCGTAACGGTGTGGGTAAGTCGACGCTGCTGCGCCACATGGCGCTGCGTGAGCTGCCGATCCCGCAGCACATTTCCGTGCTGTACGTCGAGCAGGAGATTGTGGGCGACGACACGAAGGCGATCGACAGTGTGCTCAAGGCCGACGTATGGCGACACAAGCTGCTGCAGGACGAGAAGGAGGTGAACGAGCAGCTGGAGAAGATGGAGCGTGATGGACCGGGAACAGACGCCGAGGCGGTGCGTGTCGAGTTTGAGCGGGAGAAGGACGACCTCGCGACTCGTCTTGGCGAGATCCAGCGCTCGCTCGTCGAGATGGAGGCCGAGACTGGCCCGGCGCGTGCCGGTGCCCTGCTTGCCGGTCTCGGTTTCAGCGAGGAGGACCAGCAGAAGCCGACGAGCTCCTTCTCTGGAGGTTGGCGTATGCGTCTTGCGCTCGCGCGTGCGCTCTTTGTCAAGCCGGACGTGCTCATGCTCGACGAGCCGTCGAACATGCTGGACCTGAACGCCATCGCCTGGCTCGAAGACTACCTGCAAACGTGGCCGGGAACGATCCTCGTTGTTTCGCACGACCGTGCCTTCCTCGACGCGGTTGCGACCGACATTGTGCACCAGCACTCCCAGCGCCTCGACTACTACAAGGGCAACTTTACCAACTTCTACGCGACCAAGACGGAGCGTGCCCTCGCCCAGCGCAAGGAGTACGAGGCCCAGCTCGCGTACCGCCAGCACCTGCAGGCGTACATTGACCGATGGCGCTACAACGCCAACCGCGCGCAACAAGCGCAGTCGCGTATCAAGATTCTCGAGAAGCTGCCAGACCTCGAGCCGCCAGAGGAGGACGACGCGAACGAAAAGTTCAAGTTCCCGGACCCGGACAAGATCTCGCCGCCGCTCCTGCAGCTCGACGAGGCGACGTTCGGATACTCGCCCGACAAGCTGATCCTGAAGGACGTCAACATGAACGTGGACCTGGACAGTCGCCAGCCATCATTGGCCCGAACGGAGCAGGCAAGTCGACGCTGATCAAGCTCCTGACCGGTGTGCTGCAGCCGAGCAAGGGAAATGCGACGATCAACAGCCGCTGCCGCGTCGGCTACTTTACACAGCACCACATGGACCAGCTCGACCTCAACGTGTCCTCGGTGCAGTTCATGCAGTCCAAGTTCCCCGGCAAGACGGAGCAAGAATACCGCTCCCACCTGGGCCAGTTTGGCATTACGGGTCTCACCGGTCTCCAGAAGATTGGTACCTTGTCCGGAGGTCAGAAATCGCGTGTCGCCTTTGCCGTTCTGGCTTGGGGCAACCCGCACGTCCTGCTGCTCGACGAGCCGACGAACCACCTCGACGCAGAGGGTCTCGACGGCCTTGCCGAGGCCGTCAAGGCGTTCAAGGGCGGTGTCATTCTCATCTCCCACGACGAGCGCTTCATCAACGCCACGGCGAACCAGCTCTGGGTGTGCGCCGACGGAACGCTCACCAAGTTCAAGGGAGACGTTGCGGCTTACAAGAGCCTTATCGTCAACCAGATCCGCGCCAAGACGCGGCCGTAGACGTAGGCATATATGTAGATCGAGATGTATGCGATGTAGTCCCCATACCTATCAGTTGCGAAATAGGAGACTAAAGGATAGATAGATGCATAAGCCATCTAGTTTTTTGCGTGTCCCAGAGCGTGGAACCTAGAGCCTCTCCTTGAGGTACTTGACGACGTCCTCCATCTTGACCTCTTCTCCATTATCCTGCCCAGCCTCGCGCTCGACGCCCTGCTCCTTGATGCGCACCGTGCCCTTCTCGAGCTCGGAGGGCGCGAGAATGGCAACAAACTTGACGCCATCAGAGTCAGCCTGTGCCCACTGCTGGGGCGCCTTGGGCTTGTTCTTGAAGCTGAACTCGGCCTTGATGCCTGCGTCCCAGAGCATCTTGGCAAACTTCATGCGCTCCGGGAGGAGCCCGCCGCCGAGCGCGAGCACGAACACGTCCGTCTCCTTTGAGCGGGCCTTGGCCTGGTTCTGGCGCGCGTTCAGGATGGCATACACGCGCTCCACACCGATCGACACACCGACACACGGCACGTTGGACCGCTTGGATCCGGCCGCCTCGGCAAACATGCCCACGAGGTTGTCGTACCGTCCTCCGGCGGCGATGGAGCCGACGCCGACCGCAGACTCGTCGACGCCGTCCTCGTTCACATTGGCGTTGCCGCCCTTCTTCGCCTTCTTGTCCTTCTTCGCGTCGGCCTTCTTGTCGGCCTCCTCGGCCGCCTTCTCGGGCACAGCGGCCGTGTCCTTGGACGGCGGCGCAGAGCCGTCCGTGACCGCCTCGTAGATGATGCCGGTGTAGTAGTCGAGTCCACGGGCGAGCGACATGTCGAACGACATCTTGTTCGTGATGCCGTACACGTCCAGGAAGTCGAAGAGGAGCGCCATGTCGTCCAATCCGGCCTTGGCGCTGGGGACGCCCATGAGCGCCTCGTCCGACTGCAGCTTGGCGAGAACGTCGCGGGCGTTGCCTGGGATATCAGCTTCTGGTGCCACACGTAGCTACACGGTGCGGTCCTGCGGACCGCCGACTCACCCTTGAGACCGACGTACTGGCCGATACGGTCCGCGACGGCGCCGTCGAGGCCCTTCTCCTCGGTCATCTCCTTGCGCACATCGGCCCAGGGGAGCTTGTCGAGCTTGTCGACCGCAGACGAGATGGCACGCGTCTTCTCAGCGGGCACGCCGGCGAGCTCAAAGATGCCGTCGAGGATCTTGCGGTGGTTGAGCTTGATGGTGTACTCTGGGATCTCGAGCGCATTCAGCGCCTCGCAGAGGATGTACAGGATCTCGGCGTCGGGAACCATGGAGTCGTAGGCGCCGGCAATGTCAAAGTCGCACTGGTAGAACTCGCGCATGCGACCCTTGCTCATCACGGGCTGGTCGCGGCGGTACACCTTTGCGATGTGGTAGCGCTTCATGTTGGTGAGGCCGTTCATGGCGACGTAGCGCGCAAAGGGGACCGTGAGGTCGTAGCGCAGCGAGCACTTCTCGCCGCCCTGGTCGTCCAGGTCGTAGATCAGCTTCGAGTCCTCGCCGTACTTGCCCGCCAGGATGTCGCGGAGCTCAAACACGGGCGTGTCAATCGTCTCCGCACCGTGCTTGGCAAAGATGCCCTCGAGCGTCGCAAAGATCCGTTTCCGCAGCAGAGCGGCCGCAGGCTTGTGGTCCAGCGTGCCCTTCGGCACCTTGAGCTGGAAGTCGGAGCCGGCCTTCTTGTCCTTCGGCTTGGACGCCTGCAGCGCCTTCATCTCCGCAATCTCCGCAGACGCATCCTGCTTCGCGACCTTGAGCGCCTTGATCTTGTCATGCAGCGCCTTGATCTGCTCCTCGACGGACGCCATGGTGGGAATGTCGACGGCGGTGGTGTTCAGGCGGGTAGTAGTGTAGAGGGATGTGGAAAGGAGGGAGGGTAGTGTTCGTCCAAGGCTTGCCCGTCCAAAGCGCGCAAGCATGCAGCAAGACAAATGTGTGTGGTCGAGTCGGCTTGTGCAGGCGCTCCGAGCTTCATCTCGAGTCCAGTCCAAAATGTCAGCTGCACCGATCGGACATTTTGCTTCCGTCCGGGGTCTCCTCTATGGTGGCCTCGAGCCGACGGTCAGTATCTGACTCGCAAACGCATGCAGCGAGCGCAGTGGTATCACATGATGCATCAGGCTCAAGCCTAACGGATACAAATATCGTGGACAGCGTGTCGGGCGTGGGCGTGGGCAGTTGGGCGTGTAATATGGGATGAGGATGAAATGTGTGGGGTTCTGGAAAATGTGACAACAGTTGTATGTGAATGAGGAGAGGAAGGGGGAGATCTAAGTTTGCAGTCGCAGTCTCGGGCAGCGGGTGGTATGGTATCGTATTGTAGTAGCTGTAAGTATAGAGGTGGAAAGAGTTCGTCCCAATGAAGGGGGCCATGGACAACGTCCGTGTGTAAGTGGGGAGGGAGAGGGGACAAAGGGGGCCGACGGTGGCGTCGGCGGCCGGCTGGAATGGAAGGATGGCGGTGAAGACAGACAGAACCCCAGCGGAGCGAGCGAACGGGCCACGGGGCGAGACCATGTTCGAAGGAGCACAGGTCGTGGTCATGCTTACTTCGCAGCCGTCTTCGCGAAGCGAATGAAGGCGCTGACGCCGCTCATAAAGCCGCCTCCGCCTGTGGCGCCGTAGTCGACGAGGGTCTTCCCCTCCTCGTCTCTCCACACGCCATCGGCGTCGACGCCGCCGTACTGCATCGTGTTCTGGTTGGAGAGAAGCGTGTCCATGATCTCCTTGACGCGGTCCTTCGAGTCAATCATGACGTTAACCTCGGACGAGTGGAAAACACTCTGCGTGTCTCCGTTGGCGTTGCCGAGAATCATGACCTCGTCGTCGTACGCGGCAAACTTGATGTGGCAGTTGCGCTGCTTCTTGACCGCGTTGAGAGGGCGCACCTGATCCTTGCCCGTGTACCAGTAAACCTTGAGGTGCTGCGCCTTGCCCTCCTTGATGAGCAGCTTGTATAAGCGGTCGACGACCTGCTCGTTTGTGCCACCCTGGAACGCGATCGACTCGGCCATGTCGTTGAATCCAAGGTCGAGGAGGAGGATGACCTCGACACCGCGTCGGCACGCCTGCTTCACTGCACGGACTAGCGGGCGTGCATTCAGAGTAGGCGTCTGGATGAAGATCTTACGCTTGGCGTAGCGCATACCCGCGAGCCAGGCAGCGTTCTGCGGGTTGCTGATGTCCTGGTGTCCTGGAATACCGAACGGCCGTCGGCACACGAGCGCGACAGGGAACGGGTCGTGCGGCTCGTGGATAACGTGCGGGTTGAAGTTGTCCAGCTCGTCCGAGTCCTCGACCGTCGCCCACGCTTCGCTAAGCGCGCCAGCGTTGAAGCGCTTTGACAGCTTGAACATGCGCTTCGTTCCGCCCTCGGGCGGGATCTCCTCGTCGAGCGACTGGCGGGGGTGGTACGGCGTAACTGACCCAGACTCGAGTTCGTCGTTCCACCGGTCAGCCCATCGGAACGAGCGCTCCGTGCGAGGCGTAATGTTGCCGCTGTGCGGATCGCCCCTGAGTCGGGAAAATCGCTTCTCATCAATGACGTTGCCTTCCCCGACATCCTTAGTGTCGGACTCGGCGCCCTCTTTGAAAGGCGATTCGGGCTCCTTGAACGGCGACTCGTGGGCGCGCGGGAACGTTGACGAGGGTGAGCCCGCAAAGGGTCCGCCATCCGCGTGCTTCTCAGAATCGCCTTTGTAGGACGGCGGCAGATCGACCGTCATCGCCTCGGGGCTTTCCGACACAGACGTCACGAAGGGCGCCGGGCTCTCGGTTCGGTCCGTCGAGGCGAATCCAACGTGTCGCTGATCCTCCGATCCATCGTATGCGGAATGGAAGCTCTGTCGGACGGATGTTTGCGCAGTCGTCGTTCCGTCAACGTCCGAGTCGAAATGCGGATGCGGCGTGGGCATCGTCTTTGACCGAACGGGGAACTCGTGCAGTGTCGGGGATGTGGTGGCCTCGGACGAGGCGACAGGCATGGTCAACTTGCGGTTCGCAGCGGTAATGGCCGCAGTTTCTTCATCATAGTCGCCCCGGTGCAGCTTGGTCAGGTCCGTGGCGCTGGCCCGTCTGCTTCCTGGTCGACTCGTGGCGGGGAATCCCATCCTCTCTCCGAATTCCCTCAGCTCCTTCATGGCGATTGCTCCACGGCTCGCGAGTTCCCCCTGAGTGTGAGCAAAGTTCTGTCTCTGGTTCGCGACAGCCTGCCGGACTGCTTCAACAAGACGGTCCCTAGCTGTATGCGAGTTGTGGTCCATGTAGCGTGCGCGTTCCAGTTCGTTGTCCTGGGTTTGCCGCCGGAGCATCGCTCGCGCTGCGCGCGCCGCCTTCAGAACCTCAATGTCGCGGAAGTAAGGGTTGTAGTCCTTGAACAGGTAGCACACCTCGCCATTCGAGTTGCGCGGCGGCTGGTATGGGTCGGCCAGGCAGGGCAACGGCGGCGTCATCGTGTTGTACCACGAATAGAGAGCCGAGTCGTAGAAGGTGTCGACGATCGGGCCCTCGAGGTGCGTCATCAGCTCCAGATTCGGGCGATCCTGGATGTTGTTGCTGTTTAGCAGCACGACTTTGCGGTCCACAATCAGGAATTTCACATGGAACGTGCCGAGCAGCACCTTGTGGTAATTCTGGGAAGACGTCAGCCGCATGTTTACGTCGTGTGATGACTCACGATAACCTCGAGGTGCAGCCCAGGAACCTCGTCCGGCATCGGCATGTCGAGTGGCTTGAAGCCCTTGGGCCCCACGAACGCATGTGGGTTCCATAGTTGCTCCCAGGTACCACGGTCGTACATGATCTTGACCACGACCTTCGGTCGTCCCTCCTTGATAACCTTGGCGGAAAGGTCCATGAGGGCTTGTTTCACTACTGAGACGGAGTCGGAGGCTCTGTGGTGCTTGTCAGTAACGGCGTTTGGTGCATCATGGGCAAGCCGCGGGTAAACAGCCGAGCGTGCACGGTGATCGTGCGCGTGTGTACTCACTGCCAATAGTTGGTCGCCAAGAACACCTCCTTCTGGGCGCGGATGATGACCGAGCGGTAGTGCTGCATGATGTCGGGGATGAGAGAGATGATGCTGAGGGGCATTGTTGTCGTGCTGCCGATCAGGTCGGGCGCCGTCATACCGGCGAGGTGGTCGTGCTGAATCGTCGGCTGAATCGAGAGGTACATCTTCCAGAACAGATCCGACACCTCGACGCCGGGCGCGTCCTCGCCAGGCAGCTTCCAACCTGCCTTCCGCCTGAGCTCGGGCCCGACGGACTCCCAGTACTTGAACTCGTCTTCGGTCAGACCCTTGATAACGGAATGACCGCTGCCGAGCGATCGTGCCATCCGAGAGAAGCAGTTTGCGCGAGGATACAGCTTCTTCATCGCCTTCTTGACTGCGTGGTCGGGGTGCTTGGCCATGTAAGAAGCCAATGTGCGATCAGAATGCGGGACAGGTTCCAGATACGCCTTGGATCGTGCGTTCGCTCGTTGTGGTGCTGGATAGTCGGGCTCCATGGGGTCCTGACGGATAGGCTCTAAGCCACTGGACGCCGAATTGAGGGGTGGTGCTGGAGGGTACTGGGTCGGAGCGGCGAGGTTTTGAGGTTGCGCCGGCTCGGACGGGGGCGGGGGAGCGGTCTCGGACATCTCGATGGGCGAGTCTGTGATCTGGACATCGTTGAGAGTAGGTGGTTCTGCTGGGAGGGACAGCGGAGCCGGGGCAGGACCCGGTTGTCCATTCTGTTGAGCCATGAATGGCTATTTGTTTACGGTTTGATGTGTGATGATGGAAGTGGAAGGGGATGACAGAGCGAGGATGATGGACAAGAAAGAGGATAAAGAGAGTGACGGGGGTGGGAGATGTGGTTGTGGGGCTGGGGCCTGGATTGTATGGTTCTTTGGGTGCCGATAGTGGGATGAGATGAGAGAAGTCGAAGATGGGTTTCAGGTGATCGCGGCGGAGTGGTGTTGTTGGGTATAGGGGGGGTTGTGCGGTGCGCGGTGTGCGGTATAACGAGGTGCTTCAGGGTAGCCGACGTCAGACTGCGACAGGCTGCATGGCTGCAACCATGAACAGGCCATGAGGCCATGAGGCCATGAGGCTATTTGGTACGCAGCAGGCGAGGAGGCGGCGGCGGAGGCGATGAACGGAGCCCAGGGCCGCAGTCGGTCTGCGCAAAATACCGTTGGTCGATGGTACGCACTTCCATCCCCGCCCTGAGCCATCTGGGCTTGGCGCCTGCATGGACTGCATCATCTTCATCTCCACCAACCCACCTAGCCTATTCTAAATCCAAATATACAATCGGGATCGCCGTTTTACATTATTCTAGTTACAGCGACGGCACCTGACCCAGCACTACCACGTGGCCTCATTTGTTGCCCCGCAAGACCGCGACCCCGATTGATGACACCCTGCTGCCGCCCGCACTGCACCAGACACAGCTGGTGACGTTAGATACCTTCCTCCATCTATTTCAGTCCACCAAAGACACAGCCATGATCAACAGGCTTGGTCAGCGTCTCAAGGAGAACTTTCATGAGACCACCCGCGACTTCAACCTGCCTATCGGCGGCCTCGGAGGCGGCACCGCCTCGGCCGCCTACTTTGACGTCTCCGAGGACAAGATCTTTGAGATTTCAAAGCTTCTCGAAAGCCGCGCCGAGGCCGAGCGCCTCGAGGGCATGAAGCGCATCATTGCTGCCATGTCCAAGGGGCGCAACATGGAGGCTCTCTTCGCCCAAGTCGTCAAGAATGTTGTCGCGAGCAGCGTCGAGATCCGCAAGCTCGTCTACATCTACCTCCTCCGCTATGCCGGCACGAACTCGGACCTACTCCTGCTCTCGATCAACACGTTTCAGAAGGACCTCAGCGACCCCTCCCCGCTTATCCGCTCCATGAGTTTGCGTGTGCTCACGTCTATTCGCGTACCCGTCATCCAGGGTGAGCTTACACGTAGGCTGTGCAGCTGACAGCAGGTATCGTGATGCTCGGACTGAAGAAGCTCGTGAACGACCGCAACCCTTGGGTGAGGAAGGCAGTCGCCGCGGGTCTGTCCAAGGTATACGACATGGACTCGTCGACGAGGTCAGAACTGCTCCCGCTCCTGCAGACACTGCTAGGCTCGCCCTCCCCTCTGACGCTGGGAGCGACGTTGACGGCCTTCGCTGAGATCTGCCCCGACCGCCTCGACCTCCTGCACCCCTACTATCGTCACCTGTGTCGTCTGCTCGTTGACGCCGACGAATGGGGACAGATCGTGGCGTTGGACGTGCTGACGCGGTACGCGCGGACGCAGCTCGAGAAGCCCTCAACGGCGGGAGCCGTCAAGCCGTCGTCCACGACAGACTCGTACGAGGGGCTCGATGGAGACCTGGCCATGCTGCTGGATCACGCAAAGCCGCTGCTGCAGAGCCGGAACGCCGCGACACTCCTCGCCACAGCAATCATGTATTTCCACCTCGCGCCGGCGGGGCACACTGCGATCGGGCAGGAACTCCTCGTGCGGCCCCTCCTGCGCCTGGCGGGGTCCAGTACGGACGAGATTGCGGCACTTGCGTGGGACGTCGTCGCCGCTATGGCCGAGGAGCGGCCGTGGCTTTTTGCCTCGTACGCGGCGCAGCTGTACGTCCGCGGTACGGATGGACTCGTTGCCAAGCGCGCCAAGGTGCGCGCTCTAGTGGCTCTCACGGGACCGGAGAATGCCGAGTCTCTTGTCCGCGAGTTCAGGCATTACGCCAACCTGCCCGAGGACAGTGTCAGCGCTCTCGCCGTCTCAGCGCTAGGTCATTGCGTGCGCACGCAACCGTCTGTCGCTGAGGTCGCTCTCCGCAGCCTCATGCGTCTGCTCAAATCGCCCCGCCCTGCCCTCGTGGCCCAGTCTGTTGTCGTGCTCAAGGGCATCGTGCTCGCTGCAGCCGTGCCGAACCCGCAGAAGCTCGTCGCCCGCCTCGCCCGTCAGCTTGACAACATCACGAACCCCGCCGCTCGCGCGAGTGTGTTCTGGCTCGTGGGCCAGTTCGCGTCCGATCCGTCAGCCGACGCCGTCGTTGGCTGGGAGGGCGTGGCGCCCTGGGTACCCGATGTGCTGCGCAAGGGCGTGCGCGGATTCACGGGTGAGGAGGCCGCTGCCAAGCTGCAGGTCCTCTCGCTGGCGGCCAAGCTGCTCGTGCTCTCGCCCAACGCTCAGCTCGAGAAGTTTGCGCAGTACCTCTTCGCCCTGGCACGGTACGACAAGGACTACGACGTTCGTGACCGCGCCAGGTTTTTGGCTGCTCTGCTGCGTGGCGTGCGCAACACGCCGAAGGAAGAGGGTGCCGAGGAGGAAGAGGAGGAAGTCGGCGGTGTGGTGCTTCGTCGTGAGCAGGTCCGCCATGTGCTTCTCAGCACGAGGAGCGTGGACGACGACGGCCCCTCCAAGTCCGACTACAGGGTCGGTTCTATGTCCCGCTCAGCTGGACACAAGCTGTCCGACTACGCCGAGCTGCCCGAGTGGACTGATGACCCCACCGACTCCTCACTTCGCGAGTTAGACGTGAGTAGCTTTGTCATAGGTTTCCTGAAGCTGACATCCAGATTGGACAGAAGACGGCCCCGCAGTTCGCAGCCCTGCCTCCCACCTCTTTTTCCTCCGACTCCATGCCGCCCAGCTTACCCCCGCCAATGGCCGCTGTCCGGTCAAGAAGCTCGAATGCGCCGTCGCCAGCACACTCGTCACCGGCGAGCGCGAGCGTCCCGCACACTACGAAGAGCAAGTTCAGGGATCTGGACGATTTCTTGAACTCGTCGGAGAGCGAGAGCGAGGAGTCATATGAGGAAGAAACCGAGGAAGAGGAGGAGGAGGAAGAAGAGGAAGGGGAGACTGAAGAGGAGACAGACGAGGAGAGCAGCAGCGACGACAGCGACTAGACCTGTAGACATAGACGCATGCATAAAACATCACACTGAGTCCTCTCTGCTCCATCTACACCCCTTCATCACTGGCAGTCCAGAGGACGGAGTGGAGGTGCCACAGAACCCATCACGTGACCGGACATCCGAGATGACCTCTTGGAACATGACGCAGGCCCAAGGTCAAGGTTTCTGGCAACTATCCGAACTCGCCGCTCAGAAACAAAATGACGGTCGTAGTGCACACGACGCCGCCGCTCGACGACCTCCCCGCCAGCGACGGGGAGTCGCTCCGTATCCTCGGAACGCTGAAGCTGGCCGGTATCAACCCCGAGACGCGGACGGCGAGCTGGAGCGCTAATGGTGAGTCTGACTGGCTTCGGTCGGCTCTGTATTGTGACGAGGATGGGGTTACAGCGTTGGTGTACGTTGCGCAAAGCTGCGTTAGAGCTGTAAATGCGTTGTTTAGCTCGCTCGGGTCATCTTTCAGCTGTTCACTCGTTCTCTACAGCTATCTACCGCGGACCTCATCCTTCCCTTCTTCCGTGCCTTCCTCGCTCAGCCGCTCTCTCCTTCCAGCTCACCCAGCTATTTTAGCCCACTCAGCTGGCTATTGTGATATGAGGCTCGGCGGGACGACACCCCTCTCCAGCTGCACGTGGGGATATCAGCTAACAAACAGGCAAAGCGTATGTTACTGTCGACGACAAGCCCGTTCCGAACTCGCAGCTGTCGACGATTGCGGGATACGAGGACGCCAACGCTGGTCTTGACGCGGAACAGCGTGCTGATGCTGGTGTTTGGGACGCTTATGTTGAGGAGACTGTTGTTGATCTTGTCGTGAGTACCGCTTTTCATCACTGTGCGTTCTTATCGTCATGAGCTCGCAGTCTGCTTATGAACGCTGCCTGCACTTCGTTGCTGAGCTTTGATCTTGCCACTATCAAGATCTGGGTCTGCCCAAATACGCCACCCATAGCTTCAATGACTCTGTTATGCTCTTCTCTACCTCCCCTCTCGGCTCGCTCTCCACACTCGTCGCTCAGCTAACACCAGAACCACACCCTGTACTCCCTTCCCCCGAACTGGCCGCACCTCGCCACCGCGCAGCTCCACACGCTCTCCTTCCCCATGACGCAGTACGTGCCCGACCGCCTGCGCTCGATTCACGCCGCGCGATTGAAGCATGTTGGACTGTGGGGCCTCGGCGGCGTGCACGACGGCGACCTGAAGGAGGAAGACCAGAAGCGTCTCGACGAGTCCTTCGTCGTCGGTCCCGGCGGCACTAAGGTGCCGCGCAAGTGGAGCGGCTGGCATGCCGGAAAGGAGATCGCCGAGCGCCGTCGCAAGTTTGGCGAGCAGGAGCTGGGTAAGCGGTACAACGCCGTCTTTGCACCGCTCCTTCGTAAGCTCGGCAAGGGCAAGTTCTTCTACGGATCTAAGTGAGTGTTGAGCTATGGCATGAGGATTCTAGCTGACGCCAGGCCGTGCTCCCTCGATGTTGCGCTCTGGGCGCAACTGACGCTCGCGCTCGACACGAAGCTGCCCAACCAGCTTCTCGGCACGTACCTGAGGGACAACTGCCAGGAGCTCGTGAAGCACCAGCACCGCGTGCAGAAGGCGCTCTTCCCGTCCGGCTGGCCGAAGCGGCTTCCCCCACCCACACCCCCCACACTTGTCGAGACAGTCCGTACGACGGTCGAGAGCTGGTGGCCCTTCGGTTCCAAGACGACTGTCACCGAGACAACCGAGCCCGCTGGACCCGAGGACGCGCGCAAGAAGGCCGAGGAGCAAAAGTTCAAGTACGCCCGTTGGGCGTGGTTTGCCGGCGCCTCTGTGGCAGTGATCGGCTACGTCCTGCTCTCTGGCATCGTCACGTTCGACTTTGGAGACGAGGAGGAGTGGGACGAGGAGCTCTGGCAGGAGCTCGAGGAGGCAATGGCCGAGGAGGAGGTCGAGGAAGTCGCTGAGGCGCTGGAGGAGCGGAAACCGACGTCCCGTCTGCCGGTGTGGGAGGATGGAGAGGAGGAGGAAGAGAAGGGCGAGCGTAGCGAGCCCGAGTCCAACGCCGGCTCCGACTCCGGTTCCAGCGGCAAGCTTGAGGAGAAAGTCGAAGAGAAGGTCGTGGAGAAGCCGAGCGGACGGAGCAGCGGCGGTCTCCCCGTGTGGGAGGATGGGGAGGACGAGCGCGAGCAGCAACAAGAGCAGAAGCCCAAGAAGAAGACCGAGGTCAGCGACGACACGGACCCGGGACCGCTGAATGGCGAGCCGAGCGTGGATGAGGAGATCATTGACGACTTTGACCCGGCGACGCTGGAGGGATAATTCCCGACGAGGCGCAGCCGAGGAGGGCTTGGGGGGGGGAAGCAGTAGAACAATACACATATGCATACTCATCTCTTGCTACCTGTCTGTTGAGTGTTGTGAGTGTGTTGAGGACAAGGAGAGGATGATACAGCCACAGAAGAGGAACCGGACATTGCCTCAAAGTCCGTGATTGTAATGTCCGCCGCCCTGGCCCCTCCGTGTTTTCCGGACTCGTTGCGTCAGCGTGCAGACAAGTTTCTGCGGTCCGCACCGATGTACACGCCAGCGTATCGCATTCGGCGCGTCAGTCCCTACCTGTCTGACTGCGTAGCGTAATCGCCACCTACAGACTCAGTCACACCCAAAATCGTGATATCAGTGGAACATCAGCCAGCAGCAAGAATGTGAATGGAGATTTCAACAAATGACCGCGTGATATACTGAGTTACAAAATGGCTGATTCCAGCACCAGAGCCGAGCCCTTCAGCTCTTCCACCGGGCCACGAACGAGCTCACTGGACCAGCTCCAGCCTCGGCTCCAGCTCCAGTCCACATGCCCGCTTCGTCTTCTGAAGACTAGGAGCGAGAGTGAGAGCTGGAGCTCTGGCCCGCTCGCTCGCTTCGCTCGCTTGCTTAGAGGCCACGAGCCAGCTTCTCAGCCTGCGCACGACGGAAAGCGGCGCGGTACGGCTCGGTCGCGACCTGGGCATACGGCGAGGTGCCGGCGGGGAGGGCGTGGCGCGCGTCTGTCCTGATCACCTGGAGGTCAGCTGAAGGCGAAGGCCAGCTTAGCTGGTAGAATGGGCTGCCGGGTGATGATGGACGTGCAAGCTCGCCGGCAGGAGGGTCACCCATCGCCCAGAGAGACCTGAGCGGCCACAGGAGCAGCAACGCTCGCTTCCCTCACAGCTCGACGCAAACGCTTCGCTTGCAGACTAGTGGTCGCCCTCGGCCAGGCGGCCGAGTGGCTCAATGCTCGGTTTGCTCGCTGTACTCACCGAACCAATGCTCATGAAGAAACCAAACGTCGCAGCCGACGACAGCATGTACTGCGACAGGGTGGCGAGGGCGCCGCGGGGGCCGGGGCCGCCGCGGAGAATCGAGAACGAACCAAAGATGAAGCCGATCGTGAGGCCGACACCGGTGCCCATGAGCGCGCCCATCTTCACTGCAAATGTCAGCTGGACTCAAAAGCATTAACAGCTGGATAGCCAAGCCAGCCTAAATGCATGCAATGCAGATGAGGGTGCCAGAACTCGGCTCACAGCAGCCGGCAAGAGAACAGAAGAGGCAGCAGATAGGTTCCTATTCTCGCCTGCGGCGAGCGTGTTCCGCTTCGCTACTCACTCTTGTCAAAGTTGGAGCCGCCGGCGGTCGTGCTGGGAGGAGGAGGCATGGTGGCTTTTGGTTTTGGTGTTACGCTGCGTTCGGTTAGCCCACAGGTGTTCGAAACCGTAGCTCCTCGGGATACTCACGAAAAGGTCAGTGTCGGGATGCAAGAACAGGACATCTCTCGTTCTTGGCTTTGAGAGTCGGGGGTGTGTAAAAGGCATCACGTGACTACGTGCCTGAACATTGTCTTCCGGCCCTGAGATTACAAATGGCAGGCCTCGAATTACACACGCGCACTAAGCGTGTAATTGTTATCGGCTACTTGCAGCGTGCGACGTCACTCACCAGAGATCCGTTCTCGAACCTAACGAGCTGATAGCAACCACTCCTCCACCTCCGACAACAACAGACATCGCCATGGTCCAGCAATGAACCGCATCGCGACAGTGTTATACCCGTGAGACACGCCCGCGAGCAGTACTGACAGCCAGGGGCTCCGAGGCGTCCTCGACGCCCGCACACGACAGCGCGCGTGACGTCTCACCCGCGCGATCGTCGCCCTTCCCTCCCGGCCCCTCCGGTCCGCCCTTCCCCCTCAGCATCAACGTGCCCAACGCAACCAAGAGCATCTATGATGATCCGCGCGCGATTCGCTTCCCCTCGCCCCCGCCCGTGCTCCTGCACGCTGACTCGTCGACGCCGCAAGCGTCCCCGGGCGGCACACTCGCCCTCCCCAAGAACGGGAGGACGAGCCGGTCAGCTAGCGCCAGCCGCTCTCATCGAAACAGCATCAACTCGTCGTCTAACAGCAACGAAGCGGGCAGCTCGAGCTTTGCAAGCCGTACCTCCGCGTCGCGCACCAGCTCCCCGGCACCGGCACCGATACCGGATCGGTCTCTGAGAGTCAACCTCATGCAGGCTGCCCAGCCGAAACCGAGCCACAAATCGCGCGCCGGAACGCCGGCGCCGACCGGGTCGGGGAGGCTGACGAGCATGGCGAAAGGACCACCTAGCCGATTCGCCATCGGTGGCGGCCAGTGTGAGCTAACGTACCGCTAGCCTGAGCTGACAGCAGACCTCCGCGTCCTCCAGATCACGGATCCAGAGGGATCGATACCCCTCGCTGCCCAAGCGACTCCTCGTAAAGTCAGCGGCCGCCAGCCCGGAGCGCCTTTTGCTCGCGGACCGGGTGGATCCACTGTCAGCGAGGTTGTGAACCTGTGGAAGGGCTCGTGGTCCATCGGCAAGGGCGTCAATGCCGTTGACTGGGCGACAGGGAGTGAGTATCAGCTGAAGGTGTCTAACGCCCAAGCTAACCTCAGACTACGACAGCAAGGTGCTCACTGCCACGCCGAGTGGGAGCTTCCTCATCTTTGACGTGAACCGGGGCAAGCTCGAGCGTGAAGTCAGCAGCGGTACGCCGCGGCCAATGAACGCAATCAAGACGTGCAAGTCGTCGGCCCAGGGTCACCTGATCCTGACTGGTGGGACGGAAGGACAGGCGCGGCTGTGGGACCTGCGCGACCCCGACCCGGTCAGCCGCAAGTACTACAAGCACAACGCACCCGTGACGGCGCTCGAGTTCTGCCCCGACGACCACCACCAGTTCGTTGTCGGCACCGAAGCCGGAGGTCTGTTCCGATACGACTACCGCGTTCCCGCAAAGGCGATCGGCAAGGTGTGGGGCGCGCACGGGTCGCGGGCCGTACATGACCTGAAGTGGAAGATTGGCGGCGAGGACTGGGACCAGACAGGACAGGGCTGGATGGCGAGCGCGGGAGCCGACCGCACAGTGCAGATTTGGGATATGGCGCTGCCGTGGGAGAAGGGCTCGACACCGGTGCACACGCTGCACACGGCGTATCCGATCCGCTACGTCGACTGGCGTCCGGTGCACCCCACTGAGCTCCTCGTCGTGCCTTTCGACCAGACCTCAAACCCCGCGTACGATGCGAACAAGCCAGAACCCTCTGAGCCCGTGGTCATGGACCAGGGCGAGGCGGCGCTCGAGGTCTGGGACGTCCGAAGACACTACATCTCCAAGTTCGCGCTCTCGGGTTGCGACGACATTCCCGTTGCCGCGATCTGGGACGACGAGGACTCCCTCGTTGCTTGCTATCAGAAAGGCACCATGATCCAGATCGACCTCCAGAGCCGTGTGGTTCCGAAGACGCTCTCCCTCGAGACGATTCCTCGTCAGGTCGTGTCCTGGAGCGGCAAAGGCGAACTCGCGTACGCGATCGACCGCTTTAAGATGGGGGAGATCCCGTTCGACGATGTGTAAGCTAACTTGAGAGTTTGAGTCAGCTGACATCAGGAAACCCGAGTTCGCCTCGCACTGGCAGATCGGACACGGCGGCACGCGCGGCAAGAGCATTGCGGATCCGGGATACGAGCCGGCGCAGACGACGGGCGTGCTCCCGTTGCCGGACGCTGATGACGCCGAATTCGAGTACATGGCAAACCATTACAAGCTCGAGGGCGATTCGCCCTTGCAGCTTTGTCGGTGGAACCGGGAAGTCGCGTCTTTGTGCGGGCGGACAGACGAAGCTCAGGCGTGGGACTTGCTGCACGGGCTCATCGATGAGTTTGCGCCAGTGAAGGCGCTCTTCAATGAGGGCATCTTCTCCCAGCCTACAGATGGCTTCACGCCTGCTCAGCCGACATCACCGACGGGTGCGCCGGATCGCAACCACTCGCCTGACTATGAGGCAGGCATCCCGATTGCTCCGGCTGAGGAAGACATCGTTGCCCGCGAGAACGGGTCCGAGGAGTCGATGTCAAGCCGGTCCTCGTTCGAGGAAGACGACGCGAGTGTAGCCCCACAGCCGAAAGCCCGATTCCTGTCGTTCAACCCGCCCGAGATCGAGACTGTGCGCCCCAGTGCGATACGCAACGTGTCCTCGATGGTGCGAGGCGGCTCTAGCGGAGGCGGCTCGCGTAATCCGCTGCAGAAGCGGTTAACGATCGAGACACCGAGGGACGACACGCCAACGCCCGTTGCCGACATGGACTATCCCGATCCTTACGGTATTGCGGCGGCACTGGACGCATGGAGCAGCGGTCTTGGATCGGTAGAACCTCTGGGCCGAGGAAGGATAACCTCTCGCTCGACGCCGCACAGCACGCGCCCACCGTCGCCCACACGCTTGGCAAAGGCAGGAGGCAGCAAGCCGCCGTCGAATCTCGGAAGCCAGCGCCCGTCGATCGACCAGACGAAGGAGCGCATTCAGCCTGGCCAGCTTACACGCTTATCTCACTCGGCGTACACTCCGGAGCAGTGGGACAACTACCGCACCCAACGGTGTGCGGGGCTGCTCGATTGGTGGCAGGCGTTCATTACCGACGGCGAGGTGCAGGTTGCCACGGCGCTATTCGTCGTTGGCGGGACAGTGATTGACTTCCCGCGAAAGCAGACTCTCCGCGTCCTCGAATCCTACCTCGGTGAGCTAGTTTGGCCGTCACAGCAGCTAACGTCAGATCTCCTGGAACGATACAGACTGACAGTGCCGATGGCGTACCTCCGCCGCTTCGCCGGTCTCGTTGAGACTCAGACTGTCGGCGCAATCGAGGGCATCACGCAGATCCAGTACTGCATGAAGTGCGGCAAATCGACGGGCTCACTCGAAGATGCGCCAGGGAGCCGGCCGTTCTGGTGGTGCAGACGCTGCAGGCAGCGCGCCAAGACGTGCGCCGTATGGTGAGTGGCACAGTGGACATGTGATGGTGGCGCGAGGCGCTGACAGCAGCCGCGAGCCGGTCAGGGGCTTGTGGATGTCGTGCCGCAAATGCAAGCACGGCGGGCACCAGGTGAGTCACCCTCGTGTGGTTCGTGTGGATTCTGGCTGACCTCTCAGCGCTGCATGCGACTGTATTACAGTGAGTACTGCACATAAGCTGTCTGAACGCAGGTCGTATAGCTGACATCAGTGGCGACCGAGAAGCCAGTACCCGTAGTGCCATCGACGCCGCGCACGGGGTCACCAATGCCATCTCCCAGCCAGCGGAATACTAGCATGGTCTCCCACGTCAGCCATGTGTCGCACTCCACATCACACGACTCTGGCCTGACGGAGCGGAGCGTCGCCCTCCGAGAGGAAGCGAACGGTAGCGAGGCGACGGCGGCAACGGACAGTGGCATGAAGCGTAACATGTGCCCGACAGGATGTGGATGTCAGTGCCGCATTGTTGCAGGAGATGATGGCGAGTAGAGAGCAGGCATTCTAGCAGTAGATGACCGTAGACAATGTTGTACTCATGCATCCATCAGACGTTGCTTCGATTCGGGAGTGTGTGCATTGGCCCGCCCCTTGGTCGTGTTTCCTGGGTGTGCAATGTAGCGGGCAAGGGATAGGCGTGACAGGCACCTAGTGGAGTAGGCGGGAGACGTGCAAGGTGGGCCTAATTTTGCCACCGAGGTGGGTGACGGGATTTGCCACCCAATTCGACATTCGGCGGCAAAAGCCATGAGCCATCGAGGCCAACAACGCGAGGCACGGCAGGCAGGCAGCAGGCAGTGAGCCCGCAGACACACCCACACCCCCGCGCGAGCTCTTTCACAACGCATCCTTCGCATCCGGCCACAGCCATTGTTGACTCCCCACCCATCCATCCCTCCTTCCTCATCGCCCATGCCCCCGCAACGGTGACAGCCTCCCCCGCCCCCTCCCAAAACTCCCTCACAGCAGCACCTTGCTCCCCGAGGATCCAAAGAAGAAGCCTGCGCTCCGCCCCCGTGCCGTCTTCCTTCCATCCAACCTTCTCTCGATCACACATCACACCCCACACCGGCCCCTCCAAAACCCAGCCAGCGTTATAAGGCAAGTGTCACAGCAACCGTCACACCCTCTTCCCATCTCAAGCTCCACAAGTTCACATTCGCTAACACCATGGTAGCGATCCAAGCTGCCCTCGCTGACCGCTGCGACCCATACTGGAAGACGATTTGCCCGTGGCTGCTTCCCTCGAACAGAGTACAGGTCGACCCTCTGCTCGAGTCGTACATCCAGCCTCGCCGTCTCTGCACACCTTCCCCCACCCCCACCATGTCGAGCGAGGACGATCCGCAGCCGACATCAGCGGCTGCGGCCGCCCCTCCTCCTGCAGGCGTGAACGACGCCGCGACCAACTCGCAACCGTCCCTTCCTCCGCCAGCACCGGTTGACAAACCGGCTGACAAGAAGATGGACATTGATACCCCGCCGGCCCCGGCGCCGAAGGGCTCCACCATCTCGACCGACAGTGACAACTCGGCAGCGGGCAAGTCAAGTAACTTTTGGCAAAGCTCGGTGCTGTCTGCGGAACCCCAATCGACCGAGACGCTCCACTCACAGCCGTCATCGACGAACGGATCGCAGATCTCTCTCCGTCCCTCTCGCTGGCACAAGGCGCGGTCAACATCGACCGAGTCGGGTCTCTCCCTCTCAGGCATGACAACGTTAGGCTCGATGTACAACGCCGAGGGTTTTCCGAACTACCCGATCTCGTCGGACGAGGACAAGGACGTCCAGCAGCTGGCTGTTGACGATGCCGCCATCGCCAAGCAGATCGCCCTCACTGACGAAGCAGTCCGCTCGATCAACGGCACGTCAAGCGTCTTTCAGGCTCGCACCATGAACAACATGATGCCCGCTCCCCAATCCGGCAACACGTACGAGCTTCCGCGATCCATGGCTGCCTTCGTCCGTCGCGGGGAAGGCAACGAGCGTGAGCTTCCTACCGGCCGCTCCTTCGTGTCTTCGGGTTCGTCGACTTCCTCGGAGGAGTCGGAGCACCTGGCGTCGGTCCAGTGGGTTGAGCAGGTGTCGAGACCTTCTCCGACTTCGTACCAGCCGTTCAACCCCAACTACTTCTACGGCAACAACGGCAGCGCGAACGCCGCGAACCAACCACCCAACCCGAAGATGCCTCCACCTTCCTCAACTGGCCGGACCCCGATGTCACCGCGTAACCGGAACGGAGCACCGAATTCTGCCGGTAGCCAACCCGGCTTCCAGCGCATCCCAAGCACCGGTGCTGCATCCGCCAGCGCTCCGAACAGCTCGAACACGCCGAACCCTGGCGCGTCCGGCGAGGGATCAGTGGAGAACGACGACGATGACCAGACTGTCGGCTTTAACAGGGAAGGCAGCCCTTCATCGTCTTCGGCTAGCGGCCTCGATCTCCTGTCCCACGCTGCCGCGCACCACGAGCGGTCCCGCAGCCACTCACACACGAAACGGAAAGCGGGCGCGGAGGCTGTTGCGCAATGGCGTGAAAGTGGCATCCCGTCTGGAGCATCGCGCATCAACGACATTCGTGCCGGATCAGGTGGTTACGACTCGCCTGGATACGAAAGCACGCCGAGTGACGGACAGCAGGAGGTGCGCGAGCCGCCAGCAAAGCGGCGGAAGAGCGAGCTCGAGGCGCCCGATGCTCGCCTCGCACAGGCTACCACCATGGCGAACGAGGAAGGCGATTCGGACTTCCACACCGAGGGCAGCGCCTCTGACAGCGAGTACCAGGGCGGCAAGGCCAAGGGCCGGCCAGCAACGAAGACGGGCAAGACGAAGCGGGCAACGGGTCACCGTGTGCGTCCGACGCTCCCGGCGCCTGCAGGCTCTTCCTCGCCTGCGCCGCCTGCCAAGGCGCCGCCGAAGAAGGGCCGCAAGTCTTCTCCGACACCGGCCGCCGGCGGCGTGCAGTGCGAGTACATCAACCCGCTGCCGCCGTACCAGCGATGCACCGATGTGTTTACGCGCAAGTACGACATTCCCCGACACATGGCGCGCCACGCGCGACGCGAGGGCGACCTTGTCGCTGAGGGCCGCCTCGAGGAGCGTAAGGCTCTCCTCTGGTTGAGCATAAAGGACAAGCCGAGTGAGTAAAAGTTGCGCGTGTATGGGGCCTAACTGACAAAACAGAAATCCAGTGTCCCGTCTGTAACGAGTCATTCACGAGAAACGACGCTTTGAAGAGGCACAGCAAGAAGTCGGGCCATGCGCTGCCCAGCTAGCCAAGCATGCGAGCGTAGCGAGCACAGCGAGGCGAGGCGAAGGGCAAGCGCGGCCCCGTGTCTTGTAGCGAGCATTCGCCTGAGAGAATACAGAACGGTATAGGTCTTGGTCTTGGGCCCCTAACGAACTCCAACTCCACTGCAGCCATTCGTTTTCCCCTCTAGTATTATGCATAGGATTGTATTGTTACGCATCTCCCGTCATGGGGCATACGCCGCGCTCGACGTGAGGAGTGTGCGCGTGTGGAATCTGTCCGCCGGCGGAGAGGGAATTGCGAGTGCGACGGCTGTTGCGGATAGAAGGCCGCGCCACAGTGCCTGGAGAGTTAGCGAGTGCGCAGGGAACAAATGAGTGAGGCAGTCCAAGCGCAATCGAAGCGCGGAAGCTTCATTAACACCGTGCGAGAGAATCACCACCAGGGGCAGATTAAAGAGAAGATAGAAGGAAGTGGCAAGGAAGGAGCTTAGGTGACTTACCGACAGGGGTAACTTGGACGAACCACTCGATGCGCTAGAAAGCGGACTGTCAGGCGTCGGCGGGTCCGAATCGATCACCTCAGTCGGAAACTTGGGGATCCTGGACGGAATCCCAGTCTCGATGAGCCGATACCGGCGCGCAGAGCAGGGCGGGGAACAGGGGCAGCTCTGCTGACAACTGAGCGTCGAGGCGTGCGTGTGCTGAGACACTTGCGAGACGTGAGAGACGTGAGAGAGATGGGAGACGTGAGAGAGATGGGAGACGTGAGAGAGGTGAGAGAGATGGGTCTGGGCACTAAAACTGGTCGAGAGGCGGAGGTTAGGACGATTGGCCGCTGGGTCCGTTTGCACGGCCGCGTGGGCGAATCCGGGGCGGGGGAGGTCGTTGGCTGATGGGAAGGTGAGAGTGGGGAAGGAGCGCGAGGATCGGTTGAGGTAGTGCGCGGGAGGCTTGAAGCTGGGCATGGGGGCGGCCGGGGGTCTCTCGGCACGATCGGCACTCTCAGTCGACAATGGGTTCGACACTGAGTTGGGTGGCGGCCACGATGAAGGGGAGGGAGGTGCAGCCCGAGACGTTTCGACGGCTACAACCTCCCCATGCCCCAGGCTCACCGCCACCGCGATCAGCGACGGAGACACTGGCACTGGAGAGACAGGTGTCGGAGGAGGCGACGGCAGAGAGTCTCTCCGCCGAGGTAGCGCCGAGACGGGCAAGGGCGGAGATGGGGGCACGTAGGGCGGGTACGGAATCATGATGATCCGAGCGTCCTCAGGGTGGGCGGGGGCGGATATCAGGATGTCGTTCAGGTTAAGAATGTCAGGTCGAGCAGCGTGCGGGATATGGCAGACTCAAGACCGCGCTGAATTGCGGGTACGGGTGTGCGTGCGCTGGTCGTGTGAGTGTGTCGAGAGTCGCGCGAGTGCACCGTACGAGGGAGAGCGAGTCCGCTTATCAAATGGACACGAAGGCAATCTCAATGGGCAAAGTGCTGAAGTCGAAAAGGGAAGGAGTCGGCAGCCAGTGTCGATGAGTCAAAGTCGGAAGAGTGTCCGGGGCGCTTGATGGGCGACGAAGTCAAGGATGATGAAGTCGAAAGTGATGAAGCCAAAGAGAAAGAGAGAGAAGAGAGCAAGAGCCGAGGAAGAAAGACGCAGAGCTTATGTAGTCCATCATTCTTGAATGCCTTGACGCAGCCGATGCACTCAGGGCGCAAGAAGGAAGACATCTTCATGCGCATCATGCCTCAACACGTCAAGGCTGGGGCGCAGTCCGCACGCCCGAACGCGTCACTGATGGCGCGAGTGATGAACACCCACAGACCGCGGACCGCGGGCGCGGAAAAGGGGGAGATGGGGAGGTAACGCCCTTCCGAAGACTTGGCCCAACCGACATGCCGACAACAGATCTCGGGGTGGTGATGAAGGAGCTTGTGACTACGAGGGGCGCAGGTCGAGGCGGGGCTGGGCGCAATCTATCCCGCTCTGTTCGGTTCGACAATCATCGGGGCTTTTCCGTGTCGCGTGGTCGGTTCCAGAGGTTGTGGCGACACAAGGACTTGGTGTTGGCAGAGATCGGCAAGGCGGTGGCCATGGTTCATGAGGAGCAGCTGGTGTCAAGTTATCGTCGCAGTGAAGATCGCAGGAGAGGGAAACAGCGGCACGCAATCTGCTAGGTGGACGGAAAATTCGTCGCATCGCGATGGCACAGGCGGGTGTAACAGCTGCGAGCGTTCAGTAGGTGTGCGTACACATCTCTGGCGTGCGAAACGTGTGCTAGAGGCAGTCTCACATCCTCCCAAGCAAGGCGAGAGACCTGAGGTTGCAGGAGACGCTGGTAGGTAGGGGACCGAGGCATGTGTGTGTTCCAACCTACCTCGTTCCTCTTTCCTTCTCGCGCCAGCTCTCGCCTCCTCCACGTCACCTGGAAGGGACAAGACGGGTTTCTGCGGCCATCCCCACAGTCTATATAAGCTCTAACGTGCCCTCCGACCGTTCACCATCCACCCCATTCACCTATGAGCATTTTCTCCATCCTCGAACGTCAGTCTACCTCCTCAATCTGACCCCCAATATCGACCACTTCGCTGGTGAGTTGGGCGTTCGTTCTCACCGCTAACTCTCAGGCCCTCATCTGACTCAGTTGCACTGAGACCATCTGATACCCAGTCCTTGACATCGACGACGTACTCCTTCCACCATTCCTGTCCCCTTTCGATGCGCTATTGAACCCCTGAGCTCCTTCCAAAGGTACGCCCGTCTTTTAGGCGGAGGTGAGTTCTCGTTCGCTGTTCAGTTTCAACTGACACCCAATGCTCTCCCCCCAGTTGCAAAACTCAACGCAAGTACACTGGCCATCCACCGGCGCACCTCCAAATGTCACACATCCCCGGTTGGACTCGAACACGAGTCCAAGTCACGACCGCCTCACGATCTCCTTCGGCACTGTCGGTGAGCTTCCTGCCTCTCGGGATAGCTTATCTCAGTCACAGGACTTTCACCGTCCATGATCGTTAGTTGAGTGCAACGGTGTGAAAACTGCCGACTACTGCTTTCACTGTCATTTACGTCCCCTCCCTTTGGGCACTCGCGTTGTCAGCCTTGTTTTGGCATCGCATGGGCCGCCGCTGTGAGTTTACTTCTCTTCCCAGTGAAACTGTCTAGCAGTGATCGGTGGGTCAGACTGTCCGCCGACACACTGCCACTTCGCCCTTCCTCTACCCGTGACGGGGGCAAGACGGTGCAGCCATATGTTGACAGAGGTAAGGCTGTCTGCGAAGTTAGGGATAGCTAATCTCAGTGATCTTCATTGATTCCATCCCATGACTGCGCTTCGTGGAAACACCCAGGTGAGCTTCCCTCTGCTCACGGTTAAGCTGACAACAGGTGGATTCAGCAAGGAGTCGGTACTCTTCCGGCACACTTCCACTTTGATGGATCAAGCGATACCCCGGAGCTGTCTTTGGAGCTCTAGTCAACAACACAGCCTACAGCGTATGGTAGAACGATCAAGCGGTGAGTTGTCCTCCTGCTCATGCTAACTCACAGTTGGACTTCCGTTCGTGGCGCGGATCGCCTTTTTTGCCCAAATCCCGAGAATTCAACAGAACGCAGGCACTTCTCCCGACACTAATGCCTGTAAGCTCCCATCACCGCGTTCACAAGCTTATAGCAGCTTATCTGTCTCATACACATGCTTAAATATGCGAACTATGGTCTTCTCGACAGGCTCATTGTCACTAGACGGCACACTACCTACCTTGGGTTCGCGAAGTCCCGTACGCCGACCCTCAGATCCTCGTGGGCTCATCGGACGAAGAAGGTCGACTGCACCCGTAAGTTATCTCTGATTGAACGTCTGCTTTTGGGGATTTGAGTTAATGCCCGCCCTCTCTGTCAACTCTCAGTCACACGACCCGCACCAGGTTCGTATAGCTATGTGATCGCGTAGTTCAGCTGACCTCCAGCCTGCCTCCGCTCCGAGCCGTGACTTTTGGATCAGAATTCCCGTTGACTCTCGGACTTCTGGTATGTCGAGCTGCTCGAGAGGTGGAAATTAGCTGAAATCCAGCATCCAGCCTTCGTCGTCGGCACCAGTCTCTGCCAGTGGGTTGTCATGGCGATAACGACGTAGCGGGTAAGGACGGGTGAGCTGGAGCTTCAATGTGGACGCCAAGCTGACATTCAGAGCTTGTTTCTCGTTCCTCGTAACCCAGGGGCTCTGCAGTGAGCTAACATTTCCATTTCCTGAGCTGACAAACAGGGATCACGCAGCTCGACTAAATACGTCGAGATGCCTCGCAGATGCAACCGTGAGCTTATAGCTTGCGTTTCTTGAGCTCACAGGTAGCTTCGGATTCTGATTCGGCAACAACAGCTTGCTTCAGGTGAGCTTCCTTCCGGCGATTCCGAGCTGACCGTCAGTCCCCGCCCGGCATGTAGCCGCTATCGTGGACATCCGGCTCTGTCCCCATGCAAGGTGCACGCATGGGGCGGCAACGTGAGCTTGGTACGCGCAGTGCATCAAGCTGACGTCCAGCGGAGATCCTGCTGTCCAAGAGCGATCTTGAATGATGTGCGGAAGCTGTACATTGCACGCGCGAGCCGAAGAACAGACCGGCGCAGACTGACAAGTTGGCCGTGAAAAGTAGGCTGCGCCTATGAGATCAAGCTGACAGTCAGCTACCTCTTCGCCTAGCCAAGACACTGAAGTCGTAATCTGCAACGGTGAGCTTTATCATCCTAATGCTTAAGCTTACAGGCAGCTTTGCATCGTGTTCGGGGTTCCCCATCCAACCTCATCGTGAGCTTTGTACCCATCGAACCTAGAAAGCTAACACTCAGGATTTGCTCCATGAGCGTTCCAGTCACACGATAGGGGGGGGGGGTCAAGCAACTGTGAGCTGGTCGACAACTACTGCGAAGCTCACGCCAGTTCCTGCGCACCCGTGTTCCGCTACATGGATCAGTCTGATGTGAGCTAGGGCACGTCGAGCTGTCAGCTGACCCCAGGTCAAGTACAGCACATGTGGTGAGCTGCTGAAAGCCCACGTGAAAGCTCACTTCAGAAAATGGGGGTGAAGAGTGGTGGGTTGGGAGCATGGTCTCGAGGTACGAGCTGTCCAGAGTCTGTCCGTAGCTGACCCCAGCCGCATTCCGCACTTGCCCAATGCCTATGCAGGCACACACGACTCGTGGGCCAGCTGAAAAGGAGCCTGAAAAGCTGACGAACAGATAGCTTCCCCTCCCGTGTGGACGAACATCGCGAACGGGAAGGCGTGTGGGTGGAAGGAAGCTCACTTATCTCCGAGCATGAGCTGATCTCCCGTCCCGGCCTCGTTCCTGTCTGTACCGATTAACAATGTGAGGAAGGGTGGAACGCGAGCTAGCCCATATGCGGACAAGCTGACCTGCAGACCGCATGCTCCGCAAGGCGAACTTCACATTCCACACCTTCGTCCAGACAGCAAGAAGGCAGGTCAGCTGCCCACATACAGACACAGCTGACCCACCAGCGATTGTCCCCCGTTCCAGTGGAGCGAGTGGAGCGGTGATAAGGTCCGTGACAGACAGATGTGGTGAGTGGGAGCTCTGTAGGTCGAGGGCCCGAGCTGATCCTCAGACGTCCCAAGTTATCAGCATAGGTCAAAATAAGCTAGGGCCTGTGAACAATCTCGGCGAAGCTAACAAACAGCCTCGTCGCTTGTCGTACGGCATACTTGATGAGCAGGTATGAGCTGAGAACATCGATTCCCGGAAGCTGACTGTCAGCCCGTCCTGTGTCAGTCGCCAGTGACCGTCTCACACCCCCAAGCCATTGGGCTCCCCGTTGCCGAATCCCGCACCGAGCCGTGTAGGCAGCCCTACATATCACCTCCTATAGTCCGTGGTATTCCCAAATTCTCGTAGCACGCAATGCACGTATACATGTCTAGGTTTCAGCTCAGATACAACACAACAGGGTTATAGTAGGGATAAGTGTCTATGTTCAACTCTGCCTTTGGGGCGGGTACGTCGTCGGCGGCGGGCCGGGGGGCGGGGCATACATGCCCTGTTCGGACTCGAGGCCGCCCGAGCCGTACCCTCCATATATGCCCGCGCTAGACGAGGAGTACGTTTGCGGCTGGCGGTCGTCGAATCCGCCAGCGCCGTGCCCGCTGTACAGGCCCGGCGGGGGTCCGGAGGGGGGAGCGTACTGCGCCGCCTGTGCTTGCGCCGGGCCCCGACCCGCACGACCCGGTCGCGACGCCGGGGGCTCAGACTCCAAGCCGCCATCGCCATACCCTGCAGGAGGGTAGGCCCACACATGCTCTGCCTCGTGGGCGCGCATGCCGTTCGTGCTGCCTGCGAGGTTGCCCTCCCATACGCCGAGCTCCATGCCGGGGCGCCAGGCGACCTCGTCGTCGGCGTCGTCGTACAGCGGTGCCGGCGCGCTAGGGTCGACGGGCATCTGGATCAGCACGGCGATGCGGACGGGTTCCTCGGCCTCGAGCGGGCGATCGGACTCCTTCGGCTCCTTCACTTTCGGCGGGGGAGGAGGGGGCGGCTCGGCGCCACGCCAGCCGCGCCGAATCGCATCGCCGACGGCGTGCAGTCCCTGCGGTGGGGGAACGGGGGCCGGGAGTACGGGCTCCGGTTTCGGCGGGGGAGGGAGGCGGCTCTGCAGTGAGAGCGGCTGCTGTTAGCTGGAACTCCTTCCCGTCTACAGCTGCCTGACGGCTGCGTGCTACGACTGGCATGCAGCTGAGCTGCGGCTTGTAGACCCAGTCGTGCGCCCGCAATGCCAAGAAATCTCACTCACCTGTCCGGTCGCCTCCCAGATCTCCCCGTCCGTGTCCACCGCGTCCCACAGAGTGGGTACGCGCATCCACCGCCTCTCCTTCCTGCGCCCCTGCCATCGCTCAGGCCGGGGGAAGAGTAGCCCCCACGGGTCGTCATCGCCCCAACGCGCTGGGGGCAGGGGTTCACCGCGCGAGATCGCCAGCTGTGTTGCGGTCCAGTATCGTCGACGCAGGCGGTAGCGTCGTATCGTGAGGAGGATCGCAAGGATCACGATGAGAACGAGCACGGCGAGGAACTAAAGTTAGCTAGGTGGCGGACATACGAAGCTGCGATGGCGTAGCACAGTGGGCCATGGGCCGTTCACGGTGTACTGCGAGGCAGGCTAGAAATGTGCGGGGTCGAGCGGGGGTAAGGGAGGGGTGACGATCACGTCAGTGCATGATCGGCCCCGTGTCCTGAGGTACGCGGCTGCACCACTGCAACGCGAGCCCCCGTGTGATGGCGAGATTGACCCATGACCCGGTGCGATGGCTGGTCCACTCACGACAAGGTAGATTGTCTTGCTGTCAGCTCCAATCCCACTGTTCAGCGGACGGCGGGACGGCGTCGGTGTCGGCTCGGCGTTCGTCATGGTGTGCCAGCCGTCGTCGGCCGAGAAGGACGTCACAGCGGGCACGCCCGACGTCGGGCTCCCTCCGAGGAGGTATTCGGTGGACATGGTGTCCGTCTAGGGGTTTTGATGTTGTAGACTGCGGAGCGAGATGATGGTTGTTTATGCGAGGTGTTGTGGAGTGGAGTCGTTAAGGGGCCGCTGCAGGGTCTTGCTAGGGTCGTGAAATGTGTATGTGTAGAGCTGGGCGATACACGAGACGTTCAAAGAAGAGGAATACAGTCGTGAACAAGACGAGGGGAAAGGTGGTGATGGAGATGAAAGAGTGTGAAAGAGAAACCCGAGTGGTTAAGATTAAGCTCTGCGCTGTGTCTCTCGCCCGAAGTCGCTCCGCCTTCGCATGCCCAGAACCGCAGAGGAGCTTTTGCCCAGCCTCTTTGACCGTGGTAAGTCACCGACCGGACCCCGGACCCCGTCTCCGAAAGCTTCCGCTAACTCCACCCCACACCGCAACGGCACGGCACGGCATTGCGCAGTCCGGCCCATTCACTCTGTGCACAGGATCTGCCGCGCCCATTCCGACAACCAACAGTCGGAAATGCTCTGTCTCTGCATATGTACATGTCGCCCACTATCTACATGCTCTCTGGTCTCTATACATACATCCGTTGCTCGTTGCCGTGTCTCGCCCATCTGCTGCCTGGATTCTCCTTGTTTCGCGCTCACACGATCAGACATACTTGACCGTGACGGAGAGGTTGAAGGGCAGTCCCGGGTCTGTCACCACAATGTCCTCACCCTCGGGAACGAGGTCCGAGACGAGCTTCTCGAGGTTGCCCTTGGTCTGCTCGAACAGTGGGGGCGGGGCCTGGAAGAACAAAGGGCGTCCGTCAGAGTACGCGAGCGAGGGGCGCTTAATCTGGCTGTATCGTGTCAGCTGAAGTGAACGTCCTAAGCTGTACTCACAACTCCTGCCTGTCCTCGATCCAGGCGACGAGCTTCTCGAGCGTCCAGTCCTTTCCAACCTCGGCCGTGACGCTCTCACCGCCGCACACCGGGCAGTCGGGACGCTTCTCGTGCTCAAACGTGAACGTATACAGGCTGTCATTGCCGACGTACTGATGTCAGCCAAGGGAAGGTCAGGCGCAGCTCACCATCATGTAGTTGTTCAGATATGGCGCAGCCGAGGTGGCGATCTTGAACGCCTCGTTGCAGCACGACGCAGCAATGATCGCATTCGTGCTCGCGATCGCGGGAATAATGTTCTTCACGACGCCCTGCGTAAGTTGCCAGGTCACGCCCTCGATCGCAAACTCGGCAGCACGCGCAGACGCCTTCTGGAACAGCCACTCGATGTGGTCCGGGTCATCAGTGTCGAGCTTCTTGTCTGAATGTAAGCTCAACAACTGCGACGCCCAGCTCACCCTTGAAAACGCGCGGCCACTCGAGCACGCTCGCCCACTCAATGCAGTGCTCGGGCAGACGGGGCGTGTTCGCGATTGTGCAGATGGGGAAAGCCGTCGGCGGCGTCAGCATGTCGATCTGATGTCAGCTTATCCGTCCCTACGACTAAGCCTACGGAGCACTCGTAACACGACGTGATGGTCGGGAGGATGACACGCGCCTGGCCCTTGAAGCCCTCAGTACCGCCGTCGATGAGCGGCTTGAGACTCTCAGGGTCTTCCTCGTCGACCATGTTGACGAGTGTAGCATTGATCCACCGGCGCGCCGAGATCGAGTCCAGGCCCGCGATGATGATATTGAAGCCCTTGTAGAACGACAGCGGCTTGTCCTGGATCTTGTTGTGGTGCGCTGTCACCTTGATGCCAGGCACGCGGCGCGTGACAAAGTCTGCCGCCACAAGCGCCTTGCTCTTACCGACGTCGCTCTCGCGGAAGAGGAACTGCCTGTTCAGGTTTGAGATGTCGATTGTGTCCATATCGATGACGTGAATATCGCCGAAGCCGGCTGACAGTTAGTTTCAACTGAAAGTCGGTCACTCACTGAGAGCAAGGTTCTGGAGGATCTCGCAGCCGAGGCCGCCCGCGCCGATGACGAGCACCTTGCACTGGTTGCGGAGGAAGTCCTTTGCGGCATCAGCGCCCTGGAACTCGGCCGTGAAGGGCCCTTCGTTATCAAGGAGCTTGTCAATAGCGGCGTAGCGGGTCGGGTCAGCGATATAAGCGGAGGTCGTGGCGGCGCCGTTCGCGCTGTTGCTGTTGGCATTGTTGACAGGCTGGGGGTTGGTGTTGCTGTTCGCCGCATTTGCATTCTGGGATGCTGCACTTCTACGCATTGCATCAGCTCGAGCCCTACAATCCGCTGCCGAGCTTACTTGGGGAGATCTTGCAGCATGACCTTCCACATGGCCCAGCCGAGACGGCCGTAACCCTCGGCACCATGGCCGTCCTTGCCCCCAAGGCGGCGGTTGGCCTCGGCTGTCGTCGGGCCGTCAAAGATGCCCTGCTCAGCGCGCGCGTTCACCATACGCTGCACGATTCCGGGCGTGAACTCTGGGTGGCCCTGGATCGTGAGAACCTGCGCGAGCGGCTTCTCGGGCGTGCTCGCCGGGTGCAGCTTGACGAAGGAGTGCACCGGGTACCGCTCCGACGTGAGCAGCAGCTGGCACCCGGGCGGCACGGACGGGACGTGGTCTTTGTGCTGGGGTTAGCTTGCTTCCCGGAACCCTCATAGCTCGCGCCGCCATCACGCCGCATCAACAGCAGGACTCACCATCTGCTCAACGTAGATCTTGTCCGCGCCATCTTCGACGACGTAGTCGCTCCACCAGTACCTTCCCTCCTTCGTGAAATTGTTGCTGTACACGCCGATCTCCCATCCGTTTGAGCCCCTGACGCACTCGCCGCCGAGCGCGAGCGCAGCAATCTGGTGCCCGAAGCAGACGGCGAGAATAGGGATGTGCTGGTGGTGCGTCGCAACGTCACGGATGAACTCGATCAGCCCAGGCGCAAAGCTGCTCTGCGGATCGAAGCTGGTGTGCTCTGGAATGTCAGCTGATCACCCTAGGGGAAGCTGAGAAGTAGACCCCCGGTCGGCCGATGGACCAGCCAGAATCTGATGGGACAGAAACACTCAAAGCCCCCTGCTACCTCCTTCCCTGGCTATTACTCACTCGATCCCGTCATCATAATCGCGTCGTACGCCTCGGGGTGTCCCGGGTCAAGCCTCCCAGCTGGCGGGTACTCCTTTTTGTCGACAACGTTGTAGGCGTCGAGGACGAGCTCTGCATTCTTGATCTGCTCATCGGGGCTCGCGGCCTGCGCCTTCAGGAGCCAGTCGCGGTAAATGTCCTCGTCTGACGTTAGCTCTACGTTAAGGGAGCGCGTCAGCTAGCCAAGCGACTCACAAGTGCCGTAGTCCGCCTGCACCGAGGGCAGCTGGAGGTTAGCTGGAGAACACAAGTACAAAGCGTACCGGAGTGTCGCACAGGAGCAGCGCGAGCCGGACGGTGCGCTTGGTCATGGTTCGTGATAGTTGTTGACAAAGTGACCGAGCGAGCTGACGTTGAGTCACCGACGTGCGCCGCCCACCGGGTTCAAGCGGGTTTCCCACGGTGGCCGAGTGCGTTGCCACCCAAATGTCGAAGCGACGATCGCCGCAGCCGCTCCCTGCCGCCATCGCAGCAATAACAAGTTCTCCACAAAAGCACGATCGCCCGCAAGCTCAGTATCGGTGCACGACGCAATGTTCGACGACTTGCGACCACGCCCTGGCCCGCCGCCGCGCCTGATCGAGGGTCCATCAGCGTCATCGGGCCAGCGCTCGCTATACCAGCAACAAGTCCTTGATGTGAGTCCGCCTTGCACCAGCTGGTCAGCCCTCCATTGTCAGCTAACAGACAGGAAGACGAGTATACCGAGACGCTTTCGCGCATTATCGGCCGTGATTTCTTCCCCGACCTGCCCCATCTGCGGGCAACGAACGCCTATCTCTCCTCCCTGGCTCGCAACGACGCCGAGGGTCTCTCCTCTTCCATTCGGCAGTTGGCCCGGATAGCGCAGGACAAAGACGAGGGTCGGTCTAGTTGGGCTTCAGACCACGAACGCAAGGAGCGGGAGAAGGAGCGTGCCCAGGAAGAGCTCAGGCAGCAATTTGACTCGACGCCGCGCATCAACCTCGGCCAGAGGGGATGGGACACGCCATTAGACCGAGGCTCCACGCGGCGACGAGCACGCTCCGTTTCCCCCGAAGCTGGACCCAGTCGGCCACCAAAGGCCAGGAAGCAAGTCCGAGACGATCTGAGCCTGGACGCCTTTCAGCGGAATTATACCTCCGAGGACAATGCCGCCTTCTCGTCTATCCTGGACAGCGAGAACCAGGATCGGAAGCGGCGTAATCAGCTCGTGTGGGACTTTGAGCGCGTGCAGGAGGACAGAAGGATTGAGGGAGAAGTGAAGCGAAAGGCGATTCTGGACGCGGCACAGAGCGGCTGGGTCGTCGACGGTAACGGGCGGAGAATGATCGGAGGACTCGCGCAGGGAGGACGCGAACGTGCCGACGGAGAAGGAGGAGCGTGGGAGGAGCGCAAATTACTCACCGCACCGACGGAGGATAGTGAGGCAGGAGAAGGGAAAGGTGAGCGGGGAGCGTTGGTCAAGCGGATCGAGGCCGGCGCGCTCGTCAAATCCACGCAGCCAACTCTGAACGAGAAGATTCTCCCCGACTCCCATCCCCTGTCACGAGCGCTGGAGATGGCCGGTCTGCCACCGACCGCAATCACGGACAAAGACGGTGCCATCGTGCCCCACCGCGACTTAGCCTCCGGCTCAGGTGATGGACGCGGCCGCGGGCAATCTGACCGCCGCGCCCTCTCTGACGCCGAGAAGGCCGCCCTGTCCTCCGAAGCGAGGGAGGGCGGCAACGTCCAGCAATGGCCGTACAAGGCGATGAACGGGCTCATGTTCCCCCCCGACAGCTACAAAGCCCCGTACCCCCCGCCACCGTCCAAGCCCTCCTCTGCTCCGTGCGCGAGAAAGGCGCCCGCGCCAAGCGTGTCGTACAGGAACACGCGCATCAACGACGAAGAAGACGACACGGGCAAGGCGCCGAGTACGTCGTACGCTTCCACCTGGGTCGATAGGGCGGTGAAGGGCAAATCCTTTGCGCGGCGCGGCTCCACCTCTGCCTCTGTTACGGACTCTGGCACGGATGCCGGGTTCGATGACGAGGAAGACGAGACTGGAAAGGAGTACGACCTCGTGGACGAACCCGACCTCGAACCAGAGGACATGCCGCTGATGACGTACGGCTCCCTCCTGGCCACACCTAAGCGCGTCTCCGCCGATGACACCGAGAACGACTCGTTTGACGGGCCCAGTTTCCGCTTCCCCGAGGAGAAGAAGCGGGACGAGCTCGGCCGAAAATTGGGCAACAAGGCTTCTAAATCCATCTCGGACCGCGCGAGGATGTACGCTCCCTCGCCGTCTACGCCGAGGACGCCCTCGGCCTTGAAGGCGGCTGCGAGTCGGACGACGAGGCCGAGCAGCGGCAGTAGAGGGAGCATGGGCCCGCCCAGCCAGCGAGGGAACCTCACGCCGGCGGCTCAAAGTCTCTTGCAGAGGACGACGGGGCGCACGCCCATGCGATTCGGCAAGAGCGACGGAGGAGGGGGGATCTTCAAGTCCAAAGTCGGCGGGATGGGGTGGTCGCCGTCTCCGAGACGTTAGTCATCTCCTTACAGGGGCGAGAACAGCATACGCGATAGAGATACATGAGAGAAGAGAAACCTGTACAACCAAGTATGTACCATGTATAGAGAGACCCAATTGCTTCTTCCCTTTTCCTTTTTTTCGGGACTTGCGTTCTGTGCAGCACCATCTATGGCACCTCGCCCTCTCCTCCGGACTCGGGCTCAGGCCGCCTGGTCCCAGTCAAACACATTCAGTCCCAGCGCATCGAGCGCGAGTCCATACTCGAGTGCACTCGCCGCATCCGGCCAGAGCGGCATGATGGGTCCCGTGGAGACGATCGGCTCCTCCATGCCCTGCATCTCCTCCTGCCCCTGCCCCTGTTGGGCGGACATGTCAAACTGCGGCTGCTGGAGGAGTTGCTGGTCCCTCGCTCCGGGCGGCGAGACGCGGCGGCGGGGCTGCGCCTCCCTCTGCTCAGCCAGCAGCAACCTGCGCACCTCGTCGTCCTCGGAGCCGGGGGAGCGGACGCCCTCCTTGAGCCTCTCCTGGGCGCGCTTCCTCAGCTGAAGAAGCGTGTTGAGCCCGTCACGCACGCGGCTGCCGTCCCTAGCAGCGGCAGAGAGGTCGCACACGATGCTGAGGCCGGAGTACGCCGGCGTCGCAAAGCCGGATGCGGGTGCTTCGAGGCTGATCGCGGCGAGACAGACGGCGGCGGAGAAGGCGTGGAACCAGAAGAACCACCAGCGCTCGGCGAGTGCGGGCGAGAAGAGCACGAGCGCCTTGACGACCTGCACGATCTCCTGTGCGGACTCGTAGAGCGCGATGAAGCTCTCCCCGAACGTTCCGCGACTGGGTGCCGTGCTGTTCTCCTTGAGGGCTTGCACGAACGCGCCTCGGTTGAGGTGCAGCCTGGCTTCCGAGATAAAGAGGCGGATGCCCAGGCGCTGGAGCACGGTCTGCGGATGCGCGTTCATGGGCAGGTCGGTGATGGCGATACTGCACATGAGGGATTCGGGGAGCGACTTGCGGAACTCCTGCAGTTCCGCGTCAATCTCGAGAACAGTCGTGTACGGGACGGGTGTGGGCTGGACCTGGGTATCGTTCACGCGCTCGAGCATCTGCACGACGCAGTGCTTTGCGTGGTGGTACCCAGAGTCGTCGAAGAAGAGCCGGTTGTCCGGGATCGGCATCTTGGTGTCCATGTGTCGGTTGGAGAGGCCGCAGGGACGGCCGAACGTCATGGCCTGCACGCGGTCGTACTCCATCAGCTCCCAGAAAACCTTGCGGCGCTCTTGCACCTCGTCCTCGGGCAAGCCGAAGGCTTCGCCGTCACGGTGGAGACCGACCTGGCATTAGCTCTGCATTCGCCTCAGTAATGGTGATACGTACAGTCAAGGCTGACTTGAGGGTGCTTCCGATGATGGGCCAGAAGGCCTCTGCGCCATCTGCGCCTGCTTCTCATCAGCTCAGTTCCGAAAACTTCAACTCACTTTGATCGTTCAGCACAAAGGTTCCGAACAGGCTCAGGGCCTGGATGCGGGTCACGCTCGGCTTTTCAGAACGGGTAGCGGAGAGCAGGTCTTGCGCGGCAAAGAACAGCTCGTGGCACCGGGGATGGAACGGCGGCAGCGTCAAGTCAAACATGACGCCGAGGGCCATGACGAGCAGCACGCACGCGAGCTGGGCCGACTGGGGTTGCGCGCTCGGGTCGTACGCCATGATGAGGTACTTGTCGAATGTGATCTTGGGAATGACCTGGTGGATCCAGTTGACATGCTCCCAGTATTGCTCCACCATGCGCCTTCCCTCCTTCCAGGGCGGGAGCTTGGAGCGCGCATCAGCGACGGGGTCGCGGCGCAGCGTCGGTGTCCCCATCGCCTGGAGCACGTCGCCTGCTCCCGGGTCACTGGCACCGTTGAGGGATGGACGACGGTCGGCATCCTGGTCCTCGCGCAGGTACACTGAGCCGGCGAGGGAACCCACGTACCGCGTCTGGCCGTCTTCGTCCATGCGCAGCTGGCCCGGTGTCGTGTCGACGACACACTTCTCGAAACTGTGCGCCAGCTTGCGAAGCGGCGAGGTTGCCACACGGGGGGACTGGGTGGGCTTCGGGTCCTCGGCGGCTGCCTTCTCGGCTGCGGCCGCTTGAGCCTCGCGCTCACGAGCTTCCTTGTCCACGCGCTCACTGATTGTTAGATAAGAACGAAGAGGAAGAAGGGTAGTGCTTACCGCTTGCGGTCGACAACGCCGTCGGGACAGATGGCACCGCAGCCGCGGCGCTCGCACATCGTGCATGGCCAGGACTTGGAGCATCGCAGCTTGAGTCTGGGCGTTAGTGATGAACTACTAAGGCCGAAGTGAGGTGGAGGTGGAGGACGGTGAGGTCGATGGTGGAGGTGGGCAGCTAGGGAGGTGGACTTACCGACGGCATTCGGCACAGGAGTAGCGTTTCCGGCCACGCTTGCGGCGTTCGATGAGGACGGTGGAGGAAGACGCGATGGCAGGAGCAGTGCTGCTGTTGGCAGCCGCGGCGATGGGGCGGGGCCGTATCGGGGGCTGCTGGTGGGAGTCGTCCATGTCCTTCTTCGCGGCCTTCTTGTTGTCCTTCGAATCCTTAGAGTCCTTGGAGTCTTTGTCCTTTAGCTCCTTGGCCTTGCGCTTGGGGGGGCTGGGGGAAGGGGTCGTCTTGCTCGTATCAGGCTTGACCTCGGGGCTCTGCTGCTTCACAGACTCGATCGGCTTGGGACGCGGCTTATCGGTGGTGAAGATGTCGTTGTGGATGGAGGGCAGATGGGCGTGTGTGAGGTTTGGGTTGATGGTAGGCTGAGGCTGAGGAGTGAAGAGCTTGTCCTGCTGGTCAAGCTTGTCGAGGGCGTCGAGAGTGTCGAGGCTGAGATGGCAGTTGATAGGGGACGCGAGGACAGTGTCTGGGGGCGTGGAGAGGGTGAGGAACGAGTCGGAGCTCGGCGAGGGAAAGGGGAAGAGGAGGTCGAGTGGAGGCAGAGACTGGCCGGACATTGGGTCGGACAATTACAAGACGCTGATTGGCTCCAGATAAGCTCTATGTGCGCTTGCCCCGTGTCTTGTATGGAGGGGAGAGTTCGGATCGTTGCAGAATCGAGGTGAGCTCTTTAATCCTTTTCCTATCAATGGAGGACCTCGATGGTCTGCGGGGACTTCGGAATCCCCGGAGCCAGCTTCGGGCGTGCAGAAAAGCTCCACGAACGATGGAGAGAAAGAGTTTCGTGACGCAGATGAGAGCGCGGTCGCTGCACGGGAAAACCAGCGGGGGTGCAAGGTGGGGCTGCCGCCGCGCGGCGCGTACCCCCTCGGCTATGGCCGTACCCTTCGCTCTCGCTCTCGTCCCGCCCGCCCCGAACACATACCGTTGTCCCAAATCCAGGGACGCCCATACCCAGGGTAGGGTGAAAAATCAGGATCACTTAGGCGGGGCCGCGGTGGCCCCTCGCCCAGCTGCTTACAAACAAGCCTGCATCACATGGTACACGCCCACAACAGCCCACAATCACCAGAATTCGATAACCGCAAAGAGTGGAGAGAAAAGGAACATGGCCCGATGTACCTTAGTCGGATGGGGGAACAGAGCTACTCTCCACTTCATCATCCAGCGGCTTTGTTCACCGCTCGGATCCTGTCCTCCTGACTTACCCCGCATCCAGACCCCCCACTGATCCGTCTTCTCTAGCCGCCCTACCGAGGCAATACGGCAAACCACGACTTGAACACGCACGGCCAGAGGTATGCGACTACCCTGTCGTAATGAACCAAGAAAAGCACACTCCTCTGTCTGTGAGCTGATTATCTTACAAAGCACGGGCAAGGAGCGCGTGTATGACCTGCATGAAAGGACATCTCCGCGATGGAGACAAGGAAGGCAGGAGACTAGTGGTAAGAGACTTGAGGTGGAAGCCACTGCCGCACGCATCGGATGTACGGATTTGTGCCCCACACAGCCTGGATGCCTATTTCATATCACCGGCTTTCAAAGCCCATCCATTCGTCAGCTTGTGGGTAGAGCCACACACCGCTTCCCCTATCTTAGCCTGGGAACGCACCTCTCCATCAGCGGCGCCCCGCGATCCCATAGGTGACTCCCCATCACCAACGTCACAACATGTCGAGTCTTACCTTGCTGCATGCCTCCAGACATCATCTCCTAGACGTGGCCCCCGCCCCAAGGCCACCATGTGCTCACATGACGATGGCTGGCGACTGATAGGACTTGGAGACCGTCGGGCACGCCCGATCTTGGGCAAGAAGCAGTCAGCTGCCCCGCAATGGCGCGCGGCATGCAAGTAAGCATATCATATCAGATCCATGGCTTTCATACTTTGCTGGAGGTGTTGGAAACCAGGTCACGCCGGAGCGCCGTTCCTTGGAAATCAGATAAGGTGCCGTGCCCTTCCTCTCGAGGCCGCACGTTCACCTCAACGAGGCAGCGGGCAACCCTTCAAGGAGCAAAGGGACTGAGTCACGATCTCACGCTAGCGTCAGTCTGAATGATCAGCTTTCTGGTTAGCGTTGCCGGTCCGAGGGACCGCGTATGGGAACGCGTCTGGAACGGTTCCAGACGTTTGATATGGCGCGCACGTTGAGCTACCACTGCGGCCTCGTTCGATTGGGGTGTTGACATCGCTGGGCACCACGATGGGCGAGCTGTTCCCCCTTGCGTATCCTTCGAGCCTTCTCGTTGCACGGCATGACCAGCACGGCCGCAACACCATTACGTTCCAGATCTCTTCGCTCGGTAGTAACTTGAACTCGCGAGGCAGTGCGCAACAACCTAGGCTGTCATCTAATCCTGAGAACCTCCCGGTCTCCAGGGTGGCACATGATCGCGACAGTGATCGATGGATCGAAGTCTGGGGTCAGATCCCAACCCTCTGCTGATGTCAGATCACACGACACACGCTGAGCGCTGTCCGTCTTTCTCTCCCGCTTGATAGGGGACGTCTGCGGCAGCGTCGTGCAGAACACCGCCAGCCACGCCAGCCACGCCAACGATGCTGTGGACGTTGCGGCAAAGCCGTCAGGCACACCATTCTGACAGCACCGAAAGACCTCCACATCGGCTGTGGACGGAGAATGCGGAGTAGGGATTGCGGCAGGGTCAGCTGGACAGGAGGGTCGCCCACGGTCAATCGGCCTACCGGCGAAAAGCAGCCCTCTGATTCGTGGACAACTACGCACTAAGTCCGATTAAACAACACACGCTGCCGTCGGTTCGCGATGTGGGCTCTTGCAACAACACTAGATGTGAGCCGCGGGTGGGGCCCAGCGCGGGGTGCGTCGGGAGTGCTGGGTCCAGCTGATGCATGTGGGGGATGCCCACTTCGCGCACGCACTCAGGCGTGCGTGCGCGGGCAAGTGGGGAGTCGTACTCGGCCCCGGACAGGAGTTTGCGGCACTGGCCAAACAACAGCAGCACGAAGGTCACGAACTCAGGAGTGGCAGGAGACTCAGGAGTGTATCCAGGAGTGTGGCCCTCGACTGTGCGGGGAACGTTCGAAGGATCGAGGGACTGTCGAGGGAAGGCACTCGGACGTGCTAATTCTGGTTCATGACCCCACTGCCAAGTGACCCGTGTCCAGGCTTTCGAAGCTGCTCTCCTGTTTTTGACAGTTCCTTTAGCTCCCGGAAAGCACGGCTCTCGGCCCAGGTACGTCCCCCGTGCTCGGTACCAAGACTTCGAGGTCGTCCGAGGATCGCCAGGTTCGTGACGAGGCGGAGCAGGGGAGGGAAGTGGAAGTGGAGGAAGGCAGTACGGCTTACCAAGTGACTAACGGGATTTCCGAAACCTGAACTAGCTGCTGATGTTCTAGCCTTGACGAGCTCTCGCGGCGGCCGGTAGTGAGGAGACCAGGAGATCGTTAGCCGCGTCGGAATGAGAGAAGATGTTATGGGGAAGAATCGTGTAAAGAGTACGAAACGAAGTGGAAGCCGAGGCAGGCCGCAGACGGTGCTCAGCACCAGAGCGGTGGCGGGGAAGGCATGTGCGTTGGGGCGCGCAGCTGCAGCTGACTGTACTGATCGGCTGATCGTGTCTTAGCAACGAGGACTAACGACTCCAAGCGAGGCATGTGTCGTTGCCGAGCGATCCCATGCCTCCTGCAACGGTATGCATCCTTTTCCTCTCTATGCATCTTGCACTCAGCTCCGCAACGCCAAGAACATGAACTAACGAGGTAACGACGGCTGTCAATGAGTTAACCGCGGCTGACTTTCGTGGATCGTGTTTCACGATTCACCTCGAGCATGATCGAGCAAGGTCAACGCCACAAGCCACTAGGTAGTGCGCGAATCGAGCACATACCTTCACTGCACGCCACGCCGTAACTGTGATCAGAACATGCCTCCGTTCAGCTGGGTCTGGTACCTCTGTACCTCAGTGCCTCAAGCTGCCCGCAGTTGATGACGCCCTCGTGTCGAGACAGAGGTCAGTGAGTCGCCGGTGCGGCGGCCAACGTACAGGTCTCGGCGCCTTTAAGCGCAACATTGCTCTGCACAATCCGCGGCCGTTTTCTCGCTAGCGACAGCGTGTACATCTCTATTCCAACTCTCCCGCTTAGAGTTCAATTCGAGAATAGAGCCGGTAGATCTTGACAGCTCCAACGGATTTTCGAGGTGCGGAAGTTCCAGCCCCGGCCCGCGACGCCCGCGACATACCGCACCTGGCCGCCGCTTCCGGCCGCTCGGCCGCTCCACACTCGCTTCACCCACCGCCGTTTATTACCACTGAGGCGGCGGCACTCGCCGGACCTCTGCGACAACGGCGACCATCGCATATCAACACCTCTGGACATCCGAAGCATGACGAGAACTGCAGATCAACCGTATCAGCATCCGGAGCATGACAATCGCATACTAATTACTGAACATCCGCAACGAAGTGACGAGTGAGCTCGACGGACGGGCGCTAAGCAGCACTCGGTGCGGCGTGCTCCGCCTCCTCAGGATCGGCGCGGAGGAAGTCAAAGTCAGCGCCCGTGTCTGCCTGCGTCACTCGGTCATGATAGAGCTGAGCGTAGCCCCGCTTCGGCCTCGTTCCCTTCCTCCCTCGTCCCTTGACTTTGGCCTGTCTCCACTCCTCGAGTCTGCTGGCGATCTCGTCGTCAGAGAGCTCGAGACTGATGGAGCGCTCGTCGACGTTGAGGGAGATGGTGTCTCCATCTCGCACGATTGCGAGCGGACCACCAACGGCAGCTTCGGGTGCGACGTGAAGCACTACACTCCCCGACGCTGTCCCCGACATGCGCCCGTCCGATACGCGCAGCATGTCCTTGACGCCTTGCCGGGCGAGTTTCTTCGGAATAGGGATGTATCCCGCCTCTGGCATGCCCGGGTGTCCCTTCGGTCCAATGTTCTGGAGCACGAGGCTGATGTCAGTTTTCCGCTCAGTGCGCCGTAACTTACACGCTGTCAGCTGTGACGGGCAGGTCTGGGTCGTCGATACGCTCCATCAGGTCGTCGGCGTCCTTGAATACAACGGCGGGTCCCGAATGTTGACGGAGGCCGGACGCCATCGCGCTCTGCTTCAGCACACACCCGTCTGGAGCCAGGTTGCCAGTGAGCACGACGAGGCTCGCGGCGGGGTACAGTGGGTTATCGAGTGGTCGGACGATGTCCTGTGCAAACGGGGGAGGACACTTATCCAGCGCCTCGCCCAGTGTCTCGCCCGTGACCGTTTTGGCGTCGAGGTGCAGTAGCGGCCGCAACGCCTGCAAGAGAGTAGGCACGCCTCCAGCCTGGCTTGTCAGCTAAAGGTAACAAACAGCCGTGGAAGCTCACGCGGTAGAAGTCCTCCATGTAGTTGGCCCCTGAAGGCTTAAGGTCGACGAGCAACGGCGTCTTCCTTCCGATACGGTCAAAGTCGGCCAGCGTCAGGTTCACACCTGGCATCCGCCCAGCAATAGCGAGTAGGTGCACTATCGCATTCGTGCTTCCTCCGATAGCTTGCAGAACTGTGATCGCATTCTCAAAGCTCGCACGAGTCAACACTTCGCTCGGGCGCAGGAGCTTCGTCGCAGCCAGCTTTCCAGTCAGCTCTGCTACGCGCAGGCGCTGCCCGCCATTCGCGGGCGGGCAGGCTGAGCCCAGGGGCGCGATGCCAAGCGCTTCCGTCAAACAAGCCATCGTGCTCGCTGTTCCCATCACGCCGCAAGTCTGTTGTCAGCTATGCTCGCACCTTGAGAGTGAGCCGAGGTGAGGGCACTCACGCCAGCACTCGGCACCAGCTCATTGCCCACCGCCGTGATCTCCTCCAAGTCAATGTCGCCTGCCCGGTACTTTGCCCAATACCCACGGCAGTCGGTGCAGGCGCCAACGCGCGTGCCACGGTGAGAGCCCGTCACCATCGGTCCTGTCACTAGCTGGATGGCGGGCACGTCTGCGCTGATCGCGCCCATCAGCTGCGCCGGGACCGTCTTGTCGCAGCCCCCGATCAGCACGATGGCATCCGCTGGCACCGCCTTGATCATCTCCTCCGTGTCCATGGACATGAGGTTTCTGCTGTCAGCTTGTCCAGACTGCCTGAAGCTCGCATGCGGAGCTCCACTGGGAGATCTGCTCACCGGAGGAACATGCTGGTAGGGAACGCAAAGCTCTCGTGCAGGCTGATTGTCGGGAAGGGGACTGGCAATGCGCCTTGCAGCATGACGCCGCGCGACACCGCGTCCAGCAGTTGCGGCACGTTCGCATGACACGGGTTAAAGCCGGACTGGCCATCAGCGGTAAGCGTCGAACTCCAGCTTACATTCGTGTTCACGACTCCGACTATACGCCGGTCGAGCGCATCGTCACTGTACCCCGCGCCCTTGATGAACGCCTTGCGGAGGAAGAGCGAGAAGCCCTGGTCGCCATAGTTCGTCAGCCCTGTTGTCAGCTGACATGGAATAATTGGACAGCCTACCACTGCGAAGTCCTGTCTTGTCGTCGGCCATGATGAGTGAGTGGGCAATGTTGAGAGTGTTGCTGACAGTCTCGTGCCTTTGGGCGTTGCCCCGCACGGCGATGTCCGATCGGCGGCGGCTCAAGCTCGCCAATCACGGTTCCGCCCAAATGTCACAAGCCGAGTCGCCGATGGCGCATGTATGCGTCTTCATGTCCTATCGACTGCATTGCTTGTCTATCATGTACGGAGGTATACATAGAGTGATAGCGGTCATCGCTCCTTTGGCAGCTCGCCCTCCTTCTCATGCCGCATCTTCCGCTGCGCCGAATCCAGCAGGAAACGGACGTACATCATGTGGAACCAGCCCATGACGCCCTCGTCCGTCTGCGCGCCGGGCACATCGACGTTGCCAGTGTAATACCGGAGGCGCAGGTTTCCCCTGTCGTCGGGAACAGCCTCGAACGCCTGCAGGTCCGCCATGGCGGGAATCGCACCTCCGGGGCCGAAGAAGATCATGCAGGTGTTGTCGTCGCGGGAGAGCTCGGGGAAGAGGCCACCGCAGTGGGCTTTCCGAATATACTCCTTCGTATACGGTGCCGGGAAGAACTTCTCCTGGTATCCGATGCTCTTCGCGAATGCCTCTTCCAGCTTCAGGGCCCAGATGTCGTAGAACTGCCGGATGAACGACTCCATCGGCTTCGTGCGCTGCACTGTCGTATTCGCAGGGATGGTGATCTCGCAGTACCGCCAGTAGGGGTTCGTATCCTTGGGCAGGGCGCGCTTGATGCTCGTTGGCAGGTTGGCGGATGATGTCTCATGGACCGGGTACTTCTTTGTGAGGTACGCCGTCAGCGCGGCAGCCACACCGGCGCCGCCGATGCCGGCGTAGAGTATTGGCTTCCAAATCTTCCGCATCTCGTTGGTGACGCTGAGCAGGTGAGTGATGTGGTAGAGATGAATGCAGAAGATGTCGATCACTGTCATATATCCCATGTCTCAGTGGCCTGGGAACCCCTCGGTCTCTTGGCTGGGGGATATCGGCGGATCCGACCAATTGCTGACATCAATCGCTGACAGCCGCGGGTAGTTGCTACGTGTGCTCTTCACTGATGACTAAGTGACGTCTGCCAGACCCATGAATGGTATGTACGGGCCATTCAGCGGCCCCGAGCGATACCACGCGGCATCGGGCTGCAGAGATTGGCTTTCGGTGCAGCAAGACGCCGAGGTCGGGCGGGATGCAAAAAGTTGAATTCCGCATGCCAATCCGCACCCTCGTCACTGCAAATTCTGTCGGGTCCGCTGATCGTCGTCAAGCACTAAAGATGCACGTCCCACTGTCATCAATGCACATCAGAGTCGGTCTCTCCCAATGCAGCACACCTTGTTGTTTCTCTGGTCGAAGCTCGTACAGAGAATTAACTATCGTTCGTTAGTGCGACCAAACCCATTAGCCTCTACGCTAGTCAGCCACGCTTGTTTAGGCTCTAATGGGCTGAAACAGGTGATCTGCTCACCACATCCTTGGAACTCTCCACAACTCGTGAGATACTCAAGCTGTCTCCATCAAGACAGCTGTTCTATCGAGTGCCCACACAGCACGCAAAAACGTGACCTCTGGCGGGGTCGAACCGCCGACCTTATGCGTAAAGCACGAGCTGTTAAGCATACGCTCTAACCAACTGAGCTAAGTGGCCTGGAATTGCTTCACGGAGACGATGGGCCTGGCAGATTGATAAAGAGAGTGATGGAAATTTCGTTGTGATGTTGCGAAAGGCTTGAGAACATTCGTGCCCTCCTGCAGGAACCGCGCAAAGTCGTCCTGAAGGATGGTCAACGCGGTACAAAACATCAACGCAGGATGCAGCTGCCGCAGTTAGCCCAGGCCGAGGTCCCCTAACCCGCAGCCCACTCGGAGCGACGCCCGAAACAGATCGTCGCTAGTTTCAGCGTAGTCTGCGCCCCTCCTCCAGCTGCGCGCCGATCAGTGGCACCAAGGCGCTCGCATCAGCAGTCCTCATTATTTTCGATATTTCTACCCAACGGCTGCATAGAATCGCACGATTTTTGCATCGTTCGAACCCTCTTGACCAGGGCTGTCGCATGGACAGCGTGAAAACACGGAGGCATCAATGGTGTAGTCGCTATCATACTTCCTTCGGGTTCTAATTGATCCGGATGAAACATCCAATGGAAGTGGTCCTGGGTTCAAATCCCAGTTGGTGCCAATTTTTGTTTTTCGCGTCCCTGGGTGGGACCCTGAGGGCGGATGGGTCGTTGTTGGATGCACCTGTTATGTGCCCGCAGTGATGCGATGGGCATGCTCGCGAGCTTCTGTGCGCGCCAGGGAGGCCCCAGGTGCACCAGCATTTCCAGCTCTCGTTCTTAACTGTTGAGGGCAGCAGCGCTCGTTGAAGGGGGAAAGAAGCTCTTACGAACAAAGGTAGTGAAAGATGCACAGTGGCAGTTGGCGGCTATTGATGCGGGGAAGCGCAAAGCTTCCGGCTGGCCCACCGGGGTACAAGCACTCCTCCGATAGTGCAATTGGAGGCGTGAGGTGAACAGGTGAGGCCAGCGCGAAGCCTAATGGAGTGCGGGGGTCGTCGTCCCCGGGGAGCCAGCAACACAGATTGTTTCGAGGGACAGTATCCAATCCGCCGTGTGCTCCAAAAACCCGTCCGCGAGGTCGATGAATCCGATGAGCTGCTGTACGTCGACAAGCTCCTCTCTCTTTGCTCGATGCGCAACGTCCGTAAATGACGGGGTGAGAGGCTGAAAAGCGTTGAAAGTTGTGGCGGAGCCGTTTATGGTGGTGCACAAGTTCCAGGTAGCTTTTTCCGCCGGCCATTGTTCTTCCAAGAAGTTGGTCTGCGAGCGAGGAGGGCGAAGACGCGAGTTGTTCCTGTTGCACCGACCAGACAAACTGGCCGCACCCTCATCAGAGCTTTGGGGGTCTGTCCGTCTCGCGTGTCCGACAAAGTCCGCCTTGGTCAGCGGTATCTTGCATGTCTCACTGAGCATCGTCGTCGCACTCCACGCACTCGTCGCACTGTGTATACCAATGCACAGCACAGCGGACATGATGCCTCTCGCTCCGCTTCTTCCTCTTCTCCTCGACAGGCAGTACATATATCTGGCCACATCGACGTTTGTCCTCTTTCCCACCATCTTCTTCCCCATCCTTCTCCGACCAATCTGACTGCTTATCAGCTATGGCGAGCCCCCATACTTTCGACCTCGCGGACATCGCCCCGCGCTCTTCTCTGACCAACGCCGCCCAAGCCTCCTCTGCCTCTGACACTGCCGACGCTATGGTTGAGGTCTCGTCTGCAGCCCTGCAGTTCTCCATCGGCGCTTCCACCCCCAACGACAAGGACAATGTTGACCCCGAGGGCACATGGTGAGCTTTCAAGGTGCACTACAGCTGACGGCAGGATCAACTGGCATCGCTATCCCCATATCGTTGACCAGATTCTCAGCTTCCACCTAGATGACGGCCAGGGTCTCATCACCCGCGCCGTTTCGAAGACCTGGCTCAAGACCACGGACACTCGGCTGTGTCAACACTCTACCCTCACTCCTTTGTACGAGCGCGGAATCCGCCCCAACACTCTGATCGCCCCGATCACCGGCGCCCTTGGATTGGGGGTCGCCGTTCTCCGCGTAATCGAGGAGGTCCAGCGCGGGGGCAGCATCGGGTCGATCCGCGTGTCTTGCCTTCCCCTAAGTGGCGCCTGCCGCTTGCCTCTCATCCAGACGCTGGACATGGATGCGCTCCTCGACTCCGAGTGGATCCCCGAGATTGTCAACACCCTCCCAAACATCAAGACGCTTCGCATCAAGGGTCGCACCAGCGACACCCTGTCGCTCTCTATGCCCCTCGACCGCCTAGTGCTCGACGGCACCCCACTTCTGTGCCCGGGGGTAGAGGAGGTCGGGCCTCGCGTGTCAAAGATGGTCGTCAACATTAAAGGCAAGGAGAGGATCCCCGTTCACTTTAACGGGTCGCGGCATCCACCTCCCGCCGCTGTCGACGAGCTTGTTCTCCTCCTCCATCCCAAGCCCCGCAACATGCAGCAGGCGAATGGCTGGGAGAATGACCTCGCCGTCTGGATGGTGAATGCGTGGACCGCGCACGCCGGACCTAACGTCCCGATGCCCCCGCACTTGCACCCGTTCGCTTCTCCGACCGACTTCCGCGAGCCCGCCGCATCCTGGCCCCGCACTGTCCCCCTGGCCATCTCAACTCTCAAGGCTGGCGGAAAGGTCACGATCGTCAACGCGGCGTATCACCATTATGAAGATTACTTCCTCTACGGGCCCGCGCCCGTCCAGGCCTCAGCACCCCGCCGCGTCTCTTCCGCCAACAACTTGAACGGCCTCACCGTTGATCACTCGGCCCTCCTCGCCGGCATGAGCCACCTAGCCGTTGGGCCTGGTGTCCAGAACGGTCACGCCAACGGTATCCACGTCTCGCACAGCCGCATTCCCCACGTCTCTCTCGAGGACGTCATCAATAGCCAGCCGATCCGAAGGTCGAGCACGACGGTAATGGGAGAGATTCGCAGCATCTCCATTGATGATTACGCTCGCGAAGTCGGAATTGAGGAGCTGAAGTTTGAGACCTATCTCGACCACGTCTAGCCACAGAGGGAACCGGCTCGCCACGACGAGTAATCTCGAGTACATGGCAATATCATGTCGGAGGACACACTCGTATGGGCTCTCCGGCTCTACGAGCTCAAGTGCGAGCATCAACCATGTTCCGTTTACCACCCTCTCCGTCATCCCAACTCCCCGATTCCCCCGCTCTCCAACTACTATTCCCTGCATTAGCCCCATTCCCCTTTCGTGTACTCATAGTTTCAGGTGTCGCGGCACATAAGAGATAGGACAATTATGCACCTCGTTACATCTTTCACTCACACTCCCTCACTAACATGGCCAACGCCTACTTTCGGCGGTGGACATTCGAAAGTGGAGGCAAGTCGGTCCGCCAACAGCCACTCGAGCTTCCTCCAATTCAAGACCCTCCGCCGATCGCTGCCCCACCCCCACTTGCGCATGCATCGCGGAGATCACGATCCGCAACGCGTCAGAGGAGTATGCATCGCCCCGCTCGGCGGACGCGTGCGACGCTTCTGTCCGCTCGACACTCTGTGCCAGTGAGATCTCTGTGATGTCCATCCCTCAAGTCAATGACGTCATGACGTCAGCGATCTGCGCGCCCCGTCCCACGTCCCGCGAGATTCCAGACCTGCCCCTCCTTACCTGAACTCGTCATGACGTCTTTGTTTTCCGTCACCGCGTGCACCGTGGTCACTGAGCCGCGGTACGGTATAAGACTCCAGTCTTACATTTCCATCCTGTGACATTTTCCCTCTCACGTAGATCGACATCGCACGCACACATACCGACATGTCGAGCAAGGACGCGGAAGAGATCCCCCTCCTGTCTGCCGATGAGCGGCGCGCCGCCGCTGGCACGAGTGTCGACCGCGACCCGCCTGCGTCTGGCACGCGGCAGCGCCGAACTGAGGGAACGGGCGACAAGGTCGCCGACCGCGGCCAGGCTCTGAAGAAGAAGGGCGGCCAGTTCGCGGCCCAGGCGGAGCAGGACGTCAAGGGCGTCGTCAACATTGCGCAGAAGGGTGTGGCTAGCGGAACGTGGTTCTACCCCATCCGTGGTGTCGTGTACCTCCTTACTCGTACGTTTGCTCTCACAGCTGATGAACTTCACGAAAGCTGACTCCCAGACCCCAACCTCCTCTTCCCCCTCCTCCCGACCCTGGCCAAAGCGGCCGGCGTCTCCCTCGCGATCCTGCTCGGCTGCTTCTTCCTCCTCTACCTGCCGCAGGTCGCCTTCCTCGCCCTCTTTACGGGTCCTCTGGCCGTGATTGCCGCCGTGCCCCTCGTGCTCGCCGAGAGCTACGTCGTCATCATGTGGGCGTGCAAGGCGTTCCTCCTGACCGACGTCGCGGACGACCTCTTCGACGCCGTCCTTGTGAACAAGGGCCAGGCGCGCCTCGTTGAGGCCAACCGCGCTGTCAAGACCTGGTCTGGCGGCAAGGTGCTCGGCAAGCTCAAGGCGCGCACCGTTGGCAAGCTCTCGACGGAGAACATCGTTCGCTACGTCCTCACTCTGCCCCTCAACTTTATCCCTGTTGTCGGTACGGCCTTCTTCCTGGGCTACAACGGTCTGAAGACCGGACCTTCTTACCACCGCCGATACTTTGAGCTCAAGGGTTGGGGACCTAGCCAGGTTCAGGAGTGGACCACGAAGCGCAAGCCCCAGTACGCCGCTTTCGGCACTGCCGCGATGGTGTTCAACCTCGTCCCCGTCGCTTCCGTGCTGCTCAACCTCTGCAGCAACGTCGGTGCTGCACTCTGGGCCGCCGACATCGAGAACGGCCGCGACAGCGGCGACGACGTCGCTGACGTCGCCCTTCCCACCGGCACCTATCTCCAGGACAACAAGGAGGGCCAGAAGAAGGAGCTCTAGGAAGACTCTGACTTCGAGGTCGATGCGGAGGAAGAACTGGAGAGAGTGAGAGAGCAGAAGGAGCGAGAGAAGGAGAGAGAGGAGTGGGATAAGGTGGAGAGGAAGGAGATGGAGAGACGCGATAGTCTCGAGGCGAAGCGGCTGCTCGATGCGGCTGGGTGTTGATAGATCCGAGATATCCATATGCTATTTATTCTGTTATCTTGCTGGATTGCTGGGCTTGTGGCCTATGGCAGCATCTTATCTGTCGGAGAAGGGCGAGCGGCTGCGTCATTGGTTCTCTCGCACCCGCTCGCACCGCGTCAACAACAGGAGAGCATGCCCCAAGCTTTCTAAACGTTTCATGTATGTTCGGAGTAGTGCGAACAGAATGCGAAGCAGCGAGCAGAGGTATGGAAGCGTCGAGCTCGCCAGCTTTGACCGCCTACACGGCGGGTTGAGTGATTGCCGCAACTCATGTCCGTGCCTACTAGTTGGCGACCTGGCGGCGGCGTTCGTGGGGGCCCTTGCATTGTCTCAGTGCCGCTGATGCAATTGAGCCACGTTGGGGCCCGAGTCAGTAACCCGTTTTGCTTCGTACATCATTGTCCCTCTCTCCAAATTGTCAGATCCGTCTCCCATGCGAAAGTGATGCCCAGTGATGTGCAGAAGGTTCAGAAGGGGTGGAACGATCCATGAAGGGGGGCGTGCCGGAATGTCGGGGCAGGTATCCTGAAGCGGCAATGAAGAGCGATGCGGGGACATGATTGCCGCTCACTGCAGTTTGGAGAGTACCTGCCCGGAGCCGCACGGTGATGAGCAAGCAAAGAGGAGACACAAGGTTCAGTGATCTCCGCGCAGGTCAGCTGATGCACAGCGCAAGGCACAGTGAGAGCGGAGCGCTCGGAACGGCGCGAGGTGCAGTGCACGCAAGAGCTTTGGGCGGCGGTGTGACGAGTGACTTGTGACTGGGCTTGGGTCACTGGGCCAAGAACGCACCAAAGTGACAAGTGACGCCAGATGACTACCACCACCCAGTCCAACTACTCACACTACCAAACATCTTAATTCTGACATCCTCTCCATCCATCCTTCCATCCGACATCTCTCACCCCCTTCTTGCGCCCGCATCCTCTGCACACGCTCCACGCACCACACGCTGCGCGCTACACTCGCTGCACGCTACGCCCCCCGTGTGCCCTCCCTCCACCCCCGTTCCCCGCACCCCACCAATTGCACCCCTCCACCCTCGCCCCCCGGACAAGAGACAGTCCGCCCGCCCTTGCCGCTCGACGTCGCCGCTTACGCCGTTCGACAATTGTATCGACGCCGCATCCGCCTGACACCACCTTGCTTGTTCGCTTACTCGGATCGAGCCAGCCCAGTCCAGCCTCTAGGCGCCGCACGTTAGAGCCCGCCGCGTGCTCCTCCGACCCTCTCCCTCTTCCCGCACGCTGCCGCCCGCACGCCGATACGCCAGCCCGGTCTCGGTCTCAGTCTCACCCTTCACGAACTAGCTGCTAGCTCAGGCGAAGCGAAGCCGAACCCTCCCCGCGTACATCCGGCGAGCAAGTGATCGACATTGATTCGGTCCGGTCCTGAGTCCGACTCTTCCGACCCACGCGAGCGTGTTGATCCCCCGGCTCCGTTTGGCTGCAACCCACCACCCGCAGTGATCGACAGTTCCCGCTGATCACCCCTGATCAACACGAGGCTTGTGACGTGCGCCCCATCTTTCATTCATCAACTCTACACGTTACCGCATAATCGGAGACTTCAAGACTTTACACTTGCCAACGCCCTCCGACAGGCGGCTCCGTCATACACCACACGCGAGCCGACAACACAATGCCGAACAGAACGCAGAGCCGCTCCGAGGCGAGCACGCCCGTGCCGCCAGCCGAGCCGATACTGAACAATGACCTGGTCGCCGAGCCCGACGTCGAGATTCCTCCCGTGCCTCAGCCGGCGTTCGAGATGGTTGTCCTGGGTTCTGGCGGCGGTCCCCTCGAGACGGATTGCTCTGGGTAAGCTACGATCGACCGACCCGGCTAACAAACAGATACCTCGTCAAGCCTCTAAAGAGCAAGTGGGAGGACGGCATCGTCGCTCTCGAGGGTGGAAGCGGTATCGGCGCCTTAGCCCAGCTGTTCAAGTATCACGACGCAGCTGCCATGTTCCCCGAACTGGCCATTCCGCCAGAGCACAACAGCCCAGTGCTGAAGGCAGCTTATGTCTTCAGTTACCTTTCGTGAGTTGTCTTCTCTTTAGCCAACTGACGCCAGGTGCTACCTCATTACGCACGCACACCTCGACCACGCCATCTCGCTCATCATGCTCTCGGGCTCGGTGCCGCAACGACCTGCCCGCCCACCGCCGATTGGTGGAGCGGAGCTCACCCCACCAAGCGACAACACGGCCCCGCCAGCTCCGAGCCGTATACCAGTGTATGCGCTGAAGGAGACGCTGGACAATCTCGCCGCAGCATACGGCGGAGGTCTCTGGCCGGAGCTCGGCGAGTGGGCTCCCGAGCCGGGAAGGGGGCGGAAACGGAGAAAGCTGATTGCGGATCAGAAGGCCGGCGTCGGGGCCAAGTTTACGCCGTGAGTACTCCGCGGAGACCACCCAGACAGGTCACGACGGACATAGGTGGCCATTCGCCATCTGACCCAGCTTCGTGTCGAATGTTATGAGCTGACCTCAGACTGTTCCCAGCCCGGTTCCATGCCCAGCTGCACCCCTCCCTTCCCATCTCGACTCAGATCTTCCCCCTCTCGCACGGCGCGACGTCTCACGGTCCGTACGGCTCGTCGGCTGTGTTCGTCCGCTACGACCCGAGCATGCTAGGCAGCGTGCCCGCCTCCCGCCGGCAAAGCCTCAGCACGCCCCCCGTCGACCCCGACGACAGCACCGTCTCCCTCGCCTCCCTCGCTAGCGCCGAGGACAGCGGTGAGGCCGAGTTCCTCTTCTTCGGCGACTTCGAGTCGGCCTACCGCGCCCCCGGAGAAGAGTCCACGGCGGTGGCAGCAGGCGAGACAGCGGGCGAACACAACCAGGCGATCTGGGAGCAGGCCGCGAAATCAATGAAGGCGGGCCGGCTGACGAGTATCTTCATGGAGTGCTCGTATGACAGCAGCCGCAGCCAGGAACTCATGTACGGCCATCTGTCGCCGCCGGGCGTATTCCACGAGCTGAAGACACTCGCGTCCCTGCTTCCAGCCAAGGAGAGGCCGCTGGCCGGACTCAGAGTGTACATCACGCACATAAAGGAGTTCCTCCAGCCGCACCCCTCCGGACTGGGCGCGCGGGAGTTGATCCAGGCCGAACTGCTCGAACTTGAACGGAAGAATAACCTGGGTGTCGAGTTCGCCCTGCTGTCGCCTGGAGATCGGGTTTGTGAGTACACAGACGCAGCTGGGGCGGTTTGATCGACAAGCTGACAGACAGTAATCTAGGATGTTTTGGGTATCGACACGTTGTCGCGGACAGTCTCGAATTCGACATGGTCATGCAGGAGAGCGCTCAGACACCTACTTGTTGTTACGGGAGCATGTCGAGTCGCTATCATCACGCCGAGCGGAGCCGTGGACTGGAAGACAGGAGAGACGATCTGGAAAGCAGTAAAAGGTTAGGCTCTAGCTTCAGTCCGCCAGCTGGCGCCGAGGAGCAGAGCAAGAGAAGCAGAGGGGATCACTGTATCACCAGTATCAGTTGTAGCACGATGTGCATGTAATGCCATTAGGATTCGTTCCCATCTTTCCGTCTCCACTGTGATGGCGCTGCGCGGTAAGACGAGGTGGTGATGGGCGGTGGATGATGAGTCATGCGAAATGGCGCAAAATTCGGAAAATGTTCGGTTTGCGCAGCACGGGCGGAAACGCGCGCACATGATGGAGTGGATGGCCAAAGCAGCCATGCCGAGCTTGAGGACGGAGTGGCTGCCAGGAATGAAGAGATAGGCTTGTCCGAGGCTCAGGTAGCTTGGGAGGTATGAGATGTGTGGGCTGTGTCCTGTACCGTTCAGCGGAGCGAGCTGTGAGCGACCGGCCCGACGAGCGCGAGGGGGATGCGAAAACGCACCCAACACTCTCCAGATGCTCCCGCCTGCGTTTCGCAGTCAGGCTCGAAACTAGAGGTGCAGACAGTCGGTATGTGCGAGAAGGCGTGCCACTGCGAGTGTGACTGAACGGAATGTGCGAGTGAGCGTGCGGTGCGAGTGTGTCTGCCAAGTACTCCCACCGTCGAGGGGTCGTGCCGTCGTGCTGGAGGTTGTGTGCCAGACTACAGAGTATATAAGACGTTCTGTGTCCGATTCTGTTCTTCCCTCTTTCACATCCCCCCACACCGCAACACCCCACCATCACAACACTTCCTCCCCCCCACGATCCTCGACACTCGACTCTGGCGGCGGCCTTCGACATCTCCCACATCTCCAATGGTAAGCTTCAAGGGCTTTGAAGAAGCTAACGGCAGTATGCTATCCACTGTTTGAAGGTGCAAGCTGACCTCCAGAACGGGTTTGCTTTTGTTCTGTCATTCCTCGCTGTCTTCCGCACAAAGTAAGCTTTCTCGCGTATGTTACCGAGCTGACGCCCAGCGCACTATGCTCTTCGCGGTCTTCAATCGCCACACCCTGAACGCTATTGTAAGCTTTCCGGATAGAGGGACGAGCTGACGGCCAGTCTACAGCTCGGTAGGCTGGAGACTCGGAAGTTGAGCTGACCACCAGAATCGAATGAGGAGGAAAGGGGGAGTCGTGAGTTTCACGTCGCTCTGAACAGAACTGATGCCCAGGGTCGCTTCCACTGCTCGGTCACTGGCCCAACCAAACCAAGGTATGTTAACTCTGGTGGTCCGAGTTGACACGCAGATTGACAAGGTTCGCTGCTCGGAGTAAGACGTAAGCTGAACCCCAGGCGTACGCGGACTACTGTGGGGTTGTATAGACGGGCCTGTCGACAGAGGTGGCACAGCAAGAGGTACGCTGTCACACTTGCCAGCACAGCTGATTCCAGCCGCTTACGGTCGGCAATGGTAGGCTTTTTGGAGCTGGACCACAGCCAGCGCCAGTTTCCGCCCTGGTCAAAGAAGAAAGAGGTACGCTAGGCAAAACTCCAGGACGAGCTGACCCCAGATGTGTCTGCGCACATTCTTGAGGTGGGCTCGGCATTGCATGTGCTTAAGCCGACAAGCAGACCTCTTCGATCCGGCCACAGCGCTCCGGTAAGGGTTGAAGGTAGGCTAGCATGTACTCGCTCTCGAGCCAACCCCAGACCAATGTACGACTTCGGACGAAGGTGGGCTTTCCAAATCGCGAACCCGAAGCCAACCCCAGAAACGAGCACACAACAAGGTGGAAGGTGAGGTTCCAGCCAGCGTGGTTGTCGAACCAACCGCAACCAAACGCCTCGCCAATTCGGCACACTGGGGGTCAGTTTCGATTAACTTTTCGACGTAGCTGACGCCCAGCCGGCGACTGCAGGTAGGCTCGACCGTGTCTCAGGATACCCAACACTCAGCCGCGAACTCTCGACCACGGAGCAAGGTAGGCTAAGGCACTCATAGGATCAAGCCAACCGCAGACCCGCCTCCGTCTACTTCACGTCTACAAAGGGCTCAGGTCAGTTGTAAAGATCTGCTGATCGAACTGACGGCCAGTGTCGTACCAACCGGTAGTCGTTTCACGAGACAGTGTCGCAATGTGGCACTGTCGGCGCGAGGGTTGCAAGGGGGATACGGTACGCTATGAGATATGCGGCAGTTAGCTGACCACAGTCATGATCTGGGGAAGGTAGGCTTCAACGACTGTTTCAAGCCAACCGCAGCGTATCACCGCAAACGGGTTCGGAGAGAGGCAAGTTGATAGCCCCCTGTCAATTGAACTGACACACAGTCCGCGCAGAACACGCATAGGGGTTGATAGCTCGATATCGGATAAGGGCATGACGATCGCCATAAGTTCGGCCCTCTGTTTCCACTGCCACTATCTGAAACCTGGCCAAACGGAAGGTGGGCTGTAGCCAAGGACGGACGAGCGGACCATCAGATCGCCTGCACCAGCGGAAAATTACAAGGTAAGGCTTCCCGCCACGCGAGTAATAGCCAACTCCAGCCCACAAAGCCTCACGGAATGAAAGGTAGGCTTGCCAATCCAGCCAAAGCCAACCCCAGATCACGACCTCGGACAAAACCCCTCAACTCCCCTCTACTCCAACACGAAGATCGATGTGAGTTTCTGACTCGAGATGGACAGACTGAATCACAGGCTCCGTGGGCGAAGGTTGGCTTTTCAAACCCTTTCCGAGCCAAGGGACAGCCCTCTTCTTCTACTCGCATACGCCACGAGCTCGCCGTGTCAGCCAGCCTCGACTATGATATCCCTGAGGATAGAGTCGGACAGGTGAGTTAGCTGGGCTCAGGAGTGCAGTAACTGACACTCAGCTCTGGAAGAGAAGGTAGGCTGCCCGGTGAAGAGGACAGCCAACACACAGCCCACCTCCCACTCCGATCTTGGGACAGTTTCGCTCGAAGATGGAACCACGGTAGGCTGAGATTGACGGACTCACAGCTGACCCCAGCCACGCCACCCCGACGAACTCGGTATCGTAAGGGTGAGCTTTCGTACTGGAGTACCGAGCTGACAGCCAGCCCTCAGAAAGAGGCGGGTAGCAAATGGAAGACCGGATGCAATTGCGTCCCTCGAGAAAGGCATGCCAGGTTAGCTCTTCCTCCACCGGTTGAGCTAATGCCAGCCCCGTTCCGCCCTTCCCGCCCCGAGAGTGGAACAGGTCGGGGACGGTTCTGTGAGGCTCAGAGAAGACAACCAACCACCGTGTGCCTTGCCACCTCCATCGACTCCTGAATCATCCTAGTGGACCAACATGAGCGCCTCTTCCCGTCACCATGTAAGCTCAGATGACCTTGAACTGCGAGCTGACAGGCAGAGTGGCACAGGTCAGCTTCGCAATCGTAGTTGACAAAGCTGACGATCAGGCACTGCCTTACCCCCGACTTCGCTCGAGATGCTGTAGGCTGTGTAGCCTTGGAGAATAGCTGACACGCAGCGTAGGTAGCTTTGACAGTCGATGAGGATAGCTGACGACAGCTACCGATACCTCCCGCGGCGACCGACATGCCCAAAGCCTCGCAGTAAGCTTCAAAAACGATTTCGGAAAGCTGACATCAGGGGCGCTGCCACAGATCAACGATCGAAATGCACCTTCGCGCTCTCGGCCCGAGTCGGACCTCAGCACACTGGGCTCACGCGACGTTCAGGCCAGCCTCTAAACACCTGTAAGCTTCGCGGTCTTCGTTGCAAGCTGACAACAGCCATTCCAGTTTCATGAAACGTTGCCTGCTTGCCGTGAGCCGTGCTCGGCGCCGGGGGCGTGGTGCCCGCCATCAGAAAGCGTCTCTTCGCTAGTATATCGGTTAGTATAATCGCCTCTCAAACGGGAGATCCTGGAGCATCTCGAGCTCACAAGGGTGCGCGATAGAGCAGGGTTCGACTCCCTGGCGGAGAACAGGACGGTGACGTCTCTTTTGGCAGTTTGCTGGTCGCCGAGGAGCATAGTAACGGAACTGCTGTTACCTAGTGGTACTCTGGGACCGAACCGGGCCTTTGGAGACGTAAGCAATTCGGGTGTCAATGTGTCTATGCATAGTGTGAGGTGTCTAGCATTGCGCAACGCGGGATGATCGCAGGAGAGACATTGAGAATACACGCCGGCTACACCTCGTCCCCGGCGTATCGGACATCGGCGTTGTCTTCCAGCCACTTGATCCAGCTCTTCAGGTACGCGCTTCCCTTCGCGACCGTCTCGCTGTCGCCGACAACGACGAGCTGTCGTCTCGGGCGTGTCATGGCGACATTGAGTCGCTTGTACTGTCCGAGGAATCCGACATCTCCCTTCTCGTTGCTCCTGACAAGTGAGAGCACGACAGCATCACGCTCCTGGCCCTGGAGACCGTCCACGGTGCCAATCGTCATGTTCGGGAACTCCTCTCGGAGCATTTTTGCGAGCACGGCGACCTGAGCCTGGTACGGCACGACGACACCGACCTCCTCCTCGGGCACGCCGAGCGAGACGAGGCGCCGAACGACGCGCGCGACGATATCCGCCTCGTTCTCGTTGCTCTTCGAGCCGCCCTCTCCCTCTTTCCGCTTGGCAAGGGCTAGCTCGTCCTCCTCGTCCCTTTCCCGGAAGTCGCAGCCGGCCGTGTCATAGAAGATGACGGGAGGTGAGAGCGCCTCCTCTGCATCCTCGCCGTCGGTCTCGACCGATGGCAGGTCCATGAGGGTATGCGTCGCAACGGAGGGGTCTGAGACCAGCTCCCCGCCATACAACGTCTTGCTCGGGAACTCGGCGATCTTCTCATTCATTCTGGATGTCAGCTTCGCCCAAGCATTCTTCAAGCTGGAAGAAGAATACATACCGGTACTGAACCTTCAGTATGCGCTTAATGCCGGCGCCGTACAGGTCCTCAAGCCTGTCGAAAAGTGTCGTCTCCAACGTCCTTGGCGGTCGAAGTTTGGGCTGAAGGCTGAGGTCCTTGGCCTTGTCCTCTACCTTGGCGTCATCCTTCAGCTTCGGAAGCTTGTCCGGCTTGCTCGTGATTGTGGGCGGGAGCTGCTGCGGGTCACCAGCGAGCACGAGCTTCTTCGCCTTCAAGATCGGAACCCATGCCACAGGCTCGAGAGCCTGCGTCGCCTCGTCGATAACCGCAACGTCAAAGTTGACATTGTTGATCTGCCTGGAGCCGGCACTGTGACACGTTGCGAGCACAACGCGCGCCTCGCCAACCACAGTTTTGACAACCTTGGCTTCACGAGCGCGGTATTCGCGTCGCAGCTCCCGGACCTCTCCCCACTTCTCACCGCGCGCTTTTCCCTTCACGGCTCCGCGCTCGCCTCGCTTTTTGCCCAGATCGCTGAGGTGGCCCTTGATCTCGTTACCGATGTCGGCGACGAGTGCACCCGCGTCTCCGTGAACGGCCTTGTAGTCCAGCGTCGCAGGTAGCAGGTCCTTGCTGACACGAGACGGGTGACCAAGTCGCAAGATCGACCCCGGTGGAAGCAGCGCACCCGCCTTCGGATCGGTGCGCGCTACGTGCGATAGACGCGCAAGCAGATTGTCGAGCGCCAGGTTGCTCGGCGTTGTCACAAGAATGCGCGGTGGGACAGCGCCACCGGGCTGCACGGGGCGAGCGAGAAACTGCAAGATGAGCTCGACAAGCGTGTGCGTCTTTCCAGTTCCTGGCGGGCCGTGAATGCACGCAACGCTGTCGGCTCGCAGGCAGAAGTCGATAGCCTCTTTCTGGCTGTCGTTAAGACGCTCTCCAATCCACTCAATGGTGCCGTCCTCAGCCTCCGCATTCTGCAATGTTGGTGCGGAAACCGTCTTCGACCAAGTCGGCTTCTGCATACCGAGTAGGGCATTGACCAGCATCATATTGTCAGCTGATGGCGTTGAGGCGCCGGCTTCCGGCACAACGAGGCGACGGAGATGTTCCAGCGTTTTGCGCATGCGGTCGAATACAACGCTGTTGGCCAGCTTTACAATGCGAAGTCTCTCGGGCAAGTCGACATCGCCTTCGCTGACAGCGACGCTGATCTTCACTGGTCCAACCTGTCGTTAGCTCAGTTTTTGCTGACAATCGCAGCTCTGCGTCGCCTACTCACCTTATACACGACACCCTCAACGCCAGGCAGCTCCTCCTTTCCCGCCTTACCCTTCTTCGGCGCTGAGACGTACTCCTCGACTCGCACGGGATCTCCAGGTCGGAACGTGTGCGGAGGCAAAGCTTGGGTAGTGTGGTACGCTAGAGGTCGATGAAGCTCAATGATGCTGATGTCAGCTACGACAGCAAGAATGGCTTAATCATACGTCTTCCCTCCCAGGCCAACATTCTGTGCGCTAACTCCCAGGCCGTTCAGAGCAAGGCCCCGTTGTTCGAGCAGCTTAGCACTGCAGTTGCTGTTCAGCAGACGAGTCTGCTCCTCCTCCTCCTCGCGCTCAAGCTGGAGGAGCGCCGTTTGCCGGTCGAGAAAGGCTTCTAGATCGGCTCTTTCTGGTCTCTTCGGTTCCAGCAGCGCCGTGATCGTCCGCATCGTGCCGAAAGGACTCGTGAAGGGTATCGGTGAGGTCCTGACTCATCGCGACATAACTGTGCGTCATGAGCCCAGGCGTCGACCTTCGATTGCCCTCCACTTTTCCACGGTCGACGATGCCGTGCCTGAACATCGCACATGACCGCACTGAGACGCGTCGCGCGCAACGTCGACGACCTTACGCCACCTTACGTGCACCGGGACCGCACAACATCATCATCACCACTCATGAAGATTGACCATGGGACTTGGGCTGGGTGGGAGGTGCGTTCGATAGCATGTCACTGTTGACTGGCAGATCTGGCTGGAGTACCGCGATGGGCTCAGGCTTCGTGGGTCATGAATCCTCCGTCTGCGACTAACGACAGCCGAGCACCAGAGCAGCCTGCGAGCCCCCGACATCAGATACCCTCGTTATCATGCGGACGTGCAAGTGGAGTGCCAGCATGAAAAGGTGTGTCGAACTTAGCACCGTTGTGGGACTAACGGTAGGACTTCGCCATTATGGTCGCACCACCTGCTTCAAACGAGCGGGAGTACAAGGCTTCGGCACGTGCTGATGGGGGATGGGTTCGCGGCAGGATTGTTCGCAGAAAGCGCGAGGACTCCTTGCGCAAAACCACAAGTCTTCGCGATCAGTACGGGCACACGAAGGAAGGCGCCGTGTTGAAGACCCTCCGCTTTTCAAAACTCGTAGGTGAATGGCTGCGCGCTTGTCCTGACAAACGCAGGGAACATTCGAGGAAACGATCGGAGATGCTCCACCGTCCGAACACCTGGGCTGCATTGATGTCTACCTTGAAGCAGGAACAGCTTATCTCTCCAACAAGCCCCGGGGAGCAGTGAACGGCAACACGCCTACGGCTGCTGTCGACGAAAAGATGAAGAAGGTAGGTTCCGCGGTCGCTTACTCGTTAACCTCCAGGTCACACTGACCTCTTACGTCGAGTGAGTTACACTGACTTGCGATTGCCTGACTGGCTAGTGGAAGAGTTATCAAGGCGGTAACCCCTGAGTCTCGCCAGGAGCGCCGACGCTGGTCCATGGGCGTCGACCACAGCATCCCGACCATTCGTCTCTCATTCAAGGTAAGACATGTTGCTTTCAGCTCTGACACCGTAGTATGCTACGCGAGACTCGATCCTCGCACAAAACTCCATTGCCGATCACCATCGCGCTATCTCGCGTGCCAATTCCTCAAAGGAGCACAAGCCCATCAACCCTCGCCACAAGCGTTCCACCGTTGAGGTCGCGGCGCCGGCCGAGGGGTCGAGGAAGAAGGCGAGGTCAACGAACATGGATACCAAGCCTCGGGTTATTGACCTTAGTAATGCCGGTAACCCGAGCACCGTCATCAGCTTGCTTGACAGCGACGACGAGTTGTAGCAGTCTCCAAATCCGCCGAGCCTGAGAGGAGAACAGGGTAGCTAACCGCCCACATCCAGTCAAGAATCCTTGACACCTCCAGAATATCCACCGTTGTACATCGCCACACCATGTAACATAGCTTCGGACTTGATTTATGCAACATGTATTCTGTACCAGGTGCACCGTTGGCACGTTAGCACCCGATTCACTGCTTAACGGCCGACTGAAGAACCGTCCTCCACTCTCTCACGGTTCCGGATTGCTTTCAACCGGTTCAACCGTAGATGAGGTAACCGTGCCTGAGAGTGACCACTAAACACGACAAGAGGCGCAGCGCACACGCCAGTCCCCGTTTGAATCACTCCTCGAAGAACCCACGATTGACAAGGTCTACCACTCTCCAAGTGACAGCATCCGATAAGCCATGAAGTTTGGCCACGGGCCTTGGAGTGGCTGGGAGGTAAGTCAAGCGGCGAATCTCGACACCGCTGACAGCAGGTATGGGTCGAGTACTCAGACGGCACCCGGCTCGGTGAGCTGTGGAAGAGTTGTCTAGCTGACCAACAGAGGAACACAACATCGACATCCACGGACCGACTCGAGGTGATCGTCGACAACAAGCCGACGTCCAACTCGAGTGCCAGCACGGGAAGGTACATCATTTCTTCAGGGTCCAGGGACTGACTGTCAGGACTTTGCTATCATGGTTGCTCCGCCGGCGACAAACCAGCTCGAATTCAAGGTCTCTGCCCGTGCCGATGGCGGGAATGTGCGGGGGAAGACAATGCGTGGTGCAGGTCGGCCGGCTGTGCGCAAGATTGCCCGACTCGATGATCAGTACAGCGAGGTCGAGGAAGGGTTGGTTCTAAAGACACTCCAGTTTTCGCAGCTCGTGAGTTGAACTGGACTTGTATAAGTAACTGACCACAGGGGACACTCGAAGACGCACCCGACCAGGTCATTAGCCCAGAGCTGGGTCAGATTCACGTCACCATTCGAGCTGGTGTGCTGCGTACGTCCGAGGGCGACGGCGGTGGGACTATCAAGGGCCGCTCGGCCACTTCAGCCGTGGACGAAAAGCGAAAGAAGGTACGCCAGCCGACGTCACCTGGTGGCTAACGACAGATTTCTTTGACTTCCTATGTCGAGTGAGTCTGAGTGCTTCAGCACGAACTGACCAGGCAGCGGTCGTTTCATCAAGGTTGTTGAGCCACGCCGAGGGCGGGGCGGCCGCTCGAACAAAATCCAATCCGACAAGCAAATGCCTCCCTGCCGAATCACGTTCAAGGTGAGGGATATTCCCTACCTGCGATGCATAGCTGACAAGCAGTATGCGACCCGCGATTCGATCCTTACTCAGAACTCAAGCGCTGAAGACCGCCGTGCTCAGAACCGTGAGCGCAGTACGACCATGGCACGATCGCCTGAGCGCAAGCCCAAGTTACGACGCAAGCGTGCCGCTAGCGAAGCAGGGCCAGCCGGAACTCCGAAGAGGAAGAGGTCGAAGCGCGAGAGTGCGCTTGACGAAAGCCCTGAGCCGGTTTTTATCGACATCCTGCCGGATCCCGCTGAGATCATCGAGCTTCTAGATAGTGACGACGACGACGATGACGACTGGCCGATCGCACTTTGAAGTCAACTAGCACATCCCGCACGCAGAGGGGCAGGGAAGATGTTCGTTATACCCCAGACCGTTATAGCAGGCCCCGTCTTGTGACATTGACCTTCATGTATCTACGTTCTTTCCCTTGTTCGCCCCACTAGCGGTCATCATGGGCGGCGGTGTTTGCGGGCGAGTGCGGCGACTGACAGGGGAAAGAGGCGCGCGGACATCGTGTTGCGCCCCGTCGACCTGGAAGCTGGCATTCTGGTGTGATCTTGTGTCCGACGCCTCTGGCATTTGCGCACTCCGACTCCTTGATGATGTTCGTAACACAAATCCTGTCACACTCATAGATGACAATGCTGCGCACCTTGTGTTCCTTCTACGTCACTGAACACACACGATTCTCTTCTAGACGCCCTGCTACATGAGGAGGGCGCAGATCGAGCATCATGACTGCCCAGCTCGACGGCCGAGCTAATTCTCACTTTAACTTCCTCCTCTCACGCTTGTTTCTCTCATCACTCCACTCACCCTTCTTTCTCAACCTCGCACTGCATCAACATGAAGATCGAAGAAGGCGAATGGGCGGGATGGGAGGTAAGCTGCGAGTCGCCCCTTAAGCTGATAAGCAGGTCTGGATTGAGTATACTGACGGAACGAGGTTGGGTGAGTGCTGATGAGGTCTCGACTCACAACTGTAGTCGAGCACAAGCCCGTGTGCCCACGCCCGTCTCCCGGTAATAGCGGGCATCTGTATCAGTGCCAGGGTGAAGTGCTCATTGAGTGCGAGCACGACAAGGTAAGCTTCTTGGTGTTGCTGACCGGTGGTGATACAGGGAAAGATGTCGAGTCTGACCCATCATCCAGGACTTCAGAATTGTTGTTGAGCCGCCCGCCTCCAATACCCGCCACTTTTGCGTGTGGCCTTGCATCGACGGGCAAGAGATAGGCAGTACAGTTAGCACATCTCTTGAGCAGCCGCGCTGTCAAATCAGGAGTAGGTATGAGAAGGAGAATGACGCAATTGCAGAGAAGAGCTTGCGCTTCGTGGCTCTGGTACGTCACTTTCGGTTGCTGCGAGAGAAACAACTAACTCAGGCAAGGAAAGGGTACCGGAACAGATGTCGAGTCAGCAAGCCAACATCCAATCCTTAGGATCCATCGCTGTCACCATGCACAAGGGCTGGGGTTCCCTTGGTCATCGTCGCAGACCTTGGATATCCCAGAGCCCCACGTCATCTATTAGCGAGAAGGTCAAGAAGGTAAGAGTCAAAGTTCACTGACATGTTAACGCGCAGGTTACTCTCACCTCTGTTGTTCGGTAAGATTTGCAGTGTATGCCAAGTGTATCCAGGCTGAGACACAAGCGGGGAAACTGTGGGGCAGGTTGAAAGCATTCAGCATTGGGATTTTACGGACGACGATCTTACTCCCAGATGTCGCCTGGTGTTCAACGTGAGTCGTTGTGAATGAGCCATTCAGCTGACGAGATCAGTACGCTACGCGGGACGCAGTCCAACTCCGCCTCTCGAAAGGGGCCGACAGTGGTGTTGCGAAGCAGGAGGGAGACGCCGTTGTCCAAAGTATCATCGTTGAGCCCACGAACGACGACAGCGATGATGGCATCGTTTCTGTGGAACAGCCCGCTGAGATCGACCGCCCTCAAGTTTCTGTCGATCTGACTCAGGACGACGCATCGACCGTCCGAGGCAGCCCCGTCCGGAAAAGCGCAGGGGGTCCCAACGACCTGAGCGACAGCAACTCAGACAGTAGCGACAGCAGTACCGCTTCGGACGACGACGCTGTTGGGGAGGACGGGCAGCCGTCAGAAGCAACAGTCAGGGCGGTAGCCAGGGCGAAGGCTAAGGCGAAACTGAAAGCGAGACTCAAGTACAAGCTCAAGTCGCAGCTCAAGGCTGAGCTCAAAGCGAAGGCAGACCGCAAGGCCGCTCGCAAAACCGCTCGTAAGGGGAAAGGAAAGGAGAAGCAGGGTGCTCAGTAGGCCCGCCTAGGACCCCGCGGCCGCTTAGCAGGATTTGCTCAATGCGAGCGCCGACTTACGGCAACCTCAGATCTGACTCCTTACCTTAAGCTGACAAAGGCATATCTCTCAGTTTTCGCTCTTCTGTCTGCGGGTCAGCTAAGGGCGATGGACACCAAGCTTGCGCCGTCCGAATCTGGTTCACATGGTCGGGCCGGATGAGCCGAGGAATGCCTGTTCGTGAGCTTCATCCCTAGGAAGTAGCTCACAAGGCTCCGGAGCCGTACGAGGCGGTCAGCGCTACTCCTCGCTGGAGTCTGCTGGTCAGCTATCCGGCGGCATGGAAAGCTGGACCCACGTCGAAACTACACCCATTGCGAGAGGCTGGGAGCTCATTTCGAGAGACCGAGGTTTGATGGACTGGGGGATGATTCTGTCTCCACCTGGTCATACCTGACGAAGAGGTTCCTCGTCCATGCAAGGTTCACTCTGCACCTCAAAGGGCCAAGCAACTGCATGTGAGCTAACCTCCCGTTACTGCACACCTTGAATGCGCCGTCTTCGTTCCGTTAGTGATAAGGTTAAGACTCCCGTAATCAAACTTCAGTTTGTGCTTAGCCATTGCCTGAACATCTTCGTGGTATTTACCTGTGTCGATCTCCTGTAGTTAGTCCGTGAGATGTGACCGTTTCGGACCAACTCTGATCCTCCATCGTCATATCTGCCGTGATGCACGCACTGTTGCCCGTGGGAATGCGGGAATCGACGTCACGTGTGGGGCCCGGCTTACCGTTTCGTGGGACCGAGGGCGGGAACGTTAGCAAGACACCGCTCGTACCCGTAGTGGGCCTTGTGCGACTGACACTTCTGCGCTTTTCTACGGTATGACAAAAAAGCATTTGCCAATCCATGCAGCAGTGCTAGAACAGCTAGCGCAGAGGATAGAACTCGGCTATCGGTGGGCAGTAGAAGGCCGTGATCCGCCCAAGACATGTTTGATTCCGCAGTAATCCGCTCCACTCAGCTGCCCATCTCCGCATCCCATCTCTGATATCTCCTCATCACTATCAACAATCATGCCAGCCGACAAGACGACTCCGCGGCGGCACGCCTCGCGGACGTGCCAGACGTGCAAGCGCGGCAAGCGCCGTTGCGAACTGCCTCCCGAATCGCGCTCCTTACCAGCAACAGGCCACCCGCTGCCAGATTATCAATCATGCGTGCGATGTCGGCGCATGGCGGTGCCGTGTGTGCTTGACGAGACGCGGCGAGCATCCACGCCGAAACCCTCTGCGCAGCTCATGTCGCCTGCCTCTTCGACTAGTGGACCGGGGAGCGCATCGACAACAACAACGAACAAGGGCACAGTGCCGTCCATGACCCTGCACACGCACCCGCAGAACATCCAGGACTATGAGAACTATTTCCATAGACACCTGCCTCTGTCCATCATCCGCGACTTCCACCAGAGGACGCAGAGACCGCACGCCCCAGTGCCAAGCGGTGCGCCGATTGAATCCCTTGTGACTGAAGCGCAAGCCGAGGCTGTCGCCGAATGGTGTGACAGCCAAATTCTGCTCTGGCTGCCCTTCCTTCCCTCGGCCGTATCTCTTCGGCACCTACGCAACAGCTCGTTCAACTCTCCCTCCCTCCGCTTCCTCGAATGCGCACAGTATCTGATTGCGGCGCAGTTCGGCGCCATCAACCTCGACCCGGCTAAGGCGCATGAGATCCGCGGTATCTGCCGTGACTGCCTCGCCGACACTCTGTTTGCGCCGTTGGACGATTTCGCCCCCGTCGTCCTCGTCATGACGTGCGCTCTGACTGTGGAGGGAGCAGGAACATCCGATGCGGGCGCGATGGGCCTGCTCGCGCGCCAGTGCACGATGCGCAAGACCGGTGACCTTTCCCTCTCCGACCGCATCCTCGAGGTTCTGACTGCGACCTGGCAGTGCGTCAGTGTGGTAGGCGACGACGATCTGATCCACCAACCGCGCGCGCATCGAAGCCTTGTCCTGCCCACCCCCGGCGAGCTGGAGCAACTGCTCGAGGACATCGACAAGAGCCGCAACGAGTTCAGCGAGACGAATCGAAACGGTGCCGTTGGCGCAGTTCTGCGCTGCCGGTCGTGGATCATGGCGCGGGAGACGATCGAGGCCATATCGAGGCTCGATCCAGGAGACGAGGACAAGCAGCTCGCAGCCCTGCAAGAAGTGAAGGACAACTGGACGGCCGCGATCCGGCCCCACATCACGCGGTGCCGGCAGCTCATCACTGCACCCAGCCTGCTGTCGTGGCTCGAGGTCGAGATGCACGCGCTCGACAGTATTGTGTGCGACTCGATCCTGCACTACTCCCTCGGCAACAGGTGGACGCCGCGGTACATTTTCGGCCTGACGAAAGGCGAGCTTGGGAGCAAGAATCTCCAAGAGTTCATCGCGGACAAGCATGGGCCGGCAGCCAGCAACGCGGCGCAGTCCCTCCTTGCCGCGCTCACGAATCTCCCCGGCCCAAGCGAGTACATCTACCCCGCACCCTTGACTTGCGCGTTCATCTTGAAGGCGGCCCTGACGGCTGTCGAGGTGCATGCGTCCAGCTTCAAGCTGTGGCAGAGCCAGCCCGCGCGCGAGGCGGTGTGGACCAGTCTGCTGCGCAGCGTGCAGGACATGGCGGAGAAACTAAAGGGCGGAAGCACGGTGCCCATGACGATCAGCGTCATGACGACGATCCGCGATACGATATCCAAGTGGAAGGCCGAGCTTGGACGCCCGTCCGTGCTTGCGGACCCGACGTGGGTGTCCCTCGGTGGGCCGAGCGTTTGTCCCGTGCTCCAGAGCCTGGAGGAGCTCATGTCGACCATCGACTGGGACCACCTCGTCATGTAACCGCCCGCCCCCCCACTGCATCGTGTATCCATACCCCCTCTCATCATCTTGATCGTAGCTCGTAGCCCGTTGCCCGTGTAAAACTTGTTGTGATCCGCTGGAATGTGATTCGTAGATACTGTGCTCGCAGCTGCCGCGTCATCGCACGTAAACAACCTTCATTCAACTAATCACAGTACAACGATGTCTTCTTCTCAGGTTCAGGGACAATGATCAGCGCTCAGACGTCAGGCAGACTGGCAGCACCCGGCACAGACAACCGAGTCCGTGTTGCCGATGTCACCGCGCTACGGCGATCGACACGGCTGTCGGCACTTGGCACCACCTCTTGCTCTTGCTGCGGGGTGGGGTGTGGAGTTACTCCGGCTTGTGACAGACAGCCTCGATGCGGTGCCCATCCGCGTCAATGACGAACGCGCCATAGTAGTTGGGGTGGTACTGCGCCCTGATGCCCGGCTTGCCATTGTCTTTTGCGCCAGCCTTGAGCGCAGCCTCGTACCACTTGTCGACCTGGGCGCGCGAGTCGCACGCAAACGCGACGTGCGTCGGCGCAACGTGCTCGTCGCAGTTCGAGATCCAGAAGTCGGGCGTGGTGTAGCCGTACCCCGCGACATACTTGCCTGAAACGTCAGCTCAGCGTCTGCGGAAAGTGACAGCTTTGAAGAGAAGGATAGAGGAGTGGTCATCACAGGGAACCTCAGAGGGAAGGAAGGGGCATCGAGGAATGCGCACTGAAGGGGGACTAGATGGAAGGGAAGACACCAAGTAACTCACCCTCAGGCGTGTGAGGAGGGGTGATCTCCATGTGCAGCTTGGCGCCGACGGACTCGAGGATGGCAGTGTAGAACTTCTTCGCCTTCGCGTAGTCCGAGACCGTGAGGCCGATGTGGTCGACGAGCGGGTTTTGGACGAAGCCCGTGTTGCTTCCGGTTCCGGTTCCAGTGCCAGTGAAGGTCGACATTGTTGCTGCTGTTTTGGTTTGCTGCTGCAGACGGAAGATGGAGGTGATGCAGATGCGAATGCGGGTGGAGGAAGACACTTAGCAGTGTCTTATACAGCTCACGGTGTCGACGTGTGGACGGGTGACTCAAGGTTAGTCAACCCGTCTGCCCCTCGTATCTCATACAGATCCCGCGCCCCCCTGTCCTTAGCCATCCAAGCGTCGTATTCTGTTACTAGTGGCTCTCCTGGCTTGCACTGCACTGTGATTCTGTGAGCCCCATACAGTTGTGCATGAACGTTGCCTTCTCAAGTACATGTGCTTCGGCTCCGGCTGAGATCGAGATCCGATTATGCCCAGCTCGCCGGCGTGCAGCGTGAACGCTCAAACCACCTGCTACAGCTCGGTCCCTGCTCACGCAACCCACGTCAACCACGGTACTCGCCCTGGTTGCGGAATGTAGCAGTCCACATTCCAGCCAAGACGTCCCACCCAGTCCGCACTTTCCTGCCCATGCATATCTAAAGCATGTCCCAACAGGGCGACAGATGCTTCTTCCTACCGCCATCAGCCATGCAGCCACCACTAGTTCTAAGCATACGACGAGCATGTCACACTATGGCGCGACGCGCGTGCGTGCGGTGTCTCGTTGATCCCCGCTGAACTCTTCATGTCGCTCTTGTCTTCCTTGTCTGGACCGTCCTATCAGTTGGGCAGCGTATCGTGGAGATGTCCTCTGGCAATACGCAGCTGACACAACAAGACAAAGCCCGGCTCATTCTCAGACCCGGGTCATTCTTGTCGTACTGGACAGCCGGCCAAGCCGATGCCGAAGGACGGGATGCTGTCATGACGATCTCTTCTCTTCATGGCATTCAGGCTCGGCATGCAGCAGTTAATTCAGCTGGCGTAGTGCGCATCCTCCTCGTTGATCGCTAAGCGAAACGCTATTTTCCTCTTTGCCTGATAGATTTCGGCCAACTGGAGCTGAGTCCAACCTGCTCCAGCCCTGTTGCACCTACTTCAGCCTTGTCTTACCAGCGAGCTGCACCGGCTGCTCGGCAGTCGGCATTAGCTCTGATGATCTGATGCCCAGTCCGAAGCCTGTCAGGGCGATATCGCAGGGTGCGGGTGCGATCAGCCTGAGGCGCTCGTCGGCGCTCAGCGCCGCCCACATCCCTGCCGAATCCTTCATCGGCGCTCTACGGCTATCGTATCCAATGTCCTGACGTCCTTTACGCGCGTTTCGTCAGCATTGCAGACTTTGCATCATGAGATAGCACGGCATGACATGGTGCCCAGGGTTCGTTGCATCACCGTGCGAACCCCACTCTCGGTAAGGCTCCGAGCTGTCAACACTGCCACGCGACTATGACGCAACAGCCGGCCTGCCCCGTGTCAGTCTGACCCTTTGCCCGTCTTGCCCGGCCAGCTCGGCAAGTAAAGTTGCTTTTTCAGCTGAGCGCAACGATACTCCGCTGTCGCTGACTTTGTGCTGCGGAGCACTTGGTGCTAACTATGGAAGCGTCCTTTCGGGCCTGACCCTCACTCCCCCGACGACCTAACGCCCGACGCGGGTGCTCGGCGCCAGACCCCTGTTCTTTGCGGCCTTGGCCTCCCCTCGCGCGCCTGTTCTCCAACTTGATTGCTGACAAGCCTCCGCCTCCAAGCCGCACGCCAGCTTCAGCCAGGCGCCATCGTCAGCGCCAGTAGCGCCTGTAACAAACGCCCGTAGTGCCATCTTCGCCCTCGACAGCGCCAGCTTCGTCTTCTCAACCAACCATCTCTCCACCTTGCTTCATTACACATTGAACCACATTCCTCGTGTCGCTTCGGTTCGGAGCGAGATATCCCAGTCGAGCCGTTCGATCTATCCGGATTCTCCCACCTTTCCCCTTTCTTTGACCTCTCCTCCCACTTGCGCCATTCTGCGCCACGCACCCAGACTCCCACAGGCATTCCGCTAGCCACAGTACCGCCGTGCGTGCACGCCCTCACGTCCCTCACGCCCTCGACTTCTCGCCGCCCGTGTTTCTACGGCGGCCTCCACGGAGCCTGGCCCGACTGCGCAAGCTTGTGATCTGGCTGGCGTTCGACTAAAGTTGTCTCATCGTTCTTGCTGTTAGACAATCTCTCTAGTGCAGCTAGCGCCCCGTTCCGCCCTGCGTTTCCACTACTCCGTCATCGATATACGATCAACCGAGCGCACCAGCACTGCGCACTCCGCCCGGCTCAAGAGCGTCGACTCCCGCCCGCACGGTTGTTCGGTTGTGCTGCTGGGCGGCGAATCGATCAGAGCGTCGTCGGCCCCGCTGAGTCGAGTTCACTGGACAAACGTTGCGACGTGTGATCGGTCGCCGCACAGTGACGACTAACCGACTCCAACTGAGCTCCAACGCACAAACACCAACGTGATCGCCCTCTCCGACAGCCGCGGCTAAGCCCTACTCTTGTCGCGCGACCATCATCCCGTCAAACTCCGTCGAGATGGACGACGAATGTGACTGGGAGTCGCTCGGCGACGTCCCCCTCGCTTTTCTCGAGGTGAGTGGTGGTAGCATTGTATAGTCGTCACCGAAAAGGCTGCCTGACATTAACACTGGAAATTAGGCCTATAGCTATCCTGCGGCCGTGTTTACAAAACGACCCTCCGTCCCTGGCGCGCCCTACCAAGCTCCGGAACCCATATGGTGGAACGAAGCATGGGCCACGATCACAGCAGAGCAGCGACTGACCGACTGCGTGAACGATGGGGCGCTCGCGGCGTTCGCAGAGTGGTTGGATTCCGAGGGCCCCGGTTCATTTGAACTGTGTATTGAAGCAGATGGGTATCCGCAGTCACCTCTACAACTGGCACAGACGCCGATGCCAAATGCTACCGTCGTCACATCGATCACAACTTCGATGCCGCCACCGATCGCTTCTCCCAACTTACCAACCACTTCCCTACCCTCGCGCAAGTCTAAGCACGTCCTAGACGACTTTTCAGAATTCGGTCCGAACCTCACGCATCGCTCGTCCAAGAATCCGACACCGACACCGAGCAGAAAGCGGTCGCCTGGGCTGCGTACCCCGAAGCCGCCGAAATCTTCAGCGACCGCAACCCAGCAGGGACCAAACACAGAGCACGTCAACGGCACCCCAGGCGACGAGACGGAGTCTTCCAGCACTCCCACGAATCCTATGGTTGCACGCACTGGCGTGCCCGCCGCCGAACCGCCAGACTCCGAGCCTGCTACGAACGGCAAAGCAGCAAAGTCGCGTACGGAGAAGCGCCACCAGCAGGGCGCCGCCGAGAAGAAGCCCGAGATTCCGCGTCCCAAGAACCATGCGCCGGAGGACAACTTCACGCGGCAAGAGCTAGACATCGCCATGACCGGTGTCGCCGCCGAGTACCACCGTCTTGTTGACACGACGGAGTGGGAGAAGACCCGGCTCGGACCCTATTCGGAGTGGTCATCGGCCCTGAAGTCCATGATGGGCATCTGTTTCGCCTCTGCTACGCAGGATAGCATCTGGTTTCGCCCTATGGACTCTACCGACATCGACGACATCCACGTCGTTTAGTGAGTCACCGCGATCGTTGGAGCGCCGTGTGTCGATGCGCGCGTGCTCGAAAAGGGTCGTGGACGCATTTAGATCCAGGATCTGTGCGGCTGAATGGCCAATGTGCGCATCGGACGCTGCCGATCGGCGCGCCAGGGAACGTCAGCCACATGGTTTCAACGACCCGCGCGGAGTCCGTCTCGCTGACATGCACAGTAATGCAAACTACGCGACCCTGCTCGACCACCCGAAGACCTTCGGCCGGCCGGCGACAGAGGTATGGGACACGCTGTGGCCCATGCTGAAGCCGCTCGCCGAGAAGTGCTACACTGGAGAATGCGTCTATCACCAGAACGACCTGCTGCTGTACGATAAGAACGAGCGCGGCCGTTTGAGAGAGAAATACCACGTAAGTTAAGTTCGGCTCGACTGTAACTGACGGCAGACCTGGAGCTACGTGCCCATTCGCGATGTTAATCTGGACAACCGAATCGTTGGTCTATATAACATGTCGATCGACACGACGGAAAAGGTGCTGGCTGATCGGCGCTTCGACACGGCGCGCGAGCTTGTGGAGGAGATTGCGTTCGCGCAGAACCGACGCAAGCTTTTCGAGACGCTCGCGGACGTGCTCGAGCGCAACTCGATGGACATTCCCTTCGCCATGTGCTACAGCATCTCGGACGAGCGCTCATCGTACCCAAACGTTGACCTGACGCTGGAGGCGGCCATCGGCATCCCGGACGACCACCCCTGCTGCCCCTACAAGATGCAAGTGCCGCTTCCTGCGCGAAGGAGACCGATGGCCGCGCCAATGCAGGATTTACGGCCGGATCTGCTGCACGGCAGCCCGTCGCCGAGCATCAGCTCGCGGCGCATGAGCTCGCGCTCCATGACGAGCTCGGGCGGCACGATGCGCGGGCAGTCGTACATCGTGAGCGAGGACCGGACGGCATGGCCAATCGCCCAGGCACTGCAGGTCCGGCAATGTGTGGTGATGGACGATTGCTCCGAGCTTATCGAGGGCCTGCCGCTGCGGCAATGGGACATGCTCCCCGATCAGGCCATCGTCGTGCCTATCATGAACAACCACACAAGCCCAAGTGCCGTCCTTATCTTGGGCCTGAACGTACACTCGACCCTGGACCAGGCGTACCTCGACTGGATTCACGTGCTGCGGGGCCACTTAGCCTCGGCGATCGCCTCGGTCACCGCGTTCGAGACGCAAGTCTCGCAACGATTGGAGCGCGAGAAGCTCGAACGAGCCAAAACGGCGTGGTTCCGTGGCGCCGCGCACGAGTTCCGCACGCCGCTGACGCTAATCGCGGGGCCGCTTGAGGACGTGCTCTCAACGCCGCTAGACGGCGAGCAGCGCAACACGATCAAGCTCGCGCAACGCAATGTTCAGCGACTACAGCGGCTCGTCACTTCGCTCCTCGACTTTACGCGCATAGAAGCAGGCCGTCTGACAGCACACTTTGCACCCGGCGACTTTGGGCAGTTTGTCGAGAACATCGCATCGCTCTTCAAACCTGCCCTCGACCGCAAGGGAATCGAGTTCCTTCTCGACATACAGGAGTCTAGTGACCTTGTTTCGTTCGACCCGGTGCTCTTCGAGATGGTGCTCAGCAACGTGCTCTCAAACAGCTTCAAGTACACGGCGACTGGCAGCGTCACGCTCAAGGTGTGGTTCGACTCGAATGTGAACCTCTCTGTCGTCGATACCGGCATCGGCGTCGGGGAAGACGAGGAAGTCGGCAAGCTTTACCACCGCACGCAGACAGCCGTTCAGAGCGGCGTCGGCGGCACTGGCATTGGTCTCGCGTTGGCCAAAGAGATCGTAAAGCTGCACGAGGGCGAGCTGTCGATCTCGCAGAATGCCGACGGTATCGGCACGCACGTCTTGATCTGGTTCCCGAAGGACCACCTCGAGACCGAGGACTACTTCTCCGTCGCGCCGATTGGAGCGTACGTCCGCCAAACCGCCAGCGAGATGGTCCTGTCTACGATCGGCGAGGAGGTCGGCAGCGAGTGGTCCGGTGACACAGGTCGCGACTCGACCAGCAGCATCGGTACGCCGCTGACGATGGGCTCCTCGCAAAGCATATCTGGCACGAGCTCGGTCGCAGCGCAAGCACTCGGCGAGGCGCTCATGTTTGAGAAGAGTGACATCCTCCTAGTGGTGGACGACAACGAGGAGCTGCGGACGTACATCTCCCACATCTTCTCGCCATTCTGCACGGTGATCCAGGCCTCAGGCGGTGACGAGGCGTACAAGCTGGTCAAGAGTCATCGACCGCATCTCGTCCTATCGGACCTGCTCATGCCGGCATCGAGCGGAATGGACCTGCTCCTCGCGATCCGCAGCTCCGAAGACCGCGGTATCAAGAGCACGCCCGTCATCATCCTGTCGGCGATCAACGACGACGAGACACGCCTCGAAGGCCTCGTCGGTGGCGCGGAGGAGTACATCTCGAAACCGTTCAAGCGCAACGAGCTCCTAGCCCGCGTACACCTGCACATGCAGATGGGCAAGCGACGGGCTGCTCTCGAGGACCTCTTCGCTCAGCGCGAGCAGGAGATCGCAGTTCTCTCTGACCACTGTCCCTCTGGCATCATCCGCGCCGACGCAGATGGACGAATCGTGTATGCGAATGCCGCCTTCTGCGAGCCCGCGGGTATCACCGCCAACGACATTACTCGGGACACGGACCTACTCGCGCTGTGGAGCAAGTGCTGCGACGCCGACATGGTCGAGCTGATGGGCGACAAGTGGGCTGCGATCTTTGACGGTGAAGCCGCCACGACCAACGTGACGTGGAAGTGGAAGACTGGACGCACGATGACGGCAAACTTCATCCGCCTCGACCAGGTCCGGCCCAACATGAGCGGCATCATTGGCTGTGTCACCGACATCACCTATCAGGAGGAGCGGCTGCAGGAGGCGGAGCAGCGCCGCATCGCCGCCGAGGAACAGAAGCGCTCTCACGAGCGTCTCGTCGACTTCACGAGCCACGAGATTCGTACCCCCGTCAGCGCCATCCTCCAGTGCAGCAGTATCGTGAAGGAGAACCTCCTGTCACTGCAGGAACAGCTGCAGGAGGACGGTACGATTCGCTCTTCTCCGGCCCTGCTGGCGCAGGTGAACGAGGACCTCGCCGCCCTCGACAGTATCCACCAGTGCGGCCTCGTACAGGAACGTATTGCAGCGGACGTGCTGTCACTCGCGCGCATCCAGCTCGACATGCTGTCCCTGCACTCTGTACCCGTTGACATTGCCGAGGCGGGCCAGAGCGCTCTCAACCTCTTCAAGGCCGAGGCCAAGATGAAGCGGATCAACATGGCGCTCGAGTTCGGGGACACGCTGCGCGAGACGGGCGTGCATGCCGTGAATACGGACCCCGTCCGGCTGGGCCAGGTTATCACGAACCTGATCAGCAACGCGATCCGGTTCACGTCCACGTCGACTGTGCGCGACATCACCGTCGCCTTCAATGTCGCCTGGGCGCCGCCGACAACAAATTGTCTCCTTCCTCCCGAGGCCGTGTACCCGCAGAACTGCCCGCCGGGCACGCCTGTGTATCTCTACGTTGCGGTCCGGGACACAGGGCCAGGCATGACGCCCGAGGAGCGCGACGGCCTGTTCCAGCGCTTCCACCAGGGCAACAAGATGATCCACACGCAGTACGGCGGCAGCGGGCTCGGTCTCTTCATCTGCAAGAACATCACGGAGCTCCTGGGCGGACGCATCGAGGTCGAGTCGGCGGTGGGACGGGGGAGCGAGTTCCGCTTCTTCATCCAGACCGAGACGGCATCGATGCCCCCGCCCAAGGTCGTCGAGACGGAGATCAAGCAGCTGCAGCACATCCAGAAGATGAACGTGCTCGTCGTCGAGGACAACGACATTAACAGCACCGTGCTCCGGCGCCAGATCCTCAAGGCTGGTCTGGACTGCGACGTGGCCGACAACGGGCTCGTGGCCCTCAACCACCTCTTGGCCGTGCAGGACCTGCCCCCGCTGACGCCCGGCAGCGAGGCGAGCATCAACTTAGAGCCGCCTCTGTCACCCGTTGGATCGGCAGGCTCGGCCCAGAGGCAGCCCTACGACGTGGTCCTGATGGACCTCGAGATGCCCGTCATGGACGGCCTGACTGCTGTCCGTCGCATACGGCAGTTCGAGGCGGAAGGCAAACTGCCCGGTCACCAGCTCGTGATTGCGCTCACGGGCAATGCGCGCGAGGGCCAGATCGAGGAGGCCCTCAAGTCCGGCATGGACGACGTCGTCATCAAGCCGTACAAGCTGCCCCAGCTGCTGAGGACGATGGAGCAGGCAGTCATGGGCCAGAGTCTGGGCGATCTCCGCTTGAACTGATTGAGCGGCCGAGCGTAGCGAGCGCCGCGAGGCCTAGCGAGCCGCGATGCCGTGAGCTTCTCCCTACATCCCCCTCACTCCGCACTTCAATCCTAACGCAACCCAAACCATTCTCTGCCTACAGATAAACCTCTTCTCGTTCACCTCTTCCACCAATTTACATTTTCCTCTCGGTTGTATCAGCTGCTGTACAATTAATGCATCAGGCGCGCCGTGCCCGAGCGGGCGCGCCGAACAAACGTGTAATACCTAAGATAAACGTGTATGTGCAGGGATCCCTTGGAGTCTAATGAAGAACGTATTCTGCTGCGTAACGAAGATGTCGATGGCAGACGGGCAGTCGCTCTGGTCGAGGTAGGGGTGGTGATGTGATTAGGAATTCGAGAAGCAATGCACGGATGGAAGAGTGCGATAAGCGGCCGTAGAAGGGCGATAGATCGGCGCCCGGCACGCTCGTCGCATGGCGAGTCGCGCACGGTCGTGGGTCACAGGTCGCTGGAAATTATAGTCGCGTCCGTGGCACAGATAGTGGAAGCGGCGATGGCATGATAGCACTTAGCACGCACGGCAGCACGCGTTCACGAGCTCGTTGGCAAAACGCATACCGAGACCCCAGCCGAAGCCGCGGATGATGCCGTCGCCGATCTGGAGTTAGCTTGGTGTTCACACAGGCCCCCAGCTACATGAGAGACAATGCGCCATCGTTCTGAGCCTCCGCACCTCCTGTGACATCTTCTTCCCTGGTGACAACACATGGAGGGCGCAGATCATACACATTCCAGAACGGCCAGACCTAGAGCACAACGAGGATACTCACCTTGGAGAAGATCTCCTTGACCTTGCCCGACTTCTTGTGGTCCTTGCGGTGCTTCTCCTCCTCGGGGTCGGGCATGATGGTCGGCTGCTGCTGGTACTGCTGCTGCGGGGGCTGCTGGTACTGCTGCTGGGGCGGCTGGCCATAGCTCGGCTGCGGGGGGTACTGCTGAACAGGGGCGGCTTGGTACGGCTGCTGCGGGTTGTACTGGTATGGCTGCTGGGGCTGGCCGTATCCCGGCTGGCCATAGGCTGGCTGGCCGTACTGCTGAGGCGGCTGGCCGTAGCCGGGCTGGCCGTACTGCTGGGGAGGCTGTCCGTAGCCTGGCTGGCCGTAAGCGGGCTGGCCGTACTGGGGAGGCTGCGACTTGTCGTCCATGTTTGTTTTTGCTTTGGCGGGGGTGGGTGTCGGGGTTGGATTCGAAGGGGGGAGGCGGCGGAGTACACGGATTCAGGGGTTGTGCAGAAGATTCAGAGAGTGAAAGAGTGTAAAGAAAGTGAGTGTGAGAGTGTGAGAGGTGATGGTATGCGTGTTGTGACTAGCCGTCGATGAAATCTTAGCCCAGGTCTAAACTTAGGTGGCAACTTCCCGCGACCCACCGTACCGAGCCGATGGATTCCACCGTGGACGCCGCAGGCCGCACGCGTTCAGCGCGCAACGAGACCGACTGCGCGCCCCGGCTGCCGATCGCAATCCGCCCTAGAGGATTTGCAGCTTTTGCTCCCGTCATCAGTCCGCAGTTCTCAGTCAGCACTGCAGCCATGCAGCTCCGGCTCCGTGGTCTGCACATGGCATACCGACCCAGCCGAGCTGGCCGAGCGGGCCAAGTTGACTTCCTGGCCGCCAAGAGATGCTCTCCAGCTGAAACATCGAACAAAGCTACGGCGAGTTTTGTTTTCTTACTACTCTCACCCTCTCCCACATACAATGCGCAACATCACCAGACGACAGGAATACATGAGCAGGAATGGGATCACATAAGCCACTAGGCATCAGGACCAGCACTCTGGTGCTGAAGATGCCGTCTACGGGTCCGTGTGTAGCGCCGAGCCGAGCCCCGCAAGACACCGCCAAGATTCCAAGCCACCTGACCACCGTGCTGACTGCGCATCTCTCGGCGCCGCTGACGTCCAAGCGGCACTCAAATACCACCCACACTGGTACTAGTCCATACGCTGGAGCGATGCCATACGAGCACACTCACTACAGACGCCTCATCGACTTACTTCTGTACGAAATCACGGACATGTGGGCTCGTTTGAACTGCGCACCAGCGCTCAGCCCACAGCGTACAGTCCGCAGTCTACAGATCGATGTCGCTCGCCGGCCGGTCGATGTCTGCTCGCCAGTGTGTGTCTGATTCGGGTCCTTCTGATACACATTGATCTCGAAGAAGCGGTTGTGCGTCTGGCAGCGGTAGTTCTTGTACCTGCCAACGTCAGCCGTAATCCCGTTTCTCCCTCTTCAAGCTCCCACATCTACATCTGACTAGATCTGCTCAGATTTACGACTCACGTGTTCAGCTTCTTGAAGTTGGCATTGATGAGGTCCTTCTCGCTAACTTCCTTGTATCCCAGAGGCGTATGCGCAAAGTATCGCTTACTTTCCAGTGGCCCGTAGTTTACCTGCCGGACAAGTTGAACGACATAGTCGGCGTTGGCAAGATCTTCAGCGGGATTGGTGGACTGGGAAGTGTCGTTCAGAGTCGCGCAGGCGAGGAATTCGCGAAACTTGGCCTCGTGGTCGATGCGCTGGGGCTTGTAGGGTTTGATGGCGTCGCAGCAGAAGAGAGACATCGTGGACTACCTTCAACAGTCGGGAGGGATCACAGGCGGTCAAGCAGAGAGGGGACTCGTCTTTGACATGTCCATGCATGTGCTGTTATACCAGTTGGATGGACACTGACGTCCAGAATCGTGCGAACGTGCCACGAAGGTACAGTTTGCAAGCGAGAGCCACGGTGGCAGCCGAGCTGTCGTCAAGCTGTTTCTGAAGGTGGTTACCACTGTCCTAATCACACAACGACGCCGCCTGGGAGCCCTGGACTCGCATCGGACACCGAGCTGGCAGCAAGATATCGAAGCATCAAAGGGCAGAGCTCCGCTTTCAACTCCGACTGCGGATCTACACACCAGTCATCACCAGTCCACGCCAGGCGCCACCACCTCCGCTGATCGCTCTTCCCCACGTCCCACCACCCAACATCCCCTACCCAAGCCATAGCAACATGCAAAAGCTGGCTGTAAGGGAGTAACTGAATACTCGCTTGACGAGAGTGGGATTCGAACCCACGTCCGAAGACTGCGGAGGAGCTCCGACTCCTATTGCTCGGATGGAATACACCTTAACACAGCGCCTTAGACCGCTCGGCCATCTCGCCTGCTGATCGGGACGGAGGGCGGGGGGAGACGCCCCAGGGCGCAGCGGGGCGAGCGCAGCGAGTGCGGCAAAGCAGCTGGTTGCACTGGTGGCCGACGTCGTGAAGGGCCCGAGGGTATCTGACCGGTGACGACAAAGTGGTGAACAGGGGAAAGCAACCACCTTGAGCGACAAAGTGCTCCCGGGGACGGTGCAGACCGAGTCTCCCTTCGTTCAGCCCAATGCAAGCGCCGATCTGTCTCGAGAGCAGACAATCGGTACTATGCTTACCTGGGCATCTGCAGACGTTCTGGCCGACCTTGAACACACCGCTAGAGGACAACAAAGCGCTGAGACCTGTGGCTATGGGGGACAGTCCGCCTCACGCGCGACATCACCAGCAACTTCTTCCTTCATGAGTGCGTTTCGATGGACAGAGGGATCGCGGGCGAGATCACCGGCACACCTCAACCTTTCGGAGTCAGCGAGCCAACCCGAATCTGTCTCTCTGCCAAGCCTTAGACCGACGGGCTACGGGCTTGGGCTACGGGCGAGGACAGGAAGACCGACAAGAACGAGGGCAGACGATAGCAGCCGAGGGAGGAAGAGGGTGACGCCACGAGCGCCTCGTCGCGCCTCGTCGCTCCCCACCCCTGGCGCCCTTTCCACACTCCTGTGCGCGATCCTGTCCACGCTCCCGCGTGCTCCGCCACCCCCGCATCGCGGTGTGCTTGCGTCGACCAATCTACACTGCTCGCTGCGTCCTCTCTCGAACTCATCCATTATGCGAGGCGGGTGAGGCGGAGCGTGATCGAGATTCTCCACACATGCACACACATGTCCACACATGGCCAAGTCCAGATCGACCCTTGGCCAAGTCCCCAGGCCTCAGGCTGCCCCACGCCGCTCCTCGCATTGTGGCCCCCGTGTCCATGATCCGCACAGAGTTTCGATAGATCTACGATACGCTTTTCGGGCACAATGTCAGATACTCCGACAGGCGTAAGCAGATAGCGTCTGCCGTAGTGAGCGCGTAGCATGTCCGTCCCAGAGAGAGGCGGGCAGCGCTTACATGAGTCTGTAAGCGGAACAGCATCGGCGCAGTCCTCCGTCCGGGCCGCCTGGCTTATCAGGCCAAACATTGGCTTATCTCTTGCGCCGTTTCTCCCGTTTGGGCTGTTCGCGCCGAGGTTGTAGCGACGTTTTGCCGTCGTCCATGCTCCTTCGTGCCGGGTTCCCCTTCTGTCGGACAAGCTGCGCTTGCCGCGCATGCCGGTGACCAAACACGCACACATTTGGGTACTGTAGTTGTCGAGCGCCAGGCTCCCGGATAGTTCGCGATCAAGGCATAACAGGTCCATCCCACGGGTCTCGTTATCGTTGTCGTCCGATCTTTCGGCGCTTCCAATGTTCCTAACGTCTGTACGCATGTACGCTCCGAGCACGGAACGGCATGAGGACGTGAATGAGCACGCGCCTCCTTTACCAGACCCACCCCGTCCATCTGGTCCATCCGGCGTAACGCTGGACCCGCTGGGCTATCCACCTGTCTGTACCTTTCATATCACTCCGCCGCAGACTCCATGTGACCCAGTGACGGTGGTCACGAGTTCGTCGCTGATGCTATTTTCGCCTACTCCTCTGCCAACTCTGCCCGCCTCTGGCCTGTACTTGCCGCCTGCCGCTGTTCTTGATTCCGCTTTTCGTTGTTCGGTCTGGCTGCTTACGACCCACTGACACACGACCCGGACACCCACTGACATCCGCCGACACCTACCGACACCCAGTGCCACCCGCTGACACACCGTTGCCCGGACCCGGCCTCCCTCGTTACGACACCGACTCAATTCACTGACCCATTCATGCGCTCATCCCTCCATGTATATCGGGACCATCGTTAAGCGGATGCTGGCTACTTCCGCTTACTCCACTGGCCCGAGTCGACGTCACTTGCCTACTCGATGCTTGTTGTAGCCGCTGATGTCAATGTCCGAGAGTAGAGCAATGCACTTGCGTTTGCTGGCTCGCTTCGCTCGCCGTTGTCTGCTGGAAGTTCTACTTGCATACAATGTAATAAAGACTACTACTCTCGTGCAGTTTGATACTTTTAACTGATCACACGACGCTAAGTTTAGGTTGGGGTTATGGACTATGATTTATGTTGGAGATGAGAGTTGATATTGTTGGGTGAGGGGAGGAAGGAATGATGACGGGTAGAACTAATAACAACTACTTTGACTAAACTCTTTCGGAGAGTGTTTTGTGTCCCAAGAAAAGAAATGACACAATCCCTAGTTACGTTTCCGCGCTTAGACACTGTTGTCGGCGCACGACCAGGGCGAGGTGCGGTTGGGGTCGTCAATGATAGTAACAATGGCGGCGTAGGTACCGGCACCGGTGATGTAGAGACCAATGATGAAGAGGAGGATGTTCCACAGGAAGCGGATCTTGACCCACATCGTGCGGTCCATGGGCGACTCGTAGCGCCACTTGTCGTTCCACCACATGAGAGTGTAGGGAATGATGGTGACCGAGGGGCCGATGAGAGCTCCAATGAGCGAAATGAGGTTACCGAAGATGGGGATGGCAGAGGCAATGATGTACTCGATGATGACGGCACCGGCGCAGCACGAGAGCCAGGTGATCCAGTGGACCTTGCCACCGTCGGTGAGGTGCTTCGAACCCTTGAGGATGCGCACGAAGAAGAACTTGGCAGCCAGGTGCGAGTAGATGCAGAGCGTGACAAGCAGCGCAGGAATGGCGATACCGTAGCAGATGCGCTTCATGGTTCCACCGGCCGAGCCGAGAGCAGGCGAGGAGACGAACTGGCCACAGTAGTAGTAGACGACAATGCCGATGGTCGAGTAGACGGCCCACAGGCAGATCATGGAGAAGCACATGGTCGACTTGTAGACACGGGGGTCGCGCATCTCAGAGACGATACCGAAGTAGGTGGGGGTGGCAGCGTAGGCGAAGAGGATCGAGTTGATGGCGGTCATGGCCTGGGCAAGGGTGGCGGCGTTGGTGATCTTGAGGTCCTTGGGCCAGGGGCCGGTCACGTAGCCCTGCTCAATGGCCTTGGCAGGGCGGTCCTGGACACCGACGGCGATGGTGAGGGTGAGAATGGCGGCCATGATGGAGATGAGACCGACCCATCCAAGCCACGAGATCTTGCCGAGCGTACGGATGGAGCACATGAGGAAGCCACAAACAGCGGCAATGGCGACGAAGGCAGCGGTACAGATACGGTGCTCAGCGGCGACGGCGTTGAGCGCCGTCGAGACACCGACGATACCCGAAGCCGAGACGAAGATCATGAAAAGAACGAAAGCAATGGAGAAGTACCACTCGCCGATACTGCATGGGTCAGCTTGTATTCAAGCGCACGGATGATGGTGATGGGCGGGTGGCTGATGGCGACCGGCGGTGGCGCCGATCAACGCATCACGAGGGCACACTCCTCGCTCGCTGCCACTAGGCTCGGTCGCACAGGGAAAGTGACGACAGTGCCAAGTCGGGCGATAAGAGGGAGGTTGGAGCATCGGGGGATGTGGGGCACTCACACTCCGCCGACAATTCGGCCAGCATCAGAGACGTTGTAGGTCTCAGGGTGGTTCATCTTGAAGTCACCAATCTGGCAGGCGCAGTCTGTGTCGTCAGCCAATGAACCGAAAACGAGGCGTTCTGCGCCCCCTCCCTCGCCGAAGCGCAAAAATGCTTCCAAGAGGGAAGCGTAAGCCAACTCACACATAACAATCAGAGCAAGAATGAGGAGGAGGATGACACCGGGAACCATGCCGACCTCCATGAAAACGAAGGGAATGGAAAGCACACCGAGACCAATGTTGGCCTTGGTCATGAGCACGTAGGCACCACCTCGACCGACCTGTTTCTGTCAGCGCCTGGATCACATCTCGCGCGGTCGCGCAAAACGCCCGTAGCAAAGCGTCACACGACTCGGGAGGTACTCACAGCACGGTAGTTGGGGCCGTTCTCCATGTCACCGAAGACGGCATCGTGGACGTGCTTCTCCTGACCGGCGGGGGCGATCTCGACAGTGTACTCGTTGGTCTTGCCGCGGTAGTGGGCCGGTCTTGACGCGCCGGCCTCGAGGTCCTTCTCGCTGTGGAAGCCGCCCTTCTCAGACTCAACGGTGTGGATCTTCTCGTCGTAGACGCCGGTCGGTGAGAACTCCTCTCCGTAGGGAGCACCGTTGGGGTGCTGATTATTGTAGGCCATGCTGGGCGGGGGAGGGGGGAGGGGTGTGAGCTACTTGGCGGAGGGGTAGCTGTTCAAGCTGGGGTAGGCGTTAGAAAGAGGAGGAAGGAAAGCAAGATGAGGGGGTCCCACAGCGGATCCCCAGCCAGGCTTTTAAGTAGTGGCCGGTAGTGGTCGAGGAGATTGAGGAGCGAGCGGTGAGGCGTCGGTTCATCGGTCGGGAGGGACAACAGCTGGGGCCTGATCGCAGCATCGCATCCGGGGAAGGGGGGCCAGCGAAGCCAGCCCTCTGGCTTGATGCCAGTGAGGAATAGCAACACCCACCCACTCTGCAATAGCAATTGCCGCGCCCCGTCTGCGAGTAGACGGGGGGTGGAATACGGTATTGGTCCGCGGCGCATTCGGCTCAGGGCGGGACCCCTCACGTGCCCCTTAATCTCTTTTCGACGGGGGCAGCCCCGCGCATCCCTTTGATTCCCTCGCATTGTCCAAGGAAGCCAGGGAAAGGACACCAGCCCAAGTGGTCCAGTGAGATGTCCTAGTTAGCGCTGACTTGCACCCTACACCTTTTTTAGATCCCGCAGCTAGCTGGCCCAGCTGGCACGCCTTGGCCCACCTGCGTCCACCTGCGCTCTCGGCACGGCACTCTCCTGGACACCTGTCCAAACCTTGGCCCTTAAGTCCCCGGCGTCCCCGGTCGGACGACCTGCCCCCCAGCCAACCACCACCCACGGCAACGAACGGCAACCATCGTGTACCTGACAGACACACCTGGCCCCGCGAACGCTCACTCGTCGCTTCCAGCTGCCAAAAGGGAAACTCTGAAAGGGAGACGGGGCCCGGCAGATCTCTCTCTGCCTTTGCTCTATCCGGGCATGACGGCAGGCAGGCAGCCACTTTCTAATTCGTTACGACGTGGCTTGAGCTGCCAATCAAGGCTCCCCGTCCAGTCTTTCCATCGGCGGACTAACTCGACTCCCAGGAGATTGCGAGCGTGTGCTGCTCTTTGGGGGGATTTGCTCGTCTGACGGACAAACAGGATAGGCGTCGCAGGCGCAGCAGGTGGGGGAGGGACGCATGCATAGATCCTATCGCTATCAAGAGGCAGGCGCTGTTCGGTCCAGTCGCAAGAGCAAGAGCAAGCAGCCGCGCAAGCCGCGCAGGACGAGACCAAGTGCGGTAATCGCGTACGTGCAACATTCCATCGATACCCGCCGACTACGGCCTGGCGTAGCGAGCGATGTATTCCAAGAAACCAAGAGGTCTGGGCACAAGGGCTAGGGGGTGCAGGAGCAGAGACAGGCGGTGAGGCGAGCGCTTACTTGAGCGATTATCATCTGGCTGACTCGTCGACCTGACTCTGGCTGACGCGGGACCACTTTCTTTTTTTTTTTTTCGAACCCAGGGCGATCCGGCGGATTATCCACGGCAATCTGCCAGAGTATGCCGTCGCTGCCTGCCGCTGTCTGCCGCTGTTTGGGTACTTGGCTCGCTTACATAACGGATTAGACCCTGTCGCGTTCCTCTCGTTCCTCTGCCCTCTTCGGCGTGCGACGCTGCAGTCCGATCCAGCTCTGGCCGCGCTGCCTCCTATCATTGGCAGACCGGCGCTTAAGGGACTCCTGTCTCGTCCTGGCTCGCCCCGGCCGGCCCCGCACCCCACTCACATTCCCTCGGAACATGTCAGGTGCCCAAAGTGGCCCAGCGGGGCACAGCGCTTGCCTCCGCCTGCGCCTCCACTGGGTAGCTGCGCCGCCTACGTCTGCACATCCTCGGATCTTGCAGAGCTTGTTTCGGTCGGTCGCTCGCGTATCGTCTCGCCGACCAGCGACTGGCTCGCCCCGGCGTCCCCGGTCTCCCCACGTCTGCGTCCCCACAAACCCATGGAGAAAGAGCCTGGAGAAAAGTCTGGAGAAGGTCTGGAGAAGGCCTGAAGTCGGTCTGGAGTCGGTCTGGAGAAGTGGACGACTAGGCTTGAGAGTCTGGAGAAAAAGTTGGAGCTCCCTTGTCGCGATCTGCTCCTCCGAGGCGGAGAGGCGTAAGTGCAGGTGATCAGGGCGTAAACGCCAGCATTATGGAGTGATCTGCGTCTGAACACCTCCAGGCCGTAGTGCGAGCCCTGCCTTCGCAGCCTCGCGGGTGGAGAGCGATCGTTAGCGAGATTCCAGCGGGGCCTCATGCCGAGTCTAGAGGCCATCGAGTCCAGGCTTGGCCCCGAGATCTGGTGCGGAATTGCAGCGTACGCTTCATTCGTCCTACACAGGTTCTCGTAACTGATGTTACTGCGCGATCGACAGCTTCCGCATACAGTTTGTAACGCATAGCGTGCAAGGTGTGTCCGCACCGGACAACCTTCATCTGAGCAGATGACACCCCGCAGCATGCTGGGGCCGGTATAGCGGACCAACGCTGGGTCCGGATCAACCATAGCCAACTCAGCGTGGGAGCCGTACCTGTCATTTGCGTTCTGTGCCTCTGTTCCTCACTCGGAACGAGGCAGTCAGCGCACGGTATGTAACATGACCGTACGCCGTGCCACTTGACTTCCCAAGTGAACGGCGACTGAGCTTTAGACGACGGAGATGGGATTCGAAAAACTCGCCGGTATTCGACGGATCGTCACTCGGCACCCGCCCGCAACCCTCCGGAGACGGACCCCCACTGTGGCGCCTTTGCATCGTGCAGCGCCGCCGCTTCGCCGTTCTGGGGAACAAGAGGGGACGGCTTGGCATGCTGCGGCGCATACTGGCACGCGGCGAGGCACACCAGGTACACCGCCGACAGTCGCCGACAGCGCGCCGACGCTGTCTCCGACCGTGGCAGTCTTGGCGCCGACGTCGCAGTCGCCGTCACTAGCTCCGGCCGTCGCGACGACGTGCTGATGCACTGACGCAGTCCGGACCGAGCTTGGTACATCGTCTCAGGTCATGAACTGAGCGCAGGAGCGACTGGATCCGGCTCGGTGCGCCGTCTCGCCTCACAGAGGTCTCAGAGACCGGTGCATCGTCTCGCCACACACGACCAGACATTACTCGGTGCGGCTCACCGCGCTCTAACACCATGAAACCGAGCCCGAGCCACAGTCGGCATTCGTCTGCCTTGCTCTGTCTCGCTCGCACAGGCGTCTGAGGCGCCTGGCAGGCTCCGGTGTCTCGTATCTCTGGGGCCCACGGATCGGCGCTGTCGGCCAGCCGTGCGGGCGTCCAGCTGAGCAGCAGTGCGGCCCTCGCTCGGAGTACACGAGCACAACCGCATGCCGCGCTGATTCAGCTGACGGTGAGCCTGGCGCCAGCCCTCCAGCAGCTGCTCCGTTCCTCCCACTTTGCGCCACGCTGCTCTAGCAGAGGATGTCCGTGAACGAGGTGAAACGCGCCTCGAGCGCCGTGAGCGCCTCGCGCCGCCGACCACGAAGCCAAAGCGCCGTACGCTCGAGCCATGAGATGGGCTCGAGGCGGCGGGTTTCGCCGTATGGCCCTCGCTCATCCCCATGTGTTGGGGAAGGCTCGTGCTGGCTCTATTTTTGTCGTTCGTCAGGATTTCTTGGCCCGCATGGACTGTCCGCTATTCATTTCCATTCGCCTGATTCTTCTTCCTTCTTCCCAGTCTCTTCTCCTCGCGATTCGACTACAAGTCTCGTACCCGGGAATGGGTGTAAGATAGGTGCGAATCACCGGAGGAGGGTAGATAACGCGATAATGCTCGGCGATCTCTTCCCCCACCCAGTCTCAGATCCGCAGAGGGTTCGGCGGTGACTTTGTTATTGCCCGCAGAACGGCACCGAGCACAAACCCAGGGTGAGACACCGGCACGACTTTCCGGGTCTACCGGACTCCCTCTTGCTGGGTGACGTCAGCCCTGCTTGTGCCGGTTGCCGGCGGTAACCGACCACCAACCATCGGCTGCATCACGTGCAGATGCCCAAGAACACGTGAAGTGATCTGCGTCCTGTCAACGAGGACGGTGGAGCCGATCTAGCTTCCTCTTCTGGTCAGCCTAGAAGGAAGAGAAGCATGCATGTCCTCGTTACCGTGTCAAGAGTGCGCTTCCACTCCTCTGGAATCGAGGTACATGGCTTCTTTCGCTAGCTTCGGGATACGCGAGCTTTCGGCACGTCAATAGTCCGAGAGTTCGGGCTGCAAGACCGCCACGCCAAGCCGATCCTGCGTTGCGGCGTTGCCTGAGTTTTGTGATGAGACTAGTCCAGGGCTCTCGTGCTCAAATGCTGTTCAGCTGGGTGTTGGGGCGGTATCACTTCTGCTGACACCTCCGACCGTTCTCTGACCCAAGGGCCGCCGAGCGCTGTGCCACCCCCCGAACCTGGGTTATGCCAACATCCTTAAATCCCGATACGCCGTCCACTGACATCCTCCAAACTTGCCGTTTTAGCACCTAGAAGCCATGGAGGTTACAATGGACATGCATATTACAATGCGCGCGGCGCTGGCGTACGCAGGGTGCTGGTGCTGCGGCCTGGGGCCTGAGGCCGAAGAGGCGTTGTGGCGCAGCCTCTAAGCGGCTCAGAATGGGCTTTTCACCCGCTCACCCAACCTCAAATCCGGGGGTGTGCAGCTCGCCGGGTGGGCCGGATATCTCGTCCGCACGTCGCTATCTCCCAAGGCACTATCGCTTGTTGCTGGGGGTCTCCGGCTCTGACGTGCGCAGGCAGGGCTTCCTTGCAATTCAAGGCAAGCGCATGCCACGTACGAGTTTAGAGGCTGGCATAAGTGGCCGGCGTCCTTCGCCCGCTCAACCCCGCGTCTGCCGCGTGCCTCCCTGTCCTCGTGCTCTTTCGTATGTATGTCAAGATACCTCGTTGCCATTCCCGAGCGTTCTCCCAGGCTGTCAGTCGACCCAGACGCTAGCAGAAGCGCAAGTCCTCACGAGTATCAGCACACGATGGCCAAGCCCATGTCCGCGTTGAGACTGTGATCCATTAAGCCGAAGCCACACCGGCGACCAAACGATCATCGGCGGACGTGGCATTCGCAAAGGCAACTGAGCAGACGAGACAAGCAAACGAGATACTCGGAGTGCCACTAGTCCGTCCCCAGCTCCGACTCCGCACCAGAACGCAGCGGTACGAGCGGCGACGCTGGACCGTTGGTTTTTCAGCAGCGTGGCCGGTCCCCTAGCCTGCTGCAGTGGACACCGCTTGGTTCTGCGTACGAGAGACAAGTGAACCCCTCCCCCCGTCGTCGATATCCAATCCTCAGCGACAATTCTCAGCCCGCCGATGGTATTCGACGAACAGAGTGACGCCGTTGATAGCCAAAGAACACTGACGAAGACTGACGTACTGCTTCCTCAGTGATCGGCCAGGAAGCCACAGCACATGCCCACTGACTACCATGTTCGGGCGATTGTGAGTCCAGTTGGTCTTATGAGCCACCTGTGGAGTCGCGCAGAACACTAGCAGGCGCAGGTGTGTCTGCAACTCGGAGACCAGTACGGTTGTGGATGACTCGGGCGCACGAGGGCGTCGGACTCGCGCTCGCTACACACAGCGTTAGCCCTCGCTTCCACATCGATGACGAGATGAGTCTCGTGGCCGCCCGCCCATACTTCTTACGAATATACCCTCTCCTCCTTACTCTGATCAGACTCTTCCCCCTTCCTTCCTCTCCCCATCCTCTTCGTCCCTCCACCCCGTCCCATCTCCATCTATTCACAAACTCACGAACGATGGCCCGCCGTCCCTCGATAACCATGGGCCGTCGCCCAATGTCAGCGCTCATAGCCTCCGGCGTCGCACGTACGTCGACTCTTCCCAGTTAAGCCTTAGAATACCTAACCGCAGTCATCGGGTGCACGTTTTTCTTTATCTCCGTGCTCTCCGCGCCGATCAAGAAGACGGTGTGTTTCGTCAACGTCCGCAGCGCCGAGGGCGACAAGGTGGTCGATTTTGGTCTCTTCGGCGCGTGCTGGTGGGCGCATCGGGGGTGAGTCTGCGCTTCACTGAACCAATGTCTGCAACTCGCGCAATTACTCCGGCGGAAATCAGCCGTTACGGCCATCGGCATACGCCGTGGCAGCTCGGAAACTCTCGAACACGAGCTGACGCCCAGATTTCCGTACATGTGCACTTCGCGCGGGTTGGGATGGAGGCTGGACCAGGCCCGGCTGGGCGGGCACGTCTTCCCCGACCGCGTGCAGTTCAAGCTGCTGAAGCTCTCGCGCGGCCTGATCTCCGACGTCGTCGTGCTCGTCTTCGTGGGGCTGAGTTCGAGTCTCTGGACCACGCGGTGGATCACCAACATGCGCGTGTTCCGCATTGTGAGTTTCCCGATTCCCCCATGGCTCCCGTGGACCCCGCTGCAACCGCGGAGCTCGCAACTGTGACGCCCGCAGCCTGGGCATCTAACCCCAAGCCGAAAAATTCAGCTGGTCTGTACTCCAGTGCAAAGCTGACACTCCAGCCCGCCGTGTGCTTCTACATCCTCGCGATCCCCGCCTCGCTCATTGCCTGGGGGCACAATATCGCCACGGCCATCTTTGTGCGCAACATGATGCGCGAGTTCACCGGGGGCGCGTACGTCGGCACGTACGGGAATGCCGTGTGGCTCACACTGGCCGGAACGGTGAGTACCTCACACATTGTTATTCTCGATGGATGGCAGCCTCAGGGCCTCGAGCCCCGGGCCTCGGGGCGACGGAGATCCCAAGACCAGCCCGATATCTGAGGACAGCCCAGTCGCCCAGGTGGCCCACAGGTAGCCCACAGGTAGCGCAGCAACAGAGACCTTTGAAGGAGGTGTTGACATCCAGATCTGGCTCATCCTCGGCCTTCCCTTCCAATTCTCGGCCGCCAAGTGGTGCTGTTTCCGCGACGATCCCGAGGCGCTCGGCGCCGCCCGCGCAAAGGATGTCAGTTGGAGCCAGCACGGGTCCCGCAGCAGTCTGGGGCGCTTGCCGAGTGTGGACAACCCGGCGTTGTTCGAGAAGCGCAGGGGTTAGCTGGGCGTGGATGTGGTTAGTGTTCATACAGACGCGTGAGGTGATTTGAGCAATGTAAATGTGTTGACCGGTTAGAAACGAGGAGCCGCACCGCGGAGCTTGCATGAGGAACGGCTTTCACTTGCGAGAGAGGGCGCCTTTCCGTCTGCAGCTGATGTCCGCTGTGCGTTGCAGCTGCGGCAACTACGTCTGATGAACTTGCACTCGAGGGGACGGCGAGATGTGGTCACGTGCGCTCTCACCAACACTGGGTCTTCCTCTGTAGCGTAAGAGTGCAGGCGGCCCAGCCCCTCCGCTCAGCGCGATCAGCGCGGAGAGCGCTGCGATCGCAGACGCAGATCCGAAGATCCAGAGTGCGCCAGGGCCCAGACTTCTAGGGCCCTTCGGAGCGCAGCAGCAAGGAATATTACGTCAGCCGCCCCAGAGACTCTTTGCGCTGTTGCGTCACTCTTGGTGGTGAGAAAGCTGCGATCAAACCTGTGCAGTTCAAAGGATCTGGAAGAGAGATTAAGCTTAGTGATCGGGCGCGTAGAGTTCAACGCGCAGCACAATGGCGCGTACGGCGCGTTTGGACGCGACACGTCGAGCCAGCCCAGACGGGGAGGTCCACTGCGCAGGTCGATCGAACTGCGACCGTGACGACTGCGTGAGGGGAGATGAATGATCAGTAGTGCTGTGAGTGCTCACCATGACGCTATTGTGCTGCACTGGCTCGACCATAGTGGAGATGAGCTTGATCTGTCTTCCCCGTAGCCAGTCGTTGCCACGTCACAACAATGATCCCTAGCTGTGACGTGGTGGATCGCTGATCGTGAATCATCGCAAGTCCCTGCCTTCGGGCTCCGGGGTCGGCGTCCAAAGGTGCCCATTGCTGCTGCAGTGACCGCAAGGCGGTGAGCGGTGATGAAGCAACAGCAACATCTGAGATCATCGTTGCCCCTCATCCCTGGCGACATCCTGACGTTCGTCCTGAGAGAGCAGAAATGCAGGGTCACCCACGCGAGCGAAGTTCCCACGGAGGCCTGCTGACAAAAGGGAAGGCTGAGTTGGCGGATGAAACCGCTAGCGCTGCTTCCTGTGCGAGCAGAATTGCAGGAGAGCTTAAGAAATGCGTGCAGGGTGGTGGCGTGCGCCATTGTGCGTGATGTGCAGTCATGTGCCCGTCTTGCGAAGGTATGAGAAGAGAAGAAGCAGGTGCACGCATGCACGCTTGGGAAGAAGAGGGCGCTGCCCCCAAACGCACGCGTGCACGCCAGTCTGCGCCGCGTACGCCGCAGTGACCCAGGAAAAGCACAAGCTCAGCGACAATGGGCAATGGGCACGCAGACGAGGAACGCAGGAACCGCGCCCGCAGCTGCGGTGCCTCCACCTTCCTTCCTTCACTGTTCGGCAGCCCGGCAGCTTCGGCAGGTCTCGTCTCAGGTCTACGCGCGGGAATAGCTTGGCGCGCAGACTTTTTTGCAAGCGCGTTCGAGCGCTATTTGCGGCAGCTACAGCACAGCCTGGCAGAAGTCTAGTGCGCGGATACTTCCAGCAAGTTGTCGTGCATACGGGGAGGGGGGGGAAGCTTGCGGGAGTGTCAGTCGTCAGCACTGGATGTCCCAGGAGAGGATGAAATTCTCCTTGGTTGGTGGCAACCCCTGCCGGTCCCCATCCTGAAGGAATGCTTCAGGGGAAGATGTAGGATGCCAGTGCTCCAGAACTCACGCTCGACGGAGACTGCCGAGGTACTATTTGCACACTTGACGCATGATTTCAGAACGCCTGGACTCCTGGATTAGGGTCACCCACGCGAGAATAGGAACAAAGGACATGCAGGCTTGCAAGTCGTATTGGAGTTGGCCGATACCACCTGGAAACGCATCGCAATGGCGATAAGAGGGTCAGAGGCGATGCACAGGTCTCCTCTTCTCCATTCGGCTAGGGGCCTCTTCTCCCTCGACGCTACCCCCCTCAACACCGCCTGCTCACCCCCGCTACGTCAGGCCCCCCCTTACCCCGCTCCTCTGTTCCTCGTGACTCATACGACCGCTGGCCGTGTCTTGAACGTGAACGCCGTGTTTCGCTTTTCATTTCTTCAACTCTCCGAAATACACAATACCCACCGCGCCCACGCCGCACCGCCGTCGTATCGACAACGACACTGACAAAGGCTCGAGGCTATACCACAGCACCCACGCACAATCGTCGTCGCCCCATCTGACGCACGCACTTTCCCCAAAAAGCACTCTAGTGTTTCGTGCATTCACCGATTGTGAAGCAGAGGCTTGGCCTTGGCACGCCCCTTCCGCCCTCACGACATTCACTCTCTTTCGACCACTACCATCTCCTACGACCTTACGAACAGAAGATTTGTTCGGTGACATCGGGACCACGACTAAGCTTAACACGCAGCCCCCTCCCCCGCAGTCTCCGACACCACACGTCCACACGACACGACGCACGTTACTTTCAACAACTCACTCTTCCCCCAAAGTAGTTGAGCAGGTCTCACTACTGGTCGCGATATGACGACCCCCGTCACCCCGGCCCAGGGTGGTCCGCCAGATGCTTCTGACATCTTCAACACAATCCAGCAGGGTTACGCCGAGGCGCGAAAGGTCAACGCAAAGGCCGTTCTTACCCAGTTCGCGATTAACGGCGGCATCTCGGTGAGTCGGGCGACACATGCCTCGCATGCCTCCACGCTGACACACCGCAGCTCCTTATCCTCGTTCTGTTCTGTTTCTTCCGACCAAGACAGAACAAGATCTATGCGCCGAAAGTCAAGTACGCTGTACCACCTGACCCGAACGACGACGACTATGAACCGCCGCCGCCAGAGTTGGGACGAGGCTTCTTCTCGTGGATCAAGCCCGTTGTGACCTACACCGAGACGCAGATGCTGCAAACCTGCGGGCTGGACGCAGTCGCCTTCCTCCGCATGGTCCGCATGCTGGTCTACATCTTCTGCGGCGCTACGTTGCTCGGTGTCGCCCTCGCCATTGTGTACGGAGTGTACAACTTGAAGCATGTTCAGAGCAATAACCGACAAGATCAGCTATCCGCCATCACGATAGAGAACGTGACCGACGCCTGGGCGTGGCCGGCCGTTGCAGTCAACTACCTGCTGACGTTCCTCGTCATATTCTTCGTCTGGCATAACTGGAAGGTCATGGACAAGTTGCGCTACAACTGGTTCCGCTCTAAGTCGTACCAGCACAAGCTGTCGTCGCGCACCATCATGCTCACGCGAGTGCCTAGGGAGTACCGCTCAGACGAGGGCCTTGTGCACCTGATGAGCCGCCTCAAGGTCGACGGCATCAAGATCACGAACGAAATCGAGTGCACAACCATCGGCCGCCGGCTCGGGGACTTTCCACAACTGGTAGAGGATCACAATAAGGCTGTGAAAGACCTCGAAAAGACGCTTGTAAAGTACCTGAAGCACGGCAAGATGGCTTCGCAGCGCCCGCTGCTCCGCAAGGGCGGCTGGGCCTGCTTTGGTGGCGAGAAGGTTGACAAGATTGACTATCTGGCCAACGAGATCAAGTTCCTCCGCGACAAGGTTGACGCCAAGCGCCAGTACATCGACTCTTTGCTGCGGCGCGAACGCAAGGCTCGCAAGATGCCGTTCAAGTCTTCCAACCAGATTGAAGAGCGCATCGAGGGCGAGACCTACGGCTTCGTGACCTTCAAGACGGTCGCTGAGGCCCACCGCATCGCCCGCATCTATGCTGGAAAGAGGAAGGACATGGGCGGAGCCCACCTCCAGTTGGCACCGGAGCCGCGCGATGTTATTTGGAAGAATCTGACGAAGGACGGACCCGAGCTCGTCACTGCACGGAACCTCGGCTGGGTTTTCATCGGACTCATCTGTTTGGCGAACACGATTCCCGTGCTGCTCATCACGGTTCTCGGCAACTTGTCGCTGTGGGCGGAATGGGTTGGATTCCTCCGGAGCTGGCGTGAGCATTCTAGCTGGACTTTCTCCACCATTTCCGGTCTCCTCGCCCCCTCGATCCTCGCCATCCTTGCGTTCATCCTGCCCTACATTCTGCGTCGCGTCTGCAAGTACCAGGGTGCTCAGACGCGCAGCCGCCTCGACCGAGCCACCTTTGCTCGATACTACTTCTTCATGGTTATGTGGTATTTGATCCTCTTCACGGTTCTGGGTGTTATTGTCAACCTCGTGGGAAACATTGTCAAGGATATTGGCAGAGGAAAGTCGGCCAAGGATATCTTTGGCATGTTCAAGGACCTACCGAAGGACGTGCAGGGCACCTACGTTCAACAGAGCACGTATTGGCTCACTTGGCTGCCTCTGCGTGGTTTCCTCGTCTTCTTCGAGATCATCCAGTTACTGAGGCTCGCGCTCGTCTCCTTCCGCCGCATCATGTTCAGCTACACTCCCCGTGACATCCGCGACTTGACGAGGCCGCCAGCGTTTGAGTACTACATTGTCGGAGTCAATCTCCTCTTCCTCGCGACTGTCGGTCTCGTCTACGCCCCCCTGGCACCTCTGGTAGCTATCGGCTGCTTGTTCGTTCTTCTTTTCTCTCTCTTGATTGTGAGTATAGCTGACCAACGAGACGACTTTAGCTAACATGCAGTACAAGTATCAGCTGCTCTACGTGTATGTCACGAAGGCAGAGTCCGGCGGCCGCATGTGGAGAGTGTACACCAACCGCGTTTTGGTCGCCACCCTCTTCATGCAGCTGCTCATGATCCTCACGACGGGTCTCATTCGTGCCCACTGGATCGACGCGATCGCGAGTGCCCCGCCTGTTCTCATCCTACTCGCGTTCAAGATATATTTAAACCGCACGATCGAGTACAACTTCAAGTACTACATTGCCACGCCGTCCGAGGCAGAGGCGCAGCGCCAGGCTGCCATGTCCGAGAAGCGTGTGAAGTCGTCCGAGGTCACCCGCAGGTTCCTGAACCCCGCCCTGCGCCGCGACCGCGTCTACAACGTCATGGTCCACAAGAACCAGGAGGAGCTTGCGCGCTCCGTGCTCGCGGAGTACCCCTGGTTCTCGGCCAAGCACGAGCACGACGGTGTCGAGGTTATGGCGGTTCGCGAGGAGAACCTGGAGTACAACCCTCTGCGCGACGACAAGGACTGGGACACTCGCTCTGTCAAGTCGAACATGACTGGTCTTACGGCGCTCACGAAGTCGGAGTTTGGTGGTGGCGAGGACACTATTCCGATGCTACGTCACAACCGCTCGTTCGGCGACTCGCTCTCCGCCCTGCCAGAGGAGAACATGTCGACGGACGGTCTCGTCCTCGCGGCGGCACCCACGGGTATGGCACCCTCTCCTGCGCCATCGCCTTACTCTGAGCCATGGCACCAGGATGGCACCTACCCGCCCCGCCCATTCGGACAGCGACCTCCGCCACCCATGCACCAGCACTCAACCAGCTCATACGGCGACTCGCCCACTCTGGTGCCCCTGGACCGCTTCGACTCGCACGGCAGTGTGGGTAGTCTCGGCCGCGGTGTCAGCCCTGCCCCAAGCTACACTGGCGGCTACGCGCCAGTGCGCAACCCCTCCACTCAGGACCTGCCGCGCGTAGGCAGCGGGAACGAGGTGCCTCAGACGTGGCCTCACCCGCCGCCCGGAGGGATGTACTAGCGGCACTGATCTCTGAGCGTAACCTCCGAAGTGGAAGGCTGTAGATAAGTATAGAAGCATATCTGTTGTTCTTTGTAGAAGAAATCCCATTCTAGCATTGACATTTTCTGCATGTATCAAGCATTCCTGCATTCCATGCTTCCGCCCAACGTGGGCAGCCGCACTAACCGTGCTGGTCGATACGACGTGCCCTCGGCAAGCAAGCAGTCCCGTCAGGTTGACTGTCAGCCAGTGAGTTGGCTGCGCAAGTGCCGCCGCAGTCTGTCTGCAGGGCGAGCCACGAACCGCGTACACTACTGCCAAGCTGACGCGCACACGCGCTTCACAAAAGAATGGTCTCGCCCTCGTTTCTGGGCCTGTGGCGTCACCGCGTCACCCAGCTCACCCAAGTGCGTAGGTGTGACAGGCGGGGACTTAATTTCGATCAATTCCTAATGACCAACCGGGTCAATATGAAGTCGCCCGCAGCAGTGTAATCGTGATTAGGCCAGCGGGCATGTGGTGACTTAAGTACGGGGCACACATAGAGCGGCGGTGCAAGGGATGGCTAGGCTTGGACAATCTGGCGCCTGCACCAGGCGCTGGCGGTGCTCTCGGTGTGCTGGTCGGTGGAACGTCTGACCTTCCTCATACCTACTAACGTCCTCCAACATCATCTCATCTCCCAAGTCATCATTGTCTATTTCTACCACCCCATCATCACAGTCAGCTAGGTTTGCAAAAGCACCAGAAACCCCGCCTCTGCCAGCCCTCGCCGCCTCGTCTTCTTCCAGCACTCTCGACCACTCCCCCCACCCCCCTCCTCTCCCCACCGAGACCCCTCGCAGCGACACGCCCGTCCATCACAGGGAAGGCGCCAGCGCAATGGCTCCCGGTAAGTTGACTTGCGGGCGATCTTGGCCTCTCGTTATTGTCCATTAGATTAGCGACTAACGCTTGCAGCCTCACCAGCATCGCTCGGCACCTCGCCGCAGCAGTTCAACCACTTCGCCCCTCTATCACCTGACATGGCTCAAACGCCTCTAGAGGACTCAGAGATGAACGCCATCCTGGGTCTCGCACCGCCAGATCCCGCCATTGCGTCCTCACGCCCGAACAACGGCGGTTTCGCGACCCCTATCCGCCAGCCCCGCGGGCCGATCGTGACCTACTCCCGTGAGGATCTTCTCCGCCTCTCGAAGCGAACCCAGGTCCCCGACGGATTAGTCCCTTTAGAGAGCTGGTTCGGGCAGATGCCCAAGCCCATGGTTGACGACCCTGCCATTGCGGCGATCAGCCCCCGCGGCATGAGGGCCGGTGCTCAGAGTGGCTTCGGTGAAGGGTTCGGGTTCGGCGGTGGAATCGGCGGCGGCGGCAGGCTCGCCGGCGGTCGTGGAGGTGTTCGCAACATTGGCCTGCGCAGGCAACCAGAGGGTGCCCCTGCTGATCCGGCGATTGCGGAGCACGGCGGACGGTTCGGCGGCCAGATGGGCAAGTTTGCGGTCCAGCCGCGCAGATTCGACGACAAGCGCGGTGGAGGCGAGAGGGGCGAGAGGATGGGCGGTGACCGTCACCACCACCAGCACCAGCACAGCCAGCACAGTATGTACAACAACCAGAGGAGAGACGATGACTGGCGTCGCGGCGGTGAGTTTACATAAAGCGACTTAGAACTGACCGATCTAGATCGCCCACAGCAGCGCAACGGCGATTCCCGACGGACAGGCGGCCCAAGGTACGACGACGACAGCGCCGAGCCCGCATGGATGAACGATGGCCCCGAGCTTGAGGACCCCGCTATTGCCAGTGCGACGCAGGACACTGAGCACCTTGTCAAGTTTGTGCCAGGCGAAGACATGATTGCCGCCCACAAGCGCCAGATGAAGGGTGGACCCCGCGGTGGATCGGAGGGCGACAGCTGGCGGCCAAACGAGAAGCCGCTCGTGTCGTTCTTCGGAGGCGAGCAACCCCCGGCCAAGACGCCGCCCAAGCCCAAGGAGGTCAACGTCGCCAACTACTTCAAGCACAAGGTGTTTGACGACGACAAGGGCAAGGACGATGACCAGCCAGAGGAGAAGGAGGAGACGAGCGCGTTCCAGTCCCGCTTCCAGCGCTTCTTCGGCTCAGGCTCGCAGAACCCTTCTGCCGCTGCCGCCGGCATCAGCCCCGGCCGATCGCCCGTTGCTCCCGAGTCGCCTGCCAGCGGTCAGCGTGTCGACGACCACATGGCCAAGCTCATGGGCATGCTGTCCACCAAGGGTCCCAGCCCCGCTCCCCGCCCCGGCTCCGCCGACCTGCAGCAGCAACGCCCGCCGTTTGGTGGTTTCCGCGGCGGTCCTCCCCCTCCGCCAGGCATGTACGCCCAGTCGCCCACCGAGCCCCCGCATTCGCACTCGCAGAGTCCCACCGACTACATGCGCCGCGACGACGTCCCTCCCCAGCAGCAGCAGTACTCGTCGCCCCCGCCGCCCGACCCGCGCTACTATGGCAACTTCCGGTCTCCGATGGGTGAGCTGCCGCAGCAGGGTCCTCCCCATGGCCCGCCCCAGGGTCATCACCAGCAACGCTCATTCTACGACGGCCCCCAGCGCCAGCAGATGCCTGGTCCTCCTCCCGGCTCCAACGGTGGTCCCGGTCCCGACCTCCTCTCGCTGTTGAACCAGCATGGCGGACCGCAGCATGGCCCCGGCCCCCAGGGCCCTCCCTCTGGCGGTCCCCCTATGCCGCCGCCCGGCATGGGTATGCTCCCCCCAGCGCGGCCCCGGTCCGAGCCCCGACGACCTCCTGCGCAGCCTGCAAGGCGGAGGCCCCGGCGGCCCTGGCGGTCCCGGTGGTCCTCCCGGCTTCATGCGTCCGCCCAACGGCCTGTCGCCTCCTCCCGGTCCGCAGACGCCCAGCGCCGGCCCAGGCGGCCCAGGCGGTCACGGTGGTCCCCAGGGCCCTCCGGGATACCCGATGCAGCAGGGCTTCCTGCCTCCCCAGCCGCAGGGCTTCTACGGCCGCCCGCCGATGTATGGCCAGAGCCCGCCCCCGCCCGGACAGCAGATGTACCAACAGGGCAACCAGCACTCGCAGGACATGCTTGCGGCCCTGATGCGCCACTAGGCGTGGGCGTGTAGACGTAGTCCACGCCGGCGCCGATGCCGCAGAAGAAGGCGAAGAGGAGCAGAGCAGAGAGCAGAGTGTGCATAGTGCCACGACCCGTTCAGTATCATGTGACATGCATCTGATGTACCTGTACTTGCTCTATCGTACAATACTCATACACAAGAGAAAGCGAATGTTCGTTCTAGAGGAGCTAGCTACACGCCAGTACCGTTCTTGGGACTGCTGCCCTTGGAGGACAGGGCGAGCTCGAGACTCCGCCTCATGTCGTCCGTGACGTACGCACAAGCTTCATTGTCGCGGAGGATTTCCGCATGCGACCCGCTCACATTGACCTTGACACGACTGGCCTCGCGCTCGAACCAAGTCGCGAGCTCGGCCCAGCTCGTCTTGTTATTGATGCGGCGGCGGAATGCGCGATTCAGCAACCAGAAATAAACCGGAGGCACGGCCTGCACGACCTCGAGGGGGAGAGCATCAAGGTCGAGCAAGCCGTATGCATGGGGTGCGTTGGGGGGTTCGTCGCACGCAAGCGCCGCGGCGCAGAGCGCGCCGTCGTCCGCGACCGCGCCGAGGCAGAACGCAAGCGCGCGCGGGAGATGGCCCTGCCTCAGCGCGCGCTCCAGGGCGAGCGTCAAGTGTCCGATGACACGGGGGCAGTTGTGCCGCTGCAGCAGCGCTATGACGCGCACATAGAGGTGTGCGGACGCCGGTCCGCAGTCCACAGTCACATGCTCGAGGAACTGGAGCAGGAGGGCCAGCGTCGCCCCGTCCTCGTCCGCGCGGGTGAAGAGGAGTGTGTGGAGGGTGCCGTCGGATTGCTGATGGAGGAGTAACCCGCTGGTGGAGGTCAGCTTTACCCGACTCTGGCCTCTTGGCACGGGTAAACTTACGACGCGGGGCAGAGTGACTCCCTCGTGCACGTCAGGCGGGTGCCGTCTGCGGAGACCAGGGTGAGGTCGCTCGGATCGCCGGAGCCGCTGGGGCGCGCTTGCATTCTTGGCTGCGTTGATGCCATGCGTGGTGCTTGGTGGCAACGATTTTCGGTGGTCAGGCGGAGGAGTACTTGGTGGCGAGCAGCCGTCGTTTTCGTCGAGTCTGATGGAGTATACAAGGTTACATACAACATGGTCCATCGCTTGACTCGTCGTTTTATGCTACTTGCTGCGCCCGTCGCCGCCCCGTGCATGGCGGGGATGCATGCGAGGGGTTGGCGTGTGGTGTCGCCTTCTTTTGATTATTGTGTTTTGCTCGTGTTTTGCGTGCGGTGGGGGTGTGGAGCGAAGCGTGCCTACCACTTCGCGAAGACGTTCGACCTTCTTCGTCAGCTTTATGCATGCGGCGTGCACTCGAAACAGACGCTGAACTCACTTGCTTTCCGGCGAGGAGCGGATATCGCGCGCCATGGAGATCTCGCGGATGAAGGCAGTCGCAGGGCCGAGGATGCCCTCGACGACAGCCGGCTTGGACTTGTTCAGCGCCAGCATGTACTCTGGCGGGATGCGGTCCCAGAGCGTAATGGGGAAATTGGCGAGATCGAGGGCCTGGAAGTACTTGTGGCCGAACTTCTTCATGTTGAGCATCTCCTTCTCTATGGAGAAGTAGCACAGCTCGGGGTCGTCGAGGAGCGCGCCAATCATGAACGCGTGCAGCGGCGCAATCTGCAGGTCGAGCAGCGACTTGATCACGCACAGCCGCAGAATCTTGCATGCACCCGTGCAGTCCCACTTGCGCAGAAACGCGACCAGGTGTACGTACTCGCTCACCGTGTCTTCACTCATGGGCTTGGCAATCTTCATCCCGCTCCAAAGCCGCTCAGCCAGGTCGAGTGGCGCCTCCACTTCTCCAATCGTGTAGTTCATGATGAGCTGGAGAAAGCGCGAGATGATCGCTCGAGTCTCGATGACCGGGTCCGTGAACTTGACCTCTTTGTCGCCGCGGCAGAAGTCTTGTGCGTCGCAGAGTACGGTGCTGCGAGGGTGGTCAACTGGGTGTCCCGCATCTCGGAGCATACCTGTGGCTGAGTAACGGGTGAGAGGGTACTCGAAACCTCCATCCGTCGCTGGAGACCAGAACGAAGTCTCCCTCCTTCCATGTCGGGTCGTCCTTGAGGATCGTTGTCTCTGTCCCATCCGTGCTGGGCGGTGTAAGGCTCTCGATACCGTTCATGGCGAGCTGCTCCTTGTTGGTGTCGAACAGTGTATGCGGCAATGGTCAGAATCTGAAAGTAGGATCAGAAGCATCAGCATCAGGATCAGGATCAGATCCCAGAAAACATGTCCGATCGTCTTGACCAGCCATGCTAAACCCGACGGGCTCATGTGCTCTGCCATGCCGCCTGCAACGTCACAGGTCTGAAGGCCGTCTATCGGCCCTCATGGTCCCTCATCACCTCGGTCATGCAGGGAAATATGACCTAACCGAGTAAGGCACCCATCATTTTGGGCATGTTAGGATTTGGCCGAGCTCGGTTTTTCCTTGTCGCGCACCCAATTCGTCTCCGAGGCGGCATTGACGTCTTGGTGCCGATTACGCAGGCAGCGGGTGCAACGTTTGCATGATGTCAAGCGCGAATGGGAGCCCAAACTCCCCCCTGCTCTTTTGAAGATGTTGTGGTGACAGTGACGAGCCGATAAGATTAGATATTATCCAAAGGAGGCAAGGGAGAAGAGGCGGTGCGATCCGTTCAGACCTGGCCAAGTTTTTCGCGCGCGATCTGCAAGTCGGATGCAATTGGCTGGCACGAACAGTTTGATGCCGACGGGATCGACTGATGACGACGCAGGCTAACACGCGCTGCAGCAGGTGACTCACGGGGACACCTGGGTTGCCAAGCCCGTCTTACGCGTGTTTGCCAGACGTTGAATTCTGTGAATGGATGGATGTCTGGAAGAACCTTTGGGAACCCACGCGGGCTCAACTCAAGGGTCATACGGCTGATCGCTTAAGACGGCTAAGCTCGAGTCTGAAGTCGACAGAGATGTCGTCCCATTCGTTGCGTTTCGTCGGGATCAGACTGCGCGAGTCGAGACTGCGTCGCGCACCGATCAGACCAAACCAGTACTCTTCGGGTATGAAGCGTCGGAACCGTTGCGGAATGTCCGAGACAACGATCGTGTGAGCCCCAATGGTAACGAGCGAGCCATCCTGAACGGCCCCGGCTGTGCGGCGTTTGAGCGCTGATACACACAACTCGACGTCGTCCAGCACTGCCCCAATGATGTAGACGTGCTGTGGTGAGATCTCGTCGTGCTCGAGTCTCCCACGGATGCAAGGCGGCAACAGTGCGAGCAGATCGGGACAGTCGTACTTGCGGAGGAAGGCGACCAGTCGGATATACGCTTCCAAGTCGTCGTCGTTTAGAAGCACCCCGTTCTGGCCTATTGAATGCGTCGAAGCGAGTTGCAGGAATCGAGAGATGACAGGCGAGGTCTCGAAGTCGGGATCAACGAAGTACAGCTCCCGCCTAGCATCGCCAGCCAGGCATTCGGCATCACTGAATACCCCGCTGACCGAGAGAAGCAGATTCCAGGAAACCTTGAACTCGACCCCATCCGTTGCCACCAGGGTGAAGTCGCCTTTCGTCCATTCTCGCTGGGTGTCTGGAATAAGAGGTCTGGTCTTGAAGATGGTGAGAATGTCAAGATGATGTAAGTAAGATGTGAGCGAGAGTACAGAAAAGCGAGAGAACAACATTCCTCACGCAGTGAACACGTCGAGGAATGTTAGTTCGATCGGTTAGTCATCCCTCCAGTGGGATCGGCAGCTAGCGTTTCAGCTCGGGCTCGGCCGCTACTAAAGACTCGCCGAAAGCTTCGTCTCAAGATTATCGTTTCGTATTTCTTGCCTGGGCAAGGTATTGACACCAAAAGCGCATGCGAAGCAGCTCTGGGCTTGGCGTGACCGGAGGCACCTCTGACATGGCATCTGCCGAATCGGGCGCTCAAGTGATAACGCAAGGCAGAAACAAAGACGACGGCATCATATGGGTGTAGAACTTCGGTCACGATGCCTTTTCCACGGCTGCGAACAAGCTGTGGTCGAACACATACGCCGAGACCTGTGCTTATCTCTGGTAGTTATGCCCGAGCTACGAGCCCTCACCTCGGTGACCGACACCTGTTCAGCGAGTGACACCCATCGTGATCAGCGGATGCCGTTCCTTGGAGCGCGTCCCTGGATTCACTCCTCTAGCTGACCGTTTGGGGCCTTCTTTTACAGCTTCTCTGTCCCCTGCAGCTGACGAGGCCGCCGTGGGGTGCGGCCGGCCGTCAGCGGTCACCGGTTTGGTCATCGAGGGAGAGGAGAGAGGTAAGGTACAGTTCTGGCCCCAAGTTCATCGTGCATCGTAACTCTCACTCGGATTTTCATCGCTCGACTCATCGCTCGACTAATACAGAGGCGTTGAGGTCTCTATCCCTCAACAGATTCGCGAAGGTGAGCTTGCTGTTGAGTCAGCTCGAGTTAGCAGACCAGGCTTACCTGGGCGATAGACACATGACCCTTGAATGTCGCCTCGGCGCGGGTAGTCTTCTGCAAGGACACAGAAGTCTGCAAGAGAGCCCAGAAGTAAGGCCCAGGGATGTGACGGTACAGGTGATAGGAGAGCTTGCCCTCGGTGATGGAGCACTTGTCGCAGCCTTCAACATCGTCGATGTTGGCACAGAAGAGGAAGTCGCAGATGCCGGTGAGCTGCTTTTTGACGCGCTTCGCTGCGATCAGGGCCTTGAGAGTTTTCATGGGACCCGGGCAGTCGTACTTGGTGAGGAATTGATGAATGCAGACGACGCGCATAACGAGCTCGCCGTCACGAGTGTCAAGAGATCCGGTAAGGTCTGCCGGCAATTCCCAATCAGTGAAGAGTTTCAGGACGTCTCGCAGGACAGTCGAGGACTCGATGTTAGGGTCGGTGAAGTGAATCGGGGTGCTGGCCGCCGACTCGTCCATGTCACGGAAGACAACGCTGGGAACATCAGGCATCGACCGAGCACTGCTGGAACTCACCTGTTGGCTAGAAAGTAGTAAGGAGGAACCTTGAAGAGTACGTTGTCGGAAGAAATCAAGTGAAGTGACCCATCAGACCAGCTCTTATCGTTGTAGATGAGCTCCTCGGGCTGCTTAGGAGTCGACAGAACCAGAGGCTTTTCGTTATTGTCGGTCATCTTAACGGTGCTGATGGTGAGGATGAGAGAGCATCAGCACAGTGAGATGTCAGCGAGTCTCTGTATAGTTCAGCCATGCTTCCTGCTCTCCTCGTGCATCATAGTCAGACACGATCAGTGTGCCGCCACCCAGCCAACGCCATTTGTGTCCCAAGGTATATAAGCAGATGGAAGCCCCAGCCCTCAACCGCACCTGGCAGCGTCCAGTTCTCTTCGCTAGTATATCGGTTAGTATAATCGCCTCTCAAGAGAGAGACTCCTCCAAGGATCGCGATAGAGCAGGGTTCGACTCCCTGGCGGAGAATGCTTTTTGAACTCTGCGGACTGGAGAGAAATCGCGGTCGGAAGCCGGCGGTCGGATGGTTGTTGACAGCCCGGGCTGTCGAAGAAGTTTTTGGTCTGGATTCCTGATTATCGCGTGCTCAGGGACAGTCCCGTGTGTAAACCCTGAGTGGCAAATTTGGTTCCGTACTCGAGTCACGTGCCGGCGAGATTTCTGACGTTCGCCGGTCTTCACGAAGTTGTCAGAGCGATCGGGGAGCAAAGGGCTGCACCACTACACAAACGATGAGACTCGACGCGACAGACTTGCGATACATTACACCGGACGAGTTCCGCGTGCTTTCAGCTGTGGGTTGACGCTTGGCTGCTTGCAACTGACTCTTTCAGACTGAGGTCGGCTCGAAGAACCATGAGGTTGTTCCTACTCCCCTGATCGCGCAGCTGTCCGGCATCACCGGCGGACAAGTGAACAAGCTGCTTGGAGGTCTTGCAAAGCGGAACCTTGTTGCCCGTGTGCAGGGAGCCAAGTATGACGGATACCGCCTGACTTACGGTGGTCTCGACTACCTCGCTCTCCGCACCTTTGTGAAGCGCAAGCCGCCTTCGGTCAGTGCGGTCGGACAGAAGATTGGTGTTGGAAAGGAGTCGGACATCTACATTGTTCAGGGAGAGACGGCAGAGGAGGCTACTGAGAAGCGTGTTCTGAAGCTCCAGCGGTAAGTCCGGAAGTTCACTGCTGAGTGTGGTGACATGGTAGCTGACCTGCAGACTCGGACGTATCTCGTTCCGTTCGATCAAGCACAAGCGTGACTACCTCGGCAAGCGTGCGTCTGCCTCGTGGATGTACATGTCTCGCCTTGCTGCGCAGAAGGAGTTTGCATTCATGAAGGTCCTGTACGACCACGGTTTCCCTGTCCCCACGCCAATCGACCAGGCGCGCCACTGTATCGTCATGAGCTACGTCGACTCGCGCCCGATGCGTGCCGTGCACAGTGTGCCGGACGTTGCCGGACTGTACGGACAGCTGATGGAGATGATTATGCGTTTTGCGCGAGCGGGTCTGATCCACGGTGACTTCAACGAGTTCAACATCCTCATCAAGCGCAAGACATACGAGCCGATCGTCATCGACTTCCCCCAGATGGTTTCGACGAGACACGAGAACGCAGAGTACTTCTTCACGCGCGACGTCAACTGCATCCGGAAATTCTTCCGCAAGCGCTTCCGATTCGAGGGCGAGAGCTGGCCTGTCTGGGCTGATGTGCTCGAGGAGGAGAAGGCTGCGGACGAGGCGGAGAAGAAATTGGCGCAGGCTAACGCTGAGACATCGGCTGAGGGAGAGGTTCAGGCGGACGCTACGGAGGGAGAGGGCTCTAAAGCCGTGACGGAACCGGAGGCCGAGGGATCTGACGAGGAGGAGCAGCCTGTTCGGTTGCGGCTAGACCTCGAGGTCGAGGCCAGTGGGTTCGGAAGGGCGATGCAGAGGGAGTTGGAAGACGTGAGTTCGGGTGTTTCTCTTGGCGTGCGTTGCAACGAGCTAACCGGAACAGTACATGGTGGACGTCGGAGAGATGCCCAACGCGGAACAAATTGCCGCAGGCAGCGGATCCGAGGACGAGGACAGCGAGGACGACGAGGAAGAGGAAGAGTACGAGAGCGACGAGGAGGAGAGTGAGGAGGAGGACGAGGGAGAGGAGCAGGAGGGCGAGCCGACTGAGACAAACCCTGAGGACGCTGAGGCTGCTGCCGCTGCTCGCCTCGAGAAGCTTCGCATTCATCGCGCCCTTGGAAACGACGGCGATCCGGACGACCCTGAGCCTGAGCCTGAGCCGCTTTGGTCTGAGGAGGAAGAGGAGGAGTCTGACTCTGATGCTGACTCTGACGACTCGACTGGTGTTGCGCAGTCCGACTACACGCAGTACGTTCGTGCTCCTCGCCAACGACCGGCACGCATGAACGTCTCAAAGCTGGGACGGGTGGACGAGCTTAAGGCGACGGTGGCGAACGATCTGGAGCGACAGCGAAGATCGCAGGCCAGGGGTAGCAGCACCAAGGCCAAGGTCGGAAACCAGAAGGGTCACAAGTGGAAGACGAACGCCAAGCACGTCGCAAAGGGCGCAGCTGCGGCTGGTACCTGGTGATCGAGTGCACTGGTGAGGAACGCGGCTCAACTCTGGGCGCTTTGTGTGTACACCATTGTGTAGATGTACGCATTCAATTGGGACAGTGGGACGGTCGCTCTGCGTCGCTCGACAGCACGGACTGACGATCTCTACTGATTAGCACGGCACTAGCAGGGAAGACATGGAATGTGACGCGCGCGCCGTGTACCAACACACTCACGGCTCCCGGCGCCGTACGGACCGATGCTCGCCGCAGCGATCGCCCAAGCCACGGGGCCAACTGGGCCACCGCGAAAGGAGCGCAACCATCCAGTGATCCTCGCCATCCGCTCTCGTCTTCACCCCATCTCCCATACCCCTTGCTTCCCTCCTGCTCACCTTACCTTCTAACCGTCTCCCTCATTGCTCGCTTACATCACGACTCTTTAATCCTCAAGTCAACCGCTATTCCTGCACTCGATATCTCACATTGCTTTCAACTGCACAGCTCTGCAATCGCACTGCTATACAACCTTCCTCGTTAATATGAGCGTCCAGACAACTTCAACCGACCACAGTGGTCAGTCCACACACGTGAGTAACCCTCACCGTGCCTTCCCCCGACGTCCTGCCCACTGAACCAATCCCTGACGAGAGCAGCGCGACGCACACAGCAGCCCCACCGACTCCATCAACATCCACTGGCAATCGAGTACCGAGCAGTGGAAGAGCACCGTCTCGTTCGACCCCTGGCAACCAAACCCTTTCGATCCAGTCGTCGACCAACGGGCTTCCAACGCTCTTAGCTTCGGTGCTCCTCACCCTAGCCTCAAAGGTACCTCGATCTCGTTCTCGGCCAAGGCGACAGAGGTCGATCGCTATTCCCTCTCCCGCGGCCCCCGCGCTGCCATGCTGGAGCAAGAGCGCAGCATTCGCGCAGCCCTCTGCGGCCTTCCCTACCCTTCTCATGATGCGAACCGCGCATACCCCTTCAAGCCTGCGCACGGCGCGCAAGGAGACCGTGAGCACCCTATGCCCATTGGCCACGGTTCCATCTGGGCTCCGAAGGAGGAAGACGGAGTGAACATTCGCTCCCGCTCCCCGTTCTTAACTCAAGCCGAGCTGTCTCACTTGCCACCCAAGCCCTGCGACCCTCCTCCCTCGTATGTCGACAAGGCTCAGGCACAGGAATGGCCAGCTCTCGGCGAGACCAAGTCCATGCCTCTCTCCAAGTGGCCCGCCACCAGCTGTGACACCTCGGCGCCATCCAAGACTGCCACTCGGTACAGCGACGTTGCCACCGATGCACCACCCACTGAGAACAAGTCGCACGACACTATCCGCGTCAACAAGTGGGGCAATCTGGGCAAAGCGGCTGACACTGGCAAGTCCAAGGTCGTCGCCCCCAAGCCCGTCCGCGTGAGCATGGGATCGAAGAGGTCCCACAGCCAAGCCAACAACGTTTAGGATGCTTCTGGCTCGCGCCGGACCTCAACTGTCTCCAAGAGCTCCTCCACCCTCGAGCCGCCTTCTGCCTCGGGCGACCGCAAGCTGAGCATTGCCTCCACGGCCAGCACTTCATCCAGCGACAAGTGCTCCAAAGCCCGAAGCGGCCAGCGACAGCCGTCGGACAGCAGCAACCCCGACGCCTGCGACCCCCCTTCCACATCACACGAGCCTCGCCCGGCGCCGGACGCTTTCGACGCCTTCCACCTCGTTGCCACTGGCGATGCCGGGGCGCTGTCGCGGTCCAAGACCGACCACATCCTCAAGTCTGCACGCATCCACGCCGACCTCAACCTTGCTTATGCCACCATGCTCGGTAACCACCTGACCCTCCGAAAAATGGCTCAAGAGCGACTCGACAAGAACGAGTCTTGTGAAGAGTGAGTCCTTCCCCATCCTACTCCAGCTGAGCTAACATGCAGCCTTGAGTTCCTCCTCCAGGCCGGAGCCGACCAGCTCGACTCGCTCCAGGCAAACCTTGAACTTGTGAACCGCATTCGTGACGGCGAGGTTCAGGCCGCCCTGGGCCAGTTTGAGTAGACCACCACCAACACGACGGACTTCTACGGCCAAAACTTACTCTACACTGATAGTAAAGAAACATGTATCGCTCCTTCATAGATTTTGTAGCACCATAGACCATTGGACCATATGCATGGCAGTCACTTGTCACGGATCTGCTGTCAGCATTAGAGGGGCGACGTCGTCGGGGAGAGTAAAGGCCCCGAGGTCGAGGGAAGGGTAACTGGGAGGCACTCAGGACGGTGGCAACGAGTGCGAGGCACTCCGCCCTCGGAGAGTCGTCAACTCGGTCAGTTGCTAAGGAGAGTGAGTGGTCAGTCTCAGTTAGAACACAGACGGGATCAGTACAAGGCGGGCAGATGTGCAAAGGTGCTCAGAAGAGGCTGCAGGCAGAAACAAAATGCACACGATATGATGTCTAAGATACAAGTCTATGATGAGACGTACGTCCTCAGACGGCCGTAATGAATCAACCAGTTGACCCACGACGAAGCCGTTGATTAAGTGCGGGGGTGTGGATTATTGGAGATTTGGGTTGTTGGGGTGTGGTCGTGAGAATTGATGTGGCGTGGCAAGTGTGTGGTGTGTGCAATTGCAATTAGACTTTCAAAGGAGAAAAAGATGATGACACTTGTAGTAGGAGAGAGAGAAAGGAAAGATTTTACAACTGCGACCCGCTTTAGGCCTTGTTGTGGGCGAGGTCCTCGGAGGATCCGGCAGCCGTGTTGGGGACGGTGTCGTCGGCCGAGTCGTAGACGTGCTTCTCGCCCGTGGCGGGGGGAAGCGAGGTGTCGACGCCGTTCTCGACGTCCTTGCCCGTGTTGCGGTTGTTGTGGAGGTCGTAGCGGTCGGTCATGACCTCGATCTGGTGGTCGGTGAGCTTGGGGAGCTCCTTGGCGACGACGGTGGGGCGGCGGCCGACGGCGTGCGAGTGCGCGTACAGGACGTCAAACTCCTCGAGCGAGCGGCCAGACGTCTCGGGGTAGAAGAAGTAGATGAAGGGGAGGAAGATGACGTTGGCCATGGCGAAGAGGAAGAAGGTCCACGAGTTGATCGAGGCGGTCATCGTCGGCAGGACCTGGACGACGAGGAAGTTGCAGATCCAGTTGGTCATGGTCGAGACAGCGTTGGCGTGGGTACGGACGGGCATCGAGTTGAGCTCGGCGGGGTACAGCCAGGGAAGGGGGAGCCAGGTGGCACCGAAGAAGGCGATGAAGAGGAAGAGTCCAACAGCGGCACCCTTGGCGTTCTCGGGACCACCGGCGAGGAGACACGCCCAGGTGATGAACATGGAGCCGGCCTGGCCGAAGGTACCGATGAAGAAGAGCTTGCGGCGACCAACCTTCTCGACGAGCAGGAAGGACATGAGGGCAAAGATCATGTAGACGACCGAGAGAACACCACCGAGAATGAGCGGGAGCTGGCCCTCGAGACCGATCTGGTTGCGGAACAGAATAGTCGAGTAGTAGATGACAGCGTTGCAGCCTCCGATCTGCTGGAAGAGCTGGGTCGAGGCACCGACAAGCATACGGGTCATGTTCTGGTTCTTGCCCTGGATGAAGAGGGCGCGGGCGCCGGTCGACATGTTCTCCTGGGCCTCGAGCGAGTGGGCGAGGCGGGTCTTGGCCTCAACGGCGACCTCGTCGTCGGTGGTGCGGTTCTCGAGAGCGGCAAGGACACGAGTGGCCTCAGCGTCGTAGCCGTGGCGGAGGAGCCAACGGGGCGACTCGGGAAGAACAAGAACACCGCCCATGAGGATGAGGGCGAAGAAGATCTGGAACGCAATGGGGAAACGCCACGAGACCGAGGTGTCAACGTACGAGAGACCGAAGTCGAGCCAGTACGCAATGACGGTTCCGACGGCGACGGTCGAGGCCTCCATACAGATGAGGAAACCACGGTTGTGCGCCTTGGACGTCTCGGCAATCCACGAGGGGACAGTAGCAGTGTTGGCACCGTTTCCGAGACCAGTGACGACACGGCCGATGATGAACTGGACGAAACCGCCGACGTTGCCGCGGCCAGAGCTGTCGCCAGGACCGAAGGCAGTAACCGTGATGATAGTACCGATAATCATAATGAGACCACCGAGGAGCATCATGCGGCGACGGCCCATGCGCTCACCGATGATGAAGGCGCCCATGGCACCGAAGAAACAGCCGACCTCATAGACGGCAGTGACAGTACCCTGGATGGTACCGCCGTGAACGTCGTCGACGGCGTGCTGCTTGGTGGCAGGGAACTCGCGGTTGAACTGCTCAGCACCGATGATACCGGACATGAGGCCCTGGTCTGATCCGTCAGCATTGGCTGTCCTTCATTTTTCGAATTTTTCCGGCATTCCGGCGGCGGCAAGTTACCCGCGAGCAAGCGAGGTGGTAAATGAGATCTGGTGACATCCCGCGGCGGTGGAGGGGCAGAGGAATTGTTGTGATGAAAAGGATGAAAAGTGGAGGCCGCCGTCATGGGAGCCATTGAGGCTCAGGAACCTGATCGCCGGCCATTCCACCGGCGGGCCTAACCGGCCCCCATTGACGCTGAAGCGCAGTGAAAACAAATGGAGCATGTGCTGCCACCTGCCTCACACGAAAGCTTGCTGCGAAAACAGGAACCTAGCTGACATAGCCGAATGCCGTAGTCATGACAATTGCCATGGCCATGGAAAATGTGCACAACAAAGAGCTCGCCGTACATCCGACAAGCTCGATGACGCGCTACTCGGCGATCTCCCCAGCGTTCCTTTGCGAGTTTCTGCGGCATGCTCTGAACGACCAGCCAAGGCCGGTCTCGGCACCCCGCTCCACAAAGGAACATCTGGCCCATGCAGTCCAGATCGCCATCGTCCTTTGGTGAAAGCTTGCTCTCGACGTCACACATGGGTGACCGAGAGCCCGCTCCACATGACCAAGCTCATGTTTACGGCTCGCCTAAGGCTCGCCGAGCCGGCGAGAATGACGATTCCCAGAAAGAACCATATGCAGGCCACTAAACTCCGAGGCGATCGTGGCGTCCGCAAATGAATCAATGGCCAAGGGGCCGGGATCGATGGAAATGCAATAGGGGAGTGGGGGAAAGATTGAATGCTCGCGGAAAACTCTGCCGGAGCAACAACGATCCTTGGGATCGCTGACTGCTGGCCGGTAGCGTAGAGGAAAAGACACTCACCGTAACCGAAGAGGGCGAAACCGACGGTACCAGTGGCAACGACGGCGGCCAGGAGGGCGTTGCCCGTCAGGCCGGCATAGCTGGGAACGCCGCCCTGCGAGAGCTTGGCGATCGACTTCTCGTTGTTCTGATTGATCATCATCTTGGGCGATGAGGAGAACGGGGGGGTCGAGAAGGGGAAGAGGGAGTGGAAGGGAGGTTGTTGTCGTCTGACTCTGGAGCTAGTGTCGAGGCTCGAGTTCGTTAGGTCGTGCGATGAGAGTGTGGGGTGCGATCGACCGAGTCAAGAAAGATAGACGGGAAACAAAGAGCAAGAACCGACTGCGCTCCTCTTTATATGTTTAGAGCACTCTTGTTTGCTCGCTGACACGGCAAGGCGGTAGGACTGGGTAGCCTGTTTTTGCTCTCTGACGAGCCGCCTTGTTTGACGGCTTGGCTCGGGTCTACCCCGCCCCCAGATGCTTACTGATTGCGGAGAGGAGGGGCAAGAGGGTCCAGGGAAGCGGGGGGCAGAGTTTGGAAAGGGGTCTAAACGCTGACGGAGGGCGGCACGCCGGTACGGCGCCGGCACGCCGGAGAGCTTGATAGTCCTTGGGTCCGCCACCAGTGACCGCGCCAAGTGCGTTCGTGCTAAACTAACGCATGGGATTGCTGCGTGTGGTTTCCTGGTGTGTCCTGTCTTTGATCCAGGGGACAAACCTTGGTCAAGGGTGGCCGAGGAGTCATGGCAAGAGTGCCGATTCGATCCAGGGTTCGGCAAGATATCGCGCAGACTATCCCTGATGACACGCAGTGGCTTGGATGGCAAGGGTGGAATGGGTAAGTGGCTTGGAAGTCTCCCCTGGGTCCTACCGATTGCAGCGACGGCGTGCTGAGGCTGACACTGACACACGACACAAGCAGCAGCAGCTATCCAGGACCAAGGAACTAGGGCGATAAAACCGAGAGCCGGTGAGTGAGTGAGAGCGTGAGTAAGCGTTCTCTCCCCTAGGTGCCTTGCGATTCCTGGCCTGCGGAAGAGCCAAGAACAGGTGGACTGCGGTGGAGAGGGCGTGACTGGTGTGGTTGCAACTGGTTTGCGGCTCTGCTAAAAATTTGCCGGCGGCAAAACTGGTGACATCGAATGAGACAGGTACAAGGCAGGTGGGACCATGTGCTTGCGAGGGCCCTAGAATCCATTTCCTCTGCCCGTCCGCCTGACGAGCGTGTCCCTGGACTCGGAGCATTGACGTCATCCCCTCTAGCGACGCTCAGCCAAACGCCCTCCACGGCTTCCACGGCGACTCTGGATAGCAACGGCGTCTCGCTCTTCCCACTTTCCACATTCCGTCCACTCCCACCTCCGAGAGTGTGAAATAACACGCCCCTCGCTATCTTGGCTGGCCGGTATGATTCCGATGCAAAGCCGCACAGCGCGCACAGCGCTTGCACTGCTGCAGCACAGGCTGACACCGCTGCGAGACACCCTCGGCTCGTCGCTCGTCCAGCCGCTGATCACCGCTGCTTAGATAAGACACAATCCGCATACTGGCACGCATAGCGTGCCCATCAATCAGAGCGCGTCCATGCTGCGGCAAGCGCCGAGCTCCGCCGCACGCCGCTGCTCGGTACACACTCCGTGCTGTCCGCTGGGAACCTCCGCTGCGAGTCAGCCACAGCGTCAGCGGTGCACGCCGTGCCGGCGCCGTGAGATCAGGCGTCAGCCACGCGCCCCTAGTCAGCGGTGGCCACTCGCCGCAGGCAGAGTGGCGGAGCAACGTCCAATGGCCGGGAATGCATTACCGTGTGCTGGAACTGAAACGAGGTGTGAAAAAAGGGTACCGGCCGTTGCTGGAGCCGTTGTACAGCTTATCCCAAACATGAAGGCAGCCCGTCCCACAAGGAATTTCCACGGATAATCGCTCCGCCATGCCACCGACAGGCACGTGTCCGACCTAAGGGTTTACAACGGCGCAGACCCCGGTGATAAGAACAGAACGGCGACTTCCACAAAAAGACCTCTTAACATTTCAAAAAAAAATTACTACCTACCCGTACGCCCGTTTAGCTTCGAGCATCAGCGATGTTATTCGTGCGTCTCGTACGAGGAGCCGCGGGGCGTGCGGAGTGCCGAGACGCGGACAGTGCAGGTGATAGTCCGCAGCCTCCTCGCCTCTTTGCCTGTGCGGCATCTCACTGGCCGCCGGCAGGTCGGGCTCGACGTGCTAACTTGTCCGCGTCGCGGGGAGCGGGCCGGTCACGCCTTCGGTGGCCAACGAGAGCGCTGGGCTGGTTCGCCTGTTCCGTCGCTTCCGGCGCCCCCGGTCCACGGTGCGGGCTGCTCGCTCGCGCTGCACCGCTCGCGCACCGCTCCCCACCCTCCGCGGCTGTCGCCGAATGCTATAACGGGAAGCCGAGCGCGAGCCAGCGCGAGCAGAGCGAACCAGTGCGAGTCAAGGGTACGGGGGCGACTAGGGGTTCGAGGTGCGCCACGCTATCGGTTCTGGGACATCCATCGTCAGCGGCGTCCCCAGGCGTTGGCTGCAGCGTCAGCGTCAATGACGAGACATCCGGTCGGTCCTTGTGTTGACCAAAATCTACGTCCTGAACAGGCCCCGTGCATCGGACGTTGGACCGGACACGGACTGGTCAAAAGATGTAGAGGTACGGAGGTACGCCTCGCACGGCCCAAGGTACGACGGGGCATGAGGGGGGCACGCGCCGGGCACGGCGACCGCAACCCTAATCAGACGCAGACGCACTCGTGATTGCTGCTTTGTTCCGGAGGAGCCGGGGGATGGGCCGAGAGATCCGAAGATGCCGCAGGCCGCAGGCACAGCTGACCGCCGCTCACGCTGGTGCAAGCTCGCGTATCGGTGCCTCCCGCAGCGACGAGCGAGTTTGGGTCCCAACACACGAACACACGGACACTCTTGTCACGGCATTCGGCCCGGCGCACCGGCAATTCCAAGCCACACCTGAAGCCCAAACCTGTCCAAAGCTGTCCCAAAGCGAGCACAGAGACGGGCCAAGCTGGCCAAGCCTGTACATACCATTGCAAGAGCCAAAGTTGGGTTTCTGGTTGCCTTGGCCCTCCCTGCTGATTACGTTGTGCCCTTCGCTTCCCCCTGGGTCACTTTCAGGAGGGCGAGCGAGCCCTGGACACTCGGCACCCCAACGCACCGCCCTTGCCGATTGTCCTATCAGCGCGCCCTCTGTGCCGGTCCCGCTGAGCTTGTTCTCAACTGGGTGTTTGCATGGGTTCAGCTGAGCGCTCAGCTGAGCTTGGCAGTACTCGCAAGTGACACCCACTCGAGCCCAGGACAGGGACAGCGCACATGTGAGCAGTCTAATCGTTTCGCTTACCCCTGGCATGTCCTGAGCTGGAGCACAGCCAGCACAGCACAGCCAGCACAGGCGAGTGCTTGCGCACTACCGCAGCATCTACCCAGGAGCTCAGGAGCTCGCTCGATGCTGCGATCACGCCCCCCTCATGCACCCCCTCATGCCCAGGGTACGAGCACGAAGCCGCATTCGACACCTATGCACGTGATATATTCCCCTGGCCAGGAACGGGTTCCAAGGACCTCATTCTCCTATCTACCCTCTACCCTATACCCTGCTCGCCTTGAGCCCCTGCTCGAGCCGCAAAACTACGCGTTTACCGAGCTCTGTATCAACGTAGAGTTTCCCAATGCGACGTCGCAGTCAGGTCGCCCGGGGGTGAAGGGGGGGCCTCGAGGGCTCGCTGGGGATGATGAGAGTGACACTGAGACTTTCGTGGGGGCCTTGTCAAAGGACGCTAGATGGGCAGCATACGCTGTCGTTCAGCTAGAGGACAGGAATAGCCCAGAGGATCAAGAGGTGGTCGCATGACCTGGGGAAGAGATGGGGTTGACCCTCTCCTCCCCGATCCCGAGGGCAGTCCGTGCCACCTCCTGCGGAACGGTGGGCGGTGGTAGTCGGCGGACTACTTGTGGACCTGATCACTTGGACGGAGCATCGGAGTTACTCGTCCCAGTTGCCCCATCCAGCGGACACCGTCGTGTTGGGAATGAGCATCTGGTCCGCCGGCACTCAGGAACGGTAGCAGCAGCGGGGGTGGAAAGGCAGAGGAAGCTGACCCGATTCTCGGAAATTTGAGTTAGATCTCACAGCCAACTCCGCCGCCACTCGGATGCTCCGCCTGTGGACGCCAGTGGGGAGGACGAAGACGTGCCTGACAGACCTAATGCTGCGCCTCGTTTCCAATTGTCGCCTGCACAATCTCGGCAGATTCATGTTTGAGAGGACATTCAAGCCTGGGGTGGAGGTTCACGACCAGGTACGCGGTTGATCGAGTGGCACTGACGCCGCCGACGCCGCGACACGCGAGTGTTGAAGAGGAGGCGCAAGTGCGTGCGTGTGCTCGAGGTGTAAGCGAGACAAGACTTTGGAGCCTCTGGAGTTCCATGGGGCGCGCCGATCGTAGTGAGGTCGGAGGAGGAGGGGGAGGCACGCGTTAGGCTACCCAGCAAGATTGGGAAGGGTGCAAGTCCTTGCCTAGACGATACGCTAGCAAGACCGAGGAGTGCGCACCCTGCTGCCAGAGGTGGATCTGAGATTGCGTTCCTCGCGCTCCTCGCCGTCCCGTCCAACAAGCAGACAGATAGAGTGGGCTCATCAGCGGGGCAGCCTGTGGGACATGCGGGAGGGACGTGTGGGGCATCGATCCCGGAGGAGTCTTTCCTTGGCTCACTTTCCGCAGTCTGCCATCCTGGATAGCTTTCCTGTTCACTTCCGCAGTCGCCGTCTATCGCCTGCTTCAATGCAGCCAGCAGCTGCCTGGCGTTTTGAATTCAAACCCCCTCGTTTTGCAACTGCTGCCGATTGCACGATGGTCGCTTTGGGTTGCATCCATGCCGGTGCCACCCGCACAGCCAGTCAGAATCAGCACCGCCAACGTGACAGAGGAGACAGGCACGATGACTTAGCCCGTCCGGCCGCCTTGTCCTGCGGCGCTCTGAGGCGGCATGCCTCCGACGCTGCGATGCGCCCTCAAGCCCCGGCAGCGCCGCTGGGAGGTCTGGGGGTCCGCGTTGCTGCGGACCCTCCGTGTCGCGAGCGTTGCGAGATCGGGAATCCGACACTCGCGAGATCGCAACAACAGGCGAGGCGAGGCACGGCGCTAGTCAGCGGGCGAGGGCTCGGGCTGGGCTCAACTGATGTGATCAGTAGATGCATGCTGTGCGAGGCGGCGCTGCAGGCGCCAAGCGCCAGAGGTTGAAGCAGCTGGGGTCGGTATCGACACAGTCGTAAGATTAGGAACGGGCGTTGTTGCAGTGGGCGACCCCCGCTGACCCCCGTTCGGGGTACGGGGTGATCAGCTGTTCGCGTTACCATCTGGCATGGCCTGCTGGAAGCGCTCGGAATCCGGCGCCAAGCTCACGTTAGCCCATGTGGGCGCCCATGTGAGCCCTTGTGGGTTTCCGGCCCTGGTGATTGTGTCGTATCGTGACAGTCCCTAACTTGATATCGAACCCTGCCGTTCCGGCACCCTCGCGTCCGAGAGTTACGACCAGTTGCAGCAGCACATCGCGCTGCTCCGATCCCCACCCGGATACTCGTGAGTGGGCGTTACCCGACTAAGTTTATGGATTGATCAGCTGAGCGTTCCTCGCGACACCACCAGCACGTCGATTTGTCCAACGTGCAACCTTCGCGGCGCGTGAGAGAAGGGGCCACCTTCTGGATGTCAACACAGCCAGCGGCGGGCACGAGTGGCAACTTCCCGCGCCATTTACAGCTCCCAGGCAGCCTTCAGTACTTCCCAGTGCACAAGCGTGCACAAGCGGGGACCAACAGTTCCCCAGCTACTCGATTACGTCCCCCGTGTGCCCGCCGCCGCGCAGTCGATCCGCTTGGCCCCGCATCGCCGACTGCGCAGCCTGTTGCCCCATGCCTGCCTCGGCGGCTCCACCATTGATCTCGGCATCGGCATCGCTTCTCACGACTAACAGGTGTTCGGCCGCGCCCCCCTCGTCCGGATGAAATCACCCCACGCCCCGCCACACCCCGCGCGGGGGCGGGCGATGCGATGCGTGTGCCTGTGAATGACCGCCCCAGTGTGGGATTCTGTGGGACTACGGGGCCCTAAGGACCTGCCTTCGGTTCCGCCACTGTCGCACGCTTCCACTCCACAAGCGCTAGCGTGCTGCCGATCCATGTGATCTGCTAGAGGCTGGCGTGATGGCGCGCCAGTTCTCAGCTCTGGTCTACTTTCGGCTTGGAGGATATCTTCCACGCGCAGTTTAGCAGTGTGCCACACCGTCTGTGCAAGAGGGGAGGGGCCGCCCAAGTGACCCGTGCCTGCACTAGCTGGCACTGTCTGCCCAGGTGTACACCATGTGATGTGTGACTGGTCGTCACGGCGAGTAGCGTCGGCGTGGCGGAGTGGCGCCGAGCCTGACCTGGCTTTCGGTATTCACACCTCCGCCCCAACTGATAAGGACGGCACACTAGGCAGGTCAAGTGATCCTCGGTCCGAACTCCGCGCTCCGTGCTCCGTGAGCTCCGCACCTCAGATCTTGGTTTGCGTTATGATTTGCACCGAGCACGCCGACGCGGGATGCTGCGACCATCGCGGCCAAGCGATCTTGGTTGTCTCGGGTGCCTGCGCTCACAGCACAGCCGATCTCTGGGGCTCAAGTCTGGGATTAGAATTTTTCAGGACGGCACAGGTCGTGTGTCAGTTGTTCATCGAGTCAGTAGTTGTGACAGCACTGCAAGGTCTGATCGCGCCCTAGCGTGACCGCCCCAAAGTTGCTAGTATACACATGGCGGCTAGCATCTGAGGCTATGCGATAATTTACAACATTACTCGTCGTCTGAGACCTCAATAACCCGGCGCGAGCGGCGATGAACGGGCTGGCTCGAGTCAGCGCGCTCAGCGCGTTCTTCCCCTCCTCTGCTGCAGTCAGCACACGTCTCATGGAACCTCCTGCCGTGCTGTACTCACCCAAACCTGGCGGCGCGGCGCGCACGAAGCTCATCCACTGACGGCTCATCCACGATCTGCACGTCGTCCTCATCTGAATCGTTGCGGCGGGCCGAGCGACCTCCGCTACGATCGCGGCGGTGGCGCTTGCGCTCGACGCGCTCCTCGATCTCGTCCTCTGAGTTCTCTCCGATTCCGGCAACGCTGACCTCACTCTCGCTGCCGCGGTCAATCTCCTCACCCGCTTCACCGTCGGTGTCGTCGATGAAGGAGGATTCGTAACCCTCATCACCGGCAGCCTCTAGATCCTCGTCATCGGGGTAAAGATCGCGACGCGGGTACAGCGTCGGTGTGCTGGTCGGTGTGGGCGAAGAATCAGAGCTTCCCCGGCTCCTGTCACTACCAGAGTCGGAATCGTAGCTTCCCTCTTCCTCGGATGCCTCATCGGCGAGAAGGTCCAACGTGTTCAGCAGGTGGCTGGCATGCACGCTGTCATCGTCGCTGTCGCGAGCGGGTCGGCGGCCGGGGAGAGCAGTGCGAATGACCGGTCGGTACACCTCGGGCTCGATGTCGCTCTCGCCGCCAGACATGTCGTCGTCCTCGTCCTCATCGTCCTCATCATCCGAGTCGCTGGAGTCGTCCGCGTCGCTGAACTGGGCGTGACAACCCTGACATTCCCCGGAAGCGACCTCGCACCCACACTTGGGACATCTCCAGACACCGTCGGCGTCGTCCCAGGAAACGTAGCTCGTAGTGTCTGGCGGGAAAGTTTTCGCCCACAGATCCGTCTCACTCTTAGCGACAGCAGGAGCCCCTGCGACCTTGTTGGCAGCTGGAGACGACTTGGTGCGCGTCAGACCAATTGACTCGGCAATGTAACCGACAGCAAACACTCGCACGGGACGAATGTAGACGTTCTCTCTGCAGAGGTGGCACTGCTTCGTTCGGTACGTCAGGTCGTCCTCGGGCTCAACGTTCTCAATGTCGGGTGCAGGGTAAGCAGTCGGAGATCGGAACCATTGCAAGAGACAAGTGCGGCAAGCAGTATGACCACACTGCAGTCTAAATGTCAGCGTTGCTCGGAGTGTGTGTACTCACGCGTGAGGCTCGTCGATGACGTCCATGCAGATTCCACACGTAAGAGCCTCCCTGACGGCGCTGCGGTGCTCGTCCATGGATGCGAGAAGCTGTGGTCAGCGTCGGCACCCACCAAAAACCCACCTTGTTTGTGTTATCAATTGTAGTCGTCTTCGTCTCCAGCTGAGCGGCTTGCTCGGCGACCGTCTTCTCGAGCTCTGCGATCTTCTTCTGCAGCTCCGCCTGCGCAGCATCCGCGGCAGCCTGAGCTTCCTGGAAGCGCGCTTGCAGCTCACGCAGCTCATGCTTCGTCTTCTTCTTCTTGGGCTCGGGAGATGCCGAGTGCTCAGAATCTTTCTTACTCTTCTTGCTCCTCTCCTGCTCAATGCCCACGACGGCGGCTTCCGAGGTGGAGGCTGGCATAGCAGGCTGAGTGAAGCTTCCTCCAGGTTCGACAGACCCAGACTCGGCTTCGGCAGTTTCAGCAACCGCAGCTTCTTGATCTAGGATTTCGTCTCCCTTCGCCTTCTTGCTGCTGCTGCTGCTGCTGCTGGCTTCCGCGTTCAGGTCCTGGCCCTTAGTCTTGCGGCGCTTTCGACTCGGTTTGCCATCGTCCTGGATCGAATGATTCGACTTGTCATCTGATGCTGGTTTATCGCGGGAGTAGGGAGCAGGGTGTTTCTTTGCCGCCTCCTTTTGAGCTGCCCTGCCCTTTCCGGCCTTGGGCATGACGTTTGACGAGCGCTGAGTCGGTGGACGATGCAATTCGAAGATTATCGAGCTGCACGATGTACACAGTCACTTCCAGGCACGGTTATAATCGCGTCCAACCGCGTATCACAGCCCACGTCATAATCAGATTTGCCACCGCACGTGGCCTTGCAAAAGTTGCAGCAAGACTTCGATCTGCATGCCTGCCCCCTGCAGCGGTGACATCTAGCACCACCGATTGCATCTCATCACACTACAACCTACACACGCTCAACACACCTAGACACACCAATATGGCTCACAAATCACATCGTCAAAAGGCGCTCCAGGCGCAGCTCGAGGCGCCCCAGGAGATCTCGGTCGTCAAGCCCAAGGCCCCGAAGGTCTCCAAGGTCGAGTCCGGAATGGACATCGACGACGACGCGGTCGACATCAACCAGTCCGGCGGTGCTCAGGCTTCGACTTCGAGCTCTGGATTTGCTCCTCTGAGTGCTGCTGAGCAGAGCAGCGTCATCAAGGGAGAGTTCCGTCGCGTTCCCATCCCCCCGCATCGCATGACCCCTCTCAAGCGGGAATGGGTCAATCTCTACACCCCGATGGTCGCGATGCTCGGCCTCCAGGTCAGGATGAACGTTAAGAGGAGAGCTGTGGAGATCAAGGTGATTGAAGATTTGCCCGTGGTGTTGCTAACCTGCAGAGCTCCGGACACACTGTCGACTCGGGAGCTGTTCAGAAGGGTGCCGACTTCGTCAAGGCTTTCGCTCTCGGGTTTGACGTCAACGTATGTTTCTTGAGAGGTTGGGAGGACTGGTGCTGACAAGCAGGATGCGATTGCTCTCCTTCGATTGGACGATCTGTACATTGACTCGTTCGAGATCAAGGACGTCAAGACGCTTCACGGTGACCACCTTGCTCGTGCCATCGGTGAGTGTTGTGCAGGCCATGGAAGCTTGCGAGGAACGTGACATGTGCCCGCCGTGGACACCTCTGTTATTGAGAGCATGTATTCCTCGTTGACAGAGGCTTAAGATCTTCACGGGGATATCCTCTATTGCTTTCTGCCCGGCTGTACTTCGAATTGTGCCGTTGTCTAACTTCAGGTCGTATTGCCGGTGAGGGCGGTAAGGTCAAGTTCACCATCGAGAACGCGAGCCGAACACGAATTGTTCTTGCCGACACGTAAGTTGATGTACCTGCTGCCAGCTGACCGTCTCAGCCAGATCCACATCCTCGGCTCCGTCCAGAACATCAAGATTGCGCGTGACGCGATCGTCTCGCTCATTCTCGGATCGCCGCCAGGCAAGGTCTACGCCCACCTGAAGACTGTTGGCGCCAGGATGAAGCAGCGATTCTAATTGTACGACGGAGGAGAAGGTATTCAAGGGATCATTGTTGTGCATGATATACCCAGTGTTCGGTTTCCGCATATCTTATGCATAGATTTCATAGGACAGAAAGAGGGAGACGAGATGGGTGAACCAAACAAACTAACTGTCGAACACTCACCGCCGTATCAACACCTCCACATTGGCCGCATTAACAACGTGTGAACGTGGCTTTCCGGCGAACCGAAGTCAACGCGCAGGGGTTCCACCATGCAGATCTTCCATGCGCAGAAAGAGGCTCAACAACCCGCTACGCTGACTTACTGGCCGCATAACTCGCCTCCAGCAGCGCGGCCCCCCGGCCCTCACAGCGTCTGATAACTTTGAGGACTACTGTGACCTGAGTAATGAATACACCTCACTGTATCTCCCTGATCTGTCGCTGCGTTTCTGTTGTTCAGCTCGTTGGTCGCTGGTCGCAGGTCATCAGTCGGGCCGCGATAGACAACCGGCAGTCATTCGCCATCAGTTCTTATACAGCGACTGCCAAATTTCGATACATGGCTTGCATTTTAGCCCGCTTCGTTCGCGTAGTCGTTTGTTCGGGAGTCGGTCTGCGTCGAAGCATGCATGTGGGTGCTAGAGTGGGAGATGGTAAAGCAGCAAAACGAAATCTGAACTTATACTGGACGGTGTGCCACATTGCGGAAATAGCCGTAAGACCGTGGCCTCCTGAGGGTCCTGCTAGAGATTTGTTCATTGTGCACGTCGCAGTTGGCAGAAATAACAAAAACGACCTCAAAAGCCATGGTAAGTGCTACAGAAACGCATGCCGAACAGCGCTGACAACGTCTACAGAAGCCGATTATTCTTCAGGGTGCGTTGGAACGAAGTTTCTAGCTTTCGTGGGCGAGAAACAGCGATGAAATCGGTCAAAACGGGATCTCGGGCTGACAGACAGGTCACGAGCGTTCGCTCACTCAGATCGTCTTCAACGCCGAGGGCGACCTCCTCTTCTCCGCGTCCAAGGACAAGGTCGTCAACGCCTGGTTCACCTCGAACGGAGAGCGCCTCGGTACATTCAACGGCCACAATGGTTCGGTGTGGTCGCTTGCGGTTGACTGTGAGTTGCCATCCATTGTTCTTGCCGGTGGCAATGCACGGACAAGCTAACCTCCAGCGCAAACGAAATACCTCCTGACTGGTGCCGCCGACAACACGATGAGGCTATGGGATGTGCAGACGGGCAAGTGCCTGTGCGTTTGGGAGTTCTTGACGGCTGTGACGCGTGTGGCTTGGAGCGAGGACGACGAGCAGGCTCTCTGCATCACCGAGCAGAGGCAAGGACAGCCGAGTGTTATCAGGACGTTCAAGGTCAACCGCGAGGACCCCGCCGCGTCATCAAAGACTCCTACCAAGGAGATCATCCTCTCTGGCTCGAAGGCCACCGTCGCCCTCTGGGCCCCGCTCTCCGAGTCGATCATCACGGGACACGAGAACGGAAAGGTCGCCAAGTACGACGCTAAGACGGGCGAGGAGGTTATCGCCAACACCGACTCGCACAACGCCGTCATCACCGACATCCAGCTCTCGCCGGACGGAACGTACTTCATCACCTCGTGCAAGGACAAGACCGCCCGTATCTTCGACACCGAGACCCTCGAGGAGATGAAAGTCTACCCCACCGAGACTCCCCTCAACTCGGCCTGCATTGCCCCTCTCAGGCCCTACGTTATTCTCGGAGGTGGCCAGGACGCCATGAACGTCACCACCACCTCGAGCCGCGCCGGAAAGTTCGAGTCGCGATTCTGGCACAAGCTCTTCGAGGAGGAGATCGGCCGTGTCAAGGGACACTTCGGCCCCATCAACACCCTCGCCGTCCACCCTCAGGGCCGTGCTTACGCCTCTGGCGCTGAGGACGGTTTCGTCCGTGTCCACTGGTTCGACGAGTCTTACTTCCGCAGCAGGCCATTCGGTGACCTCGAGCCTGAGGTTGAGGTTTAGAGGTCTTAGTTAGATGTATGCATACCATTAGCGACGTATAGCAATCATGGTGTTTGTAACGGGGTCAGTCTTGAGTATGAGGTGGCGATCTGACTGCGTAAGAGCTCAGGACGCGGACCAGTGGTGGACCTGCGCCGATCAACATGTTGCCTCTCAGTGACGTAGATGCTACTGGGACACGCTACATGTCTTCTATTCATGCCGTATGCAATGTTTTGTTTTAAGAATCCCTATATGTTGCATAATCTACAGGTTGTGGTGGCTCCATCTAAGCAGAAGCCGCCGACTTTTGCCGGCTCTCGATGAGCTGGCTGCGCTTCTCCTCGAGCAGCTTTCGGCTGAATGTTAGCGGTCGTGACAACAACAAGATGGCGGAAAGCAGAAACGCAGAAGCTCGTCGTAAGAGCCATCAGGAACAGGAGCTGGACAGCAGAATGAGGGCGTTTGGACGTTGGGAGTGCGAGATCCTAACACTGAGGCGCAAGCCAAGTTGCTTACTCCCCAGTCCCTCCAACTCCCGCAAACGGGATCAACAGTTCAGTGCCCAAGAGCAGTGACCTCCGAGAAAATGCTGGGCTCATAATGAACACCCCCGGAAGCTCCGTTGCCGTGCATCCCTTGTTCCGCTGCTGCGCTGCTTTGACGCGCTCCGAGTCTGATCTACGTTCCTGGGGTTAATCAACTCACCTGTTCTGCTCAACGAAGTAGTACCAGTAACCGATGGCTCCGAAGGCGGTCGAGTAAGCGATGTGGGTCCAGGGGGCTGTTGTTAGCTTGGTCCGTGATCGTGCAAGGACAGGAGACGCAGAACAGGAGCGATCGAGGACGGGGACCGAATCCGCTGCTCTGAGATTGACAGGCTGCAGCTCGCGATCCCATGCACGCCCGATCACACGTTCAGCATAGAGCGACGCGCAAAAGGAGTACTCCTTTATCTCAATTCTGCGCGAGTGCTGTCGACGTCGAGTAGCGGGAATGGGTCTCGGTCTTCCCTCATCGGGTGTTCGTGCGTCTCGAGTCGGTGGGAAGTCTCACTAGAGAAGATGGGACGCTTAAGGAGGCCGAGCTGGAAGGTGCGGACGCCGAAGCCGAAGGCGGCGAAGCCAGCGACGTTGGAGAGGAGCGAGTCGGACATGGTCTGCGGTCACTGGTGGTTGACGATGACACTCCGAGCGCTATGCATTGGTGGTCACTTAGCACCACAGAGCGACGTCCTGCGCGAGCAGCACCCTGGTGAGCGCCTAACGCCGGCCTGTGGCACTTGCCCTGGTGGTTTGCCCTCTTTCCCATTCGCTGGGCGCGGAACAGAACGCTCGAGCGGGAGCATTTCCACTCGGAACGGAGTCCCAACTTGGTGTTCGACGTCCTCACTTGGGTCCTCCCTACCTCTACCACTCACTACTCTACGACAAAATGAGGCCTTCGACTGTTGTTCAGGGCGGCATGCCCGGTGGTGCGTACACGCCGAACGAGGGGAATGTACTGACAGTCCAGGCAAGACCTGGGTGAGTTAGGTGTGCGGACTTTTTCGACTCCGATAGAACGAGAAGCTTCGAGCTTGAGACGAGACCGCGTCGATCGACATGCAAGGGCAACAGCGATGGAACGCGAGACTAGTTGAGAGCAATGGAGTTCGGACGCTGGAAATGAAGGGTTGCGGACGGGTTGGAGCGAGAGAGTCCCACGAAGTTGATCGGCACAGAATGCGTCGGAGTAGGAGCTCGGCTAACAGGACAGATCGGATGGTGGGGTGCCATGGGTGGACCCAAGCAGAAGGGTATCTACACCTACTGTACGTCTTGCGGAACTGCTGTGCATAGGTGCGCGAGCTGACATGTTTCCTTCTACGCAAAACATCGCTGTCCGAACGACCGTGCCATCTCGCTTTCCTCCACCATCTTTCGGACCGAACATTCACCCGATGACGATTTCGACGCGACCGATACCTATTTTGCGTTATACCAACAGCCATCTCCAACAACCAGCAGGCTGCTATGCGCGGTGCCATCCCCGGCTACATCTTCTGGGGCTTCCGTCGCATCGCCGCTCAGGTTCCCTACTTCGCCCTCCCCTTCGCCGCCGGCTACGCTACTTACGTCTGGGGCAAGAACAAGTGAGTACTCACCGATGGACTGAGAGATTGGCCGGGCTTTACCGGAAACTCGATGAGAGACGAGATTGGCGTCGAATGCCTAGCGAGTGAGCGAGTAATGCTAACGATGCAGGTACGCCTGGTACAACTCTAAGGAGGGACACCACATCATGCACGAGGCTGAGGCCGCTGCTGGTGGCCACTAAACGTAGAAATGCATCCAAATGACTCAGACCGACGTTGGCGCAGGGTACTGACTATTCTTGCTCGGCACTGATGTGGGTCAAGCGACGTTAGCCCGTGGGAGAGCAGCGGAGGGCGTCAACACACGCCTGGTGGACCAGAAAGGCTCCGTTGGACAGATGATCATGTGGATCAACAGCGAGCCCCGCAGTTGAGCAGTTTCGTGTTTTGCCTTCCCTCCATTCACCTCGACTCATCAAAGTATGGACATCCTCCTCGATGCGCCAGTCAAACGTCTGCTCAAGCTCCTCGACATCCCGTTCTCGGTGACGGCGCAAGCGGAAACCGACCCGGGCGTCAAGGTATTCGCCGCCCTCCTCTACATAATCAACTATACTGCCGACGGAAGCAAGCGATCGCCATTCAAATGGTACAGACTTCCTCCGGTAAGTGCCCTTAGTTGACGGAACTGACTAGTAGTTTATGGGGTGGGGAAGCAAGTGGTCCTTTGACGAATGTCAACCTCGCGTGCAAGCCGCCCTTCTGGAACGCCTTGACATTGTACGCGAATGCAAGCCCGATCGCAGTAAGTAACTCCTTTGGTGCATGCATTGACCTCAGCGGCCATAGGCAAAGTCTTCAGGAGACTGCCTGACCTCAAGAGCGAGCTGAGCAACTTCAGCTCACTCGATCTGGCCACGCGCGAGGCATGGGAGTTGGCATGCCGGGATGTCCTTCAGGCTCAAGCACCCGGGGAAGTGAACATCATGCAAATTAGCCGCGAACCCGTCTCCGCTGAAGCGTCCGAGTGGTGGCCGAAAGTGGTTGCTGGTGAGCGACTGCTGTACAGCAGGTGAGCTGACCATAGCCGCGACAAAGGAGAGAATTCCCCGGCGAAAGCGATGCCTCAAATGCAAGAAGAAGGGCCAGGACACTGGCCTCCTTACAGCTGAACAACTCGACGCTCATTTTGCCGACGCCCATCCCCCCCGGTCAAAGGTTGTCGTCAAAGAGGAACCGCAGCCGCCGCCAGCTAAGCGCCTCAAAATGACTAAGTGACCGACCGGTCACCATCGGCGCCGACGCCGTCTCAACCAGTTACGGCCCAGAGACCAACTGTTTCAACACCAACGTTCCTGTGCATTTGAATTTCGTTGATGATGAACCTGTAGCTATTTGTTGTAAAAGTCACGACATATGACCATGTATGAGTGCATGACAGCATCGCGAGCACGATGACCGAGATGGCAGACTGACAGCCATCATTACGGAGGTGGAGGTGTGTGGAGGGCTCGTTTTCATATCTAAGCCGGGGGCGGGATCAAATAGGCGAAAAGCGTCATCTGCGTTCGTCGCTGTTCGTCGACTTCCGGCTGCCGTTTTCGCACTCCGATACTTTCGCCAAGGATCATCTTTCCGACGGTGCTCCCACTTCGTCGCCTCCGTTAAGTTCCCCATCACCATGGCTCCCGTCGAAAAGCTGGCTACCGAAGCCGCCGACGCCTCCCAGGGCTTCGTCTCCCGCGCTCAGCGCTTCATCGAGGACAACCAGAAGGCTATCCTTATTGGCTGTGGTGTTGCCGCCGCGGCCGGTGCTGGCTACTACCTCTACACCCAGCGTGGCTCCGGCAGCAGCGGACCTAGCTCTGGCAGCTCCGGTTCCGCCCCCGCTTCTGGAAGCAGCAAGAACAAGAAGAAGAAGAAGAGCAAAAAGTCGGAGAAGTTCCTGAAGGGTGAGGGCACCGATGGTCCTCTGCTCGAGGAGATCAAGCCCAAGCCGGCCGAGAAGAAGGTTGAGGAGAAGGTCTCTGATGACCCTCTTGACGGTAAGTACACAGCTTGTTAAATGTGTATCGGTCGCTGACAAAGTTCTAGGTGTTCCCGATGCCGCCGGTCTTGCCGCTATGAGCGACGCCGACCGCAACGCTCTCGGCGCCACCCTGAAGGACCGGGGAAACAAGCTTTACGCCAAGAAGGACTTCAAGAAGGCTGTCGAGTGCTACTCGAAGGCTATTGAGGTCTCTGTCAAGAAGGACGCTGTCTTCTACTCCAACCGTGCTGCTTGTAAGTTCTTGTGATGGACGGAGAGGGCGCTGCATCAGCGTGTTTCGGCTCTGATGCTAACATATCAGGTTACACCAACTACTCTCCCCCTGAGTACGACCTCTGTGTTAAGGACTGCGACGAGGCTCTTAAGCTTGACCGCACCTAGTGAGTTGCAATTCGTGTTTGCGCTGGTGTTGCAACTAACGATAAGCGTCAAGGCTCTCAAGAGGAGAGCGACTGCCCTCGAGCGCCTCGACCGTGACGAGGAGGCTGTCAGGGGTGAGTAATGAAAGCGTCGCGCCGCTGACTGATCTCAGACTTCACTGCGTGCACGATCATTGAGCGTTTCCAGGACGAGGCGGCGGCCGCGGCGGTCGAGAGGTGCTTGAAGAAGCTCGCCTCCCGCCGTGCCAAGGACATGCTCGCCACCCGCGAGCCCAAGCTCCCCTCGCCGACGTTCATCTCCTCGTACCTCGCTGCTTTCCGTGACCATCCCAAACCCTCGCTTCCCGAGAACCCGTCGCAGGGTGACCAGACTCTCATGCTCGCCTTTGACGCTCTCTCGTCGGCCGACTACCCCCACGCCGTCTCGTTCACCAACGAGGCCATTGAGCAGGGCATCTCCACCAAGCACCTCCAGGCCGAGGCTTACAACGTCCGCGGTACCTTCAAGTTCCTCATTGGTGACTCTGCTGGTGCCAAGGAGGACCTCGAGAAGTCGCTGGAGCTTGAACCCACCTTCGTTCAGAGCTGGGTTAAGATCGCCAGCGTCCACATGGAGCTCGGCGACGCCGTCAGCGCTTTCGGTGACTTCGAGACTGCCATCAAGCACAACCCCAACGACCCCGACATCTACTACCACCGTGGCCAGGTCTTCTTCATTATGGGCGAGCACCAGAAGGCCATTGACGACTACCAGAAGTCGATCGACCTCGATGACAAGTTCATCTTCACCCACGTCCAGGCCGCTGTCGCCCAGTACAAGATGGGAGAGGTCGCTAAGAGCATGGCCGCTTTCCGTCGTATCCTCAAGCAGTTCCCCGACCGCGGAGAGCCCAGCAACTACTACGGTGAGATTCTCCTCGACCAGCAAAAGTTCGACGAGTCGGTTCAGCGCTTCGACCGCTCCATCGAGCTTGACAAGGACCGCAAGCCGCGGAACGTTCTGCCCTTCGTCAACAAGGCGCTTGCCCTCTTCCAGTGGAAGCAGGACATTCAGGCCGCCGAGTCGCTGTGCAAGGAGGCCCTTGAGATCGACCCCGACTGCGACGTCGCTGTTGCTACCCTCGCCCAGCTCTCTCTCCAGCAGGGCAAGATTGACGAGGCCATCAAGTGGTTCGAGAAGAGCGGCAAGCTCGCCCGAACTGAGGGTGAGCTCGTCAACGCCATCACCTACGAGCACGCTTCGCGCGCCCAGGCTGCGTTCCTCAAGAACTTCCCCGAGTACGCTGAGCGTCTTGGACAGATCGCTCAGGGCATGTAGACCTAGTCCACGACACTCACGACGTAGGAGCGTTGTAGGTTGGAGGTGCGAGAGGAGGAGGAGGACGAGAAGAAGCAATCAGGACAAGCAAGATCATGATCGATGGCATTAATTGACCCCATTCTAGTGTAGCTCGTAAAGAGAGGGAGGATTTATCACCGTTTACCTTTACATCTTGCCTCCTTGCAACCCCAACATCTTGTGGCACTGAAAATGTTTGTGCTCGTATGAACCGCTCTATGCACAGAACCTCTCACATTCACGGGGAACGTGACGGAGCATCTCGATCGTTTACCCACGGTCACAGAAGACGCCGAAATCGTCGGACCGCAGCTGCTGTGACACGGTGACTCGTCGTCACGATGACAGTCAACTGACCACCGATTGTTCTCATTCCGACGCTGAGCTCTGTCACATTCAGCGCACTTTGCTGTAAAACCTTCATTCCATGCAAGCCGAAACATCGGGGTACAGTCCATACCGGCTGTGACATGGTTACCGAAAACGCTTTTAGCCCGATCCTGTTGCTGAAAATACCACAAGTGACTACTGATAAGCACGCTATCTGCCGGCTAGTGTCGTTTCGGCCAGACCTAACCACTGACGCCTCCTCCACGGGGCTTGCACTGGGCCCATCGGGCTTGCACTTGGGCTTTGCTACAAACATTGCACTAGTCATGGACTCCATGGGGCTCATGAGATGCAAGGCGCTAGCGACGACCGCTAAGGAGCTGGCGGCGGCCAGCGCGAGTCATGAGACACTGCTCGCGCACTTTTCTCAGAGATGACCGGCTACGCTCCATCTCGTGCCGGATCTGGGGCAGCTCGCAGCGCTCGCAGTAGGGCCTGGGAGACTGGAGTGGCGCTGCGATGCAGCAGCATAAAGGAGCGGATAGTTCTCGTCTCAGCGTGAGACCACCTCCTGTCATCTGTACACAATACGACCGCCGCTAGACGGAAATGGTGAGTCGCTGCTTCTCTTGTGCCGGTGAAACGCGGAGCATTCTGGGGTGGCGTGTTGGGCTGTCGATTGGCCAGCGAAACGACGGCCACAGTAAGCACCGTGGCCACTGTGGCTCTCCCCTATTGTTCGAGTCCGCCGCTTCTCTTCCGAGGCGGAACAGCGCACACGCAGAGCGCTCCCGTAAGCACGCCCTGGAGGTACATAAGTCGTCGGCCTGGGCTGCGCACGATGCTCCAAACGCTGCAGGACAACGACTAACGACAAGATGCTGGCTCATCTCACCACCACCACTGTGCTCGTGGCCGCCTTGATGGCGGCCGACGCCGCCGCGCAACCCATCGAACGCCGGGGCTGCGCTAAGCCTCTGAAGTCGCGCGGCGCCTCATCGAAGCGTGGCTTCTCCTGGCCGGGCCAGGAGGGCCAGCAAGGCCACTTTGCCGGCCAGCTGACGCAGGACGGCACGATGACCTGGTTCTGGAACTGGGGACTGTGGAAGACGGATATCCCCCAGGCGCCCGAGTTTGTGGGACAACTGTGAGTGGCGACCATCTTACAGTGCTGACAGTAGGTGGAACGGCGAGCACCTGAACGAGCTGGACGGCAACTGCCCCGGCATGATCTTCGGCTTCAACGAGCCCGACCACACGGCCGTGGGCCTCTCGGCCAACATGGGTGTGGACGACGCCGTGTGGGCGTGGAAGGAAGCGAAGAGGAAGTGCCCGAATTCCAAGTGGGGTTCTCCGGCGCTTTCGGGTCCGCACCACATTGACTGGCTCAAGAGGTTCTTCGACGGCATCTGTCCCGGCGGCCTTGACGGATGCAGCGACGCGCCCGACTACATCAACTTCCACACGTACCAGAGCGACATCCAGAAGCTCAAGAACGACGTGAACACGATGAAGCAGTTTGGGCGTCCCCTGATTCTGTCCGAGTTTGCATGCCACGACTTCTCGGACGCGCACCAGGAGTGCACCGACGTGATGCAGTATGCGCGCGAGGCGTTCGACTTCCTCGACAACGACGACATGATCTAGTGAGTTGTCCGAGATGCGGTGCCGCTTAGTACTGCTTGGAACTGCTAAATGAGATCTCGCCGCTGACATGACAGCCGCTACTCGTGGTTCGGCGCTATGGCGGACGCCAACCACCTCGGTGGCGTCAGCCGCGTCAACATGCTCATCGAAGACGGAGGCAATGGTCTCACGCCCCTTGGCCGGTTGTATCTCGGCCAGATCGAGTGACGGGACGGCTGCGCCGAACCCACTCCCACTGGCGTGAAGATGCCAGCTATCACTGCGGCTAGAGAGTCAGCCATTACTGCTGGCACTCAGCCAACGATCCCAGTGGGTGTCCGGTTCGTGTCATCTGTTGAGAAGGTCAAGGCTCTGCGATAGATTGTCGATGACGTCTTGCTCCATGGCCTGGCGCCACTGTTCCGTGTTCCCCGCTCTCTTTTCGGAATCAGATGCATCATGTTGCTGTCTGTTGTGAGTCTGGGAAGGCTGGCCATTTAGTGCGGGAGTGCGGCGGTGCGATGAGTGCGAAAACGAGAGATTATGCGAGCGCGTGAGATCGCATTTGGAGGTGAGCCTGGGTGCCCCAGAGTGGAGGTGGAGGTCCAGAAATTTTGAGTGTTGTTCAACTTGCCAGCAACGGCTGTGAGATCCTAACTTGCGCAGTTCTTCGACGGACAATGCGGTGCAGATGTGTAGCAGACATGGGGACTTCATGAGAAACAAGTACAGAGTATGAGAGAATGTATGGTCCACCATCCCACTCCCCGGCAACAATCCACGACCCACGGCCAAATCTCATCCGAAGACTCGAAAAGACCGCGAAACCGAGAGACCAGTGCCGGGAAGTAAGGGAGTTAAGACGACCACGTTTATCTTGCCGGATCGGGTTGACGCTCTAAACGATGTCGATGATTACCGTTGAGCAACAGGGGAAACTGTAACCCGCGGCGCCGCACAAAGAAGAAACTCTCGAGATGCGCGCGTCGCGAGCTTATATAGCGCTCAGTATGGGCAGAGCTCGGCGATATGTCACCGAGGGGGCGAGCGGTTTTATCGCCGGCACGTGTGGCATCCCCCTTTGGTGGCGGCTCATTGTCGAGTTTGTTGTTGTTGATTTGAATTTCTGACGATGAGCTCGGCTGACGACATGCAGCGCTTGCATGTTCACTCGTTTATCATCCATTATGAACCCTTGGCATATACATACATATGAACAGACTGCCTACAGAACCCTCGCTTACCAGAAATCGTCAACCGCGGCGCCGCCCTTCTTGCCCGCGGCTGTCGCTTGAGACTGGTAGAAGTCTGCGACCTGGATGTCAGTTGAGCTCTACGGTTTGGAAACTCACCTGCTCCGCAGTCGTCGCCTCCTCGGGTCCCTTGTCGTCGCGCACCTTGATGAAGCGCGGGAAGCGGAGCGAGATACCCCTCTGCTCGATCTGCTTGTTAGCTACCTGTGCCCTTCTGTTAACTCACCAGGCCATGTGCGGCGGTGTAGACCGGGCTCAGGGAGAGGTCCGCAGTGAGAACCTCCCAGACAACCTTGGGCTCGAACCAAACGTCGGGCTTGGCGCCGCCGACCTCAATGTTGCCACGCGCTCCGCCCGTCAGCTCGAGCGGGTGCAGCTCGTCGTAGAACTGCTTCAGGATCTCCTCGCTGAAACCCGTCCCAATCTTGCAGATGGTCTGGTAGTTCTCGCTATCCGGGTCGTAGCACGCGAGCAGGAACGCTCCGTACCAGTTCGTGCGCTTACCCTTGCCGTAGTACGCGCCGACGACAACGAGGTCAAGTGAGTCGCCTACGCCAGACAGGTAGTCCTTCTTCAGCTGCGCGTTAGCATGCACTAGAAATGAAACGCACCTTAAGCCAGTTGATTGACCGTCGCGAGGGCTCGTATGTCGACGCATCTGAGGCCAACATCTTTACCATCAAGCCCTCACATCCATCCTTCACCGACTCCTCGAGGAAGGTCTGGATCTCCTCAGTCGTCGACCCGTCCGACGACTTGGCGAAGCCGAACTCGCTCTCGACCGCTGTGAAGTGCTCCTGCAGCAGCGCGCGGCGCTCCTTCAGCTCCATCTTGAGTAGGCTCTGCCTGTTAGCTTTCGCGTTGAGCTACGAAAGCTCACCTCGCCGTTCAGATACAGTAGGTCGAAAGCGAACAGGTGCACGCGCACTGTGATGTCCTCCGCCTTGACGTCCTTGCGCTTCCTGCGGCTCAGATCCTGGAACGGCAGCAGCTTCTTCGTCTCCAGATCGAAAGCGACTGCCTCTGAGTCAAGCACGAACGACTTGACCCCGGGTTTGATGCACTATGGTCAGCTACCTTACATCGTCGCAGCTTACCCGAGGGATCTGCTCCACAAGATCGGGGTACTTGGCGCTCATGTTCTCAGAGTTGCGACTGAACACAGAGATCGTGCCGTCGTCCAGCAGGTGCACCTGCGCACGCTCTCCGTCGTACTTGTACTCGCACGTGAAGGGCTTGCCCTCGAAACGATCCAGCACTTCTCCGATAGCCTTTGTCGGCTTGGCCAGCATGGGCTTGAGGGGAACACCTGAGCGTTAGCATTTCCCGCCCATCCGCAACGCACCAGGCGTGAGTTTGCAGTTCTCGCGCAGACCCTCGATTCCACCCTCCATCAAGGCGGGCACAATGATATCGTAGTTTGGCAATTCACTGCGGTCAGATATGCCAACACTTGGGGTGTACCCACCTGTACACCTGTTTGACGACCTCTGATCCTTCCTCCAACTTCTGAGCGAGCTTCTCGGGAGAGACCTTCTTGTCTCCCAGCTCCTTCAGCACCATGGCGTGTGCGAGAGCAACAACAAGTGATCGCTCAGCGAGACCTATCCGAAGCTTGCCTTCCAAACTGCGGATAATGAACTTGGCCTCCGTTCCCTGGCACGCCGACAGCAATTTCTTGATGATACCAACTTTGCGTGCTTGCGACTAAGATGTCAGCGCGCGTCTGAATATAGACGTACCGAGTTGCCCGACACCTTGGCAATATCCGTAAGGCTCTGGAAGACGGACGGAACAGTCAGAGGCTTGGGCTTGAACATCGTCGGCTGAACGTTTCGGGAATTCTGATGTCAGCTGAGGACGCGAGCTTCCGCTCACCATGGCGACCTTGCCCAGGTCGCCCTCCTTGCGCAGGTCCTCCTTGATCTTGTTGGCATTGCGTCCGGTACTCTCAGCAATGGCCTTCACCAGGAGCGACTCTCCAATGCCCAGCTCCGTACCCTCGTAGTCGGGGCAGAGGCGGTTGATACACAGATAGACGACCTTCAGCAGGTTAGAGGTCTTCGCATCCTTCGCCGGGTCACGCTTTGCAACGACCAGCAGGAACTGCGTGAGGATCTGGAGGATCTCCAATCGTTTCGTGGTAGCCTCAATCTTCTCGAAAGTCGACACGAGGGCGGCGTAGGGGACGCTGCGGTGTCAGTTGATTCGAGATTAGTCGACTCACGGCTCGCCCTCTTTCCAACCCTTGTCCGCGACAGGCACCGGTGCCGTCTTCTTGGTGAAGATAGAAGCGCTAACGTCAGCTCAGATATCTTCGATTCCACTCACAGCTTGCTGGCAGCTTTCTCCTCCTGCTCCTCCATCTCCTCGTCGCTGATCTCATCCTCACCCTCTTCCTCCTCGACGGGGACGTGCTCTTCGTCATCCTTCGGCTTCTCCACCTTGACAGGCTTCTGGAAGATAGAAGCAAGCGGTTTGCCGTTTTGTGACGAGGGTTTTGCGGGCTTGGTCTCTTCCTTAGCGGCCTCCTTGGGCGAAGGCGCCTTAGGCTTCGCCATGTTGAAGATGGAGGCAACAGGTGCAGCTGTTTTAGCCTTCTTCGCCGGAGGAGGCGAGACTACAGTCAGCTTATCGAAAGAGTATCATACAGCATACTAGTCTCAGGTTTGGCCTTAACAGGCGAGTCGGCCTCGTCATCCGAGTCCATAATACGCTTCAACTTGCGCTGTTTGCCGGCGGGTGCCTTCATGGGGCTGGGAGTCTCGCCGTCTCCTATCAGCATAGTTCTCGTTCAGACTGTAAAACTCCATTCACTCACCAGACATCTTGCTTGAGTGTGTTATAACCAAGTGCTGGTGGCGAGGGTTATGTATACTACAGGGGGTCATAACAGGCGCGTCTCCCGCGATATTTGGACGCGTCCTAGCCGGTGGAGGTGGTTGATTCAACTTCGATGATGCTCCTTACGTAACTATTTGCCACGCAAGAACCACGTTACCAACATGATCTCGCCTCTGATTGAAGAATACACTTTCCTGACGTCGTTCATTATCCTTCCATCTATCCATCCCGGCACCTGTGCGGCCTCATCTGCGGCTGTTCCAAGCCGATCTCGAGCAAGAATCATCGACAGCACTTTCAAAAAGGCAGTGACCTGGCCCCTCCATCCGTGTCCGCAGCGAACCCTGTTTGGGCCGACCCTTCCGACCAACTTCTTTCCCCTCCTACATCAACAATGAACCGCTCCTCTTCTCGCAAGGATCTGCGTGCCGAGCGCCTTGCGGCTAGCCCATACTCGCGCCAGGAAAAGACGTTGAGGCGACCGCACTCCACCAGCCGTCTTGTGAGTGGCAAACTTGGCGTGGGCAATCCGACGCTAACGTTTAGGGATCATCATTCTCATCGCTCGTCAACTTTGTCACCAACCCGTTCCGTAAGGGGGACGATGAGGACAAGTCCATCTCTGGATCGGAGGATGAGTGGAACGGGGAGCCTCCTTCTGCCATGAGAGGTCAGGACGTCTTCTCCCTGGCTGCCGCTGCTGGACGCAGGGGGGAGGATTTCGAAGCTCGTGCCGAAGTTTGGCGGCAGGGTAAGGGAGCGCTGAGGGCTAGCAGATCTGTCTCGGTAAGTGATGACTTCTTCGAGCATGGCTGATGTACAGGTTACACACACCTCCTGGGGCGGTCTCGGCCTGGACGCTGGAGAGAAATACCGCCCGCCGCTCCCGTCACGCGCCGTGGACGCAACTCCGTCTGCTCGCATTCAGACGACTCGCATCGCCGAGTCCGACTTCACTCCCCCTACGAAGAGCTCGCCGGGAACAGCATCTTCCGCAGCTTTGCGTGCATTCTTGAACGCCAAGGGTGACGAGCCGCTCCAGCCGAGTGATCTCCGTGTCATCGAGACGCTCACCGAGGGCTTGCGGAAGGAGAGCCGGCCGACCGGTGGATGGAGCGCTGGCACGCACGCCTCGGAGCACAATGAGCAGAACATGACCCCTCGTCGATCACTTGCCGGTGGCTCCGTTTCAACCCCTGGATCAGTCTTCTCACTGGGAAGCGCGCCCCTCCCTCCCAAGTCTGGCGCAGGGGCTGCTCGCAAGGTGACCTACCTCGGTCCTGGCATGTCATCACGTCGTCTCTACGGTAAACCTCGCGTTCCTTTCAAGCCACTCTTCAACTTTGACGCGCCAAAGGATCAGATGGCCGGCAAGAAGCGGAAAACCGACGTGCCCGACGTCGAGGTCGTTGACCTTGACGAGGAGCAGGCTTCGGGTGATAAGGGCAAGTCGAAGGAGTCCAGCCCAAGCGGATCCTCCGACTCACCTGGTTTGTCCGCCGCTGCTTCAGTCGCTGCCGCCTTCAACGCTTCCGCCCGACGACCGTCTCCGTTGTCCCGCACCATGGTCCCCTCGCCGGAGCGCGACTTTGTTAAGGAGGGCAAGAAGCGTACGGCGGATACCCTGCAGGAGCTGTACGAGTCGGACATTGCTCCCATGGAGCCATCCAAGCCCCAGATTCTCTTTAACCCTTACGAGGCCAGCGCGCCTTCTCTTCCGAGCAAGCCTCTGAACTCCTCCATTCGGCGTTCCGCGAGCGGCATGCGAATGTCGCTGCGAAGCTCGACTCCTAGCCGCGGTGCAGCTAAGGAGATTGAGCGCCTGAAGGGCTCGACACGAAAGCTCACCACGCTCGAGATGGTCAGCGGCTTCAAGCCGACCGCTTCTACCGCATCTGCTACACCCGAACGGGAGGAACGCGAGGAGGTCGAGGAGCTCTTTGCTACTCCGCAAGCCACTCCCGGCCCGTCGAAGGCTGCCCCTGCTGTCTCTGACGTGGCGCAGGAGGCGCCAAAGTCTATCCCGGTCATCAAGCCGTCCATGATTGAGGAGCCTGAACCGTTCAAGCCGCTTCCGACGCCCTCGCTTTCGTCCTCAACTCTGCGATCGTCGCGTGCGAAGCCGGACACCCCCAAGTCCTTCACAGCGCCCGAGACAAGCGTCACTGACTCGATCCTCTCGTCGGCTAAGCCCAAGCCCGCGCCCGTGTTCAAGCCCGAGCCTGTCAAGCTCGCCCCGCCGACATCAGAGATCAACGTCCCGTCCAACGTTCCTGCGGCTCCCGCTATTCGCAGCCCCAGTAACTCTTTCAACCCGGCTGCCATTTTCCTGTCCGCCAAGGACTCTGCGCTTGACATTGAGAAGAGCGCTCTGCCCTTTTTCACCTTCACCATGCCCATCGTCCGGCCAGGACCCAGCGACGTCGTTAAGGAGGAGGCGCGCAAGCGGCCACGTGAGGAGTTCACCTTCGTTGGCCAGAAGAGCAGCCTGCCGCTGTCTCGTCTTACCCCGCCGACGAAGACCGCTCCGCTTCTGCAATCCACTCCGGAGGTTCCTGAGCCGTCCGCGCCCTCCAAGTCCGCTGCGGCTGACGCTAGCTGGACGTGCGACCTCTGCATGCTCAAGAACCCTGCCAGTGCTACGGAGAAGTGCACGATCTGCGAGGCCCCTAAGCCTGGTGCGAAGGCTGCGGCCCCGTCCGGCCCTCCTGCTCCTCCCTCTGTCCCCTCTGGTGCCTTCTCGTTTGGTGCAAAGCCGGCAGCGCCGGCGCCGAAGCTCATTGCCGATGGCGAGTGGACCTGTGACACCTGCATGCTTAAGAACCCCGGCAGTGCCTCGGAGAAGTGCACTATTTGCGAGGCTCCCAAGCCTGGAGCGAAGGCTGCCGCTCCCTCTGGTCCTCCTGCTCCCCCATCCGTGCCCTCTGGTGGCTTCTCGTTCGGCGCGAAACCTCCCTCCACGTCCGCTCCCAAGCTCATTACCGACGGCGACTGGACGTGCGACACCTGCATGCTGAAGAACCCAGGCTCCGCCAAGGAGAAGTGCACCATCTGCGAGGCGCCGAAGCCGGGAGCGAAGGCCGCTACGCCGTCTGGCCCTCCTGCGCCGCCATCGGTGCCGAGCGGAGGCTTCAGCTTCGGTGCTAAGCCCGCTGCTCCGGCCGCGCCGGCCGCCAAGTCTGGCAGCGAGTGGACGTGCGACACGTGCATGCTCAAAAACCCTGCCAGCGCGACCGAGAAGTGCACGATCTGCGAGGCACCGAGGCCCGGCGCGACGCCGGCCGCGCCCGCTGGTCCCCCGGCGGCGCCGTCCGTGCCCTCCGGCGGTTTCGGCGGGTTTAGCTTTGGCGCCAA